AATAAAGTGCAACAAAATCCAAATCCACCTTTCAAACATGTTGTTCTTCCCACCGGCGAGTATGAAAAACTCGCGTATTTTGCCCACTTTTCCGAATATCTTTGGAAGGATATTGTGTTGTGCCACAAAACAGTGCAACAGGATTTGTCTCCAGCTATTATCAAGTCCAAAATTGAAGAAATGGTAGAATTGTACAATGGTCTCATTGGCAAACCAAACGGGCTTGAATTGTTTGGTCCAATGCAAAACTCAATGTCCAAGGATGTGATTGATGATGAAAATCGACTTGGCGAGACTTTGGGTGCGTCCTGTGATGCTTCGCTTATGAAATTGGCTGACATGTGTGCTGGATCTTCTGCGGCCTCGGCTCGTATGAACCTTTCCACTCCTGTCGCCGCCATTTCATCTGTGAGCAGAGCGGACTCTTCTAATGGTGCTCGTAAACCTGTTGGTAATTCAATTGAGGTGAAATTGGGAGGTTTTGATAAGACCTCAGGTCCATATTGTGATGCTCCGCTTGTGAACTTGGCTGACATGCGTGCTGGATCTTCTGCGGCCTCGGCTCGTATGAACCTTTCCACTCCTGTCGCCGTGAGTTCAACTAACGGTATCAACAATAAAAGGGGCCCTTCATCCAGAATTGGTCCCTTGAACAGACCTCCCATAATACCTACCTCTACCTCGGCTCGTATGAACCTTTCCACTCCTGTCGCCATAAATTCGTGTAGGCCACTCGAAAGACCGGCGATTATACCGCTAAGGTATATTGAGCGCAACTTCCACACTCTAAACCAATGAATTTTGCTGACATAAATAGTATTATGTCTTTGCCATTAACAGTTTAGTCTAACAATTTTCTATTTCTATTTTTCTTTTCTCTTGTTTTTTTTTTTTTATCCCATTTGAACTATTTTTATCTGCTTTAATTGTTTTTAATTTAATGAAAAAATTATCCAAAGAATCATCTTCAGTGTATCTGAATTCCCCAATATCTTGTGGGAGTTGAAATACCTTCATCAGGCTGCACAGCGACATTAATGTGCACACAACATATCATCCCATTAGTGAACCGCATAACTTAAACGATAATAATAATACGTTAAATCTTCAAGAGCTTTAGTGATCATTATTCCTATCTTCAAAATCGCTTACCAGTAATATAATCGGCTTCTCACGATACAGTATGAGAGCACATTGGTTCTCTTGCCATCTATTCAAAATTCCTCATTTTTTCTTGAACTCCCGATAAATTGCCCTGATAAATATAGCATCTGGTATTATTATTTTAGCCTTGAAAATCACATCAATCTTTACTTGTTGCCTACTGGCGATTCTCCTAAATTTCAGCTCAAAGGAAAAATTTCACATATTTCAACATTTGGAAGCGGCATTCTTCAATATTGACAGAAAAGTTGGCTATCTTGAAATTCATCAAAGATGGTGCCACTCTGTCTGCAAATCCAGTTGCTAGAAACTATCGGTTTCAAAAAGAGAGCTTCCATCAAGCCTATTGTCGTTTTACAATAGCAGTAGACTTTTGCTATCAAAAGATATTCACAGAAATCAAAAAGCCTTGGATGGAAATTGCGAAACCTACTGGTCATTCCTAGCTCTCTACAATTCAGGCTCTTCTTCAATTCAACCAGACGTGATGTCTGCAGAACAAAAGAAGAGGAAAAAAAGCCTGTTTGTCGTTTCCAATAATATATCATGAGACAGTATCATCATAACCCCAGTTGGCGGCATTTGCATATGGTTGTAAACAATCAAACAACTCAAGCAATAGCAGTAGTAAAATATTATCCATCTTTCACAAGTTCAACACGAATCATCATCCAATGTGGATTCTGGATTCTCCAATAACACCGCCTTTTCAATTCGACTCATTGCAAATCTATAGCAATAAACAGGTCCCAAAATCCTCAAATTCTGAATGAACATATATCTATTCTCTTAAAACCTGTCAAATCATTCAAGCTCCCGCAAACGCTACCATCTTTTGTTGACACAGTCAATGCTGGAAGCTCTTTCAAAAATTATACGTATAAACTGATAATATCTAAATCCACATCAAATTGAGTTACTAAAACAGCAAACGAAGAATATCATCAATCTTTTTACGTTGCTACCTATTTGTATAACTTTTGAGCAATGTAAAGACAAGTGCTCCTGTTTTTCTGTATCCCTTTAAAAGAATTTAAAATACCACTTCATTTACCAGTATATTAAGAATCCTGGCAAATAGTTCACGCAACCTTGAGTAGAATTGAAATTTATTGAATCTAAAACATTTGACTTCTGAAGAAATCGTCCATTTCTTCACAATATCAACATCCAACTAATCAGCCACTTTCGAGGGAAACATGATGCTGAAGGAAATACTTTTACACATTATACGTAATTTTTAATGAATTATCGGAGCTACCAAGCAACGAGGTAGAGTTCAAGTTCCAACAAAGTCTCATCATTAAATCCCTGGCGTACCTTCCACATCAAAAATCTTGTCCTAAAAGCACAAGCGCCAAAAGTAATGGTATGAAAAAAATTTGCGGTCTCTAAAGAACCAAATATCAATTATGTAAAAAAGAGGAGTTTTATTGTCTAACATAGAAGAGAGCAAATGACTTTCTTTCCCAATGTTTATTGATATTTTCAAGTGTATTTTTTGTTCTCATTACCCTGCTTTGTGTGACCAACCGACGGAACTTTCCTTCGGTAGTGCCATTTCCATAAACAGGAAGAAATGCTTAGCATCTGAACTATGAAAAGAATCCCATTTTTGAATGCACAAATTATTCAACAATTTTTAAGACTTTTACAAGCAAGAGAAAATTAAATGATAATAACCTCGCCAATTGTAAATTACTGGCCATGCACTTCATTGATGCGTCACCGATTCTTAGATAGTGTATGAAACTGCTTGCCTAAAATAGTGAGTGATTGTATTATTGATGAGCCACTCAGTCGTTTCGGTGTTCCAGACTAAAAGGGTTGGTGTTATTTTTTTTCCGCATAAATTATTTCTATGGCCATGCCAACGCCTTAACTTTTATCAGCAATTATTGCCCAGTTACAATCCTGTTTGCGGACTATAATATTCATATGGGTATTCAACTTCCAAAAAACACTTTTTTTTTTTAATTTCTCGATTATAGAGAAAATTAGTCTCAATCACGGATTTTGATCCACCCCAAACCTCTGACTTGTACTATATAAGTTAATGATTCTGTGGTTTAAATGACATAGGTGACTGAGTATACCACTGTAGCGGTGGATATCGACAAAGACATACTGGTGTAGGGATGAAATGTATGGTGTACTGGTTTTATGTGGAGGTTAAAGTCCCCCAACACCAGGTTTTCAACATGTTTTTGGACACAATAGTGGAGCAAGAAAAGAAAGAAGTGGTCCAAAGATGATTGGTCCGATAGTTAATACTTGCGTTACCATTCTCACTATTCTTTGTTTCACTTTGTTGAGTTGGAAGTGATGGAAAGAATCAGCAAATTTTTTGGATCATATTTTGTTTTTGTCTTTGTGCTCAATTAGATGCAGCTTTTGTTTACATCCTGCACTTCTACTCAGATAAATTGCACAATTTACTAAGTTATTACACAAAAGTAAATCACAACAAAAAAAAATCACACTATTTAATTGAAGAAAAAAAAAGGCCTAAAAATATCTTCTCACTTCCCACATCAGTTGATGATGATCATAAAGCCCAACCATAACTTAACTTGGTGCAAGAGGATTTGATAATCTTGGCTACTGATGATGCACAAATAATACTAGAGCTAGGTATAACAACCTTTCACCTCACTTCCCAAATAATCAAATACTAACCTTTCCATTAGCGATGCTGGTTGCTGGTGGTGCTCAAATTGTGCCAGAGATAAGCAAGTGAACCTTTTATTGTATTTAATGATATTCACAATACTAACTTCAGTAGTTACGATGTTAGGTGCTGCTGATGATGGATTCAGGCTAAAGCTAAGTAGATGACCCCTATATTTCATTTAATCGTGAACACAATACTAACATTTATAGTTTTACTATTAGTTGCTGGTGATATTTGACTTCAACCAAAACTAAGTAGAAAACCTTTTACCTGAGTGCAAAGCAAATTTCATACTAACTTTTATGGCTCCTATGATGGTTGCTGCTGGTACTCGAAATGGATCAGCGCTAAGTACAAGGACCTCTATTTTTAATTTTTTTTCTCATTTCTCTGAAAAACACAGTGCTAACAATTAATAGTTTCCAGGATGGTTGATGCCGTTAATCAAATTATGACAAAAGATAAGTCTAAGAACTTCCAATATTATATCCTTGCCAATGAAATACTAGAATTTGTAGTCCCAATGCTGTCTGCAGGGGTTGCACATTTCGAACTAAAGCTAAGTACAAAAATCACTTCACTTCATTTCTCAAAAAAATATCACACTAACTCTCATGGTTGCAATGATGGCTGGTTCCGGTGCCCCAAATGAATCAGACCTAAGTAGAAAAACTTTTGTTTCCATCTTCTTCTTATCTGCCAGAGAAAAATAATACTAATAATCATTAGATCAGATACTGGTCGCTGGAGGTCAATTTGGCCAAAACTAAGTAGCGCAACTTTTTATCTCATTTCAAAGCAAATGTCCAATACTAAAATTTGAAGCCAAGCTCCTGATTGCTGGTGACATTCAAACTGGGCCATATTTGAGCAGATCTAAGTATGAAGGCATTTTATATCTTTCCCTTATGAATACCATACCGACATTAGAATAGATATTCTGGTTACTAGTGATGATATAACCGTTCAGAGATAAGTAAATGACCCTGAATTTTATTTTCCCATTGAATATCTCACTAACGTTTTTAATCCCCGAGGTGGTTGCTCGTGAAGCGTATTTTGTACCATAGCTAAGTTTAAAAACCCCTTATTCTTCCCAATAATATTTCAAATATACTGATATCCATAATCACCATGATGGCTGCTGATGACGATAAAAACTATGCTGGAACGCAAGTACCTGAACCTCTTATTGTTTTAATAATTTCTCAAATACTAACCTTTATAGTTGCCTTAATTTTTGCTCATATATCACTAAATCTGTCGAGGGTCGGAGCAAAAAGCAATATTTCCGACCCATGACTCTCAAAATTCTTAGACCATCTTCTAAAGCTCAAATTTATCAACTCTGGAAATTTCCATACTTCAAGTACAATAGAAAAGATGAATCTTTTAAATAGTAACAATATCGTCGTAAAGAGCTTTTAAATTATCTCAGAATAATACTTATACTATTTATCAACCGTATCCAATAATAAGCTCGAATATATTTGACGGTGTAATGCTCCCTTTAGCTTAATTCAGGTTTGGTTTAACATATAATTGTAAGAAACAGTAAATTCTTCTCTTGTATTGTAAAGGGAGAAAAGGGTGCCACAAAAATCTACTTTGAGCCAGAAAACTTCTTTATTTTGATGATTTTTGGATCAGAATTCTCTGGACATGAACATCCATAATTCGTCGCCATTAATATAACTCCCTCACATGAATCTCCTCATTGATGCAATTTTTCTCTCTATTTTCACCAAATGCTATTTAGAGTCCTCAAACTATGACCAATTATCACAGTTCATTTGACCCAACTGTAAATAAAAAAAAAAGGTAGTATTTCAGAAGAATCTATCTGAAAATATTGAACTAACAATAAACGGAATCGTTTTTAAAATTGATCTCATTTCATAGCAGAATTTCGCTTAGGAAGCTCATCTCATAGATCTCCCATTAGAAAAACATCACGTCTAAATTTGCCTTGAAGTCCAACATAAAATCTCTTAGTCCGCCATTGGTCATATTAATTGTCAAATATCGTCAGATTGAATGAAAAACCAACCAATATGTGGTAAATAAAACATGGAGCGAAAATTGACATATTTTGTGATGTTGCCGGGTAACATCCATCGATGCACTGCAAAAAATATTTCAACCAGCCTTATGTGATGGTCTATGACTACTGTAGCTTAAAATTTGTACAAACTCTCTAATATATAAGTTTTGAATTTCTGTTTCAGAATGCCGAAAATAAAAACCAAGCGGACGAAAGCTGCTCCAGAAGGGTTCGATAATATCAAGTCGCAACTCGACAAATATGAAGCGGAATTGAAAGACATTGAAGCTTCGAAACTAACCAAGACGTCAAATAAAAACGAGCATTCCTGGGCGGTACTCCGTGTCCATCACCAACGGTCGCGATACATTTATGAATTATATTACAAGAAGAAAATCATCTCGAATGACTTGTACCAATGGTTATTGAAGCAGAAGTATGCCGATGCGGGACTCATTGCCAAATGGAAGAAACAGGGTTATGAAAAGTTGTGTTGTTTGAGATGTCTTGAAAAAAAATGCGTTTGTCGAGTACCCAAGAATGAAGAGAAAGTGAGATGCATCAATTGTGGGTGCTATGGTTGTGCTTCTGGGGGGTGAACTTATCTGTTAGTCAGGATATCATGGTAACAAGGAAAAGTATGGTACCAACGAAACAAAATTGTAATGCTGGCCATTTTCAAGCCTCATTGAGAATCTAATGAATCAGAATTCCTGGAGAGCGTAAACTAACGATATTCGCTGCTTCGGTTGTATTGAATTAAATAAATTTATGGAATTTTCCAGGTTGATATATATCCTACTTGAGTGAGTTGATAGGGCATAGGGTTGACTCATATACACACCTTATAGTATTTGATCTAGATCTTATTAGTGTACCGGTGGCCAAAGCTAATACATTATATGTACAAATATCAAAAAATCTATAAAATCTCTTTAATTCCATGACTGTAAGCCCCATCTACTCCTTTGATGAAGTTTTCAGCAATGACATCATAATGCTCTACTTGTTTGAAGCCAAACACTTTGGCAAACTCACAAGCATAACTGTAAGACACATCTCTTATGGAAACTTCTCTGGATTGGTTTTCCTTCTCCCAAATCTCTTTCATGCTAGTTGTTTTGGCATTGTCGATCCCACACATCACGAACTTGTTAGGATAGTCAAGATCGGTATTGACGTTGATTGCAACCCCATGGGAGGTCACGCCACGACGAACATGGACACCGATACTGGCGATTTTGGCGTCTGCGGCAACCCAAACCCCGGTATTTTCTGTACGGAAGGAATCTATGCCATATGGAGTTCTAGACGCAGCAGACATGCTCCTTGAAATTTTGTGGCCCGAGGAAAGGGTATTGATGATGGATTGTTCAAGACCATTAACAAAACAACGTGGGGGAAGGGCGCGACGATCTTTTTTCAACATTTGAGGGATATCATTGTCAGAAGTTAATTCATTTTGTTCTTCTTTGGCATCGAGTTTTTTGAAGTCATTCAAATCGATGATTGAGTATGCCACCACTTGGCCAGGACCATGATAAGTCACCTGTCCTCCTCTACTGCTCTGAACGTAATGGGCTCCTTTGAAATTGTAAATTTCTAGCTCTTGCTCACTATGAGAGTCTTTTTCTCGTTTTCCTCCGGTGTACACTGGGTTAAACTGAAAAGTAAGCACTAACGGTCCAGGTTTGATATCTTTCAACATCTTGGCCACCAAATTCTCTTCGTATTGAGATACTTGAGCTGGGCCTTCGTCGGTATCCATCTTCCCCGATTTCACGGCCTCAATTTGCCTCAAGGCCCTTGAGCGAATATTTTTGAAGTCAAGATTTGCTGCAACGAACTTCTCCTGAACCCCAAGCCCTGTTTCGTAGCTAACAGTGTCTGTGAAATGGAGATGTCGAAGGGTGGTGGAAGTGCCGGCTTTTGGTTGAATTGTCAGCTGGCATGCTTCTGTACTTTGATGACGGACCCACCTGAGTGTTGGGCCCACGCGGGCAAATAATGGTCTGAACATTCCAACCTGTAAATGAGTTCTTATTAATCTAAGATAAAGATAGTAAAGAATATATAATACAATAATGATAATATTGATAACGTTGATGATGGCAAGACTTTTCTTTCGCTTAACCCATCGCTGCGTAACCAAAACAGTCAATTTTTTTTTTTTTTCATCATTAATTTAGTTACTTCTTCTCTTTTCTTCATTCATTATCATTAGCTTATTTGGATATAATAATAATAATAATAATAATAATAATAATAATAATAATAATAATAATAATAATAATAATAATAAAAATAATCCTGCTAAATAATAATGTCAGTGCACCCGGATAGGTTGTTCAGCAAGGAGTTTTTCCGGAAAATGGTCTGGAAGTATAACTTCAGCCATCTTATAGACATCGATGCGTACCACCAGATATTCGACAAGGCAAAATTGAAGAAAATGTACAAAGAGCCAGAGAAACTTAATGTTCTCCACTTGTACTCTCCCCAGGGTGCCTTGCCTTCCGCTCTCCAGTCGTATTTGCACCCAAGAAACCAGATTGTAATGGATCCATTCCCAAAATGTCGAGCGTTCTACCAGAAGCACCTATTCCCTTTGGTCAAAAAGTACAATGAAAAAGTCGATGACGCTCATAGGTACAACCTCAAGATCTGTGTGGAGAACCCTTACAAATGGGAGTCATACCACAACTTCTTTAATAAGGAATCTTTCATTCCAGAAGAACAGTCCGACGACCATATCCATACCAACTTTTTGGTGACTTGCAATTATACCAACAGTTTTGGTGAACAGCTTGCCGTACAACACTTGAATACTTTTGGTAATAGGAACTGGATCCAAAAATACGGTAGAGTGCGGATGCTCCTGTTGTTGGACCCTGCTTCGGCTGGTAAGTTTTTTGGGTACCAAAGGGGGAAAATATTGAGAAACCGGATGACCGTTCAAGCCCAGGCTTATGCGGATGCTAAGCTTCTTGCAGTGTCACGAAATGGTTTGAGCCACTTTCCTGAAGAGTTTATCGAAAAAAGTAATCCAGTGATTCTCGAAAAGGACCAGTTTCTCAGTGCTTCTGATTCGATGGCGGTGGTGGACTTCCAACCAAAGAAAGTGCCAACTGATGTTAATTTGGACGAGTTTGACTACATCACCAAGACTTTGCTTGTGACAAAGATTCCGTTGAAAGAAAGTATAGATCTTTTGGGGTTTGGAGCCTCCGAATTTTTCTTGAACGAGCCTGATTTCAAGCCGTTCATGGACAAGAGTGCCCGTGATTTGAGTGCCGAGGAATTTTTTAAGCTTACGAAGTTGTTTGGATACTGGCCTTTCAGACCAGATGTGATGTTAACCTTTGAAGATATTGGGGGGAGAATTGAAGACACACACAACAGAAGATGATACTGTGTTACTATAGATTGTAAATAGATTAGAGGAGTATTCATGTTTTTTTGTGACAATTGTATTATATTGCTATAAGTATTATAATGATGAGTATTTTAATGAGTACCATTATTATTATTATTATTGCCATCGTAATTATTATGATTGTTAGTGTAGTCGATGAAAGGACCCACTCCAATGGCTCCTTCTCTCCCCACGCACAGAAAAAATTAAAACAAAAAGAAAAAAAAATTTGCCGTCGTCGCCTTTTATCGATGAGGAAACAACCGATAACATTGTCAATTTTGCCATGACTGAAGAATCACGGAAAGCCCTGCGGAAACCTACGGTTTCTGAACCTTCAGCAAAACCCACTTTAAAAGTCAACAACTCGTCGAGTGTTTTACCAACCCCGATCCTCAAGAATGAGCAAACTTCAAAGACCGGCAACGCCCTACCAGAAAACACCATCGTCACCGCCTCTTCCTCCACTACCAACCCAGAAACTGGCGGAGTGGATTTGAAGAACGTGCTTGCTTCGCCCATAAATGAAGCGTTTCCTCTGGAATACGGCGATCAGGATGTGATCCCAGAATCCCTTGAAGGGCTCGTACGCCGAACTAGTCTGTTATCGTTCAATGAACCTTCTGATTTGGAGAAATCACGTCGTGGCTCTATCTCTGCTCATCCTTCCAATGCCAATATCAGTATTGGTGGTCAATGGTCCCAGAATCGCATTCAACATCAACTCCAGCAGCAGCGTGGGGCAGCCAATGGATTGAGTAAGTTACAGTCAGAAGCATCGAACAACAACAATAATAATAGTAAGGGAGTGATAGCCTCAGATGCCTTGCAATTTGTGCCTCGTCGTGGACCGACACGCTCAAATAATAACAGCGCTGCCAGCTCAAGGAGCAACAGTGCTGATAGAAGCCGCAGCACAGTGTCAAAGGAAGATGGTATACGGCGCACTATTAGTATTGGCAATAACAGACAAATCAAAGCGCCGATTGTTCCTGAAACCGCTCCAATAGGACCTAAAGTTCCATTTACTCAGTATTTTAAGCGTACAGACGACAACAAGATCCATATTCTTGTTGGGGCGTCTGGATCGGTGGCCACGATCAAGCTTCCAGAATTGATTGCCCAGCTATATAAGCAGTTCACTAGAGAGCGAGTGTCGATTCAGGTGGTGCTCACAAAATCTGCAGAACATTTTGTTAAAGGATTGAAGATTCCTGCAGAGTTCAAGGTCTGGAGAGACGAAGATGAGTGGGTCGACGGCGGGCATCATACTTCCGATCCGGTGTTACACGTTGAATTACGTAAATGGGCCGACGTGTTTGTGGTTGCCCCGGTATCTGCAAACACTTTAGCAAAAGTATCTAATGGGATTGCTGATAACTTGTTGACATCAATCTTGAGAGTATGGAATCCTGCTAATCCGGTAATATTTGCTCCGGCAATGAATACGTTTATGTATACCCACCCAGTGACCAAGATTCAGCTTGACATGATCGCCAAGAATTTCACCTGGGTCCATGTTTTGAAGCCGGTGGAGAAAGTTTTGATTTGCGGAGATATCGGAATGGGTGGGATGACCACGGTTCAAGAGATTGCTAGTAGTGCAAAGAAGGAGTTAATGGTGATTATAAAGAAGCAAGAGGCTCAAAAACTAGATATCCAGAAAGCAGAAAGTAAAGAAAAGGAAAGACTAAGGCAGAATAAAAATGATGAATTACAGTTGGATGAGGAAGGAGATGATAGCAATATGCGTACAGATGAAGATGATGAAGATGACGACGATGAAGATGACGACGATGACGATGACGATGACGATGACGATGACGACGACGATGATGACGATGACGACGATGAAGATGACGATGACGACGACGGCGACGACGATGATAGTCCTATACTACATAGAGTTAATACCCGTACAAGAATGCAAAACAATACCAAAATTTCCGAGGAACCATGAGTTCTCACAATAATCACACTGACTACAAATAACAAACTTTTTTATTTCAATTAATAGATTTATTTTGCCATAATAGCTGTTTTAACTCATTAATGTTATTTTATTTTTGTATTTATATATATATATATATATATATTCTAATTTGTAACTAATTATACTATATCATTCAAAACAGTCTTCCAATTATCGTCCCATCTATGTTTACTCTCCTCAATGGCGCCATTCTTTATCTTTTGGTAGATTTTTTCATTGGTCAATGTTTTACAGATCATCGAGCACAATTCATCATCAGTATTATTGTCCAAAACATACCCATTGACCCCATCCTTCACCAATTCCCCAATGGTGGCAAACTTCACACTGATGGTTGGGATCCCACATCCGAAGAAATCGAGGATTTTCATAGGAAGGTCAATTCCCAGAGACGACAAGTGTAAAGAGATTGCGAGATCCGCAAGAGATATGACCTTTGGATACTCTGCTGCGGTAAACCAATGGTTCTGAATGACGATGTTTTGAGAAAATTCAAGGGAGGCGATCTTGCTAAGAAACTGGGGTTTTTCTGGTCCTTTCCCTGTCACTAGTAAAAAGATCTTCAGATTATAGTTCTCTGGTTGTGATTGCATGAGCTGATCATACTTCTTCATGGCATCGAGAAGGATATTGAAATCTTCATCTTTTGTGAATGACGTACTGCTAACGATTATTTTATCATCCTTAGTAAAATCAAAATCTTGCAACGCCATATTATCATAGAAAATACGCTGGAATTCCTTGGACATTATGGTGATTCTTTGTTCTTGAGTATCCAACACTTTGAATTGATCGGCTGGTCTATCACGCAAGACAATAAACTTGCGTGAAATCACGGTTTTTTCAATAGAAGACGCCCCAGGGTATATTGCATTAATAAGATAATCTTTCATGTTTGCCGATACTGTCAAGTTGTAACGGGCAAATTTACTCAATTGGAATTCATAAAACTTCATCACTTGGACGAGGAAACTTTTAATTTTTCCTGGGTTGTCGCCACCAAACTTTAGTTGTAGGATTGAGTAATTTAAATTATGCCAATCAATAACAATTTTTGTCATTGGTGAATACAACCATTTCCAAACTATTACCACGTGTAAAATTGGCAATATTGGAGGGTTTTGGATAATAACAAACTTGGAGTTTTTCACCGACTTGGCGAATAACAAGCGAAACAAAACCCAGTGTTGCCTCACAACTTTCGTAACCATTCCCAAGATACCTCTTCTTGATTCTGGACCATTAGAGATCTCATTAATAACAATATCACCATTATCTACCCCCTCAACGATGAATTGCGGGAGAGTAGACTGCAAGTATCCAAACAACTGCACTTTATACTGTTTCTGTTGGACGAGGCTCTTGACATGGTATAACATTCTAGGAGAATGACCTAAGTCACCAAGCACTATCACTAGGACCTGATGGCGTTTGTTGGAGGCGTCATCATTGGCATTCTTTTGGTAGTATCGCCGTTGGTGTAACGAGGGAAGAACCCAATAGAAAACAAATGGGATCAGAAAGTACGCTAGGATAATCGCCCACACCCAGCTAGGGTATTCTAGCCATGCGATGTATCGTAGTATCTGTTCAATAACAATCATATATGAATGGATATATTTAGTGGATATATTATTACCAAGTATATTGACGACCCATCAACTTCTATTATTATTATTGTCAAAGAAAAAAACGGCTTCTTTCTCCACGTGAACGGATCTCGAAAATTAAAGAGGGCAAAAAAACATTGGAATTTCTCCCTGTCATCGCGTAACTCAAATGATTCAACCCAATGGATCTCAATAGCCAGCTCCCTAGCTCCCAATTATTTGAGCGGGATGAGTTCTCGCGGTTCTTACACTTTTTCCAGAAATATGAGATCACTACTGTCGATATCATGACCAAAGGAGTCAAGGACCTAGTGGAGATGACCAGCTTATCATTAGCCAAACATTACCAAGGTACAGCTCTTCATGGAAAATCGGCAATGACTTCCAAAGACTTTATCGTGTTAAAGGATATTTTGAACAAGGAAATTGATGTGAAATTGAAGATTGAAGGGTATGATGGTGCATGCCTGAAAGAAGCTAATGATCTTCACAAAGAGAGTAGTAATGTGGATCCGATGACTTCAACTCCCAAGAGGTTCACCACAGGAAGTTTGAAATTGGATAAAATACTTGGAGGTGGCATCCCTTTAGGTTATGTCACGGAAATCTCCGGCGAAAGCTCCAGTGGGAAAACCCAGCTCCTCATACAGTTGGCTCTTTATTGTCAAATCCCTGAAACTATGGGTGGGCTCAGCACTGACAAAACCAAGGCAAAAGTGTTCTTCTTATCCACTGAGGCAATGCTCCCGATCACCCGAATCATCCAATTACAAAAAAAAATGTTTTTGAACAATTCTAATTTCACAAAACAAGTGGGGGATCCAGAAGAAGCAGGGCCGGCTCTAGAAAATATCATTTCTCATTTCATCAGTAAAAACTGGGACCAGCAATCAGAGCTTTTACTTTTCCATCAACTACCGAAACTTTTATCGCGAGATAAGTCCATTAAAATTTTGATAATCGATAGTATTTCTCATCATCTTAGGTCTGGTTTGAACGGTGGTGGCGCGAAAGAGAACCTGACATTTGAAGAGCAATGGAATTACAATGTCGATGTCAATTTATATCTTGACAGATTATACGGGCATTTGCAGAAAATTGCAGAAAAGTTTGGCATTGCAGTAGTGATATCTAACCAAGTGACCTCGATCCCAGTAGAAAATGAGGGTTTGCAAAAAATAGATTGTCTTGATCGGGATTATCAACTCGGATGGCTCCATGGGTGGGACTTGTTCGAGATTAGTAAAGATCAAATTGACTCCCATCAATTGTCTAAATTCAGTGGTGGCTCACGAGATGGGCGTTTTTGTATATTTGCCCCATCGGAATCGAGTGAGTATGTGAAGAAATCCGTAGACATAACTGGGAATCCCTCGTATAGGAGCCAGCGCAATAATATCGATGAGGACGAAGAAGAGAATCAGAATTTGCCTAAGCCTGTGATGGCATTCAATCGAACAGTGCCATGTTTGAGCTTGCAATGGGCCAATAGAATTCCCACCAGGCTTTTTCTATCAAAGACCACCAATCCGTTTGAAATCAATAGTAAACGGATGGAAATCAATGAGCAGCTACGAATGAGAGAATTAGCATTTAAACAACAAAGAATCAGGAAATTAACCCAGCACAGCGTTAGAAAGATTGAAAAACTCCAGAATTATCGGAAAAGCTTTGTGGAACAAAATCATGAGAAGGATTTTGCTAAAACACTTGCTATCATTGACCGACACATTGAATTTGAGCAGCGACGATTACAGAAGTATGAAATCCACGCTTATAAAAATGATGACAGGCGTTTGAGGTTGATAAATTTGCAGGATATTAGAGAAGTGGGCTACGACAAGAAACATTTCTTTGTAAGGTTGACCAATTCGGTGTTTGGAGGTCATTTGCAGACTTTGGAGGTCCGTATTTCGGACAAGGGCTACAAGTGTGTTTAGATCAATTTCTGATTATGTATTATACCATCTATATTATACATTATACAATTCATACAGTTTTATACAATTCGCACCGTCAAGGTTGTAATGATTTCCGGTCCTCCGGCCGGCCATTCGCACGTGATTTCAGATTGTGTGTCTATTTGCGCGTCAATCACACCGCACGTGCGTCAGACCAGCAATATAGGAGCTGTTGCCGGTATTTTAGTTGTGATTGCTGGATAATATTTGAGCCGATAATTCCTTCATCGGCAGTTACTTGTGATGACTGGTTTATTATCATAGATGTTCTGCCTGTGTATGTGAAATGAGTTGGAAGGAGTCTGTGTGCCTATTTATGGTTTTTTCTTTGATGCTGTCAAACGAATTATGGTCAGTTTTTCATCCCTCGTTTTTTTCCGTTTTTTAATATTTTCTTTTTTTTTTTTCTCCAGTTTGTAGCAATCCTATATTTGTACCAGCCAAAACGCCATCAAATCACCACTGTACTGGCAACAGTGAATAATATTATCAAAAGATCTTGCCATGAGCGGTACCAACCTCAATTTGTCCCACAACAAGGGCAATCCTCAGCGCAAAACCTCGATTGTCGACATGCTTTCGACGCCACCGGCGTTAGCAGGCTCATCCCCATCTGACCACGATACAATGCCAACATCTACAACGTCAACAGCAGCATCCACAACATCAACATCAACATCAACAGCGCCAGCCCCAGGAGATGTTCCAGTTAGCTTATCAAGAAATGCTTCTGTATCTTCATCAGTGATCTCTACCAGCGAAGGTTCTACCGCCCCGCCTCGTGATTGGCAGGACATCCCGTTGCTGGAATTGGTGGAGGAAAACAAGTTAATTTTTGTAAACGGTAGTATCTCTATGGAAGAAGCTTTCAAGACCTTGATCAGTCATAATTTGACCTCATTGCCAGTAGAAGAGTTTGATAATGATATTAATTGCATAACTTTTGACTATGGGGACTTGAATACCTTTTTATTGTTGGTGTTACACAAAATCAGCTTTGACCTCTCAGCAGTGGAATTCGATCCTCATTTTGCCTTGGAAAGACAACCGTTGGAATACTTGAACGATATCAAAATGGGTAAACAAGCGCCAATCAAATTTGTTTGCCAATTGACCAGTAAGAATCCCTTCATCAAACTCAATGAAAAATTGGACACATTATCATCCGTGGTGGAGATTTTGGGCTCGGGAGTCCATAGAGTCGCCATCATTAATAACGAAAATAAGATCAGCGGAATCTTGTCACAAAGAAGATTGATTAGATACCTTTGGGATAACGCCAGACGCTTCCCTTCATTGGATTCATTATTACAAACTCCTCTCGATGAATTGGAAATTGGTTCAACCAGTAATGTGATTTTTGTCTATGGTGACCAACCATTGATTGATGCTCTAGTTCTCATGTATAATGACCAAATCTCTTCTGTTGCTGTGGTTGACAGACAGCAAAACTTGTTGGGTAACATTTCCATCACTGACGTCAAACATGTCTCTAAGAGCTCACAGTCACATTTGCTCCACAAGTCTTGTTTACATTTTGTTTCTATAATTTTGAATTCTCGAGGTCTTGAAGACGGCCAAGATCTGTTCCCAATATTCCATGTATTTCCAAACAGCTCTTTGGGACGCATTATCGCCAAATTGGTTGCCACAAAAGCTCATAGATTATGGATTGTTAGTCCGCGTCCGACTAACCTGTTCTCATCACCAAGCAAGCCACCTTTGTCATCTTCTGACTCGGAAAGCTCGACCTTATCATCAGCTTCGACTATTCAGTCTATTCAAAACCCTGCTTTCCTTAATTTGAAGCCTGAAATGTCTGGTCGTGCTGGAAAGTTAATTGGGGTTGTTTCATTGACAGATATTCTTGGATTACTCGCCAGAAAATCGTCCAATAAGACCATTGATCCTCATGCTGCTCGTAAACAAAGAAGAAGATCCCTGAGTAGTGCAAGCTCGAGATCTGCCAAAAGCTTGGAACAACTTAGAAGAAGCGTCAAGAGTGATGGGCGTCAGTAGTCTGTTTTAACTTATTCATTTATTAATTTATTTTTCTGTTTTATCTTTTTATTTATACTATATTTATCTTGCGCAAGAGAAGAAGAAAATAAAAATGAATGAAATCAGAAATTAATAAATAAAAAAAGGGATCCCTTACAGCTTTCCTTTTAATACCGATAACCAGTGTTTAGGTTCTTTTCTTTGTTTAATTACAGCATTTAAAAACATGAACATAACTTATTAATTTTGGCATTCATTTGTTAATATCTAATTCTTATTTTTTTTCCATTTCGATTCTTTTTTTTTCTTATCATTACTATTTACTTGTCTTATATATACACAAATTGCTTATATCCATAATTTATTCTTATTCGTGCTACGATAAAAGATCAAAAACGTTTGCATTTCCACAGGACTATTCAGTTTTTTATTGGAATGGGTATTATCCGTGCCCTAGATGAAAAACATGGCGAATTCCAGTTTTAACTGTATTGTCAACGTGAAGATTACTCTCCAGTTTTGGTCCATAATATTGAAAGCGGTTAGATGCTTTATTAATTGGTACTTTTTTTTGTTTTGTAGATGAAGAAAATTGAAAACTATAATTCGAGAGAGAAACCTTCTTAGTTTTCATTGACCGTACTTTTGATCGTGATCTTGACTCTATGTAGCTTGTTATATGGTATGGCTATTCTCTAATTTCACAATTTTATATCTTTGGAGCGTGGCTGTTGCAAGAATTAAGACTGTTTTGTAGTTGAAATAGATAGATTACCAAAAGTTATTAAGTGCTTTAAATAATGAGAGGCATTGAAAGTTGTAGTCAAGCCATAGTAAAAATAAGTCATAAGAGAAAGATAAATAGAAATAAAGAAAGAATAGAGCAGTGGAAAAATAATAGAGAAATATTGATACAATGAAAATAAGGAAATATGAAAGTAACGAAGCTTCACGACACTGGTTTAATATCAGTGACCTCGGCCTAAGTATCTTTTGACTGTTGTGTGTTTCTTATATATTGTTAAATAGGTTATATTAACAAGGAGCAGGGAATGTAAGCTGCTATCAAAGACACAAAAAAAAATTGCTTTCCCTCACAGGCCCCTTTTCCGGGAACAGAGAATACATTAAGTGGAACTAAGATATTGAAGTTCGAACTCGCAACAGTTATTGATACAAAAGGAGATGATACTCTTATTATTACAGTCGAAATAAAAATGAATTTTTAATAATTCAGTGGTCTCTGATCTATCAATCTCCCTATCTTCAAATAGATGTCAGTAATTTACAATTGGCGAGGTTATTATCATTTAATTTTCTCTTGCTTGTAAAAGTCTTAAAAATTGTTGAATAATTTGTGCATTCAAAAATGGGATTCTTTTCATAGTTCAGATGCTAAGCATTTCTTCCTGTTTATGGAAATGGCACTACCGAAGGAAAGTTCCGTCGGTTGGTCACACAAAGCAGGGTAATGAGAACAAAAAATACACTTGAAAATATCAATAAACATTGGGAAAGAAAGTCATTTGCTCTCTTCTATGTTAGACAATAAAACTCCTCTTTTTTACATAATTGATATTTGGTTCTTTAGAGACCGCAAATTTTTTTCATACCATTACTTTTGGCGCTTGTGCTTTTAGGACAAGATTTTTGATGTGGAAGGTACGCCAGGGATTTAATGATGAGACTTTGTTGGAACTTGAACTCTACCTCGTTGCTTGGTAGCTCCGATAATTCATTAAAAATTACGTATAATGTGTAAAAGTATTTCCTTCAGCATCATGTTTCCCTCGAAAGTGGCTGATTAGTTGGATGTTGATATTGTGAAGAAATGGACGATTTCTTCAGAAGTCAAATGTTTTAGATTCAATAAATTTCAATTCTACTCAAGGTTGCGTGAACTATTTGCCAGGATTCTTAATATACTGGTAAATGAAGTGGTATTTTAAATTCTTTTAAAGGGATACAGAAAAACAGGAGCACTTGTCTTTACATTGCTCAAAAGTTATACAAATAGGTAGCAACGTAAAAAGATTGATGATATTCTTCGTTTGCTGTTTTAGTAACTCAATTTGATGTGGATTTAGATATTATCAGTTTATACGTATAATTTTTGAAAGAGCTTCCAGCATTGACTGTGTCAACAAAAGATGGTAGCGTTTGCGGGAGCTTGAATGATTTGACAGGTTTTAAGAGAATAGATATATGTTCATTCAGAATTTGAGGATTTTGGGACCTGTTTATTGCTATAGATTTGCAATGAGTCGAATTGAAAAGGCGGTGTTATTGGAGAATCCAGAATCCACATTGGATGATGATTCGTGTTGAACTTGTGAAAGATGGATAATATTTTACTACTGCTATTGCTTGAGTTGTTTGATTGTTTACAACCATATGCAAATGCCGCCAACTGGGGTTATGATGATACTGTCTCATGATATATTATTGGAAACGACAAACAGGCTTTTTTTCCTCTTCTTTTGTTCTGCAGACATCACGTCTGGTTGAATTGAAGAAGAGCCTGAATTGTAGAGAGCTAGGAATGACCAGTAGGTTTCGCAATTTCCATCCAAGGCTTTTTGATTTCTGTGAATATCTTTTGATAGCAAAAGTCTACTGCTATTGTAAAACGACAATAGGCTTGATGGAAGCTCTCTTTTTGAAACCGATAGTTTCTAGCAACTGGATTTGCAGACAGAGTGGCACCATCTTTGATGAATTTCAAGATAGCCAACTTTTCTGTCAATATTGAAGAATGCCGCTTCCAAATGTTGAAATATGTGAAATTTTTCCTTTGAGCTGAAATTTAGGAGAATCGCCAGTAGGCAACAAGTAAAGATTGATGTGATTTTCAAGGCTAAAATAATAATACCAGATGCTATATTTATCAGGGCAATTTATCGGGAGTTCAAGAAAAAATGAGGAATTTTGAATAGATGGCAAGAGAACCAATGTGCTCTCATACTGTATCGTGAGAAGCCGATTATATTACTGGTAAGCGATTTTGAAGATAGGAATAATGATCACTAAAGCTCTTGAAGATTTAACGTATTATTATTATCGTTTAAGTTATGCGGTTCACTAATGGGATGATATGTTGTGTGCACATTAATGTCGCTGTGCAGCCTGATGAAGGTATTTCAACTCCCACAAGATATTGGGGAATTCAGATACACTGAAGATGATTCTTTGGATAATTTTTTCATTAAATTAAAAACAATTAAAGCAGATAAAAATAGTTCAAATGGGATAAAAAAAAAAAACAAGAGAAAAGAAAAATAGAAATAGAAAATTGTTAGACTAAACTGTTAATGGCAAAGACATAATACTATTTATGTCAGCAAAATTCATTGGTTTAGAGTGTGGAAGTTGCGCTCAATATACCTTAGCGGTATAATCGCCGGTCTTTCGAGTGGCCTACACGAATTTATGGCGACAGGAGTGGAAAGGTTCATACGAGCCGAGGTAGAGGTAGGTATTATGGGAGGTCTGTTCAAGGGACCAATTCTGGATGAAGGGCCCCTTTTATTGTTGATACCGTTAGTTGAACTCACGGCGACAGGAGTGGAAAGGTTCATACGAGCCGAGGCCGCAGAAGATCCAGCACGCATGTCAGCCAAGTTCACAAGCGGAGCATCACAATATGGACCTGAGGTCTTATCAAAACCTCCCAATTTCACCTCAATTGAATTACCAACAGGTTTACGAGCACCATTAGAAGAGTCCGCTCTGCTCACAGATGAAATGGCGGCGACAGGAGTGGAAAGGTTCATACGAGCCGAGGCCGCAGAAGATCCAGCACACATGTCAGCCAATTTCATAAGCGAAGCATCACAGGACGCACCCAAAGTCTCGCCAAGTCGATTTTCATCATCAATCACATCCTTGGACATTGAGTTTTGCATTGGACCAAACAATTCAAGCCCGTTTGGTTTGCCAATGAGACCATTGTACAATTCTACCATTTCTTCAATTTTGGACTTGATAATAGCTGGAGACAAATCCTGTTGCACTGTTTTGTGGCACAACACAATATCCTTCCAAAGATATTCGGAAAAGTGGGCAAAATACGCGAGTTTTTCATACTCGCCGGTGGGAAGAACAACATGTTTGAAAGGTGGATTTGGATTTTGTTGCACTTTATTTTCCTGCTTAGTGTTCGCAATTTTTGGTAGAAGCTCTTTCGTTAGTTCCTTTTTCACTGGTTGAGGAAGGAAGACACTTTCCTCATTTTCAAATTTGTTGACCTTCGAATAAGAAACTCTACCAGCATTTTGTTTTGCTGATTGAACATGTCTTTTGTTAACATTGGCAGTTTCTTGAGCCTTGTTCAAAACAGGATTTTGCTTTGCTGATTGAATATCTCTTTTGTTAACATTGGCACCTTGCTTCGCTGATTGAACACCTCTTTTGTTAACATTGGCAGTTTCTTGAGCCTTGTTCAAAACAGAACTTTGATCTTTCAATTCAGACTTTCTTGGCATGATTGGGTAGTGCTGTAAAGGTTTCAAGCAACGTTTCACTGCGGAAAAGGGGGCTGCTGATTTTTTAATTTCCCTTGAATTCTTGACAGGAACAATGGTTGGGATTTGGCAAAATTTAAACCTTTCAGAAACCTTTTTAAATTTTTGTGCCAATTGGTCTCCTGATTTTTCAATTTTATCAGCCATCTTTGTGTAACTTCTGGCAATTTTGTTTCTTGATTCTCCAATTTTACCAGGCACCTTTGTACGGCTTCTGGCGATTTCATTCCCTGCTTCTTCAAGTTTACCAGAGACCTTTGTGCAACTTTTGGCAAGCTTGTTCCCTAAATTCTTTAATTTCTTTACTTTTTTCCCCTCTTGCTTGGCCCTGTTTTTCGCTTCCCTTTTTTCCAATTTTCTGTGTCTCTTTTCCTCCATTAACTGTTGCTTTCTTTCTCTTTTCATCTTCTTCATCATTTGCTTTTCATTTTTTCTTTCAGCTCTTGCTTTTTTGTCGAATAATTTTGCCAAAAGTTCCTTGGTTTTCTGATTGATTCTTGAGGCTTTACCTTTTTCTTCCCCCTCATACATTATAACTACAGGTTCCATGACGATTCTAACCTTTGGTTTTCTTTCGACTACTTCAAAATTGTGGGTCTGCTCCCATTTAATGACTCTTGTCTGCTTTTCCCTGATTTGGTCATAGAAAGACAAACTGGAATTGTCACTGAGGCCAATGATACTTTGGCAATCTGCGTCATAAGAATTGAGTCTTTCAACCTCTTCATCATAATTTGGATTAAGAGTCTGGACCAAAACAGAGTTGTCTGGACTGTGTTCTTCAACTGGTTGCTGTTGTGGCAATTTTGGTGACGCTGCTATCGGTGGATCAACAATGGCTGGAGAAAGAACAGGTTCATTTGAAAAAGATCTGGCTTCGGCGCCGTAGGCTGAAATGAGATAAGAATCTATCAATGAGGCTTGAAGAGATTTTACTGGGAATGAGGAAGCAAAATCAGATGAAGGTGCGAACCAGGTTCCTATAACAGGTGAATGGTTTGATTCCTCAACCGACAAAGAAGCAGAAGAAGAAGAAGAAGAAGAAGAAGAAGAAGAAGAAGAAGAAGAAGAAGAAGAAGAAGAAGAAGAAGAAGAAGAAGAAGCGATCAAAGGTTTTCTGAATGATAATTGTTTTGAAATGTCATCAGCCTGCCTGGAAGTATGTTGCAAGAAACTGAAAATCTTGGAAGACATCTTTCTGAAGTAAGTTGACACTCTCTTAACTGGCGAAACATTCGGGCAAATAGAGGACTCGATGTCTTTTGGGATGTCTATGGAAATGACAGTGTCGGACTCTTGTGATAACTGGCGAGAAATGGAAGTTCCCATAGTTGATGGTGGTGTTGTTGGTGTTGGTTGTGTCATTGCTGGTGAACTGTTAGTTTGTGTAACTTATCTCAAAAAAAAAAAAGCTGATACTTGTTGAGTAGGGAAGATCATCAAAAGAAAAAATAACTGTGTCTGAATAATAACCTACCGATAATGTGAGTAAATGTTTTCAATGTAATCACTAAAAATCTGAAGATTTTGGTTTTGGTGTAGATTGAAAGCAGTTTTGGTTTGGTGTGTTGAACGTAGGAAATATTTTTAGAGGAAGAAGTTTCTTGGCTCTACTTTGAAAATCAGGGAATATTATAATGTGTGCTACTCATTTTTGTGTAACAGCTCAGAAAATGCCACAAACTCAGAGTCATCTGAGCATGTGTCTATAATGTAAACTGAAAAGTTGCATACAACGAAGCACAAACACAAAAAAATAATAAAAAAAAAAAAAAAAGCACACCATAACTCTTTATTTATTATTTATACGATTTATACATGCGAGCATCGGATAACAAACCAGCAAACTAATATAACATGGCGTAATCTATTGAAATATCCACTTGGTGTCACTTATTACTCCGCTTCTTCCACTTTTGTAGGTTGAAACATGTTGAGAGTTTAGTGCTAACGGACATAAAATATTGCATGAAACCAGTACACCACGGATGACATCTTCACACCAACATGTTTTCTCTAGAATAATAATGAGCTAAGTGAAGCCTTCCTGGCTGGAAAATCCATTCCCGATATTTTAATGTGTATATCTTCTAGTGGCTTGTTATCCAACTGAGTCTGTGTAATATCGAACTGTTGCTGAATTTTTTTCTGCAGTGCAATTGCATAATAATGACCTTATGGAGCTCATATTTGAAGCGACCTTTGTATTAAGTCAGCCTTCCTGACAGACTTTAATGACACTATAGATACAGAATACTGCAATATCAATGTAGGAGTTGGATTCTGGTCTATTCAAAACACTGTTTTCGCATTTCTGACTGCTATTCTGTTTTTGTGTGACTTCGGTTGATTTTGTGGCCGTTTACAATTTAGCTATGCAGAAAATATAAATATACCTCCTAGGCCAACTTTTTTTTTTCCAACTCAATTCTTTTTTCTTTTACTCTTTTTTCCAAACTTCAAAGACTTAATAGTTATTAAAACAAGTTTATTCTCATTTTTTTAATAATATTTACCAGCATTTCTTAATCATGATGTTTTTGACTGTGCTTACTGCTACCCTCTTAGGGTTGTGGCAGTTCTTTAGTGGCTTGCCACGATTTTATTGTGAGCAAAACATCTCGTTTCTTGTAGCTCATAATATCATTTACTCCTAATTACACAAAATGATCCAAAACACCACTGGTTGATAAACTAACCCCTTTTTTAGCCCGCGTTGATACTTTACCAAACTACAATGCCGAAGACAATTTGCGCTCTTCCTTTGTGTTTTCCCATGTTGCAGCCCTTGATTCCGTATTCTTGACCACCGGAGGGCTATTTAATTCCACCCTGTTACCATATTCTCTTGACTTTGCTGCTGTTGACGATGTTGCCGAAGGACCATTGACTGATGCCGCAATCTCCTTGAGCTCAAGTGCTGTTTTGTGTACCAGTGGAGTTACACAAACACACTCCAAACCGATTCAAATGAATGAGTTTGTCGCTGCCGAATTTAACGGGTACCGAACCCCAATTGGGAAATCAGATGTCAATATCGTGGCAGCTTTGAGAGGTGCGGTTGTCGAATTAGTTGAGTATGGTCTTCCTGTTGCAAAGGTACCAACCTTGACAGATGTTTTAGGTTACTTCTCCATTGATGCTGGTTTCAAAATCTTAGTGGTGTTCATATTTATTTTGCAAATTAAACCATTATTCGGGTATGTTGACGAATCTGCATCCAAGGAAACAACAGAGCTCATAGTGTTGTTGCAAAATAATATTGCACAAATGGAAAACGAGATTGCGAAGCGACACAAAATAATCTCACAAAGACAAGAATCTAAGCAGATTATGGAAATTGAGATTGAGGGAACCACTTTAGGCTCATCAGATAGTAGCTCTGAAGTCTTTTCTGGTAATGATAATGATCTGAGTAAAGAGTTAATAATTGCAGATAGTTTTGAGATTAACCAGCAGCGTGCTGTGTCTGTTGAATTATCAATAGTTGCAAGTACTGAAGATGAAGACGACGATCAGGAGGAAGAAGAAGAAGAAGAAGAAGAAGAAGAAGAAGAAGAAGAAGAAGAAGAAGAAGAAGAAGAAGAAGAAGAAGAAGAAGAAGAAGAAGAAGAAGAAGAAGAAGAAGAAGAAGATAATGATGATGATGATGATGATGATGATGATGATGATGATGGTGGTGGTGAGTGTGTTGAATATGAAGGCTGCTTATTTTCAGTGGACTCAAAAAATAGTAACATTCTTTACTTCAGGCATATAGACACCGGTTTGCTTGGCTACCAGGAAAATGATAAGATTTTCTTGTTCATAGATGGCCAGTTTGAAGAAGTTGATCAGGAGGACTATGGGTGTTAGTTTTTTGCTTGGTCTTTTCTTCGCTTGACGATAGTTGGAATTATCACAAGGTCAGAACTCGAGGCTTTTTGTAGCATCTTCGTTGTTCGCACTCAAATAGATGCAACCACGACGAACCTTTGTCCCAAAGTCTCTGCGTACTGACTATTAGTTGTGTTTTCCATTCGGGTTTTCAAAATTTTGTTTTTTACTTTTTGCTATTCAGTTTTCTCATTGTCGTGTCATCTCCAATTTGATATGTTGTCTTGACCTGTTTTTTGATTTTTCCAATCTTTCAATACTCTTCATCCTTTATTTGGTGTTTCTTATCGTCACAACTTTCCTTCCTTGTTTGGATATTTGCTGTGTTCGTTGGTGTTTCATTTTTCAAAAGTATAGGTGATTGTTTTTGGTGGTTCTTATATTCTTCATAGATACTCTTCAAAGATTATCTGGTGACTTCTCTTTCTATTCTCTGGGGAAGTCCTGTTCTATTTGATTCCTTGATAAAGTTCTGTTCCATCTGGCTTTTCTGTTGAGCTTTATTTTGTTTTCCTTTACTTTTTCTTTATGTAGCCACTATGCTTAATTGTTTGTCTTTAATTTTTTTTTTTTAATTCAATTAAATATACTTGAACCAGGTTCGAGTCCCTTGTAGGTTTGACATTTGAACTCATTTTCAGTGTCGCTTAGCTTCTTAATACCGAAGCTATTTTTTTTTGGCATATACAGCTAGTCAACATCTTGTATATATTTCGTGGAGCATGGCTTCCACGTTGGTGTTTTATCATTGAATATTTCTTGTGTTTTAGCATATAAATATACATCATTCCTTGAGTTTCAGCATAGAAGTATCCACTATCCTTTGTGTCCTGGAATAACAAAAAAACATTTTATTTAAATACTAATAATTATCACTAAAGGGTTTTTCACCATATGATATGGTTTTCCCTAACATATATAATAAGCATTAGCTTATAAGATTTTACATAGATATATATAATTATATATTTATTAATATATCGAACTTTGAAGGAAAAAAAAGGAATAGGAATTCAGGACTACTCAGCCCATCACAACATTGAGAAAGATCACTTTACCAGGACAAAAATTCATTCAGATACACACATTGTTGTGATGAAAGACTGTGTTTCACAAAGACAAAGTTTGCCGTATCATAACAATTGCGAAGTATCACACCATGTCAATTCCACTGGAGCAGTAAGTAGTAAGGACGGTGGGAAGCTTCGGAAATTCCAGCTATTGGTCACCGCAGACAGGGCAACTCCCCCACGAAAATCGGTGATTTCTAATTTGTATTGAAGCTCTTGTCAATCCCCCTGTTTATTCTTTCACATCTCTTCAATCTATCAAATATATCTGGTTTTTCTTTTGGGTGCCTAATTTTCTTGTTCATAATCTTCTAGGTATTTTCTTAATCATCATGTTGCTCAGGGCGTTCATCAAACCTTCCAAAACTTTTGCTGCTACTCTCGGCTCTACCACTGCCAGAAGAATGAATTCATCATTAATTGGACAATTGAAGACCCTTGATGAACTTAATAGCGCCATCAAATCCGAAAAATTGACTTTCGTGGACTTTTATGCCACCTGGTGTGGTCCGTGCAAAGCGGTCTCTCCAATCCTCGAGAAATTGGCGGTCGAATACCCAAATGTCCAATTCAGAAAAGTTGATGTTGATGAGAGTGATGATTTGGCTATGGAATACGGGGTCAGTGCCATGCCAACTTTTGTGTTGTTCAAGGACGATAAGCCTATCGGTAAAATCATCGGGGCTAATGTCAATGCCATCCAAAAGGCATTGAAGCAATATGCTTGAGCGGGTTAAGCTCAGTTCTAATGAAGAGAGATAACAATTTATATCCTGGCAATTTAATTCGGTTTCCTTGTAATCAATAGTGATCACTGCGAGGAAAAAAAAAAAAAATTGCAAGTGGGGTGTTTATGCTGTTTCTATTTCGTAAAGATACTTCTTGGGATAAGATGATTCTGCCATTACTGCTATCACTGAGCCCTTATCCTGTTGGGGATTACTTGCCCTTCAAGTTACTTTTTTGAGTACTCAGTAATTTCTCTTGTCTATATCAATATGAGGATCATAATTTTGAGTATTTTATTCTTAATCAAAAAAAAATCACTCTATAAAAATGACGTTTTATTTCTTCAGCCTAATCTCCGTAAAAACATGAAAAAAAATGAAAAAATAAGCATCCTTCAGAATCACTGTTATCTAGGCAAAGTTTTCTCTGGCCTCACATTGATCTGATGCTTTGAGTGTTCCAGCGTGCAGTAAAACTCAAAATCTTTGCAAGCATGGGATCAGGACCATTTTCAAAGCTTTTGAAGGACCACTAGATATTTTAGTAGGGCATATCGATGTATTTTCCAAGGTCACAAAATGGGAGTAACAAACAACATCATGATAAAATGCTGCTCGAATGCGCCTGTCAGGATTCCACCAACCATTTGTGGTACTGGTGATGAAATAATGCGAGATTATTATTATATATATTTATTTCTTTTTGAGAAGCTGATGACAGAAGGATCCTTACCAAAATTTATATAGTATCCACAATCTATAAATTTAGTTCTACTCTTTTTGTTTAAATGTGAACATATTTATATTTTACAGTTATTGAAGATGTTGTTGTTGTAGCTGTGCGTATATTTAAATATTACACAGAAAAAAAGATCCCACCAAATCTTCCGTTTTAAAGACATAAAAAGATTATCCAACCCTTGGAAACCACTCCACCCATTCAAGAATGGGTAAACTTAATTATGCATTCCCTGAATGGAACATATGGTAGACTCCAGTCTTTTCTTGTCTGTTAAAGGGCCGGTCAACAACAAAAGATTGCTCTCAATGTTGGTTAGTTGGTACTTACATAAATTACAAAAACGGAGAGCTTTATGAAAAAAACACACTTTCTTTTGATTTTTGCAAAGTTTCTTCCTGAGTCAATAAACAAAGTACATGTGCTTAACAATAACAAATGTTAGTAATGGAAACCCGGATGGTGAGATCAGATAGATAGATAGATAGATAGATAGATAGATAGATAGATACTTCTCCATTCAACTTGGTAAAACAATTCAGATTATGAAAGTAAGCTATGATTGAGTATTAAACTTACATATCAAAAAACAAATACCAAAGTATGACAATTGTGTTGAATTGCTTCCCTCTGATAATTTGTAGTACTCGATGAGCGTAAGAGACCAGCAATAATATTCCAGAAAGTAAGAAAGAAAGAAAGAAAGAAAGAAAGAAAGAAAGCATGCGATTTGGAAGGCCAAACTTATGCGGTCATCAAAGATATATCTTTTTTCCAGAAATTTTAACGAAATATTATCTAAAAGTCACCATGCCGATTACCCACTATCCGGTTTTCATGAAGCAATTGATGAGCATGGTTTAATTCGCTTCTCATCAGCCAACATACAGTTCAAATCATTGGGTAGAAAAAGTGTTTAGGGTCAAGAAATCCATAAACTGATCCAAGACAGCCGATACATTCTTCAACACACACTTAGCAATAGTGTTAACAGTAAGATGGATAAGATGTTATAATAGATCCTCTCCAATAAAATAAGAAAGTCATAGTCACGTGCGTGTGTTTACCAATTCAGAAAAAGTTCGAACAATTGTATGTTGCAACAGTTATTATCTTGTTAAGAAGAATAGAAGAGAAGCTCGGTGGTTGGCCTCACAAATTAAACAGATAATCATATTGTTAAGAAGAAGTCTTCCCACTTTACTCCTTCATCCATTTTTCCTCTAACATTTCAAGCCGAAACCTGGTAATCGAAATAGATCAACATATATTATCATAAATATCATCGAACGATGTCTACCACAAAGTTTGCCCTCAAAGGCTCTTCTAAATGCGTTTGTGATTTCTTCGAATACTCCCTACATTCCTTACTTTATCAGCGAGGACTATACGCTCCAGAAGACTTCACAACGGTGAAGAAATATGGCCTTCCCATGATGTTCAGCATTGACGAAGAGGTCAAAAATTATATCCGCCAAGTGATGAGTCAAGTACATAAATGGGTATATAGAGGATCGGTCACTCGGCTTGTGGTGCCAATTGTCGATCAAAGTACCGATGATGTTGTTGAAAGGTGGGAGTTTGTGTTGGAAGTGAGTGAGCCATCGTCGCAAGTCAGGGATAATAATGGGAAACCAAAGGAGGAGATTCAGAAGGAAATCCAGGCAATCATCAGACAAATAACTGCCAGTGTAACTTTCTTGCCAGCTCTTGATGACGGATCGTATACTTTTAGTGTATTGGTCTATGGGGATTCCAAAGGATTAGGAGTGCCAACCCAGTGGGTTGATACTAAAGGAGATGGTAAAGAGGTCGAATTATCGCAAGGGGAAAAGAAAGAGGTGATACAGTTTAGAAGTTTCAGCACAGATAATCATAAAGTAGGTGCCTTTGTGAGCTATAAAATAATGGAGTGAAGATGAAATAGGAGAACTGAAGTATGTATTTTTTTGGTTTTCTGGGAACATTGATTCTTCAGTAAACCAGCATGGGATTATTAGAATTGATAGATAATCTTGTTGTCATTACGGAAGGTTTATTTGACACTCATTTTGGGGATTTAATCAAATATTTCTCAGTTTCTAATTGGAAATCCCTTGCCGATGATAATGAAAATGGTAATTGTAATGGTAATGCTTTTCTTTCCTCTTTTTGTCCCCTTTTAATTCAATTTTTATTGATGATAAAATATAATACAAGTAGACCGATAACGATCAAAATAAAACAGCTAGCCAGAAATCAGGCAAGAATATCTTGGTTGCCATTTTCTGGATTGGGTTCAGTTTGCTGATGGCCGCCTTCATTATTATTGGAATCTCCCAACACCATCCCCAAATGTTCGCGGGCGTTATCAATTCCCGCAGGGAACACCATCTTGAAGTCTTGACGGCACATGGGGCATAGACCTTTACTAGCGTCTGTTTGTAACCATTTGGTGATGCAGTGCATATGGAAGTTGTGATGGCAAGACTCCCCAACCACCAAAGGACAGGAATCACCAGGATATGTGCAAGATGGACAAGTGCCATCGAAAGACACCCGACAAATCCCACAGAGATCGTCCTGGTTGGGTACTGACCAGTGCCAATACGTGACAGCATGCCATTTCTTGAATGTGACCTTCATTGATGGGTGGGATATTAGATACTACTGAACTATGCTCAAAAAAAATAGTGCTTTTATTCAAGTTAATAATGTTTCTCTCTTTGTTTATTGTTTTAGAGGAAATTAAACAAACAAACACAATCAAAAAAAAAAAAAAAAATAAAAAAACGGTTAGGTCACACTGGGCGTTCACCAATTAATTGAATGTATGCCTTATTTACTGTGATATATATATCAGTAATACCAAAAAGGAGAGTAAGTAATCTTCTGTTGTTTTGTTTTTTTGGTTTTCTTTCCCAGCAAGAAAAGTCTGGAAGTTTACCGTGTGGAACATCTAGGAAATGAAAAATATTTTTCTCTGTTTTTCTGAATAGAATGTGTGGCTTCCAGTGTTTGGATCTTTCATTATATCTTTTAGATATTGGGAGATTTTGTTGGGATCTTTTCTTTTCACATACTGGTTGTATATTATACCTGAACCTTGTACATTAAATATCCAGGCTATTTTTGGGTGAAGCACAATTCAAAAGATGAAGCAATCAATTGAGGGTATTAAAGATAATGGAGTATGAAGGGCTGGGTTTTATGCAACTATTTCCATATGTTTCATTGAAGTTCTTTTGTACTAACGATTCGCAATATACAATAACAATAAACCCATTTAGAGTATAAGTTTGCCAATTTGAAGCTTCTTGATATATTGTTCATTTAAATGATTAAATAAATTTAGGATCACCGCTAGATTGTCTTTAAGGTATTCTTGAAAATCCAAGTATGTTGTAATATGATGTAGTATATTACTTATTATATCTTCGGGACTTTTACAACGCTTTCCCTAATGTTTTGGGGGATTTTGTCTTATTTGCTTTACTTTTATTACTCATTTTTGGTCAATAATCTTTACTTAACAACATTTAGGAATAAACAAGGTCCAACGAGATAACTCTTCGGGTCATATTTTAGCCAATAACGAGAAAAATGGTACAGTCTATGCCAATCAAATTAGAATAAAAATAATGACATCTATTAATGATTGAATAACTTGACGGGTATCATTCTGTATTAAAAGTAGAATAGTTCAAAAAAAAACAAAAACACACGAAGCATATTCACTCAGCCACTGAACGGGGAAATATATATAATATATTGGAAAATAAAAACAAAGGAAACATATTAACAAATAACAAGAATAATTTCAGGAAATTCGGTAAGAATTGAATATGAGTTCCACACAACCTAGGCTAACGCAGCACCTGTGGCTTTCCCTATTGACTACCACCAATACATACTTTGCCAGGGGTTTTACTACCTGCTTCATATGTAACCTTATAATTCTCTGGTTATTCATATCACTTCTCCTTCTTTGCATCCTTCTTTTCCTCGCCATCATTGACGGGTATTTCTTCGGTGAAAGCCACGATCAAATAACCAACCAAAACAACATTGGCCATGAGAGCAGCAGAACCGCCACTAATAAGGGTGTTGTCGGTATATTGTTGTAATGAGAAGAAGGTGACCAATGGCAAGACAATCATTGCCACGGTGAAAAACACAAGTTTTTCAATCACTTGTCTGTGCAATGTGTTAGTAAGAAATGTTGAACCATTGAAGATTAGAAATCCATTGGGAGACAATGGAAGGTTATGTTATGTGTGGATCTCGGGCAAATGAAATTTCCAGTTACATCGTCCAAGCCCATTATTTTTACTTGGGAGCACGCAAAATAATATGAAAAGTGCTTCGGTTTGGTTGAACGTACCTAGGGATATCAATAGCCATTGTGAGGGTGGGTTTGAAGTTGGACTGTGTTGGGATAACGTTAAGAATCACTGCTTCACATATATTAGCACCAGCTGGTTGGTGATTTTTGGATGAGATTTTCGCTGTTGATTAGAAAGTGATTATGTAATCACGTGGGAGGAAGGGTGCAGCAGCCTCACCACGATACAGATCAAGATCAAACTCTTCCATGGATGCTATTTTTTTTTTTTTATCATTACTATTATTGCAACTAAAAGTATATTATATAAATAAATTGTATTATATCAATGTATACTTTGTTTCAAATGGATGGCCTCTTCCTAATAAATCAGCGTTGACTATTCATTTGCAATTACACTCCACGCCGCTGAATATTGGTAGTGATCACTAATGATCAATTGAAAAAGTAAGATCCGATGCCCCACCACTTTTCAATCATCATGGTATGAAAGATTCTCCAAAAAGAAAAGAAAAGAAAAAACAAACAAACAATCTCTATGAAAAAAAAAAAAAAAGGAAATTGGGGTCTCGCCACAGTTGCGGATTGGAGCCAATCTGATTATTTGCGGACGATGGGAAGACGTCTCTTTGTTGAAATAATGCACGAGTAAATAATAATCGATAATAGTTTTTGTGGGGTCGTTGGACGTCAGTGGTGGTAGTGGTGATGGGAGATTGGCATATTCGTAAAGACAATTTTGGGCAGTGGTTGTTGTTGCGTCAACGAGGCTATATGTATATTCATTTATATATACATATACAAGAAGGTCTTGTTGATCCTAGCTTATCAAATATCATTTTTCTCGATCTTATCTTATCCGTAGCACTGTAGGATAAGATCTTCTACAGGCCTAGACATCCAGTATACACGCATCCCACCATACTGCACGCATACAATCCAAACACAATCCTTATTTCCCGGTCACAGATATCTGCCAACACAATAGAGAGTATGACACAACGTGCAGGTTGTCTATACACAGAGAGATTGTTGCGGAAACGTGGGCGGTTGCTGGTTGCTTAGATTGCGATGCGGCGGAGATCTGTCAAACATCATACCAGGAGCCCTTGGGGCAAGGTACATCCCCCCGGGACCCTCGCCTCGCCCCCCCTGAACATCGCTGGAGCACCGGATATTCATCATGTATATATTCATCATATATATATAGGGGATCTTTTCCTCTATTTCTTCGCGAGATGGACTATCACAAACTTTTCTGATTCTTCACACTTGTACTCTACAATACTTGTATTCTACAATACTTGTATTCAATTCTTCCAAATAACAATTTTTACTACTCTTTTTTGTGCCCCATTACCAACCAAATCTTTCACAATGTCTAGAATCGTCAATTCTACCGTCACCGCCTCTCGTCACTATATTTCTACCGCCAACGTTGTGAAAAACATGAAACCGGCTGCTAGTATTCTTTATAGCGCCAGATCTCAAAGGTTAATCACCAACAATGGCTCACAATTCCCACTTCTTCGCAACAATGTTGGTGCCGGCGCCAAACCAATGTCGACTTTTGTGGTTGCCGGGATCGACCATTCCTACTCGCCAATCGATTTCCAATTGATGAATTTCAACAAGGACCCTGCGATGACCGAGTCAGAAGAAGATTTTGCTCCAATGGTTAGCACTCCCGGCGAAGAAGTGCACTCACCAGGACACTATCAAGAATGAAGAATGGAAAGAGTCCCCGACCTCCCTTTCCTCCTTCCCCGGTTTTGCGCCTACGCCCTTTTGTGATTTTTGGCGTTTCGCCAATCGTTATTACGAACTAATGACCTTATTAGCTGATTTTTTGATAGTGTTTTTGTCTTTTTTATAGTAATCATTTGTCGATATGTTTTCTCATGGCTTCTTTTAGTAGCAACAACTCAACTTCGTTTGACTTACTATGGGTGCTCACTTACAATGTCTATATTATTCTTTCATGATTTTTTCTTTCTTTCTTTTTTTTGTAGTTTGCCTTTTTTATATAGGAATGGTTATATACGTTATATATAATTTATTTAATTCTTTATCAATTTATAGGCTTGTTTTATTCTCTTGATTGAAATTAAATAGATGTAAGAAGAATAAAAAAGTTAATCCACATGTTGGTATCGTTTAATATATGGTATGTGCACAGAGTGTTTGATTTTCTTTATAGAAAGGAACGTGGCAGGGTACCTATGCTACAATGATGAGATTTATTCCACAAGGAAATAAATCTTCCTTACTTCTTGTCATTTATTTCAGTTTGTTACAATGACAATCACTGTGCGAATTGTTTCACCATCGTTATTTGCAATAAAGGGAAGCCGCAATTGCGGTGCGTTTAAATTTCAGTCTCCCGGGTAATCTATACCATCTCATTTAAAAGCGCGGCAAATTATTTTTTTGTATCATTCTGGTCTTTTCTTTTCTTTTTTCTTCTTCTTTATCCTTCCAAAAGTTTTATACTTTACATGATGAGTTGTTACTATTACTTGACATATCCCTCCAGGTTGAGCCAGTTTCCTTAGGGGAGCAGGCTCCTTGGAAGTTTCAGCATTTGTTGGGCGGGATTGTAATGGGAATGGTACCTTTTAACACACCTTGTTACTTAACTCGGTACTTGTATAAAATCTCTGATCCCTTTCACTTTATTTATAAAATCTGTTTGGAAGGATCGCGTCTAGTTTATCTTGTATAGTCACACACATCAATAAAAATTTACATTGAAGGTTGGACAATTATAGTTTCCTTGTAGTTTACACTGTTTTTTTTTTTTTTGATTCCGCATTTTTCAAGGTAGATGGGACTTTCTGAGCAATGAGTTTTTACCATCTGTATTAATTGCGGTAGAATAGACACTGGTTCAAATCTACCTGAGAGTTGATTACACCAATGTATTGATGGTCCAAATGATTCTCAGGATGTAATGATCTATCTATATGATCTCTCTTTTGAACTGACATTTTGTTTGCGTTGCCCTTTTTTTTTTTTTCGCTTCAACAAAAGGTCACCCGGATTGGCGCTGAAATATTGGGAAAAACAACAGAATTAAATGGTGGCAAAACAGATGGCTCAATTGAATATCATCACCTATAGAATATCGTCCGTTTATCTAAACTGTTAAGTTTTATTTATTATTGTTATTATTATCACAATGAGCGAGGTGGAAATGGTTGATGCCTCTGTGGAACAGGACTTGGTCTTGCAAGAGTTTTACGAAAAATTGGAGATTGTACAAAACGCTTCCACCAACTCAGATTCAAAACTTATTCTCAAAGTTCTTAGAGAATTGCCACCACTTAGAAAGAAATTGTCCAAAGATATTCTTGTAACGATCATTGACAAATACTACCAGGACTCTGATTTCCAAAAAAGTTATTTATTGAAATACTTGGCCGCGACCAGTAAACAATCACAGCCATCTACCGAAGAATTGACCCCGGAAATTGACTTATTCATCCATTTATTGGCACAATTGTACTTGCACGACAAATCCAGTCTTGCCGGGTTGGCGAAACTCAACCAGAAAATCATTGAATTGTTCAAATCTTACAGTAAAAGAAGTTTGGATTACTTGCAAGCCAAGATTTGGTTCTACATCCAACGTACCAGTGAATTACTCGATATTAAGGCCAACACCACCGCCACTACTGAAACTTGGCCTCATTTGGTAGAAACCCGCCACCATTTGTTGTTGTCCCTTAGAACCGCCACCCTCAAACATGACCATGAAACCACCGCGTCGATCATCACTTTGTTGCTTCGTAACTATTCATTGACCAACGACATTACCCAGGCGATCAATTTCGTGTCGAAGATCGAGTTCCCAGAAAACTGCGGTAATAACTTGTATGCCCGGTACTATTACTATCTTTCGAAAATCCACGCGATCCAATTGAATTACTCCACCGCGTTAAGTTATATCATCAATTCTATTAGAAAAGCTCCTCAGTCACAATACGTGAAGGGTTTTTTGGTGAGCGCTCAGAAATTGAAGATCGTTATTGAGTTGTTGATGGGGGATATTCCAGAATTGACGATTTTCACCAACCAACAATACCAACAGCATTTGAAACCGTACATGGAAATCACCAAGGCCGTGAGATTGGGGGATTTGGGATCGTTCAACAAAGCGTTGGAGACTTATAGTGGGTCATTCATTAGAGACAAGACTTATAATTTGATTTTGCGATTGCGTAAGAACGTGATCAAGACAGGGATCCGTCTCATTTCGTTGTGTTACAAGAAAATCTCAATTAGAGACATTTGTATCAAGTTGAAAATGGATTCTGAGGTATCTACCGAATACATTCTTAACAAATTAATTAAAGACCATATCATCGAAGCAGGGTTGGACAATAAAGAGTCGTACATGAAATCAAGAGAGTTTTACAATGTTTATGATTCTGAAGTGCCAGCGGCGGAATTCAATAAGAGAATCGAGGCGATCAACGCGATTAAGAAATCGTTTGTTAAAGAAATGAATTATCCAGAGAGTAAGAACCGGTTCAATTCGAAGGACATTTTGGAATACGAGCAAGAAATGGAATTGATTCGTGCTGGTGAAGATACAGACTTTGACGATTTTCTTTGATGGGTGAGGAAGGACTGTTTGTATGTGTTTTCTTTTCTTCGTTTGTGTGAGAAAGAAAGAGAGAGACGTACGTTAGTTGAAAAGAATTGTATATTTTATTTTATTTTTACCTGAATAAACATGTTCTTTTAAAAAGTCGGGAAAAATGGAAAAAAAAAAAGTAGTAGTAAGCAAATGTATGGTGTGGTGTACATTCAATAGAATCATTAGTAAATGTCAAGGAATCGTACCATTGGTATTTGCAGTGACACTATAAGAAAAAAAAAAGAAGAAATAAATAAAAAATAAAAAAATAAAGAACATGTAATGTATGTGTTAATTCGTAAATCCTTGAAATGCGAGACTTGGTGACACAGAATCATCATTGAAGAAGTAAATTCTTTAACGATTAGTAATTTGCATCTCAAGATGCTCAATAATGGGGAGGATGGAGGGCGGTATTATCATTCAATGCTTCTACATTTTTGATCTCAGGTTGTCCTTTTAAATTCCAAATCATCCCAATGTTTTTGCCCCCTGCAATCTCGACACACATGTTTTATCATTTAGTCAGTCCCCTTCAATCTTTCAAAAATTGAAGTTTCCATTATTTTGGCACGCCTCACTTCAGTTTATAATTTCAGAGCAACTTTTGGAGATACCAAGTTATCAAAGTTTATAAAGCAAGGAAGGGGGTAGAATAAATGCAAGGAATCAAGATTATGCTGCAAGAAGAAGTATATATATTGAATAAACTATTTGAATTATATAATACATGCAATAAGGATGGCCATTCACACTTACAATGAATTGTAAAGAATAGCAGACGAGCAGGATATAAAATAATAGAATTCTTGTTGTTATAACAAGATAGGGAGGGGGATCTATAATGCATTAGAGAGCCGGGCTTTTCTTTTAGATGTATATATATGTATTAGGATGATGAGCAAGACAAAAAAAAACCGGGTGGGCATTGATTGATATTACCATGATGCGCAAAGAAAAGACTGAGAGGACCATTGATCATCACATTGATCTGAAAAAAAAAAATAGGCCAAAGGACGGAGGAAAATAATGAGGATTCGCTATCTGCATAATGTTTCATCTTATGAGAACGTCAAGGATATCATCGTCTTGATTTTGTGTTATAGCATGTATAATTGTCCTGGCTTTGTTTTTGTGAGTATGCTAGCAATGAGAGAATGTCAATATTATGAGATAATATCAATATTATGATAGCGATAAAAGAAGATCATCATCCTGTTGGATTTTGTGAGTAAGACAATATAGCCTGTTTCATCTGTTCTATATTTTCCCTATTCTCCTCTTTATCTGTAATTATCCTATCCTAAGCACAAAGAGATTTTGTCATCATTGTACATTAACAACAAAAAGAAACTGGCGATTGATCAAATAAACGATTTGGTTCATTTGAGTCACTAGTTGAATAGTCTCAAAATCGAGACCAAAATGAATAAAGGATAAGGCATACACCCAGTATATATCACTATTTCTCTATGTTCTTCATATTCTCTTTTTATGTAAATATTCTAATGATGAAATGAATATCCGCCCCCCCTTCCCCCTCCCATCAAGAGGCCTCCATCGAGTCTCTTTATTTTCCAATATCTATATTCTTTTCCTTTGATTCCAAAAAAAAAAAAAAAAACCACCATTGATGCAATTCACGAGCTATATTGTAATGAAATCCCAAACTTGGTGATATCAGGACCTCGGAAACTCACTGGTTTCTTAGTCTCTCCAGAAGACGAAGATGATGAGGATGACGAAGAAGATGCCGAAGACTTAAGCCCCGGTTCCTCTTCGGAGCTGGAAAATGGCACAAAGTTACACCCGACGGTGACCAAGAAATCATTCCATTTACCTTCCCAGAGCATATTGATGGTATGGTTATTCAACAGAGTCGCGAGTTTGAACACGCTCAGGAACCCAATGGTACGGTACAAGTCCTTAAATTTCTCGATATTGGATATATTATTAGCGGGTTTGCCAGAGGAAGACCCCCTAGAAGGATCAACATTGCCGAGGGGGTTTGTAACGGCATTAGGAAGGTTTTTCGATTTCATGAGTTTTTGGAAACTTTGGGTGGCGTGGTGGTCGGTATCCAAAATCCTGGAGATTTCTTCATTCAAGGGACGTTTGCGGAAATTCCACAATTCACAACCAAACGACACATCACTTTCGTAAGAATAAACGTTGAAATCATACTTGGAACATAGCGTCGAGTTGACCGAAGTCTTGACGGTGTACGTCGATGATAGAAGCCCGATCAATGGGTTACATGATAATGTGATGGTCAATGGTTTGCCAGTATAGGTTGAATAAGTAGAATATCTTATGGAATTGGAGATCCCGGGAGTCATATTGGAGATCCCGTACCAAATCTCGGTACCGATGGAAAGACGGGAATTATCATAAAAGATTTTGTTCGATGGTGATGATAAATCATCGTCGTTATTGATGGTTTCGAATGAGGTATCGATTGTCAGACCAAGATTGAAATTGTATAAATTACGGAACCCCACAAGATTCTCATTAGATGAATAAATGTATTCCAATGAGTATTTAGGATAATTTTGTTGGAAGTATACTGTGAGGATTCCATGATTTTTCAATAAATTCGAGTTAGTGCTCAAACATTTCATGAGGATTCTGGAGTTTTGCGAGAAGTTTTTGATCACCAATCCTTCCAAGATGTTGCTAGGAAAATTTAGTTTACCATAAAGTAAGGTGGCATTGTTCTTATTCTTATTCTTATTCTTATTCTTATTCTTATTCTTATCATTATTATTATTATTATTATTATATGATTTATTGTTGATCAGGTCGACAAACTGGTATGTGTTGACGGCGTCTTGGAGCAGGATTTCTGAGGATCCCACGACGTTGCATAAAGGGGCCAGTGAATAGAAATAGGCGATTGAGCCATTGATGGCCCCGATATTGGATAACGTAAGGGAATTGGCACTATGGGACGATGATTTCTTGTTGATGTCGACCTTCGACGCTTGAGGGATGGGGAAGTCAAGGATGGCTTTCGGGGTGGCGACCATTGCCGGGTAGACATTGGTGTGGTCCCACTGGTTGGAAGTGTCGAAGCATCGTACGATATAATCCATGTATGAGTGCATTATAACAGGATAATGGAGGTAATCAACAATAACAATAACGATAATAATACGAGATGGAAAAAATGTCAACGGTGCTCCGTTAAGAAAAAAAAAAAAAAAAAAAAGGCATTCGGAGGGCCATCGCTTGTCCCCGTGACGTTATCGTCACTCCGGCACTCCGAATCACTTTGGCATTATAAATATCGGGCGATTTTCCACTTAACCTTGTTAGAAATTTCTTTTGGCCACTAAGTATAATTTCATTATCCTCATTAATATTCACAGTAATCACAGCAAACAATGCCTCTCAGCACCTCCACCTACGGTAAAGACAACGTCAAGTTCTTGAAAATCAAGAAAGACCCAGCCAATCCAAAGATCCAAGAAGTCATCGAGGTGTCTTGCAAAGTGTTGCTCGTTGGTGATTTCGACGTCAGTTACACCAAGGCCGATAACTCTCCTATTGTTCCTACTGATACCGTCAAGAACACCGTGCTTATCTTGGCCAAGACCCAGAAAGTTTGGCCAATTGAAAGATTTGCCGCTAATTTGTCCAGCCATTTCTTGAAGAAGTACGCCCACGTCTCTGCCGTCGATGTGGAAGTCGAACAATTGCCATGGAAGAAGTACCAAGTCGATGGTAAATTACACGACCACTCATTCATTAAGTCCGGGACCGAATTGAGAGTGACCAAGGTCCATCAAAACCGTGCTGGGGACTTCAACTTGACTTCGGGACTCAAAGATTTGACGGTGCTCAAGAGTACCAACTCGATGTTTTACGGATACCACCAGTGTGATTTCACCACCTTGAAAGAAACCAAGGACCGGATCTTGTCGACTGATGTCGATGCGGTGTGGACCTGGGATCCAAAGAAGGTGACGGTTGCCAATATTGACACTTTGGCCGATGGTGGGGCGTTTGACAAGACTTTTGACAGCGCTCGCCAAACCACTTTGGATCTTTTTGCTACTCAAAACTCCCCATCGGTGCAAGCCACGATGTACGATATGGGGACCGAGATCCTCAAGAACAACTTGTTGGTGAAGGATGTGAGTTACAATTTGCCAAACAAGCATTATTTCCTTATTGATTTGAGCTGGAAAGGGTTGTCGAATGATAATGAGTTGTTTTATCCATCATGGCATCCAAATGGGTTGATCAAGTGTACTGTGGTCAGAGAACCAAAGGCGAAGTTGTGAGTTTCATAGTTGTGTTAGTTTTTGGTTTATGACAGATTGTTGTTGTATTTTTTGTTTTGCTTTAGGATTTGGTTTTAATATTAAATATATGATGAATATAAAATGGTTGAGAATGTAGAGTGAAAGATGAAATCATGAATAGTATATAATGATATAATAATAATAATAATAATAATAATAATAATAATAATAATAATAATAATAATAATAATAATAATAATAATAATAATAATAATAATAATAATAATAATAATAATAATAATAATAATAATAATAATATAATATAATAATAATAATAATAATAATAATAATAATATAATATAATATAATATAATATAATATAATATAATATAATATCATAGAAAGTAGAGAAAATGTTTGGTTACGAACCCTGGCCAGCCTCCCCTGAGGTGGAAAAAACAACCGCGAAGACGAACAAGAACAAGAACAAGAAGCCACACACGCCGTCTGTGCAACAATCGCTCTGATCAGCACTACAGCAACCACATACAACCTCTTCAATCATGGCTTCCACAAACCCTGCGGTCATCATGGGTGAGTATTCCATCATCTGCTATGTTCATCTTCACCATTGTCCTCTCTTACTAACATCTCTCATCTAGACAAGTACGTGTTGCTGTCATTCTCAATGGCCCATTTCTTATTAATTAATTTACTAACCTTATTCTTCTAGTGGTACCGGGCTAACCAAACTTGGTTTCGCCGGTAACGACGCCCCATCGTTTGTTTTTCCTACCGCAATTGCCTCGCGTTCCACCACCTCTGGCAAGTCGTCGGCCCAACCAGTGTTTGGGGGTAATGCCGGCTCTACCACTTCTGCCAACAACAACTTGGCATCTAAACGTGGGATGGAAGATCTCGATTTCTACATTGGTGACGAGGCCCTCAAAGCCGCCAATGGTCCAAACTACTCTCTATCGTACCCGATCAAGCACGGGCAAATTGAAAATTGGGATCATATGGAACGGTTCTGGGAAAACTCGATCTTCAAATACTTGCGATGCGAACCAGAAGATCACTATTTCCTCATGACCGAACCCCCATTGAACCCTCCTGAAAACCGTGAAAACGTTGCCGAAATCATGTTTGAAAGTTTTAATTGTGCCGGGCTCTACATTGCCGTGCAAGCGGTGTTGGCATTGGCAGCCTCATGGACCAGTTCGAAAGTTCAGGACAGATCGCTTACTGGTACGGTGATCGACTCGGGTGATGGGGTCACCCACGTCATTCCGGTGGCCGAAGGATACGTGATTGGCTCGGCAATTAAGAATATCCCAATTGCTGGTAGAGATATAACGATGTTTATCCAACAAATGCTCAGAGAACGTGGGGAATTGGATTCATCTTTGAGAACCGCGGAAAAAATCAAACAAGAGTTTTCTTATGTATGTCCGGATATCGTTAAAGAATTCAGAAAGTTCGATAACGACTCAGAAAAATTTGCCCAATTTATCGTGGAAAACGAAAGTAAAACTTCCAAAAAAATCATCGATGTCGGATACGAACGATTCTTGGCCCCAGAGATTTTCTTCAGTCCGGAAATCGCCAACAGTGATTTCTTGACCCCATTGCCAGTGATTGTCGACCAAGTAATCCAGCAATCACCAATTGATGTGAGAAAAGGGTTATACAAGAATATTGTTCTCAGTGGGGGGTCGACGATGTTTAAAGATTTCGGTAGACGTTTACAAAGAGATATTCGGGACATTGTCAAGGAGAGAATCACCGATTCTGAAAAGCTTTCCCATGCTAAATCTTCTGGGGTTGATGTGAACGTCATCAGCCATAGAAGACAACGGAATGCGGTATGGTTTGGTGGGAGTTTGTTGGCGCAGACCAGTGAGTTCAAGGCGTACTGCCATACTAAAGCCGATTACGATGAATATGGTCCAAATATTGTGAGAAACTTTAGTTTATTCAGCGTGCCATGAGGAATGTGCTGTATAAAAAAAATCATTATTTATTCTTATTTTAAGTAATTTTGTTAAAAGCCGGTGCAAAATATATTTTTGTTTACTACTATTGTTATTTATGGTTGTTTATTGTTATTGTTGTAAGAGTGAAAGGGTGAAGAGCGGGTAGCGCCTCGAAAAAGAAACAGAAAAAGAAGAAAAAAAATCGGAAAGGCCCCCATCTATTATTTACCATCACCACCACATTCGTATATACCTATATATATATATATGTATTTATATATATATTCTTAGTGTTATTATATATATTAACATAGTATCCTTACTATGAACACAATCAACCATCCCCAACAGTCATCAACACCTCTCCAGCTAAGAGATCAGCAACCCTCTTCTACTTCTACCTCTCCATCACAACACATCACAGAGTCTCTTAAAACACTATCCATCCAAGAGAGCCACCAAAGTAGCAATGATAGCCCACCACAACTAGTCTCCAACGCTAGCTCTGCTATCAGCGCTGCGTCCTCCCCGAAATCTGACTTCAGCTCTTTCCAAGAACGTATTATTGCGTTCCAGGAAGCCAGACTCAAGTCAACCCCAAACTCGCCCCTTGAAGACCAAACCACCAGCTATCAACCATTCAGTCCTCCATTCGACCCACACAACCATCTTCCTAGTATATCCAACCAATTAATGAATAAAAATATCGATCCCCGCCAGGCTCCCCCAAGCATGTCGCCGGAACTTTCTTCGACCTCACTTAATAATAATGACATCAATGACAGTCAGACACAACAACAACCATTATCAGGAAGAAATTCTCTTTCATCGCCACTTAATACATCGAGTAACGCTTTTAACCTCTCAGCTTCCAGAAATCAATCGAATTTCCCTCCTCAAATGGCACCATCTCCTTTCAGCGCCCCAGAAATCCCTAATTGGCAATCGCCACTGACTTTCCAACCTCGTGGACCAATCCTTACTCCACAGACGAAAGCTCGTGGCGGACCAGTTAAACAACAACTGTTGGCGTCTCGTCGTAACCCAAAATTTGCCACGTTGACCCTTGCTTCGTTGACTGAGCCAACTCCATCAACCCCAGCAAGAAAAAGAATTGAAGGAATTAGAAGCCAAGGATTAGCTGGCGCCACCGCTCCCCCTAGTACTGCGTTCTCTAATTTCGGGAAATACGTTGATATCAAAAATGGCTCGTTGAATTTCAACGACAAGGCGTCGATCCACAGTAATGGGGTAGCGTTCAGTAGTGGGAAATCGTTTAAAATCTCTACCAATGACTTAGAAGTTTTAGGAGAACTCGGGTGCGGTAATTATGGTACGGTTTCCAAAGCATTACATAAACCCACCAATGTTATCTTGGCGATGAAAGAAGTCAAACTCGAGTTGGAAGAAAGCAAATTTCGACAAATTCTTATGGAACTTGACGTGTTGCACAAGTGTGATTCGCCGTTTATTGTCGATTTCTTTGGAGCATTTTTCATTGAAGGGGCAGTTTACATGTGCATTGAATATATGGATGGTGGGTCGCTCGATCAGATTTACGGCGAAGGGATTGACGAAGGGAAATTGGCGTATATTTCCGAGTGTGTGGTGAGAGGTTTAAAAGATTTGAAGGATACACATAACATCATCCATAGAGATGTTAAACCTACAAATATTTTGGTGAATACCGAAGGGAAAGTGAAGTTGTGTGATTTCGGGATCTCAGGAAACCTTGTTGCCTCGAAAGCGAAAACCAACATTGGTTGTCAATCGTACATGCCTCCAGAAAGAATTTATTCCAAATTACCAGATAGCGCGTATACCGTCCAATCCGATGTGTGGTCGCTTGGGATTTCGTTGGTGGAGATCGCTATTGGGAAATTCCCGTATCCGGCCGCCAACAATATTTTTGAACAATTGAGCTCGATTGTCAATGGTGAACCTCCATCGATCCCAAAATCCAGAAATTTCAGTGTCCAATCTTCCAATTTCATCAAGAAGTGTCTCCATAAAGAACCTTCCCAAAGACCAACGTATGCCGAACTTCTTGAACACCCTTGGCTTGTGAACAATCGTCGTGATAGGTTTGGGGACAAATACGAAAAAATTTCGCAAGAATTTGCCACGTTTGTTAAAAGCAAGATCCAAACTCAAGAGCAAAACAAGGAAGAGCAAAAAGAACGGGAGTTTGAGCAACTAAATGAAAGTATTCAAAGTGATTTACTTCGAAAGAAGTCTTTGAAGCGTCCATCACAGAACAATGGGTCGGGGATCATTTCAGAAAATAGTGGCACTTGAATTTTAGAAAATTCATCCAAATCTCTTTTCCTTTTTTTTTTTTGAATAATGTTGATAATTGTTTATGACTCCTACATTTATTTACTATCATACCTTATTTTTCCCCAAACTTGTTACCTAATAATTCTTGCCATGTTATTATTGCCACTACCACTACTACTACCATTCATTTTATTCTGTCATTTTGCTATCGTTTTAATTCTCGAAAGAATACGGCACGTTGTATAATAGAAATCATTCTTCAAAGACCAAACGTATCTTCATCAGTTTATATCTTCATCAGTTTATATCTCCCCCTTTATATCTCTATTATTAATATATAACTTCATCAGTGTTAGTCTATAAACCTTCCGCTTCACATGTTTTGCACGTGCCTGGGAGTTTTTTCAAATTTTTCCATTTTTCGCTCGCTATAGTGGTTGGAGGGAGATATTTTGACAGACGGACCGAACTCAAAAGACAACAACAACAATAATAATAATAATATTGAAAATGTCACTCCGAGTTTTCAGTAGGGCCGGCATGATGCTTGGTCGCCGTGGAACCATCATTGGTGGTAACGGCTGTCATCGTTTCCCCGTAATGGGGGTCAAATCTCCTTTGGCAATGGTCCAACCAAAATCAAGATTCCATTGGGGGTTGCAACCTCGTCAGACCAAAGATAATTCTCAGACCAAAAACGATTCTTCTAATTCTCTGACCGAAGACGATTCTTCTGCTGGGAAAAAAAAGGAAAAGGGAATTAAGGCCCTCATGAAGAAATACGGGTACGCTGCGCTTGGGGTGTATTTGGGATTGAGCGTGCTTGATTTACCATTCTGTTATTTATTTGTCGCGAGCGTTGGCGGTGACAAAATCACAGAATGGAAGGATCAAATCTGGCAATTCTTCGGCATCTCCAGAGACGAACATTCCACCGTCAATGATGATGACCATGATGGGGTGGACAAAGATAATGACGAACGTAATAAGAAAGATGAAGGATGGGGTAAGTTCTTGACGACTTTTGCCATTGCTTATGGGGTCCATAAATCCTTGGTGTTTATTAGATTACCAATTACTGCCTGGATCACCCCATCGGTGGTGAAGACTTTACAAGGATGGGGGTTCAATGTTGGGAAGAAAACCGTGCAAGAGGCGTATAAAGCAGCAGCAGCTAAGAGTGGGGTGGCAAAAACCGCAGGATCGAATAAGGTGAATGAGGAATTGTTTGGTAAAGTGGTCGGTAAAAGCAATGATAAGAAACGTTGGTGGAATTTCTTCCTTTGAGACAACAAAGAAAAAAGAGAATTTAGTTGAGAAATATCTGCTGTTTTATTTTTCTTGTAAATACGGGATAGGGGAATGAATTTTTCATTGGAATAGATTGTGAGATTGAGTATTGTTGAAGATATCGGGGATCTGGGGCCTTTTGATTATTACGTTTGTTTGCTTGTTTTTTTAATGATGTAGTCGTATGGGTTTGGTTGAGGGTGGTTTATAATCGCGTCTTTTCATGACGTGGCCAACATTTGGCGTTTTTCCTGACGATCTCTTCCTATTCATATTTTACCGTTTGAAAAGTGGTATCCAAACTCATCGGCCAATTTTCTATTGAGTGAAATCAAATATTGCCAGTGCGGCAAATCATCGGCTGTTCAGTCTGCTATTTTCATTTGTTCCGTCATGTTGTGATTCATTCATTTATACTATTGTTTGTTTGTTCTTTCTCATGCTGCTGCTTTGGAGTTCTCTACACAATAAATTTATAGATTGAACTTGTCAATATGAGGAAAGCCATAATATTTTCATTTTTCTTGCTCTTGTAATTTGTATTTACATGTTTCTCCCTCGGCTGTGGGTTGTATTTTTATTTTCGTTCCTTCAGTTGTAAGTTACCTCCTAAATGAGAGAAATATATAAATGATGAAATTAAAATCAACATTTGTTCAATATTCCACAGTATGGTTGTTTTTTTGTTTTTTTGTTTTTTTTTTTTTGATAGTTTCATAATATTACCATTACTATTAGATTGCGGGCTAGCTTTTCAAACCATGCTATACCCCTGGTACCCTGATGGCTATTCTCCTTATACACCGATGGCTGCATTCTTAGGCAAGCAATTATACGTGAGATTGTCTTTTCATTTTATAAAAAGTACTTGTATATTGACGATCAACCGGGGAAGATAATAAGAATCAATTTTTAACAAATGTCATTCTAATTAGCGATACATAGTGGAGAGAAAAAGTCTAATATTTGTGACATCATGATATTTGTAGGATAATTATCTTTGCTTAATAATATTTTCTCCGTGATATTTACCTCTAGGCTAGAGGGAAAAAAAAAAATAAGGATACACAGCGAAGCATAGTCTTCGGTAAGAAGGATTGGTGAAATTTGTATCAATCCCAAAAGTATTCTTACGATACCTAAATACCCATCCAAGAAATGTTCCAGGTTCTAAGAAATCCTTTCTCCATGGATGAATTACCCTTATGACGTCCAATTGCACCGTAAATACTATCCAAATGAATTATCTAGTTTCTATAGATTCCATCTTATCATTCCGATTGAGTTATCCAGTTTTCAGTCTATACCTTCGTTTTTATCCTACAGCGCATCATATATCAATCATCTAGTTTTTAAAAATCTTGTTGTGATCGAGAATTATCAATCTGATGATATTTTCCACAAAATGAAAAAAATAAAAAAATTCATTATCCTTTTCATTTAAAATCCCTAATACATATGTACCTTGCTAAACAAACAACTAACAAAACAATACCTATGTACTTTGTCAGACTAACAGCTAGCAAAGTTCAATAGGTGGCGGCAATTCAGGAATCATTCCAATGGTAAATGATTCACCATTGAATGCTTCGACCACTTTTTCTCCAAGATCAACCACCTTAGAATAATTACTGGCATTGTTTTCTGGAGAATTATAACATTGCAGGTACGCAACAATACTTCCCAGACCCCTGCCAAGCTGCATGCCAAAGGGTTGGGGTTTGGACTTAGTAGTATCTCCAAATGGTGAGTTGCTGGCGTTCCCAAACAATGATGTTCCCCCAGTATTGGACCTAGAAGTTCCAAAAAGTGACGAGGTGTTATTATTATTGTTATTATTATTGTTATTGTTGTTGGCAGCACCAAAGGGCAGAGCATTGGCAGTGTTCGTCGATCCAAAAGCATTGGTATTGTTGGTAGATCCAAATGGTGAAGCATTAGCATTATTGCTGGCAGATCCAAATGGTGAAGCATTTGTGGTATTAGAGCCAACTTTTGCAAAAGGGTTGGCACCAGTGGCATTTGCTGATGATCCAAAAATCAGACCATTATTGTTGCTAGCTGATACGCTGCCAAAAGGTGAGGCATTGGTATTATTTGAAGCACCAAATGTAGAGTTATTACTATTACTATTGTTCGCTTGCAAGTTAGAAAAAGGAGATGACGATGACGATGACGATGATCCACCAAACGGGTTGGCAGCCGTTGTATTATTATTATTATTGCTCGAACCGAAGGTCAAGGTACCATTTGTGGTCGACAGACTACCGAATGGGTTGGCTGCAGCGTTATTGGCAGTGCCAGTTCCAAGTTTTGCAAATGGAGATTGGCCAAACCCTCCTCCAGCGCCGTTTTGAGCAGATGATGATCCAAATCCTCCAGAGCTGGAAAACTGTGATGATCCAAACACATTATTATTATTATTGTTGTTGTTGTTAGTTGTGGTGGCAGTAGTGGTCGATGATGATCTAAAACCACTTTTCCCAAACGCCTGATTATTATTTGTAGCATTACCTAGACCAGAATTTCCAAACCCACTCAGGCCAAACCCTGAACTATTGGCATTATTATTGTTATTATTGTTATTACTTCCAAACGACGATTGTCCAAACGATGATGATCCAAACCCAGATTGCCCAAATGACGAGTTCCCAAACCCGGATTGCCCAAATCCTGACTGTCCAAATGCTGACATTTTATATATATGGTAAATACACTTATTTACTGATAGCTGGGGTTCTTCTTTTATTAATATTGTATCATCAAATCTTTTTCTATTCAAAATTTCCCCCAATCAAATCACCATCACGGGAGGGTAATAAGCGTCTCTTTCGCCTATTATTATCATCACCATTCTTATTCTTCATTATATTATTGTGTTATTTTTGAATTATTGGAAAGATGAAAATGATGGGTGTTTTAGGTTATTATTTGAATATTACATGTTTTATCATGGATGTTCAATGGTATTAATGTACAACTATAAAGCGGGGGGTGACTTACATGTAATTTCATCATACTTTAAAAAGATTCCTTGATTATATATTTAATAAAATTCAATTTGTACAGAGAGTGAAATGTGTAAATTTATTTGTTTCTCGTTCTATTCTTTTTCTATTCATCCAGATTAACTTTTTTACTTTTGAAAGCCGTTGGTCAAGATTTTCTGTTTCCATCTTTTACTGGCATGATCTCTCGTGACAAGGATCAATAAATAATACACTAATGACTGCTATTCTTCATAGATATAGGGTATAAATTAAGTCGATGTGTATAATATAACGTAGAATATAAATATATAATATAAGAGTATTAAAAGTGGCATTTTTTTTATGTTGAATCGGAAAATTCTGTACAATCAGTGATGGTGATGGTTCTTCATATAGATACATTGTTGGCAGTACAAATGGTTACAATTTGGACATGATGGATGCTCAAAGATGATCTCAAGGTACCCATTAATAGAACATTTATGACACTTCCATACACATTGATCGTTTCTATTAGAACTGTTAGGCTTAAGCACCGAAGATGGGAAAGTCTTGGAATTATTATTATATTTGGATGATGAGCCAGTGCTTCCACTTTCAGCTGATGAGGAAAATCTTATTTCTTTGGAAGTCATCATTTGCTGGTTTACTGGGGCGAAATATCTTGGGATCTCGTTACTGTTGTAGATGAAGGGGTAATAACCATTATGGTAAGTGGTATAATACTGCTGCTGATCGTAGTAATATTGTGGAGTGTAATCGGTAGATTGAGAAGAGCTCATTTTATCAACAAGGAGATATATGTTGTTGTTGTTGTTGTTGTTGTTTTTTTTTGCTGGTTTGTTGGTTGGTTTGCAATGTTTCGGTTCTTAAAATAATTTGACAAGTTATATATAATAATACGATGGATCAAGAGAAATAGGTACGGTTGTCAGAAGGAGAAATTTAACAGGGGTCAGACCAAGTGACAGGGAAATAACGATGAAGGAATGATGAATATTGACAGTAATAAAGAGAGATAATAGAAATAATAAATCGTTTGTTATATCTGCTATTTCTGGCAATTTGCCTAGCTATTTATATTATTGTTGATGAGTAGAAAACGTAAAATAAAAAAAAAAAAAAAGATTATCTCATCTCATCTCATCTCATCTTGTCGTGACTCCGAATCGCGTAATCAGCCGCCATTTGCGGTAGGTGACGTGACCGTGGAACCATTGCCCGCGCGGTCGTTCACTTCTCTTTGTTATTATTATGACGTCTTTACAAATAGATAAAGGATAAAACAAATAAGGGTATCTTTATAACGGTATATCTCATTTACAGTATTCAGATCTTAAGAAAACAACTATACGTAAATCATCTGGAAAAAAAAAATCCAAAAATTATACTTTTGGCTGGATGATATCAATTTTCACCTCATCCACCCTTTTTATTCTCAGAACTTGCCAAAAAATTAATCTCATCGCTAAAATCAGTAAAAACATTGTCAATTGAGCCCAAACACATGCTTGGAACTTTCCGGCAAGTTTCACATGGATGATATTCAATGATACCTCGGCGATGGTAGCCTTGATCACTTGCAAATTGAATACTAAATGCAAAGCGGCAAAGAACCCTAATCCATTAAGGATTACCACAAGCCACATATGGATCTTGGAAACTATTCTACTGATTTGTGAAAACCTATCGTGTTTGGTGATTCGCTTGAGCACAAACTCGCCAATTGTTGCCATGGACTTGAGGTTTCCCGTGGCAAGCGAGATCGTGTGGGAAATAAGAAGTACGGCAATAATGGAAGTCATGGCGATATAAAAGTACCGTATCCGTGTCAAATAATCCACTTGATAAGTCTGGGCCACCTGAGGAAGATCAAGGTAATTGGTGGAGACGTTGGAGGAAGCATAGAGGGTGATATTGTAAGATGATAAAGTTACCAGATCAAAAGTACTTTGGCAAACCGACCTGGCATTGGAGTTTTTAATGCATATTGATCTCAAGTTAATGGCGACTGAAATATCCACCAACTTGGGGCTAGATGATTGGATCAAGCTATAAATGGAGGTATCAGGGGTCAATGTGAGGGTCAAAATTGTGGGATAGAATAAAATTCCCACAGAGAGACCAAAAGCGATGGTAAGCAAAACTGGAGAAACAAAGGCAATACCAGAACTAATAATTGTTTGGTACATTTGTGAATTTTTTTTTTTTTCTTCTGTGTTGTTTAAGTGGGGTTTTGTTTATGCTGTAGATTTGTAATTGGGTGGGGTTGTATCTATGATGCAGATTTGTAGTTGATCAACTGTAAATAAATAAATAAATAAATACTATTATTATTTTTTCCAATGGATCCCATCACATTAATATATATTTGGAAATTCAAATAAGCCTCAAAGTGATTCGTCATTTTTGTGAGATTTTTTTTTTCTTTTCTTTTGGTTCTTGTGAATCACTTAAATTTGCTTCCATTTCGAAACATCGCCGAAATCATCATTTTTGTCATGCCCAGAATAAGAAAGAGAGAAATAACAAATCAATGATTGTTCTAAATCATTATATAAATGCAAAGAAATAGGAAACTATTTGCAAAAAAAAAAAAAGAAAAAAAAAAATGTCTCAAAGTGGTGAGAAGTGATATATATGAATACCACTGAAAAATACAATACAATAATTAATAGCATTGCTCCCTCCGATGATATCATTCTAATCTTCAGTTAAGGTTTTTTCTCTAATATTTTATCTCTAAAAACCTTATTAAGCAATTTTGAACCGCTATTCCAGAATTAAGTGATATAACATGACAACTTTTTTGTTCAGTGATCATACATAGTCTTTCTCTTAATTTAAAATTAGTTTTTTTTTTCTTCTAAGTTTACGAGTCAATTTGAAAGATGACCTTGAATAGTGTCTCTTTTAATAATTCACCATTATTCATTACGCTGAAATAGGCGATTACAGATTTTCCAAATTTTGGGACACAAAATTGAATTCATCTTACAAGGCTTTCATCAAAATTTTCAGTCTATTCATTCGTGATTTAGTCTGTGTATTCATTAATATTTTCAGTTAGTCTATTCATTATTATTATTATTGTTGTTATTTATTACTTTCTTTTTTTTTGAGTACCATCATTTATTTACAAATTGAACATCTTTTGGGGCCTCATTGACAGTCAAGCTGAAAACATCACCTCTGGAGTAGTGTCCAGCTGGATCGAAATCAAATCTGGCTCTGATCACATCATCAGTATCGATTTCCGCAGTCAACAACCCTTCTTTACCAACCAAAGGACCAGCCAAGACTTCACCCATTGGGTTGACGATAATACTACCACCATTGATCAAATTGGCACCTTTCACCCATCCTTCTGGGGTTTTGTCATCAGCCACTGGAGGTTGGAATTGCACGGCACTGACCACAAAACTTCTGGCTTCGTAAGCAATAGTTCTCATGGAAACTTGCCAGATTTCTCTAGAATCAACGGTTGGGGCCACCCACACGTCAACCCCTTTAGCATAATAGGCATATCTGAACAATGGAACGTAGTTTTCCCAACAGATCCCCCCACCGAGATTACCAACGGCACTCTTGACCACTGGCATGGTGGACCCATCACCACTACCCCAAACCAATCTTTCAGAAGCGGTTGGCATCAATTTACGGTGCTTACCGACGTATCCGAGCTTAGGATCGATGTACACCAAGGTGCAGTATAATGAAGATCCACCTTTTTCAATCACCCCGATGGCGACGGTAGCCAGGATATTTTTGGAAAAGGTTTCCAAGGCGAGGATTTCTGGAGAATTTGGGACCTCGATGGCCTGGTTGTAGTATTGCAAATACTGTTCACGGCCTTCTGGTAATCTGTAACCAAGGTAAGATCCAAAAGTACTTCCCTTAGGGTATCCACCAAGGGTAGCTTCTGGGATCACCACAAGATCAATCTTCTCTTCAACAAGCTGAGACTCGTAAGATAAGATTTTTTTAAGGGTCTGTTGGGTGGTTGCGGCAGATCCGACTTGCAAAGCAGCAACTTTCTTAATTGGCATGGTTATTTGGTTGAAAGAAAAATAAGTGAAGGGAATAAAGGTTGAACAATAAAAAAGTACCTCCCGGGACTGTATCTAGCACAGCACAATTTGTGTGTGTGTGTGGGGGGGACGAGGGATATTTATTCTCTCCGGTCCCATGACTCATGCACGGCGATAGCCGGAATCTGATTAAGGTTTGGTGTGTGCTGCTGGAAGCACAAGAAGCAGGAAAATATCCGATAATAACATCATCAAAAGGCACGTAAATGGTAGGTATTGTAGTAACCATTTCAGATTGGCAGACGAATACTAAGATAGACTGCATGGTTGTTGCATCGGAGTGTCATGAGTACGATTCACTATGGACGAGAATCCAATAACGCGATATCAAAGATTATCTTGGGGAAGAAATCCAGTCTACCTACCAACACGACATTACCTTACTCTTGATGAAAGAGGTACTTTCAACTGTTACAAAAAGTACATGTAGATTTTGTGGTCTCCGGCATAATACATGGAATTGACTTATAAATTATATAGATATATCCCAAGAAATATCCACGAATATAGTATCAATGATTTTTCTTTAACCTTCATTATAAATTGGCAGCAAAAGAGATGGATCTCAATTAACTAGTTTATATCTAACCATGAGGGATCAAGTATAAATAGTCTCCGCATTTCTTGCAATGGTTATGTTCACACCTCGCACATTCGGGCTCGGTTATATAGAAATAGAAGAACCTTTCCGTGACTTTATTATGATCGTATCGACATTTGTGACATCTCCAGTAATACTGGTTGTTATTGTTAATATATCTATACATTTTGGGGTTTGGCGTGGTAAATCAAGACTGAGAAATTCAGCAACTTCTCCGTCAAGAGAGTACGTATTTATATATATGCTGAACCTTCATCTTTAAGGAGGGGAATTTATAAGTTTGACAGGTAATAATATTTCAAACACCATAATTTGGGAAGCTGAAAAAAAAAAAAAGAATTTCACTTTTAAAAAAGGGTCCAAAAGCATCCATGTTGGGAGGAAGAGAAAGACTACGTTAAGTACCGTGTTTATGGTTCATTGTATCATCTGATAATACACGTGCTTAAATACAGGGTGATCATCGTCCCCGAGTCAAAAAAAGAAGTGAAGTTTGACTCGGGACCGTCGCGAGGACTCGACCTCATCTTGTAGGAGATGAGGCATATAATAATACATATAATCTACTGAAATTTTTTCTTTTTGTTGAATAATTGTTGGTTTATTCCCCAATTCCTTTGAAACAATAGAAAATTATTTAACCTCCCCCGTTGCAAAAACACAATGTCTGGTGCTTTGAAAACCCCTTTCTACGATCTTCACAAACGTCTTGGTGGGAAGCTTGTGAACTACGCGAACTACTTGTTGCCAATCTCCTACCCTAGTCAAACCCATATTGAATCACATCTCCATGTCCGTTCTAAAGCCGGTATCTTCGATGTCAGTCATATGTTGCAGCACCGCTTAGTGGGTGCTGAGGCCTCTAAATTCTTGGAATCGTTGGTGCCTACTGATATTGGGGCCGTCAAGCCTGGATCATGTCACTTGAGTACCTTCTTGAACGACAAAGGTGGGGTGGTCGACGATACCATCATCACCAAGGTCGGGGAAAATGAGATTTATTTTGTCAGTAACGGTGCCACCTCCGATAAAATCTCTGCTTATATCACCGCTGCTTTGAACGAGTTTCAAAACGGTTCCCACGGTTTAAAATACGATAATTTCAAAAAAAGTTTGGTGGCTATCCAGGGTCCAACCGCCCATTTACACTTGAGCAAAGCTTTGAAAACCGATTTGTCCAAGATTTTCTTTGGTAACCATTTCTTCTTGGAAAACGGTGAAAAAGTAATTGGTAAAGGGTTCACCGGTAATTTCCTGGAAAATTCCAATGGACTCTTGGTTTCCAGATCAGGTTACACCGGGGAAGACGGGTTTGAATTGAGTATTCCAAACCCAGAACTCGCCAATGAAGTTGTCGAGAAACTTCTTCAAGACTCAGAAGTTCAACCAATTGGTTTGGCGGCTCGTGACTCGCTTCGTTTGGAAGCTGGTATGTGCTTATACGGCAATGAACTAACCGAAGACATCACTCCTGTTGAAGCCAGTCTCAACTGGATCATTTCTAAATCTCGTCGTACTGCCGATGCTGGGTTCAAGGGAGCCGAAAAGGTGTTGGCTCAATTGAACGATAAGTCACTTGTTCCTTATAAAAGAGTTGGTTTTACCTTTGAAGGTGGGGCAGCTGCTAGAACCGGATCCAAAATCTTTGCCAATGGTGAAGAAGTTGGGTTTGTTTCCTCTGGCTCTCAAAGTCCAAGTTTGAGTGACGCCACTGGTAAGAAGATGAATATCGGTCAAGGTTTTATCAAGATGCCATTCCACAAGAAGGAAACCGATATTGAAATCCAAGTTAGAAAGAAGACCATTGCCGGAAAAGTTAAGAAGTTGCCATTGGTTGAATCGCATTACTATAAACCAGAGTAAATGGTATTTCCACTATCTAATCACAGGCAATCTCCACTTGGGTGATTGTAGTTTTGTTTTTTCTCTTTCATTTAATATTCTTAATTGTAACGTTATATATTTATTTTACTACTCATTGATGTATTTCTTTTCCCCCACTTCTCATTCTTGTATAGTATATCATGGCAAATTATAATTATCTTTTCGATTAGAGTTGTAGGTTTTAACTATATAGAAACTGATGTCTCTACAATCTCTTTTACCATCACAAGACTCCCTACTTACACTTTTGAAAAAAAAAAAGTGTGTTTTCAACTAATTATACTTTTTTATTTCCAATAAGCACGAATTTTTGTCCTAATATATGGTGCTATTAAATTATGAGAATGTAATAGCCTCTGGCTTTTCAAGTGGTATTTATTGCAATATACCATTTTGATGGTATTTATAGTCTAATCTACATATACCATACATACGGTATCTGTTGGTGTTAGGGTTAATTCTTGTATGCCATAGAGACGGTACTAATGGGTGTTAGGGTTTTTTATTTCCGGTTTCACGTGAGACAGTGAAATGACAACAGAAAAGGAAAGGGATGAAGAGTTGACTTCTTAATCCTATATCAATACTTATCTTCACTTGATCTCGCGTTAGATATGTGATAAGAAGATCAGATGTTATCACCGTACTTGGTCTCTAACTATCTGATAGAACACACAACTCAAACAAGTGGCTCGTATTTAACAACTTGTTATTAGACTGACTTAACAGTAATAAATCAATGAAGGTAAATGTATTAAATGAATAATAATAAGGGATTTGTTCTTGTCTTCCAATAACAATAAGGAAGACAAATAATAATAATAATAAAATAATTTAATAGGATAAAATGTAAAGTAGGGTGACCATATTCGTATTATGTACGATAGTACAGGTTAATGTCAATATACCATTAATGCAGTATTTGTTAGAAGCCCTTTCAGGTATATTACCAACCCCCTGGATTATTGCCATTACATGGCTGCTACAAGATGACTATCAATTTGTAATTTTATACTTAGTCAACAAATATTACGGTTTACTAGTCATAATATGGTCATTCCGTGCCTTTCCATAGAGCCGTATATCATAGAGACCTTTCTTCATTTCAATGTTTGTCCTCCTAGTATATTAATGCATATAAAGAGTGTTGTATACTTTCTTCGGAACTGAAACGTGAAAGAAATTTTTCATTAGAGCAGCAAATTTATCATAGTTACTATTTGGTGAGATTTCTCATTGCATGCATTGAAATATATAGAAAAAGGGTTTATGATATGAACAGTTTTATTGATATCAAATGGTTCTACTGTTGGGTTGTGTCGGTAATAGTCCAACCCAGAAAACAGGCATAGTATCAATTACATAGTACATATATATAACAAGAAATATCTTACCGTAAGGCAAAAGGGGAGCAGAAATAAATAGAACAAAAAAAAAAAAAAAAAGAAGATGCAACGTAGAAATGCCTATGAAAGATATACTTTTCCAATTTCACTGTGAGCCATTGAAATGTAAAAAAGTCAAAAAATACTAGCACCACTAGGTTTCGATCCTAGGACATTTGGGTTATGAGCCCAATGCGCTTCCACTGCGCCATGGCGCTCGATGTATACCAAACATTTTAATGCAAATATTTTGAATTGATTCTATTATTTTACTAAACGCACTCCGAACTCTGTGACTTGTCAATATACAATCTATTCATTCATTCACACTCCAAAACCATAATACAAACAAATCTAAATATTCAAAAAAGGCAATGATAACTTATACTATACTTTAGTTATTTATTTACTTGCTTTCTAAGACTTCTTCTCTATCATATGCTTCCATTATTTCTTGCTTGGCTAATAATAAAGTGTTTTTGCTTGTAATTTTCCAATAATTCTTCTTCATAGAACCGCTAATCTTATTGTCAGCTTCTTGGATTGTGTTTTTATTACCATGGGTCAATTTATTTATCGTTTTTTATTGGTGAGTTTATAAATTTTAAATCCCTAGATAAGGCTGACTGATATATATCTAGGAGGGGGTTCTTGTGGAACCTTCGCTAGTAGTGTATATGAAGAGCGAGATGTCTTTAATAAACGGCTAATTTTCCTGTGAGCTATTGCAATGAAAACTTTTTCACAAACACGTATAATATAATTTGATGCATATATATCAATATATGCACATATAGATAAACAAAGGTCATTTTCAAGCCGCTAATTTTTTGTGCCATGTTGATATTGTTTAGCTTCAAAATATGCATGCAGGTTACTGTGAATTCCTGGATACATCTAAAATACACCAACATGGAGAGAAGAGGCAGAGATCATCCAATTTAATAATAATTTACAATTCGAAAAAAAAAAAAAGAAAAGCAGTAAGAAACACAATCATGCAATGCAAATCCAATAAAAACCTATAGACACGACAAGAAATCAAGCAATAATAATAATAAAAAAACCTCCCCGCACAAAATTCATAATACTCAACCTCTTCGAAACAACTGGCAAACCACATAACATAATTACTAAAGGAGCAGATATACCCCAAGTTAGAGTGATAGTAAGTCCAAATCATTTATACTGGAAGGATTTTTGGTAGTGTTATCAACACTGGCATTCATATTATCGGAAAAATCATGGGATTGAGAATTGGAAGAACTATGTGTTGGTCTACTAGGAATAGTATCAGTGGCAGTGATGGTATTATGTGATGATGATGACGCCCGGGGCTTAATGTTATCGACATTACTCTTTGCCGTTGAAAATAATGAACTGAACGCATCGTTTACTGCGGGCACTGATTGTTTGGAAGAAAAATCATACGACGTAGTGGTGGTTTTGAACGTGGTAATATTGCTGTTGATTGCAGGAGTAATATTATTGATTGCAGGAGTATTGGTGCTTAAGGATCCCAAAAGATCAAGTGATCCTAATTCTTGATTATTGGTTCCCGGAGCAGGGTTGGAAAATAGCTCATTGAAAGAGGATTGGGGAACCACTGGTGATGCAGTTTTGCTAGGAGATGCACTCTGGAAATCATCGAAATCATCATCAGCAATACCAGCTAGCTGGGTTGATGATGTATTAATATTATTAGTGGTTGGCTCATCATCGAATGAGAACAAATCTTGAGTAGTTTGGGGATCTTTTTTACGAGGAGCAGGAGTTACCGATTTTGAACTTCCTTCAGTATTGTATTCTTCAAATTCATCACTGCCAAACATGTCATCCGCAGTGTCATATCTGCTACCAAACATCCCACCATCACCGTATACTACACCACCAGCACCCCCTCCACCAAAAGACGGATTATAATCATCATCGTAATCATCACCATTTTCTTCGCCAAAACCACCAGAACCATATCTCCTATTACCAATACCGTTGCCATAAGATGGAGCCCCACCAGCAACCCCTTTAAACTTCTTCAAATTCTCACGGGCCTTTTTCCGTTCTGACCTGATATTGGAATCATCATTAAGTAAACCTAACAATAATTTTGACCGGTTTCGAATATTCAACCCCTTATCTCTTCCTTGAGGATCAATATAGTGGAAGGATTTGAGCATGGAGATAAGACTCATGTTTGCTCGAGCTTCATCGACCACCTTCTCCGACCCGTGCTTCACCACGTACTCGAGCAAGATCAACGCTTTGTAGATTTGTCGCCATTCAGTGGCAGATTTCTCAGTAAATCTTCGGAAAATCATCCCCACGATCTGTTCTCGTTCTCGATAATTGTAAGTGGCGTCGGCGATTTCTTGCATTTTGTGAGATGGGGTCCCCCATGGCTCATTGTTAGTGGCTTCCCGAACCTTGGCCTCTATTGAACTGAGGTTCAACACCATGTTTTGGGCCTTCCGTACGTGTTTCTTCACCTCATAGAGGCTGATATTCTTCATCCCGTCTTTGATTAAGTCCATTGTTGAATACAATACATCTATGGGTATCTGTCAATGGGTGATGTAAGTTGGAAAGCAGTGAAAAACAAAATTGCCGTCAAAAAAATAGCGTGCATGACGGCAAACCCGGATCATATACACATAGAGGACTGACTATAAAAATAAAAATTGTGATTATATGCCATAATAATTTCATGAAATATCATATCATAATAATTTCATGAAATATCATATCATAATAATTTTATGAAATATCATGATTATGTAACTCATGGAGATAATGACCTCCATTAGTTTTTGTGGAAATAACTACCTTAATTGATGATTCTGAGTGCGCCGGATATTCAATGAGTAGCAACTTTTGACCCTTTTCTACTTATTCAAGCGATATCACTTACAACAAGACGAAATAGAAAGCAGAAGAAACAAATCGAATATATTACAATATCACTATAGTATAGAACTGAAAAAGAATAATTAATCAATAGAAAAAAGCAAGAATAAAGAGCCTTTGAGAAAAAACAAACAAACAAACAAAATAAAAACAGAACAAATGAAAAACCAAGAATTAGCGAAAAAGAACCTAAAAAAAAACAAAAAAAAAAAAAATTGAAAAATGAAATAATAATAATTAACAAGCTCTTGCTGAATTCTAAACCCTGTAAAACCCATCAACCCCCTCATTGTTTTTGTTATTGCTATTATTATTGACACTACCGTAATAGCCACCACCACCATTATTATTGCCAAGCAACAGTGTTTCCAGCCTACCAATCCGTTGACGATTGATGGCTTCTAGACGTCTTTTCCTCATATCATTGCTATACAAGTACCCTATCTCATCGTAAATAACGGGATAATTTTCGTCGCCAAATGGTTTTTGCCGGATCGCCCTAATATATAATTGGTTATCTTGTAAAAACTCCTCCTTGCTCAAAGAAATTGAATTTAAAATATCTTGGGTGGATGCATCATTGAGTTTATACAACTCTTTGGTATTTTTCTTGATAATACTAACCTGTTTTTCCTGCGCGAGTTGCGATTTGAGTTTCTTGTTAACAGTTAGTGGTTTCTTCAGTTTAGGCTTCGGTTTCTTTTGACTAGAAGAGCTGCTGCCATTGCTAACACCAGGTCCTTGTCCACTAAAAGTTCGAGAGTCAACAGTCTCGGCAAGAGTTCGGCTGTCGCTATTATACGAATATAAACTGGCAGTATCATCGCCATCATCAGAAAACGTCTTGTTGGCATTTTTCTGATCCACCCAATACGTTCCCAATTTCCCTCCTGCTAAAGAATATCTCATTCCTTGGTTTAATTTCTTGAGCCTGGTCTCAGAGTCATATTGACTGACTTTTGAATCGACGTCGACGCTTTGGAAACTTTTGAAATTGTAACGTTCCGATCCCACTTGGAAAGTGATTTTGAAATCGTATATCAAATCCCCAAACCCAAAGATATCCACAAGGGCATTTTTCACCGCGAGTCTTGAAGAATTGCCAAGATACTTTATGGTGAATTCTTTGTAATTGAATGAATACCAATGACCAATGGCAAACCCCACTAATTCGAAGCAAAGCAATGAGTTTTGAATTTCAAACGACGATTCTCTCAAATAGTTGAAATAGTTTAATATAGCGAGGATTATTCCTTGCCAATAAGATGCGAAAATGATCAATTTGACGCACAAGAATTTCCCCCATGGATTGAATTGCTGAAGATCGCCATACAAACATTTCCAAAAAAGTGCCAAATTGTACAATGATAAACTGACACTGATATTATAAATCAAATTGATCCAGAACCCGAAGGATAGCAAGAAATTTCTTGGGTTTTCTTCATTAACGGGGAGGAATTCATCGATGGCAAATAAGAGGCATAAGAATGGTTTGAGCCACACGTATTGTAAAATCGATCGCTTAATTGATAAAAAAGTGGTTGGGTCACTAATATCCACCGGACCACTGAAGAGTCCCATAGGGAATGGTTGGGTGACCGGAGGTCTGCCGCTAGCATTGACAATAATGCTTCTTTCGCCCCCCAACAAATGGGTCAATAAACAATAGAAAATATAAAGGACAAACGCTTCGTAGATCTCTTTGATTGGTTCAATGATCGCAGAAGTAGTGTGTGACGATACCAAGTTTAAGTAACAGATGGCAGAGTATATGGGTATGATCAATAAAATTCGTACAAATAGACGTTGTTGTAAAGGCTTCCGATAATTGAGGATGTGTAAGATGATGCAAAGCACTGTCAAGGAAATTGATTGCAAAGTGGCGGCAAAGCATAGAGTGAGAAGAAGCGGCGTCATAATGGAGAGGAATATTAGTATAATGTGAAGAGGGAAAAGGGGGGGAATTGTTTATATTATTTCTGATTTATTGGATTCGGACATAAACAACAAAATAATATAATCGGTTAGGATATGACAGAGGAAAAAAAAAATAAAGGGGATATAAGAGTCAGAAAGAAAATTTGTTAGACCACAAAGAAGATGAGTAAATGAGAAGAGCCACCAGACAATCGATCCAATTGCTAATGATTTGCAAAGGAATTGTTGATGATGATGATGATGATGTTGTTGTTGTTGTTGATGATGATTTTGTTGTTGATGATGGATGGTTTTTGGGCCTGTTAGAAAATTTCTGTGATTTTTTTTTTTTTTTTGTTGTTGTTCGCATGTGATCAGCGGTGCCAATAAGGTGGCCCATCCTTATTAACACTGTTATTATTAACCATCATTTGTAGAGATAATTTGGGAATGAATCATAAATAATATATTATTACTACTATTATGATACTTTCAAATGATTCTTGATTAGTTTATTTTGTTGTACTGAGAGATATTGACGATATTGTCTACATTGATTGCACTTGTCTATATTATATTAGATGTCCTCAAGATCTTCGCAAAGCAGCACCCAAGCTTGGGATAAAAATAAAAATGGTTAGCCGACAAGAAAAGGGTTGAACAACAAATGGAAATTCACTCAAAGAGAGCTATTATATTATGGGAAACCTACTGATGACCGTGTCGATTGTATCGCATCAAGTTTTTGTCCCAAGAATCGTCATCCTATTCAGAGTATCACCAATTGCAACATCACACAATCTATAAATACTGAACACTAAAAGAAACTGACAAGAAAAGACACTAACCAGCGTCTCACCTTAACACTTTCTCACATAAACCTTCACAGTCGTCCCTCCACCGCCTCGGTTCACCCACCCACAAAAAATGCACCCACGCATGCTGCCACAAAACCCCTTCAGTTTCGCAACTTTCCATTGGGGGAAATCGCATTAATGTCATTTACACCTAGCGGTGATTCCCTATTCAATGGGGACATATCTGAAACACACACGTGGTTTAAAGTTTCACGGTACCTCCAAAGGATCATCTATGTTGAAATATTTCACCATGATTCGACCCACCAGGTATTAGTGACTACCTTGGAACCCTAGAGCTTACAGCCTTGGTATCATTGTTAATGATTTTGTCTATCCCCAGATTTGATATAAATACTCATTCATGTCCCCTCCCCCCCTTCTTTAAAATGTGGTTAGATGAAAAAGGTCTTATAGAATCATTAAGGATACCTGTGTGATCTATCACAAATACTATTACTATAAGTAAAAAGCCCCATCCATCGGGCTTTCGTCCTTCGCTTCCTTCCAACTACTTACGATCTTTACAATAAAAAAAAAAAAAGGAAAAATCAATCACCATAAACCATGAAACTATTCCATTCCTTATTACAATTACTGTTATTACTGTCATTGATTTACGCCGCTCCTGTGGAATACCACAAGAAGGAAACTATCGATAAAAGAGGAGGTGATATCACCATCACTGCCACCATTAATGGTGTCCAAGTCACTTGGTTGACTGATATTGGCGCTGCTGGCGGTAATTACGCCCCTGCCCCTACTGCTGCTGCGAACACTCAATCAACTTCCACCAGAACTCACTACGTCACTTCCACCGTCAAGCACAAGCACAAAAGAGACGTTACTCCTTCTGCTGAAGTTGAAGATTTGAACAAGAGAGATATTACCATTACTGCCACTATCAATGGTGTTCAAGTCACCTGGTTGACAAACCTTGGTGGGGTTGCTGCTCCTGCTGCTGCTGCTGCTACTACCACTCATGCTGCTGCTGTTGCTGCTGCCGCCGTCACTACCACTCATGCTGCTGCAAAGACTTCTGCCGCTGCTATTGCCACCACCGCTGCAAGTAACAAACAAACAACATTCTCTTCTTCTTCTTCAAGTGGCATTTCTGGTGATCTTTCCTCATTCTCTAATCCAAGCAAAGAATTTACTGATGGGACCATCAAGTGTTCTGATTTCCCATCAGGTCAAGGGGTCATTAGCGTTTCTTGGATCGGCTACGGTGGTTGGACCTCGCTTCAGAACCAAGGCACTGGGGGAACTAATCCTAGCTCTTGTACCGATGGTGTTCTTTGTTCTTACGCTTGTCAAGCCGGTATGTCCAAGACCCAATGGCCATCTTCTCAACCTTCTGATGGGGAATCTCGTGGCGGATTGTTGTGTAAGAACGGGTACTTGTACAGAACTAACACTGCCAGCAACTACTTGTGTGAATGGGGGAAAAACACCGCCAAAGCGGTTTCCAAAGTCAATCAAGTGATTTCTTTGTGTAGAACCGATTATCCAGGTTCCGAAAACATGAATATTCCAACCAGATTAGAAGCCGGGGGATCCCAGCCAATGAGTGTGGTTGATGAGGACAGTTACTACCAATGGGAAGGTAAGAAGACTTCGGCCCAATATTATGTTAACAATGCTGGTGTCGATGTTGAAAAAGGTTGTGTCTGGGGTACTGCTGGGAGTGGGATTGGTAATTGGGCTCCAGTGGTTTTGGGTGCTGGTTACACTGGGGGAAATACTTGGTTAAGTATTATTCCAAATCCAAACAACAAAGTGGCTCCTAATTATTCCGTCAAAATTACTGCTGATGACAACAGTTCCATTCTGGGTTCTTGCTCTTACGTTAATGGGGTGTACTCTGGGGGTAGTGGAAGTGATGGCTGTACTGTTAGTGTCACTAAAGGGTCTGCCAGTTTTGTGTTTTCTTAAATGAACACTTGCTTGTTTTATCCAAACAGTTGCAATTTATTTCTCTCTAACTTGCAGAAATCATATCATTCTTTTTACCTTTTGTTTTTGCCAATATTTCTTAGACTGGTTCTAAGTTCAGTTCTTTATTTTTTTTTTGTTTTTTTTGTTTTTGTTTTTTTGATCAAATTTTGCTATACACATAGATTATCTTAACTTTAATAGATTACTTTATAAACAATATATATTATTTTTTTTAAAAAAAAAAAAAAAATTATGTTTAGTAAGCTGAATGATCCTAAAGACATATTGAATTTTGAATTTTGGCAAGTTCTTCAAATCAGTAGCATCATTAGATTGAAAGTTTAAGAAGATATCAGTATATTATTAAGCAGAAAAAGGAGATTTATGGCTCCTGAACGAAACAAATCTTTTGCTAAATATTTTGAGCTAGTAAAAAATTGGCTAATCATCTTGGCATGGGGCTGATTCTTATCAAAAATAGAACAGTCTAATGAAATTAACTATGAAAGTCATCCTAAAGAAAAAGAAAGAAGTTCAAGGTTCTATTCTACTGTTTGTGGCATTAAACGTTTGGAACATAACTTAATAATAATAATAATAATAATAATAATAATAATTGGTACTACTGAAAAACTAATTATCAACCCCAATCACAAAATATCTGATCAATATTGTTCCATATTGTTGGTTCTCTTGCTAGAAATAAAAAATATCACGAATGCTCATTAGTGCCAGTTTATGCGCGCTGCGATTCTACGGTAAGACCCTTCAATTGCCCCATCTCAATTACCAGGGGCTATTACCAGGGAGGGAGGGAGGGCTATCGATGTGAATATTCAGGGGTCCACCATATCTTCTTATTAATAGAATTTGATTTTTGATAATAGAATGGAGTGTCTTCCGAGAATCATAAGAAAGAAAAACAAAAAAAAAGAATAAGATCGATCATCAACTTGAGATCCCAATACACCACCCACCATGCATGCGGCGCAGATTATATATCAAGCATAAATTTCAACTTAAATCAATTTCTTTTTATCTTTTTTTTTTTTTTTTTTTGTTTCTTTTCTTTTCTTTTTTCACGTTCCTGAAAGAACAATAATGCTAATGTGAGTTACCAGTCACCGGAATAATCCAAAATCACCATTTATGGGTTGATTTGTACACCCAGCCAGCAGTGATGATTTTTGACATTGAGCACTAGAAAGCGGTAATGCAGGAATCCCAACCATCAAATATATAAACTTTGGGAAATCTTTCAAAAGTATGATCAAGATTTATCTATTTTTGGCCAGTCAGCACAGCACCACAAGAACTCAGTAATCGGTATTTTCAGTGTTTTCAACATCCAACTTTAGTCTCTCCTTTAAGAAAGAACACTGCTCCAAACTGCAACATCGACAATCATTTAAACCAAAATAACCAAAATAACCAAAATCACCAAAATAACCAGAAGAATCAAAATCACTGAAAATTATGAGATCACTTTCAATTCACTCGCTCGCTTGTTTATTAACTGTCCCCGCAGTCCTCGCAGTCCCAGTACTTCCAGTACTTGTTGGCCAGCGTACTGCATCCAACGGTGCCATTATGCCTATCGGTAGTACTCTTTCAACCGTTATTCGTGGTACTGCTGCTTCAAGTCAAGTGATTGTCACTGTCACTGAAACTTATCGTTCTACTTCCATCGAAGAAGTCCAAGCTACCGTGGATACCACCGTGTATGTTACTGATCAACCTGCAACTTCATCGTCTTCAACAACAACAACCAAAACTTTTGCTACTGCTAATGAAAACAAGGTAGTTTCTGAAAAGTCAACATCAGCAACCTCTGCTGCTCATACCACCGCCGCGGCCACGGGAACTAACTCATTGTTTTCCATCTCTCCAAAACAATCATCGAAAATCGCCTCTAGCGTCACTGCGTCTTTATCTCCGGCCGAAGCCACTGCATTATCCGCTTCGGTTCTCATGGACGGGTTCGATATTGAATCGGTGAATGGGGATCTTAAAGACTTTGTCAATCCAACTGAGAAATTCGTCGATGGTACCATCAAATGTTCCAGTTTCCCAGCAGGGCAAGGGGTGATTAGTATTCCTTGGATTGGTTACGGTGGGTGGACTTCGATCCAACAATCCACGGAAGGTGGTTCTACTTCTGGGGTGTGTACCGATGGATTATACTGCTCTTATGCTTGTCAGGCAGGAATGTCCAAGACTCAATGGCCAGCAGCCCAACCAGGGGACTTGGAGAGTCGTGGAGGATTGTTATGCAAGAATGGGTATTTGTACAGAACCAACACCGCCAGCGATTATTTGTGCGAATGGGGGGAAAACCTGAGTTACGCGGTATCCAAACTCGATAAAGTCGTTTCTTTGTGTAGAACCGATTATCCTGGCTCGGAAAACATGAACATTCCAACGAGGTTGATGCCAAATTCCAAAAAACCAATGAGTGTGGTCATTGAAGCAGGATATTACACTTGGAACGGTGGTAAAACTTCTGCCCAATATTACGTTAATGATGCTGGGGTGGATGTTGTCGAAGGGTGTGTTTGGGGGAATGCCAGTAGTACGATTGGTAATTGGGCTCCGGTGGTCTTAGGGGCAGGGTATACCGAAAATAAGACCTGGTTGAGTATCATTCCAAACCCAAATAATGAAAAAGCACCAAATTATGATCTTGTGATTGAAGCAGAAGATGGCGCAACCATTTCCGGAGATTGTTGGTATAAGAATGGGGTGTATAGTGGAGGTCCAGGTAGCAAGAGTGATGGTTGTACTGCTGCTATTACTGGTGGTACTGCTAACTTTGTGTTCTCTGCTGTTGGCACTGCAAGTTAGTTGATGGGCCTTGTGCTGGTTCACCGGGATTTTTCCATATTTTTATCACTTTATTACTTTGATTTTAGATACAGTACTCTTAGAATTGTTAAACCTGATATATATATATATATATATATATTACACATATATAAATAAATAAATACCAATTTGAAATAAACGGTATACTTGAACTAAAATTGTAGAGGGGGAAAAAAAAAAGCAATCAGGAAATGATTCGAAATCGTGGGTATCTAATGTGGACTATATCTTTTATTAATTAATGTGATCCTCCCTTCCATTTATCTGTAATGGTTAAAAAAAAAAAAACTACAAAGACTATATTCAGAAAAGAATTGAAAGCAATATTATTATTGTATAAAAACAAAAAAAAAAAAAAAAAAAAAACCAAGAGTCCCGTTATTTCTGGAAAACAAAAATCAATGAATCAAAAAAAGTAATAATTCATAGTATATTATTCACAACTAAAAATACATTAATATCATCAATATCAAAGGAACTTACCCTTATTGACGACCAAGGCTTCGAGCACGGCAATGGCTGCGTACAATCTGTTTTCAGCTTCTTCAAACACCACCGAGTTTTCTCCATAAAAGATTTCATCACTGACTTCGTATTCGTGACGTGGTAAACAATGCATGAATCTCCAGTCCTTAGCGACCTGACCTTGTTCAATCAATTCCTTGGAAACCTGGAATCCCTTGAAAGTTTCGAGTTTTTGCTTAGTTTGGCTTTCTTCACCCATAGAGACAAAAGTATCGGTGACCACGATATTGGCGTCTTTTACGGCAACGAGTGGGTCATGGACCACTTCAAACTTACAACCTTGTTCAGAAGCCACTTTGGTGGCGACGGCAGCGACTTGTTCGTCGAATTTGTATCCTTGAGGAATGGCCACGGAAACGTTCATGCCAAATTGTGCGGCGGCCACTGCCAAATCATTGATGACATTGTTGGCATCGCCTACCCAGGTCAATTTCTTACCTTTGACATCCCCGTTGAATTGTTCCTTGATGGTCAACATGTCACAGATCGCTTGAAGTGGGTGATACGTGTCACATAAACTGTTGATCACTGGGACACTGCTGTGCTTGACGAGCTGTTGGATTTCGTCGTGGGAGTTGACTCTGGCAAAGATCGCCCCGGTCATGGAGGAAATCACCTTGATCGAATCGTAAAACGACTCATTGACTCCTAGCTGAATATCTTGGGACCCCAAAAAGAGTGGGTGGCCGCCAAAGTAGTTGACAGCAGCTTCGGAGGAAATACGGGTTCTGGTCGAACGTTTGCTGAAAAGAAGCCCGACGGTCTGGGTCTTCAAGGCATCAGCAAGATTATCTGGGGGAAGAGTATTTGATTTGACGAGGCTCTTATAATGGGCAGCACGATTCACTAGCGAGTGAAGTTCGGTATGTGAGAGTTCGGAGATCGACACCAAGTGACGAATTGGTTTAGCGGAGGTATTCGAGAGCATTCTGATAAAAGTAGATGACATTATAGGAAAGCAATTGAAAGGAACAAATGGGAGTGAAAAAAAAGACAGGCCAAAACCCCTGGTATTTATGATATATTTTTCTGCAATAACGAGTTAATACAAAAAGTGTAAAAAAGTCCGTGTTGACTCATCGGCAGCAGCACGTATATCAATTAATTAATTATCATCTAGATGGTTAAACCCCGAATATTAACATCATTAGCAACGGCAGGGACTTTCGCAGAATATCTTACATCACGGTGGTGATTATCGGCTGGTTCCCATAGTCATTTTATCATCGACTACCACAAGCTATCTCCCTTATTCTCACCAGTTGCTGGCTGTGTTGTTGTCCTATGACTCTTACGCATTAAAATTTTTCAACATGAATCGGTGATCAATGTGACTAATTACCGTCAGTCAGAGTCAGCGACAAAAAAGCGCTGTTTACCGATGGCAGTGACTCAAAAGTTGAACAGCTCTTACATCACCACATTGTGATTGTAATATTGCTGTGATTTGCAGTGTTCCATTCCGTTTCACTCGCACCTGTCAAATGCTTCTCTCTCTCTCTATGTATATATATGTGGCAATTACTCATAAACTGCTCGCACGTGTGACACTTGGTATACCTATTATTTCCCAATGTCTTTAAAATCTACAACCATTCTCAACCCCATAATCATAGATTCTGACACCAAAAACACCTGAAATAAAAAATAAAATAAAATAAAATAAAATAAAATAAAATAAAAACAAAATAAAAACAAAATAAAAACAAAATAAAATAAGATAAAATAACCTAAAAAAGATCACATACAACCCACCAAGAACTTAACAAACTAAACATCAAAGTAATTGAGCTTCTTCAATCTCCATCAAGGCCTCAGTTAATCTCTCAATCTCGATTATATGCTCATCATCTTCCCAGTTCTTGGCATCAACTTCTTCAAACTCCAAGACTTCATCCTCCACAATCGTGCCATTTTCGGCAACAACTTTTCTGTGATAATCAGCAGCTCCTGGAATCTTAGCCTTGATTTTGGTTTCCAACTTCCCGGTACCATGGTTTCCCTTTGGGTCTAAGAAAAACAAGCTCGAACCATTTTGAGATTTCCCAACATTATACAAATTATTGCCGTTCGCCTTGACCTTGGACTCTTCAACTTGGACTAGACTCACATCGTAACTGATGGTTGGACCCATAGTGATCTCCAAGTTGAACACCGAAACATAACTCACTTTTTTCCCCACGGTGGCAAGCGAGGTAGTGAAATTGGTTGAAGGATCGAGCAAACTGAATTTTTTGTTGTTTTTAATGGTGCTCACCGTAGATTCCACATCCGCAAACTTCTTGTAGTTTTGCACGTTGCTGAATTTCACACTAGCACTGGAGTTCAATCCAAATTCAATAGGTTTGGGCGATTGTGAAGTGGCAAGTTGTAAAATCCCCACCCCGTACACCGACTCAGAGTAGCTAATGATTTGATTAGCCTGCGATGGTTTGAATCTCCCCAAGTTCATGGCAAATTCCTTCTTGCTCACTACAGTAGCGTTAGGAACCAACCCCGAAGCAAAAGTGATATCAGGGTTTTCCCAACCAAATAACGCAGCAGAAACTATCCAGTTGTTGCCAGGAGTGATTTCTGGCTCAACGGTGATTCCCAGATCATCATCGCTAAAGAAAGACAATGTGGCGTGCTGGGTGCCTGTAACCACTTCCACCGTGAGTTTGTTAGTCTTAGACCACAATAATGGCAAATAAGGAGTTAAATTAATATCAATAGCCCCCAAATCGAACGCATTAGTACCAACAACAGGGTTCCAAAGACTAGGAGAAATACCTCCGGTGAAGATCACCGGTTTAGGGGCCTCAATGGCCACGAGCTGATCATTGAGATAGAACTTCAACACCCGCACTGGGCCTTTACCGAGCAAATGATGGCCATGACTCTCGAATTTATGGACATTTTCATCAAGGACGTTGGAATACCAGAATTCTTCAGCAGCATTACCACTGACATGAACCCTAGCTGATGCGGCAATGGTTTTTCTGGAAAGTGGAGAAAGGGTATAAGAAACATCGTCATTTGGTAAGTAGCGCAATGGAGTACCATCGTTGTTGCCAGTAAGTGGAGTGATCGTAGATGGTGGACCATACACTACGGAATAAATCAGTTTAATTTGATTAAGTAATGAAGAATTGGCTTGTGATGGAAGCACAGATGATTCAAATGATTTGAGCATTGATGAGCCCAAAGAACTCACCATGGCATCACCATTATAATTGTAGTAATGAACAGTGATGGTGACGTTGAAAATCCCGGTGAGTTTATTATTGACCAAGTTATCCAATTGATAAACCAACTTCCCAGGTTTTTTGAAAAGACTAAGATAATCACTAGCGTCTTTCGTGATGTTGGAGATAACCGACTTGCCACCAGGTTCTGCAGTGGAAGTTCTCCAAATTTGGACGTCACTCAAGTACAAATGTGCCAATCTATCGTATTGCACCCCACTGACAACCGTGCTGATATTGACAACCACTCTATTGAAATCCAAATCTTCTGGAGGGGTATAGCCGACCATAGCAGGTTTTCCCCAAGAGTTTCCGAAACTATAATCATCCAAGACCACTTCAGAATATACTGGAACGCCATAATCCACAGCCGGGACGGAGACTTCAAAGATTTCATGATACTCTGGACCTTCAGCGTCGGTAGTGGAGCCCGATGGCACCCCAGAATCCAATTGATGTAATGAATGATTGATTTGGCTGGACACATCGTGGTTCACCAAAAAGAATCTTGAGAATGGTAGTTCACCATAAACATGTTGGTAGACAGATAACACTGATAAGATGAGGATGGCTGGATAAGTAATGCACTTTCTTATCAAGGAGCACCGACTTCTACTGGAAGGGTTGGTTTGCCATTTAGGAGCATTGGCCACTGGCAAGTATTCATTTTCCAACTTCAACTTCATTCTTTGTTGTTTGTTTTTTTGGTGAATATTGTTCGTTCAAACAAGCAAAATAACAATTCTTGCTAAATTGGCCCCCTTTTATAATAGCTAGCGATCTGCGCCGGAACACCGAATTATGCCTAATAAGGAACTAAAAAAAAAAAAAAAAAAAAAAGATTTGTCAACTATAGTTGAATACGCCAACTAGCGGAGTTAATTCTGATTAATAATATAGAGTATTTGCGGAGATAAATCAGTAACTTCTGGTTCATCTGGGAGGGAAAAAAAAAAAGAAGAAGGTGGGCTGCCAGCAATTAAATTAATTTGGCAGTGAAATAACAAAAAAATCCTTATCATGTGCACCAACCAGGTGGGTGCAACCAAGTCATCCGGAATTAGCGTGTCTATTATATCTATATATCTTGAGCGATTGATTGATTATTGCAATCTCTATTACAATAACTATCATGTAGTTTATCCTTAATGATTGCTCCCATTCGAAATCACCATGGAATGAATAAAGAACATCTGTTGTGATGGTCTAGTTACCTAATAATAATAATAATAATAATAATAATAATAATAATAATGTTGACATGCGGCGAAACATCAATAATACCAGGAGTTTGGTGCAAATTATTACAACATCATATAGTTATATCATAAAATAGGAATAATGTGGATACCTGCAACACTGGCTGGGCTCGGTTCCAAACTCCCCGAATACTATCATGATGTTTTTCCCATTTTGAGGCTGTCATCCGGAATCTTCTCTTAGCCGTTCAAAATCAATGGTATGCGGTGATCAATCCCACGGCAGAAATAGATCTAAGCTGGAGGCCTTGAAATGGATACCTACAAATACCCAAAGAATATTTATTAATATATATATATATATATATAATAGAATCCTAGAATATGTCTCGTGATTGTTTCGTCAGAAGCTTCTTTTATTATTGTTATCATCATATACAAGGATTATCTGTGACGCAGCTCGTTAACATTGTTACCACTTTTGTTTACATTAGCTCTCCATCTCAGTTTTGCAAACATTGTCTTTCAAGTCGAGCTCACATAACAATATCAACCTCGCCATTTCCAATAAATGAAAAAAAAAATTATATCTAGGAACCCAATTCCATAGTGTGTGTGTGTTTTTTTTTTGTTTTTGTTTGTTTTTCAGAAGAGTCTTGAATTGGTGTTTGGATAACCAGTAACGAATCTCAACATGAAAACCCCAAAATCAAGTTACCATTCTTTGGGCCTGCTTGAGTGTCAAAGAATGTCAGAATCCGCCGCCCCATTGAAAAGAAGAAATGTCATCAGAACTGTGGTTCTAGGAATATTATTCCTCACCACCACTGCATTATATTACTCTTCACTATTCAAATTCTTCACCAATTCAGCATCAACGCCGCAAGAATTCGTCCACTATAAGCGAGATCTGCAATTCGATCCACCGGCCGACCCTGGATTTCTAAGGGTTCCAAGATTAAGACATCTTGTTTCCCACCCCAAAGTCTCGTCAATTTCCACTGCCAATTTAACCAGAATGAACGCTTATACCACCAGTGATGACATTAAGGAAGTATCCCAAATTGCCCTTCCTGCTCCAACGTACGGTACTCCGGTGACATCCCAACAACTCTTCGAGCACGAATTTGCAAATTCTTATGGTTACGTTCTCAACGCCCCGTATTCTCCCCCAAGTAATTCGTTCAATCGAGTGACCCTTGAGCTTCACGTCACGTCACTGGGGGTCCAATATGATAGATTATCTCATTTGTTTCTTAATGATATCCCACTTTGGAGACCTTCTACTGCCGAACCCAGCGGGCTGGAAATTGAGTGGTCGGTGGTGAAAGACGTTAGTGATCATTTGCCATTGTTTGAAGTTCAAGGGACCATCAAGTTCGAATTGGATAATATTATCGATACCAGCACAGGGATTAATGGGGTGTTCAATGTCACAATTACTGCATATTACTATGATTATCAAGAACAAACCAACGCGTTACTAGATGAAGTAAAATCCGATTTATTTGTCTTCGATGGAGAAAACGTCACCGATAAATTGGTAGTTAATAATAATTACACGAAATCATCATCATCATCATCATCATCACTCGCCAATAACTTTTCGTTTTCCATTGGCACTACCGCTCCTTCGAAAATCTTCCTGATGGTTACACCATCATCATCCACCGGATCACCTCTCTTGCTCCTTCCTGATTCCAACTTCACCTATTCTGTTCCTCAACTCTCCTCAAATACCACCCGAGCAAAACTTCTGCTTTTCATCAGTGGTAACGGTAATGAAGAATTCTGGTACCTGAATATGCTAACACCTTCAACACAAACCTGGCCGTCTGTTGGTTTCCTTGGTGCTGGTCCTGTCAGAGTAATTAAAGTTTACTTAGACAACGAACTAATCAGTGTCAGACTGCCACCACCGGTGATATACACTGGGGGAATTGCTCCAAGTTTATGGAGTCCTACTGTAGGGATTGGTGCGTTCGACGTCGAGCCAGTGGAAGTTGATTTGAGTATCTTGTTACCGAAATTGACCGCCAGTTCCACCATCAAAGTCGAAGTGATTGCTGGCAAGCAAACTGCAGGTGCTACAAACGAGGAAACCACCACTTTGGAGAATTGGATCTGCTCGGGAAGTTTGATGGTTTGGGAAGATTCAAATGTTAAACAAATCACCGGCCAAGTAAACACCATCAGTTCCCAACCGGCATCGCAACAAATCACTGTGAATACTCCGGATTCCACCAGTTTGGACCAGACGGTCGGGTACGAAGCTACGGTGGATTGTGATTCGACCCTTCAAGTGGAACTCTACACCGGCGAGTCACAAACTTACGAATTCAAGAGTTCTCAACAGGTGAAGTTCTACAATGTTCAAACGTACCGGGCATCGGGGTCCAACAGCACTTGTCGGTCGGAAATCTCGATGGTCGATGAACTTACTTGTGATGGCACCACCAACAGTTATTCCAAAACCTATTTGACGGTGGTCAACATGAACGATACCACTACCGATAATGGATCGTCTGAAGTTATAGCAGTGGTGGTTGATCAAGGTAGTGACCGGACCAGACAATTGGCCGGGAAAAAACAGTACCAATGGAGTGAGTATCAAAATGGTACTGCACTGTTTGTATTAAAAAGCAGTGGGAATTATGGGAGCGGGAAGACTGATACCATGGTAAGTTTGGTTGAATATGATTCAGGTTTGAGCTATCATGATTCCAATTGATTTTTCTTCTTGTCAAGTGTTGGTATATGTTTCACCCTTAGAATTATAGAAAAAACCTTATAATACCATCCTTGGGATTTCATTTAAAACACACACACACACACACACACACACTTCAAAACATCTCCTGTAAGAGCTATCTTCAATACCAATCCTTGTTTTATTACTCCCTCTCTTCCTTTTTTTTTTTTTCTTTTTTTCCCCTTTCTTATTGTATTATGTTATTTAAGTTGCAGCCTGATCAGCAGTTCTCAACAAAAGATGGACAGTAGTGGCCAGATGATCCTCGTGTAGAAAGACTCGGATCATCCAACAATACGTTTCAAAACAGATGCCGAAGCTGTGTACACATATTTCAATCTATTGTACACACACACCCGCACACTTTCAACAAGAACACCAGCACACACACAACATCCATGATGCCTTCCATTGGCACATCATTCAGAACTCCACAATAAGCCCTATCTACCCGAAGAAAAGATATTCCCGCAAGACGAAAGTCCAAATAATATAAGGCAAAAGGGATAACGGCCCTTTATAGCTATACCGGTTAGTTAGTTACCCTGCAGCTGAATGCACCCGGCCCGCCGTGCGGCAGCTGCGGTGCCCCTAGCAGTGGCTTTTTTGCACTGTGTGAGGAATTAATTGTATTGTCACCACCTAAAGATCATCAAACATCCACCGTAGCGTTGCACAGAATCTACCCTACAATACCCACAACAATACCAATAATAGTACTTTTTTTTCCCCCCTCATTATTGAATACTCAGAACACCCTTGCTATCGAAACTTCTTTTAAAATAATGCCCCCCGACGATCAGTTCGGTCAGTCTATCGCAGACTCGACAACAAAACAACAACAACAACAACAGCATCACTTTTCTCAAAAAAGAGGCCCTTGGTCTCCGGAAGAAGATCGCAAGTTGATGGAACTCATAACTCTTTATGGTCCTACAAACTGGGTACGAATCCTGAACTTTTTGGGGTCGCGTACCGCCAAACAGTGTCGTGAACGATATCACCAGAATTTGAAACCCTCGTTAAATCGGTCGCCAATCACCCCCGAAGAAGGGGCGTTGATCGAGGAGTTAGTTGTTCGATACGGTAAACGATGGGCAGAGATTGCCAGGCACTTAAATGGAAGGTCAGATAATGCCATCAAGAACTGGTGGAATGGTGGTGCCAATAGAAGAAGAAGAGCCAGTGCCCAAGCAACATTACCTCAAGAACAATATCTCCATAACTTGGCCAATCTGCAACAACAACAACAACAACAACAACAACAAAGAACAGCTCCTATAGAGAATAACAGTGACTCGTCAATGGACCATCATCCTCAACACATGGCCTCTTCTTCGGAACATCTAGGGTATTCCAGTCCTAGTCATCCACATAATCTCCAACCACCAGCCAATGTTGGTGGATCTTTGAAACAATTTCCGCCTCCTATGTCATCGCAAATCAATTTGCCCTCTTTGACTCCTAATTTATCATATCAATCTACAGAGAGCACCTACAATAATCAAAACGGCTTTGTTCCGACATATATCACCACCGGCTCAGCTCAAAACCAGCCGTCTCTTATCGGCAGCGAGTTTTCAAAACGCCGCTTACTTGATCGCCGACATTCAGCAGCTACCATATTGTCTTCAAATTATATTCTGCCATCTCCAACGTCGCTAGTTAACTCTCGTAATTCTCTGATTTCTTTTGACGCGTATTCTAGCAACGATTCATTGACGTCCAATTCTCGTCGTTCTTCAATCATCGATACCTCAAGCGGCTTGGGTGGTAACACTGGCTTGGGGTTATCTGTTGGCTTGGGAAATACTTTAGAAGGTACCAGGAAAAGACATTCGATATTCGGATTAAATAATATGGGAATCACGAATTCCTCCACCCCTATGAATAGCGGATATTCCTCGCCCAATAAACCAGGTGATCAAATGCCACCAAAAGACCCCAATAATAATAATATTAATATTAATAATAATAATAATAATGGTAACACTCTACCTCCATTGAACTTTAGCACCACTGCACTTTCACATCATACCACGTCGATTGCCTCGTACCATCAGAATACACACGGGCCATCACATCAAAGTTTCAATCCGCCTGTTTACCAACATCTTCAGCACCTGCATCTGGTAACCTTACCACCTTTGTCGACCAATTCTGAAAACTTACTGAATGATATCTTCAAACCAAACTTCTCTTTAGACAAAAAAACTCATGAAAACTTGAAAACTGGTGTATCGACAACCATCGCCCCTTCACAGAAAACCCTGGGCGGTGCAGGATTGTTTAAATCGAATTTCTCGTTTAGACCAACAGCCACTGCTGCTGCTGCTGCTATTCCACAACATCATGGCAAACCATGTCCCGGCGCGGCAGAAAGAATGGTCATTGATTGTTCAGCTGGCGACCCAACTCTGATAAAAACCGGTGATCAAATAGACAACAATGTGGTTATGACTGATGCTTCGCCGGTAGTGCCGGCATCATCTGCGACTGTTTCTTCTGAAACATCAACAGAGGAGACTGATCCTAAAAAAGAAGAAGCACAAGGAGGAAGAATTGCGATTTCAAATTTGCTTAGTTAGTTGATGAATGGTTTTTACTGTCTATATTTTTTCCCCCTTTTTTTTTTTCTCTCTTTTTTTTTTTTTTTTTTTTTTTTTTTTTTTTTTTTTTTTTTTTTTTTTTTTCTTTTTTTTTTTTTGTTAATACCTCCATCACTTCATTTCTTGTTTAAAGTTTTCTTTTCTTTCATGGTTAGTTATAATATAATGATGGTGTTCATCAGGTTTGGCTTGATGTTATGATTTACAAAAAATTTCATGTGTACCTACGATAGGCGTATTTCTAATAATGCACTAGGCTGTTCAATTTTCATACCAATTGAGGAAATCTCTTGATGAACCATATTTCACACCCAATTTGAGGAGATATTTTGATGGATCTTTATAATATTCATCAAAGTCAAAAAGGATTTTCTTTTTGACCGACGCGTTGAAAATTTCCCTGTGAGAAAAGTTACCGCAATATGATATTCCTATTCAATACTTCCAAAGAACGATATTGGAAAAAAGAAATGTTTACAGCCCAAATAATAATTTCAATTTGATTACTGGAGAGATGTTATATTTTACATCAGTCCTCCCAGTAAAGACCATATTTGGGGAGAGTATATATATATACTGATGGATAGTTTTGGTGATCATTATAAACAATATCTAATAGTATCAGATGTTTGGTGAGCATAGTTTATTATCATGAGCATCCTAGTATCTAATTATATTTATAATATCGTTTGTGGATTATCTCATTGGAAAAAGCTTTCGCAATAGTTCGTCTTCAATAAATTCGACGCGTCAAGTCATGTCGCTTGGCGAAGGGTTAGAATTCTAACGTTGTAATTCCAAAAAAAATAAAAAAAAATGTATTATAGAATGTGTGAAAAATAATGTTATCATTATCAATCTTGATATATAATATTTAATTTGCTAAATATATGTCAAAAAAAAAAAAATAATTAAAAAACGCGTAATATACAACTATCAGATTGAATGTACATTTTATAACGATGTCGTAATACAGCTCAATATATAATCCAAACCCTAGGAATCTAAGTTCGAATGATTTTATCTAGTAGGCTTTAAATTTCTTATATAATTGATATCCAGGGAAATTGGATCCTCTTAATAGAATCCAAATTCTTTTCTGAAGATCATGGCTTTGGTCTGGAAATCCATTGATCTCCCACATTCTCATTAATGATGCGATGTAGTCCAAGGAATACTTCACCAAATCATCGCTATCTTTTCTTTATATTATAAATTTAAAATATCTATATTCTCTTGATATTTTTTTTTTCTCTCAAAATGTATTGTAACTATTTTCTCCAACTCTGAAGGCATTTACTCTTCAAAACTTTTTTGGTGGACAGATAAATAAATTTGATTTTACAATAATCCTAAAAACCAAGAAAAAATGAACATATGTTCTATTGTATTATCAGGTACTAAAATATTTGAGCAAAGTGCATTTTTTAAACACTCTATCTAATTTTTTTTTTTTTTTTTCCTTCAAAGTACAAGACATGGATCACTATCTTCTAAGATAAAACTCCAATGAGTATTAGTCTTTATGTGTTCGTAGGAAATGTTCCAATTTGAGAAGTTAATCTCTCTCAGAACACATTTATGTTTAAATCAAAATAATACAGTAGATAATTTGATATTTGAAAAGTATCATGAAGAATATACTTTTAATTAGTTTTTTTTGGATCTTGATTTTATTTTGAAAGGTCCTTGTTTCAAAAGAAAAGTATTTATAAGAAAAGTATTTATAAGAAAAGTATTTATCAGAAATGAGATTCGAACGTGTCATCTTGAGGTTCGGAATCTCTTCAAATGAAAAAAAAAAACAAAAAAAAACCGGTTATAAAAGAAAAAATAAGAACCTATGATTCTCAAAACAATAATATAATCAATGATCTTCCGATAATATACCGCATATATTATTATTATCTACTCTACATATGCTATATAGTATCCATACGATATAATATATGATGATGGCATTTGTTTGTTTATAATCACGTGCTCATAATGTCAACAAACACAGAAAAATAAACAAACAAAATCGCCAAAAAGCCAATGATAATAAGTGAGAATCGCAATATAATGGGAGATAAGATATAGCCCAGGGTTCTTTTTTTTGCGTACTTTAAAATGGCGGATTTTTCCCAAATTAATACTATTACTGCTCTCCAACAGCTGAATGTTCAAAAACAATTGCATAGTGCCCATCTAAAGAATCATAATCGTGAAGCCAAAACTTCGCTACATCATCCTGGCAATAATATACCCCATGGATTGCAGAGGACCATTACTGCTGATCATTCGAAAAACGGTAATTTTATTGATAAATCCTTATGGGAAACCGAAAGAGTATTGGATAATATCCGCCTTGAAAAAAAATTGGCCAAATTAGATTTAGAAAACATGATTTTCGAATACGATAAAAATAAGGATATAAGTTTCATGAGCGATGCTACAGAGATCAAGCTATTGAAGGAAAGTGGAGAGTTTGGGAGGAAAAATATTTTCACCAATAATAAGCACGGACAAGAAAAAAAAAGAAATATAAAGAAAAAGCTGAGATTTTCAGATGATGTTAAAACGATACTAGATGGGAAAGGCAGCATCAAGAACAATAACCAAAAGAAGCAAACGGCGAGAGTGGTTGGCAAATCATTGGACGTTAATGTGACTCAAAATAAGAAAACCAGTACCAAGAATGCTGACAGACCTCTTCCTAGGATTAATGATAATTCTAAAAAATCAAATGATCCGTCACTCGGAAAGCATTCACAGCCCAACAACCTAACACGACAATCATCATCGACAAAAATAGTATACCCAAAACCAGTCACACGATCCAAGAGCTTGAGAGACATAACTTTTGATGATGGGAAAACTAACTACTATTCAATGGTCTCCAATGCGTCGAGCTCAAATACCACCCTTGACGAAATTGCCCAGCTAAAGAGGGACTCGCTAGAAAATGAGGCCAAAGACGCCTCTAAAAGTGAAAGATTGATGAAATTATACGATGTGCCCAAAAAAAATATCCTTGATTCCGATATCGAATCCTTGGGACTAGAATCTTCATTTGAGTACGACCTTGACTTTCCTGGTAAAGAAGGCCAGCAATATCCTTTGGGAAAAATTGAGGAATTAGAACCTTTGCGGATGGAAAAAGTTGCGTTCAGTGATGGCGTAAAACTTAATACTAATGCTGTTATGGAATCTCAATCTAGTCCTTTCAGTAATCAGTCACCAAACCTGGCCGAGTTAACAGATAATGATCTATCAGTAATGCCCACTCATTTTAGCAGCGCAAACAATATGACCAGCACCCCTGCCAAGTTATACTCGATCGATAGTAGTACCCCATTGATCAGGAAAGTTTCCTTCGCTAATATTGAGAAAGAGCAAACCAATTCTCCAGAAATCAATACTACGCATAGAGCCAAAGAAATCCAGAACCCTATATTTATTGAGGCAAAAGGTAGGATTGAAAAAATAGAAAATCAAATATATGATAATATCGATATGGATGAAGAGGAACAAAGAAAAGTTGAGAATCATCAAACCTCGGAACTCCCTGCTGATACAAAATCTGGCAATGATTTTATTGACAACGGTGATTCCTCAGACACCATCCTCGGAGATGAGGATAGAGAGCAATTAGAGTACGAGAAATTGCGGTTGCTGTATGATCTAAAAGTGTTGGAACGCGAAAGAGAAGACTTTGAAAATGCCAAGAAAGAATTTTCCATTGAATTGGCAAAGTTGAAATCAGAAAAGCAGAAAGTGCAAAAGATGAGACAAGAAGTGGAGAATGAGAAAATCAAGTTGAAGAATGACAAACAGAATTTAGAAATGGAAATTATGAAACAAAAAAGACTGACATCACAGCCACAAACACTGGATGAACTAATTGACACCAACAGAGCTAACCAGACATTATTTCATAGTGCATTAGATCAATCAATAGTTGACAATTCCAAGTTGAGATCCCAGATATTTGATACTTTTGCTTCTAGTGACCATCCTAACCAATTGGAAATTAAGGGCTATATTTCTAGCCTCGAGAATTGTCTTAATAACCTTATCAAGGAACGTTATTTGAAGGATTTTGAAATGTCAAAGTTGAAGGCTCGAATAAGCGGGCTCAAGTTTGTGAGCGGTTATCTTGAACATACAGTTCGAGAAGTTTATGTCGACTGTTTGCTTCAATTGATGAAGTATTCTCGGGATTCTAATACAAAGAGTGACAATAAATTAAACCGATTGATTGATATTTCTGGCATTGATGAATTAACCCAGAGCGAAATATCTAAGATTTTCGATAGTCATACTGGTCATGGTAAACAAAGGCAAACCGCGCCAATTCATAATCCAAGCACCAGCTATTTTAATAACTTGTCGATACATCTTGATGCTAAGCTTAGTAATGTGTTGACATTTAATAATCGAAACTTTCATTCCTCGGCGATGTCGCCCAGAAAAAAGTTGATAGTGCTTGTGAAGTTTGTCATGGTGGTTAATAAATTCAAACGATTAATGAAGCAGAACAGGAAGAAGGAGAAGAAATTGTACAGAATTTTGGAAAGAAAATCAGTCCCAATAATGAATTAGGAACTGAAGGGGTATGAAACCCACCAAAGACAAAAATTGGAGCAAATGGTTTTTGGTAAAAGACATCCCCTCCCTTTTTTTTTTTTTAATATCCTAATGGTATTTCTCCCAAATTTCAGTGAATTTGTATTATGGACATGATGTATTATGGATATGATGCATTTGAAAAGATAAGGAAACCATCAAAAACCTATTGCAATTGTTGAAGCTACGCTGGGTCTTTTTTGTCCATCGGAATAGGAGGCTTTCTTGAAGGATGAAATCTATGCCATTCAGTCGAGACATGTATATTGCAGAGAATATTTTCACTAAATGACAATAAAACACTTTTGGAAACCATATTTATCGGCTCATTTCCTTATTCCGTAGATCTTACTAGTAAATCCTACGTGCTGGTAGGTTTCTTTGATCGCTTAATTTAACGCAACTCTGGGATAGGCCATGATAACTATTTGGAACACACCTGTGTGATTTGAAATTATTTTCAGAAAGCTGTACGTCCGTAATCTCTGCAGAAATACCTATAGGTGTTGTTTGCAAGTCTGCTCCACCCATTTTTGCTTTTTGTTTTACAGTAATTGGATCACAGAAGGTTTCCACCTGGAACATCAAAAAATGGGCCTGCATGATGGCATATCGCCTCCCCAATGCAATCAACCCAGATCACTGATTTTCTTGCAAAAAACAAAATAAAAAGATGATTCCTAGAAAGGCCAAGTAGTTGCCGAAAAAATATTGGATTCTTTTTTCTTTTTTCTTTTTTCTTTTTTCTTTTTTTTTTTTCCCTTCTTGTGATTTCTTGTCAGTGATGGTTTTGTGTAGGTCTATTTCTTTTCTTAGTTGGGGTGGGTGGCATTTGAGACATCAATTTAACCAAAATCAGCTAAATTTGTGAAGGCGATGTCTCCTGTTTCGGATAAAGCAGTAAAATATCTATTGTTATCCACCAATGGTGCTATTCTCGTGATTTTTTTTTGCAAAAGCTACTTATACTCTCAATCGGGAAGTATAATTTTCCCATGAACTCGCGCTAGCGTCTGGACATGCAGCATGCGCCAGACTAGTGAGTAACAAAATAATGCTGATGGTGGCACTTCACAGGCTAAAAACCTCTTGATACGCTGTTTTGGGCTTAATGACGTTTCATATCCGGGAAAAAAAGGCAGACCTATTCTAAAACATGCTAGGGCTGACTTGGGTCAAACAATATCTTCTCTCTTAATGGAAATATTATACCCTATTCCAAACAAATAGAAAAACCGCTAATTTGGTTGGGGTTTACCAAAAAAAAAAAAGAAAAAGCAAAAGAAAAAGAAAAAACAGAAGTTACCGAAATCCGAGATCAAAATAATAGGACGTACAGAGGGAAAAGCCTTTGGATAAGACGACAAATAACAAGCTTTGGGTGGGGGCCTGCAAAAAACTTTATTGTGGTCCTCCACTTTTTTCTCACTAGAGGTTATTTATTCTTAGCTCAATTTTTTCTGTCTTCGCACATATTTTCAAACTAACAATGACATGCGCACTAAGCTAAAAGCTTACGATCATAAGCTTAGATCGACCTTGACTTTCTCGACGGATGTTTCAGCAGTCCACAACTCATCAAAAATAATATAATGCTCTTAATATATAAATGGGTTGATGATCTCTACCAATTGTTATGTCATTGTAGTTTATTCTTCTTTTTTATCATCACTACTTTATTGAATTCTCTACATTATTAAAATAGTAAAGTATCAAAAAAAAATGTGGTTCAAGTCATTATTCTCATCCCTTGCCCTTGTGCAAGTATTTGCTACTCTCGCCAGTGCCACTGATGGTGATTTAGACAACAGAGGGGCTATCCACGAAAGTACAGGTTGTTGGATCAGTTCTAGTTACACCTCTGAAGGGTTCTACGCCAGATTTTATAACTATACCTTCGATCAAGCTTATGACGAAGCTTTCGTCGAATATGGTTATGCTGACTACGGTAAATTGATCGCTACTGCTGAAAACGTCAAAGATATTGACATTCTTTACCCAACTACCCCAGCAGGTGTTTTATACGGGGACATTTACGGGGACAACCTCACCATTTCCAACTTCACCTTGATTCTTACTGGTTACTTCTACGCTAAGGAAACTGGTTACTATAACTTTGACTTCCACACCACTGATGATGCTGTTGTTTTGTATTTCGCCTCTGATGCCGCCTTTGATTGTTGTAACAGTAAAACTCTTTCTACTCATGCCAACTTCAGTGATTCCGTCATTTACACTACTGGTTCTATTGCTAGTGATGGTCTCGATTATGATGCTTCTAGACAAACTTACCTTGAAGGTGGTTACTACTACCCTACTAGAATCGATTACATTAACATCGTCCATTACGCTAACTTGCAATTGACTGTGACTTATCCAAATGGTGAAAAAGTTACTACTTTCGGTGATTCTGTTTATCAATTTGATGAAGAAGATTCTACTTGTGTTACTGTTACTCCTCTGGCCCCAGCTAGTACCACCACCATCACTTCTGTTTGGACTGGCTCCTCTACCTCCACTTACACCACCACCATGTCTAACCCAAGCTCCCCAATTGAAGTTGTCGTGGAAACTCCAAGAGGCACTACCACCGTCACTACCAAATGGACCGGTACTGGTACTTCTACCACCACCACTACTCCAACTGCTCTCAGCAGTGAAGTTACCGTGATCGTTGAAACTCCTTATCACAGATCAACTACTTCTACTGGCCACTGGACCAAAACTTTCACTTCCACCGTTACCACCGAGACTGCAAGCGCTCCAGCTGGTACTAACACCGTCGTGGTTGATATTCCAGATACCACCACTACCACAACCACCCACTACACTGGTAAGACCACTTCCTACACCACTGTCTGGCCAACCGGTGACAACACTATTGTTACTGTTAGTGAATTTATCCCTGATGGAACTACTAGCTACACCACTCACTACACTGGTCAAACTACTTCTTACACCACTACCAACCCAACCGGTACTGGTACTGATTTCACTGTCTCTGAATTCATCCCAGATACCACTACTACTACCATCACCCACTTCACTGGTGAAACTGTTTCCCTTACCACCATCTACCCAACTGGTGACAACACGGTGATTACTGTTTCTGAATTCGTTCCAGATATTACCACTACCGTCAAGACCCACTACACTGGTAAAACTACTTCTTTTACTACTTACTATCCAACTGGTTCTAACACCGTGATTACAGTTTCTGAGTTCATCCCTGATGGAACTACTAGCTACACCACTCACTATACTGGTAACGCCACTTCTTACACCACCACCAACCCAACCGGTACTGGTACTGATTTCACTGTCTCTGAATTCATCCCAGATACCACTACCACTACCATTACCCACTTCACTGGTGAAACCGTTTCTCTTACCACCGTTTACCCAGATGGTGCTGGTAACCACACTGTGATCACTGTTTCTGAATTCATTCCAGACATCACCACCACTGTTCCAGTCCAATACACCGGTAAAACCACCTCATACACTACCATTTACCCAACTGGTGCTAACACTGTCATCACCGTTTCCAAGTACATTCCAGATATCACCACCACCATCAAGACACACTGGACCGAAACCACTACTTCTTTGACCACTTACTACCCATCCGGTAATGGTTCCGTTATCACTGTTAGTGAATTCATCCCTGATTTGTCTACTACCGCCACTGAAGGTTGGACCAAGAACTACACTTCCATTGTCACCACTGAATACCCAACTGGTACCAATGATGTTGCTACTATTCTTATTGCCATCCCAGACAAGAGTACCACTATCACTTCTTACTGGACTGGTCTTACTGCTAGTGAAACCACTGTTTACCCAACCGGTACTAATGTCAATGCTACCATTTCTGATGAAATTTTCACTCCTGGTGTTACTGTCACTACCACTATCCCATGGTCTAAGTCTTACACTTCTACTTCCACTATCACCCCAGCCAATCCAGCTTCTGGTACCGGTACTGTTGAAATCTTTACTCCACAATCCACTACCACTGCCTACTACGGTAATGCCACTGTCGCCACTTCTTCTTTGAGTACTTCTACCGATATTGTTAGCGACTTGACCACTGACATTGAAACAATTACTTATTGTGGTGAACAAGGGTGCACTCGTTCTACTATTCACTCCACTTTTGTTGCTTCTACTTCAAAGAGTGCTGCTGCTTCTCCATCTAGTGGCTCCTCTTCATCCAGTGTTGCTGTTGCTTCTACTTCCTCTACCTCCGCTACTGTCGCCGCTGAAGCGTCTACTTCTTCTTCTGCAGCTGTCGTCGTTGAATCCTCTGCTGCCACTGCCATTGCCACCGAAGCCTCTTCTTCTTCTTCTTCTTCTTCTTCTGCAGCTGTTGTAGTTGAATCCTCTGCTGCCTCTTCCTCTGCTGCCACTGCCATTGCCACCGAAGCCTCTTCTTCTTCTTCTTCTTCTGCAGCTGTCGTCGTTGAATCCTCTGCTTCCTCTTCCTCTGCTACTGTTGCTGCTGAAGCTTCTACCTCTTCCTCCACCACCTCCTCCGCTACTGTTGCCATTGAAACTTCTGCTTCTGCAAGCTCCACTGCCTCCGTTCAAAGTTACGAAGGTGCTGCTTCCAGAGTCAACAGTCTTTCTGCCTCTATCTTGGCTTTCTTCATTTCTTGTGTTTTCTTATTCTAATACCCTCGGAATACTTTTTCCTTAACACCATAGACTTTTTCTTACCAATGGGTCATTAATTGATTCCATGCTTTTTTCCTTTTAATTCTTCTTTTAGACTACAGTTTTGTACTAGAGCTCTTACATAACTATTACTTTTTCAACCCATTCTTTCGGTTGATTTTATATTTTTTTTTCATACTTTTCTCTTTCTTATTTTCTTTAGGTTTCGCAAATAGATCTGGAATCTTTATTTATTATCATATAATCTAGTAGTATCTTCTAAAAGAGAAACTTATAGCATTCATTCTCTGAACCATTTATTTTTTACAAGTACAATCACCAGACCTGGGTGCCTTTATTGACTGAAAACCAATAGGTCAAGATAAAATAAGGCAAGCTTGAATAGCACATCCTATCCCCATGATGTGTTATTATGTGATATTGATGAGTACCAATGATTTATGACACAGGCTAGAAATTTTTCTTTTATCAGAGTTATTACTATTTAATGTTACCTTCGCCATTTTCTTGATTTTCCATAGATATTGTTCAATAGGTACAGTAGTAGACCCCATATGCATATGGAAACGTCATAACTAACTAACTCTTGCAAAAGGTTAGGAAAAATGCTTAGCAGAAGCCTGAACTTGCTTGCTATAATTAATTTAAAAGAGAATGAAAAGAGAAACGTCTAGCACCCACTCAGTGTGACTAATAATAGCGACAATTCGGAGTTAGTCAGTCGGTGTCTGATAATAAGATGACATGAAACACTCCCATTGCGGTGGACCGTCGGTGGCCGGGCAATGATGCGGGGAGATGACTAAATGCAGCCATCAATTGAAAAATTTCAGGATTTCCGAAATTTGAAGTTTTCTGCCCGCTTAAGATCCTAACCTAAACTACTTCATTCTCTTTTACTATATTTGTCACCGAGAACAATATTGTTTAATAACAATAATAATAATAATAATAAGATGAGCGTTCAGTTAAGACAGCAATTCGTCAAGGCCAAATCTGAAGGTATGTCTTTTCCATAGAATAATATTCAACTTGATTCATGACGCCATTCTTTGTTGGGGGATGATTCAATTTTATAGATATAAATATATATACTGACTCATGTGTTATTATTAGGCCGTGCTGCGCTTGTCACATTTATCACAGCTGGGTATCCAACCATTGAAGATACCGTTGATATCATCAAAGGTTTCCAAGATGGGGGTGTCGACGTGATCGAGTTGGGTGTTCCATTCTCCGACCCTATTGCTGATGGTCCAGCCATTCAAGTTGCCAACACCAAAGCCCTTGAAAACGGTATGACCGTTGACAAAGTGTTTGAACTCGTCAAAAAAGCCCGTGCTTCTGGTGTCACCGTTCCTATTATCCTTATGGGCTACTATAATCCTATTGTGAACTATGGTGAAGTCGAATTCATCAAAGCCTCTAAAGAAGCGGGGGTCAATGGGTTTATCGTTGTTGACTTGCCTCCTGAAGTTGCCGTGCAATTCAGAAACGGTTGTTATGAATACGGTCTTAGTTACGTTCCATTAGTTGCTCCATCTACTACTGATGAAAGATTAGAAGTGTTGTGCGGTATTGCCGATTCTTTCTTATACGCCGTGTCTAGAATGGGTACCACTGGTGCTACAGGTACTTTATCTACAGGTATTGATGCTCTTATCTCCAGAATCCAAAAGTTTTCCGGGTCAACCCCAATTGCTCTTGGGTTCGGTATTAGTACTAGAGAACATTACTTGGCTGCTGGTTCTTCTGCTGATGGGGTTGTGATTGGTAGTAAGATCATCGGTTTAGTTGGCGATGCCCCAGCTGGCCAAAGAGGTGCCACTGCTAAGAAATACGTTGAAAGCATTTTGAAAGGTGATGGTACCTTCAGTAAGGAAATTACCCCAATTGCCGACGATGAATCATCAAACAAGAAAAAGATTGCCGAAGATGTGCAAGAAGTCCACAAATTCTCCCCAATGTTTGGTCAATTTGGTGGTCAATACGTTCCAGAAGCTTTACACAAATGTCTTTCTGAATTGGAACATGCCTTCGATGACGCTGTCGAAGATCCAGCTTTCTGGGATGAACTCAAATCATTGTACACTTATATTGGTAGACCATCTTCATTGCACGAGGCTGCCCGTTTGACCGAGTATGCTGGTGGTGCCAAGATCTGGTTGAAGCGTGAAGATTTGAACCATACTGGTTCCCACAAGATCAATAACGCCATTGCCCAAGTGTTGCTTGCCAAGCGTTTGGGCAAGACCAAGATTATTGCGGAAACTGGTGCTGGTCAACATGGTGTTGCCACCGCTACTGCTTGTGCCAAGTTCGGGCTAGAGTGTAAGATCTTTATGGGTGCCGAAGACGTTCGTCGTCAAGCTCTTAATGTCTTTAGAATCCGTATTTTGGGTGCTGAAGTCGTTGCCGTTGAAAACGGTACCAAGACTCTCAGAGATGCTACATCTGAAGCCTTTAGATACTGGGTTTCTAATTTGGACAGCACTCACTATATTGTTGGTTCAGCCATTGGTCCACATCCATACCCAACTTTGGTTAGAACTTTCCAAAGCACCATTGGTAATGAAGCCAAGGAGCAATTCAAGCAATTAAACGACGGCAAGTTGCCAGATGCGGTTGTTGCCTGTGTTGGTGGTGGTTCTAATAGTACCGGGATGTTTTCTCCATTCGAGCATGACTTGTCGGTCAAGATGGTTGGGGTGGAAGCCGGTGGTTCTGGTATTGATTCTGACCATCATTCTGCTACTTTGACAGTTGGTCGTGTTGGTGTTTTCCACGGGGTCAAGACTTTTGTGTTACAGGATGACGATGGGCAAGTGCATGATACCCACTCTGTTTCTGCTGGGTTGGATTATCCTGGTGTTGGACCGGAATTGGCTGCTTGGAAGGAAAGTGGCAGAGCGTCATTTGTCGCTGCTACTGATGCCCAAGCGTTACTTGGTTTCAAGTTGTTGAGTCAGTTGGAAGGGATCATTCCAGCCTTGGAATCGTCGCACGCGGTTTATGGAGGGGTTGAATTGGCCAAGACCATGAGCAAAGACCAGAACATTATTATCAATGTTTCTGGTAGAGGTGACAAGGATGTGCAAACCGTTGCCGAAGTGTTGCCAAAGTTTGGGGAGGAGATTGGCTGGGATCTTAGATTCAACAAGGATCATCCAGACAAATGAGTTTTTTTTTTCAACTATTTTTATTAATATGATATATACTATCATGTATACTATACAAGAGTGATATAGTAATAATACTACTACTACTACTACTACTACTACTACTGCTACTACAATATAATGCTACTTACAATATATATAGAGTATAACGGGTGTAATATATGGGATACGAGGAGATGGGTGGCAAACGTCACGGATACTCTGCTCACCCTGCCTGAGGTTGTCAACGAGTGTCCGGGTAACGTTCACCACCCCAGTGTCACTTTTCTGTGTGGTTACAAGGCCCCGCCGGCTATCTGCAGCAAGTTTGACTTAATTGCCATCGCCTCTTTCTTTTTGCTGTGCGAATCTATTGACATCTCAGTTTTCTTTTCTTTGAAAATAAGTAAAGATCGGTTAATTTGGTCAACAAAGATTTCCCGAGCGATAACCATTATTCCAAGGCGTCCCACTCTAGGCTTTGCCAATTCATATTACTACTTTTTGTTATACAACTTCCAGCAGTTTGTTTTTCCCCACCCACCAGGTGCTCCTCAAAACAATAATCCCCCAATTGTCATCACAATAGTATCATTGGCCCCATTTTTCACCTATCGCATTCCCATTCTTCAAGCGTGATAATTCATTACAGTCAAGACCATATATGTTCCTGCGGAATTGAATGAAGTCTCCGATGGCTACAGTAAACAAGAGTTCCTCATCTTCCGGGGCTACGGAAAACTCCATCAATTCTGGCTCCAACAGCAGTCAAGCATCCAACAACAAACCTGGCTCAGTGTCCCATGGATCTTTTTCTAATCCCGCATTTCCTGCCAATGCTAGATACTCAAGAAACTTATCGTTTGGCACATTATTCCAGAATTTGAACTCTGCCACTGGTGACGGCAGAGATGATTCACTATCGTTCTTGCCCCAACTAAACGAAAATGTATCACTTGGTCTGCGAAACAATTCGTTAATGAACTTCAACAATCAAGACCTTAATTTCAATATTTCATCATCATCAGCAGCAGCAGCAGCGCCACCAACAACAACATCAACACCTTCAACAACAACATCAACTAACCCTCATAATATATCAAACCCAAATAACCCCACAGTCAACGCACAAAACAGTCCTGGTAGTAATTCGCATTCACCAATTCAACAGCCGTCTCAGTCACGAAAATCATCAATTACTGGCGCACTTTCTTCGAACAACACCAATTCTTCTTCGCAACCGGCACATTATCACGAAAGACTCCCTTCATTCTATAGTTCTGGAGGGTCTTCTTCAGGAAATCCCGGCCCGATATTCAATACTGAAGTTTTTTCAAACCATGGACTGAATAGCTCATCAACTGGTAATGCCACTGGGTCTTCCACGATATCGGCAGGTGGTGGGAATCACAATCCAGGGAGTTCTCGAAACCCGTCTCTAAATAATATCTTTAGTTATCCAGGTGATGTCCAATCACCTCCAGGTGCAGGGTTCTATCATCGACCATCAATTGGTAGCTTTAACTTTGGCAATGTTGGGAGAAGAAACTCGAATTATTTACCAAGTCTAGGAATGGGAGACATAAATAGTGATTTCGACAATTTTTTCAAGCGTGACAGTGTTATGAAAGGGATGAGTGGTGATTTACAATTTGCCCCACAAGTATCTAGAAATAATTCGACCGACGTCAAAGGGAAACCGGAGAGTTACCTTCTGGATAACGTGAACATCAACCAACAAGAACTGAAACTTTTCCCAATTAATGAAAGAGATGCTGCCAATCAAAGAAAGCACCAACGGCAGACGTCTGGCGAATATGGTGATCGAAAGCGTCTTAGGCAAACAAAATTGAAAAACGTAAACGAATCTGCTTATAATAATGTACTGCAAGACCAACTACAACAGTTACAGACGGTGCAACAACAACAACAACAACAACAGCAGCAGCAGCAGCAGCAGCAGCAGCAACAACAACAACCTCCAATACCCCAAAGAATTCAACAGGCTCGTACCGTTCCTCCTCCAAAATATCAATTTCCCAAACCAGTTGGTAACACCACTGGTCAGAAGACCAGTGCCGGTACCCCACCAATACCTCAGACTACTCCGCCAAATAGTTCTTTGATGATGGCTCCAACTTCTGATAAACAAGAATTCAAAAGTCCATCTCAACAAGTAGTATCAGGAACTCAAGCCCAACAGTTATTGCCAGTCAAAGATGCTGGACCGCAAACCGAGGATGGCAAACCACTTTTGGGTGCTACTAAAGTTGACCAGCTTATGCTTGTAATTCAGGCGCGGGCTAAAGGGGTAAAAAAGCAAATCCAACAGGCTCCTGATGGCCTGATTCTTAATGATGGTGAAGTACTTCCTCCAACTATTGAACTTGTGGGAGGCATTGATAAAATCAAATCCCGAGCAAACGCCAAGAAGAAGTACCAGTGTAAATATTGTTTCAAGAATTTCACCCAGTCTACCCATCTTGAAGTTCATCTTAGGCTGCACATTGGACTTAAACCATTTAAGTGTGAACATTGTGGGAAAACTTTTACTCAAGGCGGGAATTTACGAACCCATTTAAGATCTCATACTGGGGAAAGACCGTTCAAATGTGATGAATGTGGCCGATGCTTTTCTCGTAAAGGTAATTTAGCGGCTCATAAGTTGACTCACTCGCACATCAAGCCATTTGAATGCAAACTTGATAATTGCGATAAGGCATTCACCCAACTTGGGAATCTTAAAGCCCATCAGAACCGATTCCATTCCCAAACCGTTCTTGAACTTACTAATCGCCTTGCCACTCTCGGAGAAGACCTTTATCATCTTCCTCCAGATGAGAGGTCAACCATTGAATATTTTTTGAATATTTATAAGAATCTGAACAAGGGAATCAAGGGACGTGGAAGGAAAGGAATGGGTAAGGCCAATGCTAGAAATAAAGAAATTGACAAATTCCAGCAAGCAAACGATCAACTGGACCCAACCGGTGATCGTGCCATGCTCCCTCCTGGCACTCAGGTACCGGGGCAATTTGATGGTAATGAGTATCCTACGACTTTAGGTGGTGCAGCACCGGGGGCTCAATCAGGGTATTATCTTCCACCACCAGGCCAAACACAAATGGGAATAAATTATCGAGTGAATCTTGCACCAGGATATGGGTTCAATGGCAATCCCCCACCATCCTAAATGATGTTCACCTCGATTTGTTCCAAATGGTTTTAAACCTTTTCAAGGCGGAATCCTTTTTCTATCTCCCTTGGACAAATGATTTGATATTATGTTCTAAATACCCTTTTTTTTTTGTTGGGGCTTCTTTCTACTTTTTATATTTATCTTCCTGTGTCTATTATTTTTTTTATTTGTGTTTCTCTTTTTTTATTTTTCATTTTTATTTTATTTTAGCGGTGATCTATAGTGGTTTGGAAATTATTGATTAGAAAAGACATCGGAAAAACAACTTATAACAAAAAAAACAAAAACAAAAAACATATTCAAACGTTTCACTCTTCTCCTTTTATATTATATACGGATTTTCTTATAACATTTGTGTATTATTTAGTGTCTGGTATTACGGTTCTTTAATTCTATACTTTGTATTATTTTATATCATCATGTAAAAGAGATGATCCTCATATCGCTTACAATATCGTGAAAAAAGATGATTCTTATTTATCCATTTTAATAATAAAAGTTAGTATCATGGTGCCCACAGCATTTTTGTCAAATATGTCGAAACAATAGGGTTCAATAACTTTTGCAGGGTGGAAAAAAAAGACATCACTGAAATTTTATATTCGCGTCTGGAGCACCTTCTCTCTGCTCAGCTAGGTATTGATTGTCTCGGCCGTGGAGGGTTATGGATTTTAATGATACTAATCTGAAGAACTTGAACGTCACCGTGCTAACCCCTCCTCCACCGCCTCCGAAGCTCACCAAAACCTGGGGCCTTCGAGCTCCAAGGTTCATCAATATCTTGGGTCCCCTCCCCACCGCCACTACTATCGACGGTGATCGCAAATGGTTCCAACATCAATAATAAAAAAATATCCCTTACTTGCTTGTGATATCTATCGAAAGAAGAAAACCAAGTGCTCGGGGGAAAAACCTTGCGGTCACTGTTGTGATCGAGGACTTGAATGCTTTTACACTTCTGTCAAAAAGAGACGAGCAGTATTTAAGAGACGACTGCCTACCGAGAATGCCCCATCTCTAGGGATTACACCACCTCTGGAGAATACACCACCAATGAATAATGACCCGAAAAGTTACAACCTGGCCCCCATAATGTTAAATACGTTGGTACATGCTTCGCAAACAAACGTTAACACGAGTGTATTGTTCAAAGAGTTGCTCTGAGTTTGTGGGGCTGATCGTAAATTGAACAGCATTAATGAAAGAATTCTGAGATTTGAAAGAAATGGGACTTTTGAAGTTAGTAATGATCCAATAACAACTATACCAGAGTCCGTTCTGGTAAAGAGGAATTCACTGGGGGGCTCAGTTAGTTCCAAGAAATTATTTGCATCATCTACAAGAGAAGAAGAATAGAAAATATTAATGAAATAGAATTTGAAAAAGTAGAGGATGAGGATAAATATGAGGAAAAGAAGAAGGAGATATAAATAGGAGGACAAATAGCATCGAATTCAAATCTCTTTTCAAACTTGTATCGATAACCTCTGCTTCAGTGTTTAGTGTGATGCCACCATTAATTGGATTAAACAAAGAACCGGAAAAAATTATGAGATTTTCAAACCGCTTGTCATGGAAGCACATCTCATTTCTTTGAAAACTTAGTGAAAATCATCAAATACGAATTCTAGTTGATTTGAAGGATTAAAGTTTCAACCTTATTCATAAAACCCTATTGCGTCAAATATTTCATTCGCGAGTTTCTCGAACTGCATACAAAATACAACCCTTGATAACTGATGAGGATGCATTCTATTTATTATATCAGTTTTATGATGCTCACCTAAAGATCAATATCAACGATCAATATCATGGTGAATATTCAAATATATATGGACTCACATACTGTACCAGATGTGGATGATAATTGTATGCCTAAAGGATGGTCGCTGCATTTATCAACTACTTCCATATTTTTCTGACGCTCGTAAAATAACGATGATGGTAATAGTGGTGCTGCTACCGAATCTCTTCACTGGTGATTTTAATTCTTTATCTTTGAACAAAATTTTTTTCAGTTTGAATCAAAATAGTCCATAAACCCCATTGGGAGCTATTTGTATCAGTTATGAGAATAGGAATAGCAATGATAATACCAATGAGTTATCTTTTCCGTCCACCAATCCAGCTCCTACCATTGAAGGACACGTTGCTGAAAGATTTATGACAGGTGAATATGGAAATAACAATGGAGATTTTGCCATTAATCCATTCCTTTCGGGTGCCACAAATACTGCTGATATCTACCCGGGACTCATCACCATCAATGAAAGTGAGCAACAGGTTTCAGAGACAAAATAATCAATCGAAGTATTTCAGGGAAATGTTTTGATTTATTCTTGAATACTGATCGCCAGAAAGATATTAATTTGACCTTATTGACCAATGATGGGTTTTTCGAAGAGTCTAACAAGAATTTTCTGAGAAATTTACTGAAACCTGATCCGCTCTCGTTACCTGGATTTTTCTTTTCCGGTTAATACTAAACGATGTTATATTTCAGGATTTTATTTTGTATGTATTTCTACATAATTTTTTTTCTTTTTGTATTATATTATAAGGCTTTTTGCCAACGTGTAGCCTGATTCCGTTCACACATGAGACATTCCTATACTACAGGTAACGGTGACTCAAGCAATGAATCTTTACTAGTATATATATATATATATGGAGTCCTACCACATACTAAACAATAGTTTTTATAATTTAATCTCTCAAATTCATTTTTAAAGATTTTCACATGTGTGATTATTTAAGCACTCAAGAATATTTATTTAAAGTATAATGAAGTGGAAAATCCAGGAATGCCATATTGAGTAGTGACAATACAAATAAGATATCTACAAAGAGAAGCCTTTAAAATTCGTAGTCGCTAGTCATTTTTCTCCAAAAGGGTGACAAGAAAGAGGTTTTACATATGGTTGGTTGAATGTCGCTAAGTCCCACGGGAGCGGCGTTTCATTTTCTTTTCGCGGCTGATAAGCGGCTGAAAGTACCGTGACCAGAACAATAATGCGGGAGATCTTTTGAAGATGTCTTTTCTTTACGTTCTTTTATTTTTATCTCATTACCCCAGTTCCATCAGATCATTCCTATATACAAACACAGATATTGTTCTCTCAATTGTCTATTTGACAAGCTGTCTGTACCAGTGGCACATATTATTTGACCAGATCTGTTGCTCCATTATGACAGACTTTGGCGAAAGGTTCAGAAGCAATGCCATCTTGGGTATGTTAGATCTTGTGGATACTATAGCAAGAGAATGGAAAAAACAAAAAAAATGCAAACATAGATCTAAAAGATAACAGATACAAACGATGATGTATTATTTCAGCTTTCAAGTGATAACAATTACTAACTTCATTGGCAGCAATAAATAGCATGCAAAAACAGCACAGGGCAATGAAGAAGGATTATAATAAATACAAGGGGTTCCTACACATAAAAAGTGGGTATTTAATTTTATATGAAAAGGCAAGGACTGTTTCTCTCTTAGTATAACTATATTAACACAAGTAGCAATATACTTCAAAATAGTCGATAATAGGGAAGTCAAAAGAAGACTTCGAGCGGCGTTGGCGGAGGAAAAAAGGCAACATCAAGCCGAATTAGATCGTCAAAGAAAGGAACAGAATAAGGTAGTACAGGATACCTCGGTGTTTAGGATAAATTTTGTCAAATTATCTAATACACAAACAGAAAAATTCGCAAAAGGTATGTTAAAAAAACAAAAAAAAAAGGACTAATGGTAATCTTTCAGCAGTTCAAAGTATTGCTTTCAATTTTTTTCTTCTCTCCAATTCAGAATACTAATAATTGTTCTATTACTTTTTATTTATAGATATCAAGGAACAAACCAAAGTGATTGCAAACAAGATCCAACTTGACCGTGGTGGACTTTTTCATGATTTCAAAAATTATAGAAAATCCAACCAATCTATTTGGCAGCAACAGAAACGACAGGAGAAGGAAAACCAAAAAGAAGCCAAATATTTTCTTGAGGATGAACAGAATAAGGAAAAGGAAAGTCAGAAGTTACATGCTCAGAGATTAAAGGATCGATTCAAAATCGAAGTGAGGGATGAAAGAATTGAAAAGTATCGACTACGGGAAAAGCGTAGGTTGGCAAAAAAACTTGGATATTGGTGAAAAAAAAAGCTGCAAAGGAAGAAGAAGTTTACTGCAGAGAGAATTATGAAGCTATGTTGGCAAAACGACAAACAAATTCCCTTTGATCATGTGGAATTGAAAGATTGTGTTTGATAAGCTATCATCCAGACGCTGACTATATTATGTTTACATATATATATATACATATAAAGGCCAAAGCCGTCAAATTTACAGTTAGGATTCTCTATATTGATCAATTGCTTTTGAGAATACCTTTAAAAGATGCTTTGGATTACCTCAGATGCGATACCGGAAGTGGCTCAATACAAAAAAACAAAACACAAAAAAGCGCCGTCTATGACATCTTAGGTTATTTTATTTTTGTTGACTGTGGCAACAGTTTGCTTCTGTTTATATACCTAAGTATAATTTTTGCTTATATAACGTTGAACAACACCACTTTGTACAAACGGTGGTGCGTCTGTAAGTGTCTGAACCATAATTTTAGACTAAGTTTGTATACAAAAAAGCGCACATCAAGGGGGAACATAGGCAGTTCCTGTGGTTGTTAACAATGGTTGCCTTATACATATCTAGATTTAGACATGTTGTTGTCGGGGGTACCTTAGTTGTTTATTCAAATTTCTATAAACAAGGCAGTGATGGTTACATGGTTATTGACGAATGATGGATTGTAGTAACTTTATTTCCTGGTATACATTCCTTTATTGGAATCAGAGTTCTACAGTTGTTGCATTAACAATCATCTGGCTCTGTCTGTTGTCGGTGCTGCATACCTGAATCTGGTAATATTGCTGCTTCCACTACGAATAGAACTTCACTACTTAAGGATTTGGTAATCCTTCTGGCCACGAGAAGAGGGCTTAGATTTAAATAAGAAAGAGCCAGTAAACATTTAACCAAACCCAAACCAAGGATACTGTTGTAATGGCTGAGAATACTCTGCCTCCTCTCCTACCACCACCACTCCCCCAAATGGAGTACAACCAGTAGATGTTCAACAGATAATACAATGAAGACAGCTACAATGTAACCAGCCTAGCAGGAATAACATGCTCTATTCAACGGGTATAACATAAAGCCACCCAGCAGCCACCCAGCAGCCACAACATAATCATAAATTCGTTCCATTTGCTACTTTTACCGGCCATCCGGTACGGCAGCGGCCACGAAAAACCAAATTAAAAATAAAAAGGAAAATTCCGGCACGGCCACTAACATGATAATAACAAATAACACAAAAATTGTTTTGTCTGAAAACGTAAAAACCCTCCGTTGATCTTACTCCACAACCAAGAAGAGATTGGTCTGGTCGTGGTGATTTTCCGGTAGTTAACATATACTAGACACGCTGCGCTATTTCTTACTTGTTCGTTCACTCAGAGAGCTACAAATAACTCCTCTTCGGTTCTTCCTCTCGGGTTGACAAGTTCGTTGATTTCAACAAAACCAGTTTTTTAGAAAACTTTTCAACCTTCGCAAGCTCTTGATCTATCCTTTTGAACCGACTCACATTACATTGCTATTGTAAAGAGACTCTTGTATTTTTATTTAACGTCTCTCTCTTCAGATCCTCCCCAGATATTCTCCTGTCAAAAAGTCCTCAAATTAAACCGTTGATCCAGACTTTTTTGGCAAAATTTCAACAATATTCAACCACTGGTTTAAATGTCGAAACCAAATAAACTGACATATCTGTCAAAATATAGTGGATATGATCCAGAAGCCGCTACTGGTATTAGCCGAAAGAGGTCTTTGGTGAGACCAGAAAGAGCGAAGATCGATTCAAATCACCCTAATTTTTACTATAATCAAGTTGCCAATAGAGAAGCTGGCCATATTAATATCCAAAAATCAACAACAGGAGCTAATCCAATATTAGGATCAATTCAAGAGGTACGAGGATCGCCTTCAAAAAAGTCCTATGATACATCTAGAAAGTCCTATACGGATGGCCAAAGTTTTGCAGAAGACGGTATTCCCCTTGAGGATATGAATTCTAATCTCGATGGGGATGACGAAACCCTTCGTCGTAAAAATGGTAAAGAACTTTACGGATTGAATGACGAAGTTGATGGGCTAGGGTACCAAGACGATGATGAGCGAGTTAACGAGATTAGTCGCTTGAACCCAATGGGTTATAGGGGTTCCGAGAATTATTACACTGAAACCAAAAAAATCAAAGTGGAGGCTGGTGAGAAATCATCTTTCTATAGAGTATGGTTGTTTTACTGTTCTGTTGTGAGTTTTTGGGCACCAGCCCCTCTTTTGAAGTTATTTGGTATGCCAAAGAAGGAGCAACAAACTGCTTGGAGAGAAAAAATTGGTTTGGTCACCATTATCTTTTGCTTAGGTGCAATCGTGGCATTTTTAGTGTTTGGTTTCACTAGAACAGTTTGTAAAGCCTCTCCAACTAAAATTAGAAACAATGAGGTTGGTACTGGATACCTTATTATTAATGGACAGGCCTATGATTTAACTACCTCATTACATCCTGCGGCTGAAGGTATTCCAGCCGGAACCAACGTTTTGTACTCCCCTGTCAATGCTGGTGGCTTGGATGGCTCATTTCTTTTCCAGAATGTCAATGGTAATTGCAAAGGTTTGATCACCCCAAGAGACAACTGTACCATTCCAAAATCCGGCGAAGAGGTGGCATGGTATATGCCATGTAAAATGTTTTCCCAGGATGGCTCCACCAAAGTCAATTTCACCGAAGAGTATTACGATGGGTATGCTTGTCACACTTCAGATTTAGCTCGTCTGAGTTATTATAGTTTAAAAGCCGGCGGTGATGTATATTTTTCCTGGGATGATATTAAAAATTCATCTAGAAAGTTGGTAGTTTACAACGGTGATGTGTTGGATTTGAGTTTGATAGACTGGATTCAATACACCGATCTCGAATACCCGGAAGTTTTTGATAAATTGAAAGATGATGAAAACTTGCATGGAAAAGATATTAGTATTATGTTGGCGTCTTCAGAGGGCAAAAGGCACGGTAGATGTTTACAGGAAATTATCAAAGTTGGAACCATCGACTCTGACTCCATTGGGTGTATCGCTTCTGATATTGTGCTTTATTCCTTGTTGACATTTATTTTGTCTATCATTTTTGCCAAGTTTTTTGTTGCCTGTTATTTTAGATGGATTGTGTCCCCTAAGCAAGGTGCCAGTGTTGAAGACTTTAAAACAATGAATAAGAGACTAGATGAAATCGAAGATTGGTCTGAAAACATTTATTCACAAGGACCTATTAAAGAAGTTCCACAGAAGCAAAGAGCTAATTACTCCAAGCGTGCCTCCAGAACAAGTTTCCTTGGAGGTAAGAGACATTCTAGAATGTCATCTTTTGGTGACTTTGATATGTTTAAAGATCAGCAAAACGAAGATCTGGAAATGACTTCTATGGCCTTGCAAAAGACTAAATCCAGAGACTTGATGACAAGATCTGAAAGTCAAGATGACTTGAGAAGTTCATTTTATGCCAACTCAAGATTGGCCCAATCGAAAAAATCTTTACAAAATCCATTTGTTTCTACCAAATTTGAAGATAACCAGAATTTGAATAGCCTTTCCGCAGACTTGATCCACCCAAAAGTTGTCTCCCAACCACCGGTTACTTATCAACCGTTTGGATATCCGTTGGCTCATACAATTTGTTTAGTTACTTGTTATTCTGAAGATGAAGCGGGTATGAGAACAACCTTAGATTCTTTGGCCACTACTGATTATCCAAACTCTCACAAGCTTTTATTCGTTATTTGTGATGGGTTAATTAAGGGTTCAGGTAACGATAGATATACATCTGATATTGCCATTGATATGATGACCGACTTGGTGATTTCTGAAGAGGAGATCGAAGCTTATTCTTACGTTGCTGTTGCCCAAGGTTCAAAGAGACACAATAAAGCAAAGGTTTTCGCCGGATACTATAAATATGATGATGATACTGTTCCATCAGAAAAACAACAACGTATTCCAATGATTTGTGTTGTGAAATGTGGTACCGAGGCTGAACAAGGTGCGGCAAAGCCTGGTAACAGAGGTAAAAGAGATTCGCAAATCATTTTAATGTCTTTCTTACAAAAAGTGACTTTCAACGAAAGAATGAGTAGATTGGATTATGAAATCTTGACCAATATTTGGTCATTGACGGGATTAATGGCGGAAATGTACGAAATTGTTTTAATGGTCGATGCAGATACTAAAGTCTACCCAGATTCTCTCACTCATATGGTTGCTACAATGGTACAAGACAACGAAGTCATGGGGTTGTGCGGTGAAACTAAAATTTCAAACAAGAGTTCTTCTTTCACTACCGCTATCCAGGTTTTTGAGTATTTTATTTCTCATCATCAGGCCAAGGCGTTTGAAAGTGTATTTGGTTGTGTTACTTGTTTACCAGGTTGTTTCTGTATGTACCGAATCAAGGCTCCAAAGGGTAAAGATGGTTACTGGGTTCCTATATTGGCAAATCCGGATATTGTCGAAAGATATTCCGATAATGTGGTTGATACCTTGCATAAGAAGAACCTTTTGTTATTAGGAGAAGATAGATTCTTGTCAACATTAATGTTACGGACCTTCCCTAAGAGAAAACAAGTGTTCATTGCCAAGGCTGCTTGTAAAACTATTGTCCCTGACAAGTTCAAGGTCTTATTATCTCAAAGACGTCGTTGGATTAATTCCACCGTTCATAATCTCATGGAATTGGTTCTTGTCAAGGATTTATGCGGTACTTTCTGCTTCTCTATGCAATTTGTTATTTTTATTGAATTGATCGGTACCTTAGTTTTACCAGCTGCAATTGTTTTCACTATCTACGTTATTATTTATGCATGCATTGAAAAGCCTACTCCTGTGTTAACTTTGACTTTGTTAGCGGTTGTTTTTGGGTTACCAGCCCTATTGATTGTTGCTACTGTTTCCAGATTATCGTACATTTTATGGATGTTGATTTACCTAGTGGGTTTACCAATTTGGAATTTTGTGTTACCGACCTATGCTTATTGGAAATTCGATGATTTCAGTTGGGGTGACACTCGTAAAGTTGCTGGTGATAAAGGACACGAAGATGAAGAAGGTGATTTTGATGCCACTCATATTGTGATGAGAAGATGGAGGGAGTTTGAAATAGAAAGAATAAAGTCGTTCAACTTGAGTGTTCCAGGGGAAGCTTGGAACCCAATGAATGATAGTAAGGCTGATGGAAGTTTGGTAGACCTTGCCTCTGATGAACCAGGAAACTTATTAGCTGTTACAAATGAAGACCACGACCGTTGAAAAATGTCTGAAAATCCCATTTTTTTTGGACTTGAATTCTTTTTTTTTTTTTTTCTTATACAAATAAATATTCAGAGAACAATATCTTCAAGATATGGTTCTCTTGTTTCAGCATGAAAAACTTTCTATAGCATAATTTTTTTTTCTTTTGTTCTGTTTTCATATATATTGCAATTAATTGTCTTTGACTAGTTTATTTAAAAGAGTTCCTTAAGAATAGACTCCTTTATAACGGTATGTTTGCTTAACCTGAGCTTACGTTACAAAATGTCCATAAGTTTCTTCTTTTATTTATATAATCTAATCTGGGGATAATTGACAGTGCTTAAAATATATATTTCCTACAATTGTCCATAACATGATCAATTTGTGAGAGTGAAATAATGTGTGTGTGTGTGTGAAAACATGTTGACGTGGTGAGAAAAAAAAAATCCACCACACGTGACTGCATTTTTATTGTTGTGTTTTACCAGACTATTTCACAGCCATCATGATAACAATGCAAAGGCTTAGGAAGGCAAGAATCACTACAACGGGGCCTAATTTGTGTTGTATTTGATTCTTATAAATTGGGGAAGCATCATTAGAAGTGAACAATTACAGAGTGAATCAATCATCATAATAACCACAGCGTTTTGAAAGTATAGATGAGCACCGTAGCGGCGCTTTCCACGGATCTTTCAAGCTTGATCTCAGAATCAAGGAGAAGAAACAGTGAAATCAAACACGCTGCTGAATCTTCATTGAACATCTTGAAGTCCTATGATCCTTCTAAGCAAAAAGAACAAGATTTCCTCCATTATTTAACCCAAGAGCCAAATTTCATCACCCCGTTCATCTTATCTTGTCAATCGAGAAATGCGAAATTTAGTAGCATTGCCATCCACTGTTTACACCGCCTTATATCTGCCCACGGATTACCGATCGGCTCGCTTGAAAATATTCTAGATTCTCTAATAGAGGCGTCTCATCTCCCGCTTGAGATTCAATTGAAAGTATTGCAATTGTTGCCAACAATTTACCAAACTTTTGGCGATCAAATGAATGATACATTGGTGTCGAAGCTTTTATTCATTTGTGCAGTATTACAAGGTCCTAGTAAACCCCAGGTGGTGGTCAATACCGCCGCAGCGACATTACAACAATTGATCATTTTCATTTTTGATAAGGTTAGCAATGAGGACAAATTGGATGATTCACATGTGATCAAGTCACACCCGGTGAAAGTGGATAATGATGAAAAAATCTTAGTTTCTGATAACGTTTATGATTGTTATAGAATTTTCGATGATTTGTGCTCGTTGATCGAGCATCATAAACCATGTTTTTTACAGTTCAGCTATTTGACAGAAACGTTTCTATTAGAATTGATCGAATCAATCTTGAATAATTTCACATCGGTGTTCATCAAGCATACGGAAATGGGATACTTGTTAAGATTCAGAATCACCCCGATATTCCTTAGATCTTTATCTATACCCACCAAAGAATTTAGTGTGGTGGTGAGAATTGCCAGGATCGTATATTTATTAATCAGAAAGAATTTGCAGATCTTGAACATCGAATGTGAAATTGTCATTTCTTTATTAAACCACATGATCCTCAACGATTTGGAATCACCAATTTGGAAAAAAATTATCGTGTTAGAGATATTCAATGGGATTTTCCAAGATTTCAATTTAGTCGAGGCGATCTTCAAAGAGTATGATTATAATCAAGACAGAAAACACGTGTTGAATGATTTTTTGATTAATTCGTACTGTTTAATAAATTCTGCTGGTTCGAAAAAGATAATGAAATTCAGATCGGTGTTGCATCCTCCGGTATCAAATATTAACCGAGCTCAATCTCTGACTGCAACTGCTACAGGTTCCGGCTCATCATTACCTAATCAACCTTCTCCAATGGTGGCGGAATTTTTAATTGATGGCTCTCCTGATAAGATTACGTTTATGGATATGCTAGACAAGACAAACCCTCCAGATATTCCTGATAATTACGTTTACTATTTGGTTTTGTCCTGTTTCAATAATCTTGTGGAAGGGATTGGCAAGTATGTGATGAATCTTTCGATTTCTGAAGCTGATAAATCCACCACCCGTAAACTAGTGAAATTTCTTGATAATCCCGATATTATTGAATCAGACACTCTCAAATCTGAAGTGATATTCTCAAAATCGCTCATTGAAAAGAATTATAAAGTTTTGCTATCGACCTTTGAAGTGTTTTTATATTCCAAATTATCGAACGAATGCTTCCATAACCTAATCCGAAGTTTGCAGAAACTTTGTTACTCATCAGGGATTTTGGGATTGAATCAACCAAGAGACGATATTATCATGTTATTTTCAATTTCCACAATTAATAACACCGACGAATTTTACAGTGATCAAGTTCAAAACAATTCTGGACAAGTGGGTGATCAAAATACGAGATCTGCTTCTGATTTCAGTGCGGCAGCGGTTGAAGAAAAACCGGGGGCAAAAGACTCTAAATCTTTCGGGGAATCATTATTCAGTAGCTTGAGCTCGAAGTTCACCACCCATGCCACTAATATCAATCAAAATCTTAGTTCTTTAGCTACCACCATTTCCAACGTCACCTCGAATCCTTCCAGTCCTCTATTCGGTGCGCATGGAAGTAACAATAACGGGCAGCTTGTTTTACATTCGCGATATATCAATTCTAGACATTTGATCACCTTGCGGGCGTTGATAAATTTGGGGATTTCTTTGGGCTCATCTTTAGGAATGAACTGGAAAAATATTTTCATAACTTTGCAATGGGTCAATTATTATATTAACGGGCCCCCAGAGGATTTTGAAAAAAAGTTTGTTTATTATAATTCGAAATATGGGACCATGCCAGTGATCAAACAGAATGAAATCGCGGTGATCCAAAGTTCGATCAAAAAATTATTTGATTCGTCTAAAGATTACTCCGTCTCGTCATTCTTGGTGGTGTTAGTGAATTTGGTGGAGTTATCAAATATTTCCATTGATTCTGATAAATCTAAAGATAAAGAACGACAACTTTTTGATAAAATTATCACCTCAGTGTTTGATTCATGTGACAACAATAATGGAGAGAAGCCCGACGACAAAGTTAAAAATTCATTTTTACCAATTGCCAACATCAATTTGAGTCCGTGCTATTATAACAAGCAATATTTTATGGATTTGCTCCAAACTTTGTGTGAACTCAATTCGTCGCGATTTTTGGTGGAGTGTATGGAGACTTCTGATAGCGCTTTGGCATTTAATAACGAAGAGGTGTTTGTGGAAGGAGAAGCGTCGATGACCAGCTTAAAATTCGTGTTCAATTATTTGATAGGGTTATCTATCAACCGAGGTTTAAGTAGCCAGTTTAGAATCAAAAGTGTGACGATATTTAATTCGATTTTGAAGAGTATATCTAAAGAAGAGTTTTCCAATAGCGGGAAAGAAGAACATATTACCAATGATGGAAACGCGGTGGAATTCAAACTTTTGACTTTCATGTTCTATTTATTCCAAAACATTGATCAGTTTCAAAAGCATGATGATGAATTATTTTCACAGCAACAGAAAAGGGGCGATGATGAGAATAATAACAGTTTGATAACTATTGTCGCGGCCCCGGTGCTTAATTGTGAATTTGAGATAATTTCTCGCAGTTTAGAGAATTTGAAAGACTTGTTGGATATGTTTGGGGTGGGGTTCCATAGAAGCTCGTGGAGTTTGGTATTCAAAATCATTGATTTATCATTTGAGTTCTTTGAATACGGGGACCCGCTGAACCTTCAAAAATTATCGGAAGTCAATGCCAGTTATGGTTTGATGGAGAAGAAATCGGAGTTGACGAAATTGTCGTTTGAGATTTTGCAATTGATTCTCGGGGATTTCTTGACGGTGTTACCATTGAACATTATCAAGATCTTGATCAATTCGATCCATCGGTTTGCCAATCAAGGGTTTGACATCAATATTTCTTTTAGTGCCATCAGCCACTTCTGGCAGGTGAGTGATTATATAAGGGAATTATTGACCACCGAGATTCCGGAAGGCAGTTATGAGAAAGGTAATGAAATCTTGATTGGTACAGTGAACAGTGAGGATGATTTGATTAATTATGTGCAAAATGAAATTAACGATGATAACGATATTCCCGAAAAGGACTCGAGCGAGCAAAAATTCGTGGCGTATTCGTGTTTATGGATCTATTTGTTGAAAGTGTTGGTGGACATTTCCAATAATCAAAAGGATCAAGTGAGAAATGGGTCTATCCAAACATTTTTCCGGATCCTTGATTCTCACGGGAAGCATTTATCATCATGGCATTTGTGTTACAGTATTGTGATTTCGTCACTTTTCACCATCCGGCCAAAAATTTTGCGGACCGCCAATTGGGAAGAATTGTCAACAATTAAACAAGAATGGTCGGAAACGTTGATTTTAATCATGAGCGGGATTGTGAAATTCTATGATAATTATTTTGCCGATTTTGACCACCTTGAAATTGGCGTTGCGTTGGAATATTGGACGGGGTTGATCAAGTATTTCGAAGACATTTTGCTGCTCAATTGGAACAATTGTGATTTGAAATTGTATCAATCATTTAATGATTTATTGGCACCGTTTGTGGGAAAACAAGACGACAAGACGACGGCGATTCCTACGGAGATTATTGATTTATTGTTTAATTTCTGGAGTGGTCGGAACGTTTCATATAATATCACGTTGAACAAACATTATCAAGACTCGTTGACCTCATTGATGAGATCGTTTGTGCCGTTATCGGAGATCCTTGGGACGAGAATGGATGGTTTAAAGATCAAGAAATCGTTGAATTTGCTCAATTCCGCGGTGAAGTATCCGATTTTACCCACCTATTTCAATGATAATGTGTACCCAACGGATTTACAAAAATCGGTATTAGATAATTTGAAATTGATCACCGATAATGATGATCCGGAAGTCCAATCGGATGTGATTCTCCAATTGATCTCCAATATTGTCCTTCCATTTTCCACCCGGAGTCAAATTAAAGAACAATTGAGTAAAAATCGATTGCCAAAGGATACCAAAGTATGTTCATTTGTGTCGTTGAGTTATTATTCGGTGATAATTCTTGAATCGCAAGTGAAACGGATAAATGATTTCAAGCCGTTGTTACAGAACCAATCGATGATCATTTTGATCTCGTCGCTTTTGGAACCAATCAAACAAAACGCCAAAGGGATCTTGGCAGGGTCTAAAAAGAAATCGTTGGCGGCGTCGTCGTCGTTAAAGATTGACTTGTCATCGGCGAAAGAATTATGGGTGGAATGTATCAAGATCATTTTGTTTGTGGTGCATCAGATTACCGGGATATTAGCCAAAGATGATGCAGTTGATGAGATCAATGTTGACACTAAAAAAACGTTTTGGCAATTGATTGTCGAACTTTACAAGACCACATTGATGGTTAGTAGTAACAATGGGGATTATGAGGAGTTTAATGTGACGACGTTACAGGATTTGAGGCTGCAGATTGTGCCGTATATTAGTTTACGATGTTTTCCGGAGCAGTTGGTGGATAATTTTGCCAATTATATTTTGGATTGTTCGTATGTTTACGAAAAGGATGAGATTGAATTATCGTTGTTGGAGGAGACCGGGGGTGGTGGAGGTGGGATGGCAAAGAAACCCGAGAAGGATTTGGATCAGATTGTGGAGAATTTTGTGAATTTTGATTTTGATAATGATATTCCGTTGGTCAAGCCGTTGAAGTATGTTGAAAGGTATAAGATTAATTTGATATGTTTGAATGATTTGATTGAACTTTGCAAGATCCCAGAGAAGCAGGCAGATGATAATGAAGCTGAAGATGAAGGGAAAACCATCGTATGGGAATCGCAGACGTTGATTTCTCAGAAAGTGTTACCATGTTTGATCATTCGAACATTGTATGTTTTGCGGAAATTCATTTCCCATGGGTCGTTGATTAATCAAGTTCCATTATCGAAGATTGAGAAATTGGAAATGATTATTGTTTTGAAAGGGCTCAATGATTTGATTTTCAATTTCAACGATGCCACACCACAAGAGAAATCCAAGAAGTATCAGCAATTATCGGTGATTTTACCGTTGGTGATCAAGATGATTCCATTATGTGGGAAAGTCCGGGGGATTTCTGGGTTAGTGGAATCGTTTTTCTACGATTATAATGAGAATTCCAAGAAGATGATGAGAATTTCAAGAAGATGATGAGAATTTCAAGAAGAAGAAGAAGAAGAAGTTGATGATGAAGATGATGATGGAATGAATAAGGGGGGTAAATGGTTTTTTATTATTGTACGCTTTTTCTTTTTATTATTATAAGTTTCTACTTTTTATTATTATACATTTCTACTTTTTATTCTTATACGCTTCTACTTTTATCATGTTACGTTATTTTTTCTCTACGTGTGTGTGGGTGCTGCTGTCTGGGTGTGTCACTCACCATCGTTCAAACTCAAATTTTCATTTTACGTCGCAGATCCATTTTTTTTTTTCCTGCAGGCCAAATAAATGCACGCCCGAGAAAGTTACCCAATTCATTCACTTTGACGCTAAACGAACGAACTAAATAACTAAATAACTAACTAACTAAATAACTAACACACAACAACAGAAAAAAAAACAAAAAAAACCGAGCTGACTAGCTATTTGTTGTTGTTTTTTTTTTTTTGGAATAAAAATGCCATGGCATGGCATTGGTGCACTAAAAACTCTTTCAAAAAAAAAAAAAGCCCCCTTTTACCTTCTCTCGTCAGATTAGATTAATTTTCTTTAGTGGGTCTCTGTCTTTTTGTCTGTATGTATGTATCTATGTATCTATGTACCTATGTATGTATGTCCACATTGTTTTGTTCTTGATGTAGATGTTGGTTTGTTTTGTTTTTTGGCTCTCCTCTCATCATAAGAGGGGAGTCAGCCAGTTGTAATTTATAGATTGGTGTGTGTGTGTGTGTGTTTTGAAGTTTAGAGTGAATAGTAATTAATTTATGATACACAATTTGATGATATTTTTTTTTTTTGAAGTAACAGCAAGTAAGTGGTAATTTACAGTTTGATGATCACTGAAATAAAATGTATATATATCCCAAGTAATTTACAATTTGATGTTTTTTTTTTTTTTTATTTATTTCGGCTTCTTTTTCCTTCTATATTAATTTAATGACTTTTCTTTTTTTCTTTGTAGGTGGTGTACTAATATTTGATGGATTTAGAAAATATTTATTCCTCGGGTGATTATTGATTTTGTGTAAAATTAATATTGAGATCGTCGTATTCTAAGAATACTCAAACTGGAATTTATTCTTTAATGAATAAGGTGGAATAAACATCATCATCATCATCATTATTATTATTATTATTATAATTATCATCATCATCATCATTATTATAATTATTATTATTATTACAATTGAAAAACAACAAATCAAACAAAAAAAAAAAAAAAACATCAGCACAATTCTATTCTTGGTACCTGACTCGCTAGTCTGGCAAGGGGGGGAGACTAAAAGAATACAAAAACAAATAAATGACAGAGAGCCAACCCAACCCAAATATACGAAAGTAATAATAAGAACAATAATAACAGTATTTATACCAATAATAATAATAATACTAATAATGATAATAATAATGATAATAATAATGATAATGATAACAGTACTTATACTAACAGTAGTAGTAATAATAATAATAATAATAATAATAATAATAATAATAACAATAACAATAATAACAGCAGTGATAATAATAATAATAATAATAAAGAAAACAACAGAACCCATAAAAACACCCACGATTACATTTTATGATTGATTGATTGATTGATTGACATTGCATCGGGAATTTGGAAAAAAAAAAAAAAAAGGCTGCTTATTTTCCCTAGTGTGTTTTTGTGCGGCGGACCAAAACGTGCCATTATCATCTAGAATGGGAGAGCCCCCCCCTTGAACGTCCCCTTTTTCATAGTGGGCCTATTAAGAGAGAGAGAGAGAGAGAGAGAGGGAGACTAAGGCAGTTTTCATTGGTTGAAGTTGGTGTAATCAAAATTGTAATGCACAGGATATAATCAGAGGAAGGCAGATAGATAGATAGATAGATAGATAGATAGATAGATAGATAGATAGATAGATAGATAGATAGATAGATAGATAGATAGATAGATAGATAACACAGATAAGCAGAGATAGAGAGAGAAAATAGATAGAGAGAATGGGCATAATATATTACAAAAGGGGACGAAAGTCTTGGAAAAACGAATGTGGAAGTTCTTGGATGGCAGAAAATAATGTGAATGTTCTTGGATGGCAGAAAATAATGTGAAAGTTTCTTGGAAAGTGAAGAGAGAGAGAGAGAGAGAGAGAGAGAGAAAGAGAGAATCCAAAATCATTTGGAAACCGAGGCGTTTCTAGGAAGAAGTGGCTCGACCCGTAAATCACTGGTTTTGATATTACTATTATTTGAAGTGCTGGAAGCCGGGGAAATTTGTTGTAGTTCGATTCTCAGATTACTGCGTTGATCAAAACTGAATCTGTCCGAGGCGTCACTGTACGCCGAATAAGTCGATTCATGGCGAGTTTTGGTTAAATCATCCAGTAGAAGACCGGCGGTGGTCGATGAAGAAGCAGGAATCAACCTGCCAAGACTATGGGTCGACTCTCTTGTGTGAGGATTGTCGATGATGTCGACTGGAGTATCGGAGTGCTGTGATGATAATGATCCTTGGTATTGGTGGTGGTGGTTGTGGTGGTATTTCGTATTATTATTGGCAGAGTTTTCTTGTTGTTGTTGTTGTTGTTGTTGTTGTTGTTTTTTCTGCTGGGCTAATAACGCTCTTTGTTTGACTTTTTCTAATCTCCAAGTGGTGGCCGGTTTTATTTCTTTCTTGTTTATAGTAGACATGCTGGATATTTCTGATAAAGATGATTATAACGATGAAAGATTTTTTATTTTTATTTTTTTTTTTTCCTTCTAAAGAGTGACAAAAAGATATATTTCAATGATGATGATGATGATGATGATAATAATAATAATAATAATAATAAGATTTTTTTTGGGGGCAAAAAGGAATGTAATTGAGAATGGTTTTTTTTTTCAAGATTTTTTTTTTTTTTTTTGTTAGTTTCTGATACAACCACCACCTAACTAATGTCAGCCAGCACTAGCGATATTTAAGTGAGAGACAATAAGAAAATGGTCAAGTGAAATTAGTCCGTCCATGCGAGGCATCAACAAAAAAAGATCTGCAGAACCACAATCATCGGGGTGGGTCTGCTGTGGTCTGCTGTGGTCTGCTGTGGTGTGCTGTGGTCTGCTGTGGTGTGCTGTGGTGTGCTGTGGTGTGCTGTGCGGTGCTGCGGTGTGCTGCAGTGCTCTAGACTCCTCCCCGACAACGACGTCGTGTGGGAGGGAGCGTAAAAAAAGGGCTATTATATGGTTATTCTCTTATTTTTCTTCTCCAAAGGTGTTTTTGTGGTGGTTATATATTGGGTACTGCAGTTGTTTATGTTTATTATGGGTGGTGTGTATTATCGATGGTGTGTATAGATAGATAGATAGATAGATAGATAGATAGATAGATAGATAGATAGATAGATAGATAGATAGATAGATAGATAGATAGATAGATAGATAGATAGATAGATAGATAGATAGATAGATAGATAGATAGGGCTTGGGTAACCTTGGCAGAATATGAAAATTACGACCGTGAAGGGAAGTGTTTACTATGGTAGCACCACACCATACCACACCATACCAATATGGCAAAACTTCATAATTATAAGTGTACACCATGAACTTTACTATTTCTTCATACACTAGTCTAGTGATGGGTACTTTTGGGTACGCTGTCTCACAACAGGTGTTTGCGAATTCGCATGTCAAACAACCTGGGGTGAATGGATGGATATATGCCCCTTTGTTTTGTCAGTCGGCGTTCATCCATTCGGATATGATTCCTGATATGGTTATTATTCTCTTAGTGGTTTCGTAAAAAAAATAGTAATAATAAAAGGAGATTTGTAGTTATGGATGACGACTGCAGCACCACAATGTAAATACAAGACAATCAACAGCATTACATCAAAATACGAACATATACGGTCACATTTTTTACAGAAATATTCCAAATCAATAAAATCACACAGCCTACAAAATCACAAAATACCTTCATTCCCTTCAACTTTCAAGATATCCTCAATAAATGAACCACAGAAAAATTAAAAAAATTTAAATACTCTTTTTCATTTTTTTTTTGCATGTCAGAAGTGCTTGGGTGATTTTCCTCAAATTTTGAGCATAGGACTGGTGCACAGCATAACAAGACTCATCATATTAGCAAAAAAGAAAATGAAAAAAATAAGTATTAAATATTACTTTCAAATTAGGTTGATTCACTTAAGGTACCTTGAAAGGAAAAGTAATAGCAAGTACCAACCATCACATTTACAAAATTATCCTCCAAAGATAGGTGTAGGAGAGTTCCAGAATGGAATGTCGTAGGAAATAGAGCAAAAATAAAAAAAAAGGAGACAAATCCAATTCAGCTTTTGAACCATTCAAACGATCACTCCAGGAGTGAATAAGGGTGTGTTTCTGGAACTTCCTGGTTTGGAGAGGTAAAAAATGCGGCGATGGTTGAAGACTCAATGGACCAATTGATTGTTGTCAATGGAATAGAGAAATAAAAAAAGAAAAGATAAAAGAATATTTAATTGTCGGAAGGATTCGCTCTCTTTATATAGTCGAAAGGAAGCAGAAAAAAATTTTCTCTCGCTTGTTTGTTTAGCGGTCACCCGGACTGTTTGCTTGTTTGTTTGTTTGCCCGGGTGACAGTTACCCGGTGCGTAGTCTGGTGTGTGGATGATTCTGTGGTGCCATGAAATGTAAGGGTGTTGCTGCCCTGTATTTACGTTACCCAGATCATGTTAATATCAATATATCAATATTACGCGGTGGGTAGTGGGTAGTGGGAGTTTTTGTTCGGGATCCTACTAGGCAGTAGTAGGCTGTCTCCATATGGGTAAATACCCCTTGAGATAACAGACAACAATAGCAGCAACCACAAGGGTTTTGATAAGGACAGGAGAAGAGAAGAGAAGAGAAGAGAAGAGAAGAGCGGAGCGATACGATACGATACGATACGAGCCCTTCCTGTGCTCATAACAGGGGTTTTCCCGAGGATCGTTATCGTTATCGTTATCGTTATCGGTTGATGGGTAGTGTAACCTATACAATATGTATAGAGAGAGAGAGAGAGAGAGAGAAGAAAGAATGAAAGAATGAATGAAAAAAAAAAGAACCGCCACAGTAAATCATTCAAATAAAATAAAATAAAATAAAATAAAATCAATAAATCATCGATGGGTATGCCATTTCACGTGCCATTTCTCTCTCTTTTCCTCTCTTTCTCTATGTGTGTGCCTGCCTGCCTCACTTCATCCTCGAAACATTTCACTGCAATTTCTGATATCTTTCGACTTTTCCTGTAAACTCCGAAGAGATTTACGTTATTAACGGTGACTATCCCCTGTTTTTTTTTTTTTATTTTTTGTTTTTTCTTTCTTTCTTTTCACTTCACTCTCTCTCTTTTTTTTTTTTTGTTTTTTACACAGTTTTATCCCAGTTCACCATCCTCCATTATTATTGTATATCCATCGATATGACCCTACCAAAAAGAATCAAAAGAGTCGCGGTGATCGGGGCTGGCCCTGCCGGGGCTGGCTTTGCTAAAGCCTTGGTCCAGGAAAAGTTTTTCGATAACATCACCCTCTTTGAAAGACGTTGGCAAACCGGGGGGTTATGGAACTATTCCAAAGACCAATCCAACGACCGTAGCTTACTCTCTGTCCCTTCGGAAAACCCGTTCTTATCCCCAACCAATTGCAAAGACTCCCCGGTCTCCCCTTATGAAATCCCATTGAAGAAAAATGATTCCTCCTCCTCCTCCCAATACGTTTGGCCCTCGGCAGTGTACGAGGAATTGGATACCAACATCCCAAAAGAATTGATGGCCTACAATAAATACCCCTTCGACAAGAAATTGCCCCTCTACCCTAGCCATCGTGACGTCCTCAACTACCTCTGCAATTACTCCAAAGATATCGAACCTTTGGTCAGATTCAACACCAAGGTCGTCAATATCGAGTTCATCAATGGATACCACGAAGACGACACCACCACCACCACTTCCCAACAATCGTTTGTCGATGCTGTGAAATGTGGGAAAATTAAACACTTGCAAGATATCGATTGGTCCAATTACTCGTGGAAAATCACCAGCCGTCCTATTGTCGATGCCACCAAAGGTGGTACCGAGCCTGATTTGACCCCCGATTCCCCTTATGCTGACAAAATCGAATATTTCGATGGGGTCGCCATGGCCTCGGGGAATTACGACGTTCCTTACACTCCTGATTTCCCAGGATTGGCCGAATGGAACGCCAAATTCCCAAACTCCGTCACCCACGCGAAATTCTACAACAATTTCCAAGATTACACTACCGATGATAAGATTCTCGTGGTTGGCAATAGCGCCTCGGGAGCAGATATCGCGTACCAATTGGCGATCCGTTGGAACATGGCGATTTACAAGTCCAAACGTAGCGAGAATTTACAACCGGCAGGCTCAGATTCCAATATCAAAGATTTGCCAAATATCAAACGGTTCATTCCCGAAACCCAGGAAATCGAGTTTGTCGATGGTCAAAAAATCAAGGGGTTCACCCAGATCATCTTTGCCACCGGGTATTTGAAATCATTGCCCTACATGAACGAGTTATCGTTGCCATTGTTGGGCAATTTCCACTCGACTTTGCAATCGATCGAAAACAATGAGCTCCAGCCGTTGATCTCCACCGGGTCCAAAGTCAATGGGCTTTACCAACACTTGTTATCGTATCAATACCCGGGGTTAGCGATCATCGGTACCCCAAAGTACGTGATTCCTACCAGGTTATCGGAAACTCAAGGGGCGTGGATCTCCAGAGTGTGGTCCGGAAGAATCCCTTTGCCTTCGATCCAAACTATGCAACAATGGGAAAAAGACCGTACCCTTGAAGTCAATCAAGACGATTACAAATTTCATAGTATCCCGTACCCTGCGGATGTCGAGCATTACGTTGAATTGAACGATCAAATTGTCGAAAGTGGCACCGATTATGGGTTGATTCCGGTGCTTTGGGATGAAAAACAACGGCAAATTAGAGAGTACGCAAAGAAGATCAAAGAATCTTACATTGCCTATAAAAAGGATAAGAATCTTACCGCGTTTTCGTTACAAGAGCTTGAGCAGGCAGGGTATTTGAAGTATGAAAAGGACGATAAATGAAAATTTGCAAGGATTTGGCATAATGAAATGAATAGAAAATGGAGGAGGGGATTTATATTGAAAGGAATGAAAATAAATTATAGAAAATAGAAAGAATTTAGAGAATTGGTTAGACAGAATTGTCACAAATTGATAGACTATAATAGACCTTTATTTTGATTGATTTTAATTGTAACTGAGTAATTGTAATTGTAATTGTAATTGTAATTGTAATTGTAATTGTAATTGTAATTGTACTATAATAGACCTTTATTTTGATTGATTTTAATTGCAACTGAGTAATTGTAATTGTAATTGTAATTGTAATTGTAATTGTAAGAGAGTAAAATTGAAATCCAAAATATTTAGAGCGCAAAGGGAAGCATTTTTTTTTTTTGAAAATTGTAAAACATCATCGATAAGTATATATTATTATTATTATTATCATTATTATTATTATTATTATTATTATTATTATTATTATTATTTCATTGCAAAGACATCATTTATATGAGTTTTTAATTGAAAGTGGGAATTCTAATAACCTGTAATATTATTCTTATTATTATTATTATTATTATTATTATTGGTGGTATCAAATGATGCCGCATTGTATGCAGCATTGTATGACCCAGTAGATGCTTGACCACCATTAAAATTACCACCATTATTGAATTGATAATTGGAATTACTGCCATTATAATTCAGAAATGAATAGTTCGAATTACCATTATTATTCCTATTCCTATTATTATTATTATTATTATTACTATTATTATTCGGCATTGAATAATTGGAATCCACATTATAATAATTGGCCATCTTAACATTATCCCCACCGTTATAATTGTTCTGGTGATTATTAATACCCCGAGAATTCACATTATTATGAACCATACCATTCCCGAATGAATTGATCCCCTTGCCATCTTTAACTCCCAGTGTATCAACTTGACCATTCATCGTCGATCCACAATAAGAATACGATCCCCCAGATTCTGTGAACCGAGCAGAATGGGGGGATGATGATGAAGATGGTTGGTAATTGGTTATACCTCCTTTATGATTATTTTTGCCGTGGAACGGGGCTGTGAAATGTTGATGGTTCAATGATGGAGTAGTACTAATTTTCAAATTGGCAATGTTGTAGATTTGGTTAGATCCTTGAATTGCAGTTCCACCACGGTTTCTAATGGCAGGAGAAAAAGAATACGAAGCAGAAGCAGAAGCAGAAGAAGAAGAAGAAGAAGAAGGAAAATCATTCTTGGAAATCTTCTCCAGTTGTAAATATTTCTGTAAATCTTTTAATTGCAATACCAAAGTTCTCGATGATTTTGCAACTTGATTAGATTGTGAATCATCATCATTATCATCATCATCATCATCATCATCATCATCATCATCATCATCACCAATAATCCCTCGCAAGATATCTAGATAACCCCCAACAATTGAAGAAGATGATGATTCAATAGACTGTTTCACCAGTTGAAGATTAGATAATTCACCAATGATGATGTTCTTCGTAAGCTTTAAAAAACTCAAATCTCGTTTATTAACATCAATACAATACTTCACCAATTCCGCAAACCCCGCCCCACTACCACTACCACTACCACTACCACTACCACCATTATCATCGTTACCCACCCCAGCCAATTCTTGTAAGATTTTCCTCACCATTTGCAAATAAATACCGCCTGTCGATCCATTATCATAAAACATTTCCAGATTTCCTGTGGCAAGATCCAGGGATTTCTGTCCCACTAACCCCGCGGCAAAACAGGCATCAAAAGAGATTCTCAATAATCCATCATGGGGATCATTTAGTATATTAGTCAATCGTAAATTCTTGATGATTTTGTAGAAAATGTCAAGGGCCAATTCCAAACATCGTGACAATTTATCGAATTTTCTCATTTTGGTTAATAATTCTTCAGATGGACTGTTGGACGACCATGAATTGGTGTAGGAGGATAATGTCAGTGGACTTTGGTTAGAGGACTGGGGATTAGTTTTCGAGGAACGGGAGGAGGATAATTTCAGTGAGTAGACAAAATTGAGTTTTGGTTGATGAGCAATTTCATCAAATGGTAAAAGTTCAGTTAGCACTCGCCTGACCCCCACGGTAGCAACGGGATCCAAACCTTGGAGGATTTTCATCGATAATCCAATAATCAATTTGCAGAATAATCCTACAAGACATAAATTACTGGATATTGGGAAATATTTCACATGAAGCATCAACATTGGGTCGCCGAAGTTGTTGTTGTTGTAGTAGTAGTAGTATCCACCCACTTCCAATGGTTCCCTGATCTTCAATAACGCCAAGTATAAATAATAAACAAGATTAATTTGGTACTCATGTTTCGAAGGCTCGAGTCTTTCATCATCCCACCATTTATCGAATTTCAATTCCGAGAAATGGTCCAAGAATTCAAACACCATCAGGAATTGTAATTTATCCGATTGTTCGAGCTCCACCAACTTGGCGTACTCAGTGTGGGAACTCAAGATTTTCTGTATCAAACATTCAGCCCCGTCAATGATGATGGTGATACAACGGCGGTTCATATAAGAGAATTCCGCAATGTGTAACGTCAACCCATTGGCAAGTGATTTCATCAAGGGTAAACGATCCGTGGAAAACGATATTTTCTCATTGGCCAACTTGTACAAATTCCCAAGAAGCATTAGTGCATCGATGTTAGAATACGATAATATTATCAGACATAATAACTCATCATCGATATCGGTACCGGATAAATGATATTTTAATTGATGTAACATCCTTAATAACTTGGAAGACTTCTCAGCACTACCACCATCATTGTCTTGTAAGACCAGTTCAAGAAGGTGTGATACTTGTTGTACTTGGCGTAATCTTATAGGAAGATCAACAATCGCGGCTCCTAATTTGAAACCTGGGAAAAGTTCCTTGATAAATTTTTGTTGTTGTTGTTGTTGTTGTTGTTGTTGTATTGGTGGTGGTAGGTTATTATTAGTATCGGCTTGCAATTTATAACTTTGGGAAACTCGTTGATAAACGGTGATGATTCCTGGATGATGAGTTTTTGGTAAATCACTAACCAAGAACTTTCCCCAAATGGTAGTGAAAGTTCCCAGCTCTTCACCATCAATGGCCCTAACTAGGGCCACAAACAAATCATCATCGACTAGATGGAACGACACAAATATTGTGAAGAGATTAATGAGATCTTGGTCCATCTCAGGATTGAGTTTCAACATAAACACACAAAGATGTAATAGCGGGATCAAGAGATTAGTGTTTTTTAAAATACCCTTGAATGCCTTATTATTATTATCAATAATCCGAATAATGAGAGGAATTAATGAATAATAAGTCTCCAAACACTTTAACAATTGAGGTCTATTGGATTCCAAACCATCGAAATCATCATCATCATCATCATCATCCTCATTATTATTGTTGAACTTCAACCATTCGGTGATCTTCTTTTGAGATTCAAAAATCACAACACACCCAAAGAGATTATCAATTTTTGCTTTGATACCCCGCTCGTAATCGGTGTGGAACCTTTTTCTTGTGAATTTCAATATTTCATCCCTGGATGACAGAAACTTCGGCAAGATCTGGGTCTCATAAAGATGATGGAACCAATCAAGATCTAGGCTTGTGTCAAGGGAATTCAAACTCCGGTTGGTGGCCATCAATAATTCCCGATAATTGGGCCATTGTTGGGAACGCAGATCTGGGGATTGTAACAACGTGTCTAAGAACTCAAGAATCGGGGCTATCACTTCCATCAGCGGGTGGGTATTCATAGACGAAGAGTCGGATAGTCTGGGGGTAGTTGAGTTTATGGGAATTGAAACATCATGGATAGTAGAAGATGATGATGATGTATCAGAACTTGACATTTTGTTCAGGGAAGCAAAAAAAAAAAAGAAAAATTAAAAGGAGGAAACAAAAAGAGAGCAGATAAAAATAATATCCTTCCTGTCGCCGTCAAATGGTAGGAGGAGCTATCTAGGTGGATTGGGATGAAATTGAGAAGAGTTCCTGGGTGGGAAAATTGGAGCACTAGAGAAGAAGAGGTCTGGGAAGATATACATATATATATATATATATATATTTCTTCAAAGAAATGTGTGGGAATCACTGCACTTTTTATAGCATCACTGAAATTGGTGAGACATTCATTCATTCATTCATTCCCTCATGCATGGGGAGGAGAAGGAGAAGGAAGCATGCCTGTTCTGTCATCATTTGCACATAAAAAGTGAAGTGAAGTGAAGTGAAGTGAAGGCAACCCTTATTTTTTTTTATGCCCTCCCCACACACAAAACAAAAACATATATATATATATATATATATATATATATGGTATGGCAATATTATAATATATACATTTTCTAAATTAGTTCAACATAAATGAAATGTAAATATTTCATAAATTTTCTAGACGAATTTAACATAGACGAAATAGTAATAGCTTTTGGTATATATTTTTCTAGATGAATTTTGATGTTTATATATATATATTTATTTATTTATTTACTTTTTGTAGAATAACAATGCTGCTACTTCGGATATTTAATTGGCAATCTCGTCCAAGATCTTTTGCACTTTAATGATTCTATCAAACAAATTCTTCAAAGTCTTCTCTTGGATGAGAATCTCCCTTGAAAACTCAATATCAATGGTACTTCCCAACTCATCGTCTTCATCACCATCAGCATTATTATTCCCAATGGAATTCTTGATCACGTAGCTCAATCTTTTCAAAATCTTGAACAATTGTTTCTTCTTGTACTCTTCGACATTATACGAGTTCAAGTGTTTCAAATTCAAATTCTTCTTCAAATCATCGCTCGCTAAGATTTCTCCAGAATAAGCGTTCAAGTACTCAATGATGATACTGACGAAATCATCCTGCATACTGCCAACTTTGAATTGTTGTAATTTACCATGCCCGTCAACAAACTCGAATTTCAACAAACCGTGGGTGTTCACCAACATGTCAAACAACGATCTTTGGAATTTCATTACCGCTTCCTCATCGTTGGAATCATCAGGGAGCTCGACCTTAAGGAATTTCATTTCAAACGCCTGGGAAATCAACGCCACGTCGTGCCCGTCACTATAATGATAACGTAATTCATATACCCCCGGTTCCCAATACTGCAACTGGTTATTGAATTCCAAGACTCCTTCTTCAAATTGGGAGTCTTTGAAAACAAATTTCGATTTATAAACCTGACGGTTTTCTTTAATATGTTCATGTCCAAGGTAACGATTATCATAAGCGGTTGGATCAATGGCCACCCAATGGTTTTTGGAAGTTATTAACGTGGTGGTACTATCATTGAAAGTGTTGACCACTCGGTATAACCCCACCCAGTTGAATTTATTGTGTTTTTTAGGGATCCGGTAATAGAATTTGATGGGATTACCCAAGGCAATTGATAATTTGGTCTTATTTTTTTTTGATTGTGAATTGATGGTGGTACATGGTTCAACTGCAACATTGAGTAATTCAATTTGGTAATCCGGATCGGTTTTGGAGATTGTAATGAATGGATTAGGAGTCTCAAACGAAATCCCATCGAATTGTTTTTCTGCTGCCACCGATGATGATGATGATGATGATGACTTCAAGATTTCTGGACGCGATGGTTTGGAAAAACTGGCCCTGTCTCTGATTTTCTTGGGAATGATTTTTTTGAAAGTTTTTCTAAACCCGCTATCATAATTCACTTGTGATTCTCCATAAAGTTTGACCATGTGTGGGGTTTCGACAAACTTGATAAATAAGATCTTGCATAACGACCACACCATTGCCAAAATGAATAAATAATGAGAATTAAAGCAAATGATCGATAACCCCCATACCCCACAAATCCCCAAAATATTTTCTGGGTTGTTCAAGTACTTGTAAACCCCGGTCCTGGTCAATTTCTTATCTTTCCAATTTGGAAGGAAGAAGTCCCCGTAAAACCAAGAATAAATACCAATTGATTCAAGGATCGACGATTCGCAAAGGAAATTGAGTAGCAACATAAACGTCCCGATGAATAACCTGAAAAGAAACAAACTGTCCTTTTGATGCAATGCAATGAATGAGCTCCAAGACATCGAGTACAAATTATTGGTGGAAATAAACTCTCTAATGAACAACGATACCAAAACATTGATATTAATCAATAATTGGAAATTATAGTAAACGCACCAGTTATTGAACGCATCGATGAAATTCAAATCATATTTCAAATACCGTTTGGTGAACGATTTCTTCGTCGATTGGAAATACAACATTCCGGAAGTCAAAGCGGTGAACCCAACTTTCAACCCCAAATTAATGATAAATAACACCAAATTGAAATTTGGGTCCTGGGATTTATAAGTTATCCCAAAGAACAACCCCACCAAATTCACAATTACAATCAAATAATCTGCCGGTCTCAACCAACAGAAATTGTTGAAGAAAAACATCGGTTTCAATTTAATATCATAATCATCAATGGTCAATAAATCCCCAACTTGGGCCGCTCCGCCATAAGTCTTGTGGATGTGAGGGTCTTCAACATAATGAAGGAACAAAAACTGGCATAAGTGGGCAATGCAACTCACCGCCAACACCAAATGGGATCTGCTCAACAACGCAAACCCATAATATCCAATATACCCGATGGAATACATTGGGTGAGGGAAAAGTTCAAAGATCCCATCGAACACAAGTTCTTCATTATTGATTTTCAAATAAAAGAAATCACCCCAGTACCATGCGAAATCTTTGATGACGTGATGCGCGTCGAGTTTGACTACGAAATTGAGTAAAATAAAAAGGATCCCGAACGTCCACCGGGAATAAAAAAGGATTGGCTGTTCAGACCCCATGGAATAAGCAGAGTTTTGCACGAGGCAAGCAATAAACAAAATGAAATAGTTCATGAAGTCCTGCATGAGGATCAAATCGACAAAGTTCCGGAAAAGCAACCAGGTGTTGAAATCAATGGGGTAGTTGGTGATTTTGAACTTGTCCCCGTATTTGATTTGGAAATTCATCTCGATGAAATTCTGGATCCTCGTGCGGGGTTTGGTATCGCTGGAATAATTGAATAATTGGTGGTTTGTGGCAAAATCGGTCATCGAATTATAGTTCGATTGGTTATAGAGTAAGATCCCGATCCCCAAATTGTACGAAATTCTCCAAAAGAAGTAGCCGGTAACGAACGTTGGAATGATCCAGTGGTTTAATTGAGGATTCAGGTATAAGTAGTAGAACCCCGCGACATTGATCGCCAACGACACAATGATCAAGTAGTCGAAGAATGATTTCTTAATAAACGGGTTGAGCAACGACTGGACCATGTCATAAGTCACTAGATCGTCTTTGAACACTTGGCCCGAATGGGCTTTCCCATAATGGCTGGCCAGAGCAGCACCAGTGGCGGCGGCGGCGGCGATGTTATTTTTGGAATGATGATTCTTGTTGCGGTTTGTCATAATAGCAATCCACTTCAGAATGTGTCAAAAAAGAACCAATCGAAGAAGATCAACAAGAGAAAATAGCAGAAGTTTTCTACTTAAATAGGAATAAACGAATGATAAGAAGATATGAAAAAAGTTGGGAAGTTTTTCCAATTTTTTTTTTTTTTTTGTTGTATGGGCAAAAAGATTGACAAATTCATTGTGATTGTGGAAATAATGTTGAGTCTTTTGGGTATGCGCGGGAGACAGGCACCAGCGGTGCGGGCGGCTTCGTCAGTGGCATGTGAATCTGCGTCGTCTCCACAAGATTTCACCTGGCAAAACACTATTATTATTATTATTATTATTATTATTATTATTATTATTATTATTATTTGGCTCTATAATGTATATTACACGGAAGAATAAATATATCTTTGATGGATACTACAATAAAAGAGTTTCTATAACAATTATTTTTTTTCTTCTTTTAATAATACATTCACGAATTTGCTCTAAATACTGTCAAAAATAACGAGGGCGTTCATTCCAGATCATCATTCGACAAAGCTCGGGTCAGGTTTCAAAGCATACATCTTAACAGGATATAACTCTTTGGGCAACCCTTTTTGCACATCCTGGGCGATCAACTTCAACCCGCTTCTTGCGAAAATCTCTTTGAATTTCGAATCGGTTCTCGTCACCGAACTGTCCTCATCATCAAAGATATCATCGTCGGAGATATTTATACAGGTGTTTTCCTTCACGATAATCGTCCCGTTTTCACTAAGAGTAGACTTCATGAACTTCAAAAACTCCACTAGTAAATCATCGTTCAAGTACCCAAGACACCACTGGCACCATACCAACCAGTATTTCCTATCGTTTTTCCAAGTCTGGTGGTAATCCTGCATTCCCATATTGAAAATCTCCCCCAATTTCCCTTGGGCCTTCAACTCTGCCAATTCCTCGTCCATTTGTGCTACGAAATGTTCGTTATATTCGAGTAAATCGACTTTATCACAGTACTTGCTTAACAAATTTTTTGAAACTCTCCCGATCCCCGCCCCCAATTCGAACCCGTACTTGATTTCTCCCTTAGCCGGCCGCATTCTTGATGAAAGTTTACGGAGGAAAGTTATTGAGCCGCTGATATCCCGTTTTGGCACAACAGTGTCCTCGCCAAACCCTCCCAATACCCCGTCGACGGTTGCGGGAATCGACCGCCAGTAATTGAGACCATCGGAATAATCAATGAATTTGTCAACAGGGACTTCTTCGTCAATATCGTTTCCAAGAGCCGGTTGATCTGTAATCTCTAATTTCGCTGGCATATTGAAAATTAATAATAATAATAATAATAATATTTGATATTTGAGCGATGATTTGGGGAAGGTCAAAAAAAAAAAAAAAAAAAAAAAGTGAAAGTTCTCTGTGTGCGCGTAGCGTTTCAATCATATACCACTACAGCGGTAATAATCCTTGATAATAAGTACCTCAATGCTGGTATATCATGTGACACACATACATCCGCACTATTGGTATACTAATAAATACCACCACAATGGTATAAAAAGTGCATATAAACATATTAAATTCACTTCACTCCATTTTGTTAGAAATCACACTAAATACCGTTAGCAAATACCTCTTACACAATATCTGAAAATCTACCTACCTTTATATTTATGTGAAGCAAACAATTTCCATCTAAACAAAGAAATATACAAAGGAATTGAAAAAAAGCTCGCTTCCTCAAACCAGTTTTGATTTTTCAGGTTTAGGCGCCACTAGACTTGTCCGTAAAAGGACTGTTTAAAGGTTCGCTGAAAGTTTAGATTTACAGACGAGTCAGTTTTTTGGTATCTTTGCCACCTTACAGTTTATATTCTCGAAGAGTTGTTTCCCAAATAAAGTTAAAGAGAAGAAAAAAGAAGGAAGCCAACTAAGAAATGAAACATCAGGTACCATGCAAAATACAACAGAAGGAAGCAATCAACAGTCTAAATCAGTTGAAGATTATATCAAGGAGAGAAGGGCCGATTCAGAAATTCCTATGTTCTACTTTGAAACATTTGGTGGAGCGCTGTTGTTGAGCGAAATTAACTTAATTAATGTTCCAAAAAAAATTAGATTTTTGAGTAAATGTTAGGTTTTATAATAAGATAACAGCGGTTGAAAATGAGTCCGCATTTGAAATGTTTCTTTGTATGGTCTTGGATAATATATTTGCAATTTTACCATTTATTGGGTGGTCAAATTTGGAGTTACAATCGAAAACACAATCGTCATTTCCCATTGGAGAAAAAATAGTATGCAAACCTGATATTGTGATTGAATATCAAGAAGATGAAGAAGAGAAAGAAGATGAAAATGCTGATGAATACATAAAATGTATTGAGCTTAAATTTGAACAAGAATACTCTGTTTTAGAAAGCTTCAAAAGCTTCCAAATGGAGCACAACAGCCACGGAGGACAATTGCCAAAGTATTTTGGTTTCAGTCCGAAAGCGTTTTTCTTCTTGAGAAGTAATAATCAACTAATAATTCAAATTTTGGCCGATGGCGTTATCGCCTGCCAAGTCATTGATACTTCAAAAGTACCTCTTGGTGGTGCAATTCTCAGGTTCTTAAAAACAACATTGAAGGCCAAACAATCACGGCTAGATTTAGCTGAGAGAACAAATATTGCCAGCTCGTTTATTGGAAAGTTGTTTGCTGCATTTTTATCCAAGCAAAAAGAACAAAGATCTCTCGGCAGCGACATTAACAGAGTATTGATATACAACTATTTGAAGTTCGCCTTCGAGGAGATTAGTGAAGCGAAGCAGAAAGATTTCTTTGGGACGCAGTACGATCGAGGTTTGAAAAGCATTGTTGATGAAAATTGGAAGATAAATTTGATGAAACAAATAGAAAGGTTTTCAGAAGCTAATAAGTATTATGGTGAAGGTAAAGACGGTAGGTTGGTGTTAAAAGAGATTTCTAAACGCAAACCAGACGTTGTTTTTGGAGAGAAAGCTTACAGTGCATAGTCTCTCGTCATAGGCTTTGGGGGTGAATTGTATAAAATCTTTGAATACCTTCGATGTGTTCCAGAAGTTTCCTCATCCACAAATTTCAATAGTCATCAAAAAACATTCTACTACTACAGTACTCTCTTTATTAATGAGATAACATCATATGCAATTTTTGAGGTCTGCCTTGATTTGCATCAGTAAAATTCACTGTGCCGGGGTGGGACATGGTGATATTCGGGGCGCCAATCTATTTGTCAAAAACTTGGTTGACGTCAAGCTACTTGATTTTGGTTTTTCTTCATCAACAATAATATCAGCAAGAAGAAACCCACAAGAGAAAAAAGAAAAACAGTGGGGTATGATGAAAGATTTGAATCGTGCTTTTGAGGACGATTACAAAATACTTTTCAACATTGCTAATGAAAAAATTGGTAATTGTTGTGCACGTATAATGAGAGAGTTTGTTAATTATACCCTGGAGCTAAACGAAAGTTTGAATTTTGATTCAGAATCCGAAGATTTGCTCATTTTTTTTTTCAGAAAAGGCAACAGAAAAGGAACTTGCTTTTGTGTGTGAAGATTTAGATGATAAACCTGAAGAATTTTGGAAACTTCTCGAAAGAATAGAGGTAACAGAGGAATGAAGGATTCGTATTATATAATATATATATTGAATAAATGGTATTATATATATATAAGAGAGGTTCGAAAAGTGCTGCAAATCAACAGAATGCTAATATAAATATATATTTGATTGTTGCTGCATTTTAATAAATCTCACGCGAAGAGTTTTCATTCCTTTTTCGTACAACCATCATCGTAATGATAGGAAAGAAAACATAATCAAGCTTCATCAAATCAATTAATCTTCTTTATTTTTTCTTCATCATTTATCTTTTGGCATGTGATTGTTATTATCAATATACAAAACCTTTTTGTGTACAAATATAGATGTATACTAATAATAATAATCAAAGAGACATTGTTATTATTATTCTCCCTTATCACTGTATTTTTGATAAACAGACAGTAATTATTATTCTACTTCACGTGAAATAGTAGTATCGTTACTATACATATATATTCTATGTTATAGTTCTCATGATTCTATTGTGTGGGTTTCTTTTTCATGCATGATATGACGATGTCCCTCAACGACATCTAGTATTGGGGGGGTTCACAGGGGGTTTACTGGTAATCGTTTCTTTGGTTCTTGAAGATCTTACTCTCTCTCTCTCTCTCTCTCTCTCTCTCTCTCTTTCCCCTTCCCCTTCCCCCTTGTTCTCCTCCCATAGTAGTTTGGTTTTAAGCAATTGTTGTGAAATTCCTTAAAAATACCGAAGATGTGTTTAAACTATACCCAATCTATATATCATCTCTTTAGAATGCGGAAACAGCTCGAGCAGCAGCTGTATTCAACCATACCCTGGTTTGGGATATTATCAGGTAACTTGCTTGTTAAATAGCAAAAGTGCTCCATATGAGGGAAGAAGAGTGAGGGTACCAGCATAATTAGGTAGAGTACTTTCGAATATTACAGCTGGATAAAGTTTGGTTTGGGGTTGGTCCAGTGTTTCTCTAAGATATTTTTGTTAACAGCTACTTACTTCGAGCTCAGAAGAATTACTGAATCCTCAAGTAATAAATTTCTATACCTGATATACATAATAATATATATACATATATTATTTGACACTTCCTTCTGTAATACATTTTGAGGCGCCCTGACCGTTTTTTTTTTTTTTTTTTTCCCACTCCATATGTAATTAGTATAGTATGATCTTGGCGATTGTGATTACTGGGGAGGGATAGCCTAACTGATATGGCTTGTAATCTGTCAAGGTTTTTGGGTTAAGATAAACTAACTTGATATCCGACAGGTAATGCTCAAAGTTGGAGTGGTTGTTGCAATTGACCATATATTATTCAATCCATGTATGTTGTTTTGGCACGGCAATTTTCACCGATCCGGTTGGGACACCGCCATAATTATTATCATGACGCTACGATGATCTTATTATTGTGTGTGGTAAGGGGTATATATGGACAATTAGTATTGTCTGATCAGCAGTATACAGACAAGTGAATACCATGATTAGATAAGATAGATAGCAAACTAAAGATAGGAGCGTAAATGTGATTTAGAAAACTAGATAACGATAACGATCAGAGTGACAATCTATTACGATAAGATAAGAAAAGATGAAATAAGATAAGATTAGAGAAAGATAAGGATAAGGATAATTTGTTGTAGCTACTGGGAAGATAAGTGAATCACTACGGAGATTGAGAACATTGCTACCCAATTTTTAAGTCATCATACAAAAAATAATAGAGAATCCCCTTCTCCTCCCTCCCCCCCACACGGAACATCGTCATCCTTATTATTGTTGTAATTACGCAATTTAATAAGCCAATTATCCCACATGATCATCGTTTTTACACAAATCTAATCCAATTTTTTGGAAATAATAATCTCTCTCTAGTACCATTAATAATATAAAAAAATTCACCATTCTTTCATGGCAACGGCTCAGTCGAGCCCCCCAATTTATTCAAGTGTATATAAGCATCAGTACCATACCCTTCCATACTGATCAATTTCAAATCGCCGCCAAAATACCTGGCGTATAACCTACTCAAAGAGATCCCGTAACCCAAACCGGCCATTGGGGCAATGAACTCATTCTCCCCAATATTATCAATATCGGGAATATCCTTTGCGGTAGTGTACAAATACGTCCATATCAAAGGCATGGCGCTTCTAGGGATCCCTCCACCTTCGTCACTGATTTTGATGGTGATGTCCTCGTTCCCATTGGCGACAATGACTTTAATTGGCGGGAACTCAAGGTTGTAAATATCAAACGCATCGCCTTTTAATTGCTGCTGCTGCTGCTGCTGCTTCATTAAATGATACTCCACCGTAGCCCGAAGGGAGTTCTTGAGGATCTCAAACAACATATGCATCAAATGAGATGGCACGTACATGAACTCGATGTTATCGGCACAGTAGAGCTCGACTTTCGGGGCCTCGTAGAGCCCGAAGTACTGTTCACATATGTACCGGGCGTTTTCAATGGCGTCTTGGGCCAAATCACCAACGTTGGTGTGTTTGCAAATGATCCCGACGTAATCATCTCTTAGTGGTTCTTTGTTTAATGCAATGTGTTGGCCAATCAACATCCTGATGCCGATTCGGGACATATAGAACCGATCAAGGAATTGTTGGATGGAAGAGTCAATGACATCGGGGCCCTTTGTGAGGTGCTTCCATTCGAGCACGCCTTTGGCGATGGTGGCCACCGTGGGATCGTGGCGCTTTTTGATCTTGGTCAAAGTGTTGGTGACAAGATCGTTGTATTCGTAGATATCTGATGAGCAGTAGATGGTATCGGGTAAGTCGACGTAGTATTTTCTGTGATGATCATTAATGGAGGTGGGATACAACAATTTCTTTAAATCGCCGGCGATCTGCGGCCGGGGTAAGCTGGTTAATTCATCGAAGGATTTGGCGTACCAATGCTTGACTTCGACAATAGACGGGTTCAAGCTTAGGCCATTGGGTAAATGATCCAACTCCTTTATTCTGTGGGCCAACCTGATGGGCAATTCCTCGACCACGAACTGCGATGCTCTGAATAATGTGCCAACGTTGGGGTGGACGCCAAAGTTGACCATTTGTCTAATGGAGACCCCTGTGGGAGGGTACTTTGCGTAGGTGTATATTTTATCTAGCAAAGACTTGTTGATACTCATTGGTGGTCGAGAGGTATCGTATCTATTAGAGAATAATATTGAGATAGTGAGCAAGAGGTGCAAACATTGAACATTGAGAGAGAGAGAGAAAGAAAGAGGTGACAGAATCCGGGGAAAGGGGAGTAGGGTAATGAGCTGTTACATTATGTTATATTATGTTATACTATATTATGTTATACATTATATATATATGTATATATTATATACTGTTCCGTTACTCTATTCTGTAACTGATGGATGGTGTCTGTATCATCATCCATCATCCATCATCTATCATCCATCACCCATCACCCATCAACCCACCGACTGTGTGGTTTTCTTTGTCTTCGCCCATTTTCCATTTTCCATTTTCCATTTTCCATTTTCCTTTTTCCATTTTCCTTTTTCCTGTCAACCGCAACGATCGCAGAGTGGCGGTGCGCTGTGTGTGTGTGTGTGTGTGTGTCGTATATAAATATAAATATATTAAATCAACCACCGTCCGTGCTATTGCGGTTGCTGCTGCTGCTGCTGAGATTATTAATCGCAGGCTGTGCTCACTTATTATATACTATATCAAACACACCGTCCTTATTGATATAATATACCCTCCAAATCAAATCATCGCAGATCTCTCTCCATTTCTCTATCTCTATCTCTACATCTCTCTCTCTCTCTTTCCTCTATTGTTCTTTCCTGCACTCCTGGCCATCTATTTCCCACTATATATAAATCACCCACGTTTTGCCGGGATTTCGTTATTGTCCCTCCAACCATCACAATTTTTTTTTTCAAATCATTTGCCATACTAATCTCACAAACATAATATATAATAATGAACCAAGACAACAATAATAAACCGGTTTATAACCCAACAAGACACAAACGCCACCACTTGCTGCTGCTGCTGCTGCTGCTGCTCCTGCTGTCCAACTCTTCCTCATCCTTCATCCCTTCATCGTCCACCACTTGGGACTACTCTCCATCCCTTGCCCCCTCAAGAACCTCGGATTCTGGCCCAGAAATAAAACTACCAATGACCCCCGAGAGTAAATCTTCTCCGTTGATGAATTTGAATTTGCCCTTGGATTCTCGCAACGACACATACACCACCGCCAGTGCCAGTGCCAGGCTAAGAAGGCCTTCCAATGACCTGGTGATGGTGGCCAGGAAAAAGATTTCTTCTCCTGATTTGTCAAGAAGTTTTGCCTCCTCTTCTTCAGCCTCTTCCACTCCAAGAAACTCATTTTCCAGCAATAATAATAATAATAATAATGCTAATGCTAATAATGCTAACGCCCCCAGGATGGGGAGTGGGGAAATTATTGATTTGATGGAACGTGAACAAGACGCTATTGTGTTGAAATTGATGAGAGAAATCAACCAACTAAAAGAAGAAAATAAAATCTTGAAAGCCCAGATCAACAATAACCCCAATATCGGAGTCTCTAGAAGCTCGTCGCTATCCGGAGGAGCTTGCTCTAGAAGATTCTCATCGTCCTTAGTCGATAATGATGGGTCATGTCCGAGAAAACGGTTTTCCACTTCCAGTAGAACAGGCAATAATAATAATAATAATCATCATCATCATAGGTTCAGTGATGTCTCTGCCAACTCTACAACCCTTAGTCCATTCCATAATTATAAATTAGACAGTAATCCTGACGATTCAGCTATAGTGATTAGTGATAATGACAAAATAATGCTGCCGGGGCCAAATATTCCGAGAAATGGTAAAGAGTTGCGAAATGTCGATGCTTCGGATAATAAAATGGGCAAATCTTCAGATATTCTTCAATCATCACTTGAAGATTATTAGGATATATATATATATATTTGTTTTTCAGTTCTTTCAATATCTCTTAAATAGTTTGTGATTTTTTATTATTATTATTATTATTATTATTATTATTATTATTATTATTTGTTAGTAACCCGTGGCATGCATCATGTAGAACCATTATTGTCTGTGTTTGTGACACTTTATCCAAAAACCAAATAAATAAATAAATGAATAGATATCACTCTCTGATTCTTTTTTTTTTTTTTTAATTTCACTTTAATATTCGTTCAACTACAAAAAAATACTTCATCATAATATTGATTTCATTACATATTAATCCCCCGCTTATGAATAAAACAAAAAACAAATATCATCCACCATCTAGAATAATGGGCTCACTCGCCATCATTTTATTAAATTCTTTGCTACTTTTTCATCTGGTTTACTCTTCACATGCCATTTCTCAACCTCTGGACCATGGTAAACAAAATAGAGAAATCGTGGTGATATCAAAAGACTCCACCAAACATTTCAAAGACTCGATGTCCCCCGTGGGTTACGACGGGAGTATTTCGGCCACCCAACCTTTCCCTGAATGGTTAGCGGATTTCACTTATTTAAAAGAATGGCCAGGAATAGACCCACCGTACGTGCCTCTTAGTTTCATTGACATGAACCAAATTCCTAACAGTGTTCCTATTCATGAAATGGGGGCCTGTCCTGGTGATAGAACAGGATGCTCGTTTGATTGCCACAAATGTGTGGCCCAAGATGATATCTACACTTGTCCCAAATTATCACAAAGTTTCGATGATGGTCCATCTCCGGTGACCACAAGATTATTGGACAATTTACAACACCCCACCACCTTTTTCACCCTTGGGATTAACGTGGTCAAGTACCCAGAGATTTATAAACAAATCCAGGCTAAAGGGCACCTTATCGGTAGCCATACTTGGGGCCACAAGTTTCTTCCATCATTGACCAATGAACAAATCATTGCCGAGATTGAATGGTCAATATGGGCGATGAATGCCACCGGAAATCATATTCCAAAATGGTTCCGGCCACCTTATGGCGGCATCGATAACCGAGTCCGCCATATCTTACGACTCTTTGGATTGCAAGCGGTGTTATGGGATTATGATACTTATGATTGGCAGTTATTGAATAATCAAAGAACTGAGCAACAAATATTCGATGAGGCAAGAAGTTGGTTAGCATCGTCTGGAGGACAGAAACGAGGAATGATATTGGAGCACGATGCCCATGATCGGACCATCGACGTTGCACTTGAATTATCCAACAACATTATTGGCCATGATCAATTGACCGCAGCGCAATGTGTCAATGGGGTTGAGTACATCAAGACGTTTGGGGTCGATAACGAAGAGTATGCGGCTGCTGCTGCTGTCAATGTGAACGAAAATTTCATTTATGTTAGTTGAAGTTTTATGAATGTTGTTTCATTTTGAATCATGGTAGATGACCCATTTTTATTATATACATTTATCTTTAATCATAGTAATTATATATCATATAGCATTATTAAATACAGTAATAAGAATTATATAGGATGATGATGATGATGATGATGATGATCGAAATTTTTATGTGTATGAGAAAAAAAAAAATTACGGCAACAACCACCAAAAATTTGGTTTGCAACTTCCTTTGATCCATCGTGCTCTTGTGTGGTATAAATATACATAGTGACTCCACAGATCCAATACCAATATTATTAATCAATTTGCTATTGTCAGTTCTCTGGTCGAACTCTGCTGGAAGACTTTTAGCGGCGCAAAATTTTCAAACTGAGTCATAGATCTACCTACAGTCATTTTTTCTTGCAACAACGGTTATTTATCATCACTAACAATAAAATCAAAAGTTGATCCTTTTATACCTGATTTCATCATCCAGATATAAACCCAAGGCTTATCATGTCGAGAACCCAGCTAATACTCAAACGGGTGGTCCAAGATTTCCATCCCATCTGGTTTGCCAGTACTATGGGTACCGGGATTTCCTCAACCATCTTGTACAACTTCCCTTATCCTGCCTACTGGCTCAAAGTTTGCAGTTACATTATGTTTGCGGTGTGTTGCTTGTTGTTCATTTTCTTTAATCTCATCTTGGTGGTGGCGGCGTTCAAGTATCCGCAGAAATGGAAACACATGCTATTGAACGTGGGCCAATCGGTGTTCTTTGGGTGTTATTCGATGGGGTTTTCCTCGATCCTTTCGTACCTCCATAATATCGTGGGAGAAGATTGGGCCACCGCGCTTTTCGTGCTTTGGATCATCAACATTGCCATCTCGCTCTTCACCGCGTGGATCATTACGTTCTTAGTCCATTATAAAGGCGAGGTCCAGCCGCACGAGATCCACATTTCGTTTCTTTTACCAGTGGTGTCGCAAAACGTCGTGGCTGCCGTGGGTGGGGTGTTGTACGATATCCTCCATCCGAATTTGAAATTACCAAACATCATCATCTCGTATCTTTGTTGGGCCAACGGGATCGCGTTGACCGGGTGGGTTGTCGGGGTGTATATTTGGAAACTTTACGTCCATAGGATCCCATTAGCGAAAAACACCGGGTTTGTGGCGTTCTTGCCAGTGGGGGCGTTCGGACAAGGGGCGTTTGCGGTGATGATCATTTGTGACAATTTCCGCAATTACTTGCAAGACATCGACCCGAAATTCCTCCAAATTGGCCTCGATGATGCCAGTATCGTCAACAATAATTTGATCGTCGGCCAATCTCTCAAATACTTGGGATTAATGGTGGGGTTGTTCTTGGTGTCCAACGGGTACTTTTTCACTTTCAACGCCGTGGCATCGGTTTGGGGCGCGGGAGTGGATCGGTTCACTAAAGGGTTCTGGGCGTGTACTTTCCCACTTGGGACCATGGCATTGGCAAACCATGAGCTTTATACGTTATTTGGTTTCAGGGCGTTCAGAGTGGTGAGTGCGGTGTACTCGACGGTGTTGGTGTTGATCACCACTTTTTGTATTTTCGGGTCGTTGGTTTACGAGTTTCCTCATGAGATTTACAGACCAATTAAACAAGAAGATGAGAAAGATGCTTTGGCATGAAAAATTTTTTAGATGGTTTGTTTGTCCTCTACAGTAGAATATTATAGACTTTTGGTTTTATGTTTGTTGTTGTTGCCTGTTCAATTTGTTTTATATTTAATCATGTTATTTTTCTTTCTTTCTTTCTTTCTTTCTTTCTTTCTTTCTTTCTTTCTTTCTTTCTTTCTTTCTTTCTCAATTTTGCTCCATTTTAATAGTATAATATAACACCTTATGGTTATTGATATTATACAACAGTTTTTAGTACGATACAATACAATAGATCATTAGTATTCTCTTATGGTAACAGCGTGCGGTTAGTTTTTTTTTTTTTCCGTTTAATTTTTTGGGGATTCTCACTGATCTCATAAAAAAAGTGTGTGTGTATGTGGTTAGTGGTGTGCAGCAGTATCTGTCAATCTCCACTTTATTATCAAAGATGAACAGAATATTATCGAGGAATGATATTCAGAATAGAATAGCCAAAGGCCAGACGATTTTGATCTACGACCACCAGGTTTTACGACTTGATAAATGGATCGCGTATCATCCTGGAGGAGCCAAAGCGATTTATCATATGGTGGGCAGAGACTGTACCGATGAAATGAACTCGTATCATTGTGAGACCACCCAGGCCACATTCAAGAAATTCAGAGTCGGTAAGATCGATTATAAATGGGAGAATATGTTGCCTCCGATCCAAGGAGGAAAATACACTTTCATTGAAGAGAAGAAAGCCAATAATGATGATGACAATCATTGTGATTCTGATGATACGTTAATCGGGGATGATAACCTAATGGACAAAGACCAACATTCTAAACTCCCGGGTCAACCAGCAGTGGAAATCATCCCGCCAATCCCTCAAAATATGATTTTCACCATTGATAAGAAGTTTGCGTACCAACAAAAAGTCATTAGGGATCCTGAAGACGTTTTGGATAATTACGACAACCAGTTTGTGGAAAAAGATTTACAAATGTACCCGCCAATGGACTACGAGACCCAATCAGAGCTATCCGAAAAATACAACCAGTTGCATCAACGGATCATCGATGCCAATTTATACCAGTGTGATTATTGGTCGTATTTCAAAGAATTCTGCCGGATCGGGTCGTTATTCCTATGGTCGATGATTTTTTATAAAACAAACCACTTGTTTTGTTCGGCGGTGGCGATTGGGGCAGCCTGGCAACAGCTGACGTTTATCGTCCACGATGCGGCGCATATTTCTATAACTCATAACTATCAATTCGACTCGTTTATCGGTATGACCATTGCCTCGTTTGTCGGGGGGCTAAGTTCCACGTGGTGGAAAAGTAACCATAACGTCCATCATTTGGTCACCAATGATCCAGTACACGATCCAGATATCCAACATTTACCGTTCTTTGCGGTGTCCACCAAATTATTCAAGAATGTGTACTCGACGTATTATGAGAAATTCCTCTATTATGACAAATTCTCGAAACTCGTGATCCGTATCCAGGATCATTTATATTATCCGATGTTGGGGTTTGGAAGATTCAACTTATACCGATTGAGTTGGACCCATTTATTACTTGGGCTTGGTCCTACCAAGGGGAAAGCCGCGTGGTTTAGATGGTACGAATTAGTGGGGTTGTCGTTCTTCCTGTATTGGTTCTTTTACTTGTTTCTTTTTAAATGTCTCGATTCCCCAGGACAAAGATGGCAATACTTGTTGGTGTCGCATATTAGCACAATGCTCGTACATGTGCAAATCACCCTTTCACATTTCCCAATGTCGACGTCGGATTTGGGGGTCAGTGAATCTTTCCCTTCGAAACAAATGCGAACCACCATGGACGTGGATTGTCCCGAATGGTTTGATTTCATTCATGGGGGGTTACAATTCCAAGCCATCCATCATTTATTCCCAAGACTTCCAAGACATAATTTAAGAAAAGCCCAGCCGTACGTGATTGCGTTTTGTAAAGATGTGGGGTTGAAGTATACGATCTATGGATTTGCCAAAGGAAATGGGAAAGTATTGAGTAGGTTAGGGAAAATTGCACAACAGGCAAAGATTTTGGCAGATTGTACTAAAGCAATGAAGGAAGAGGCTAGAGGAACGCTGAGAAAATAAGGTACTTACTACTTACTTTATTAAAAAATAAAAAGAAAAATAAAAATAAAAATAAAAAGAAAAAGAAAAAAGACGATTGTCTTAAGAGGGAGAGAGGGGGGGAGGAAAACCTAAAAAGATGTATATCATTTAGTATCCCCGAGTAGGCCGAGAAAAGAGGGTCATGAAATTATAGACCAAATATTTTATAACAGAGGTTTATGAATGCTCGCACTACAAAAACGGTTGTTGTTGTTTTTTGTTTTTTTTAGATACCAATTCATATATATTTTATAAAAGAAAGAGGTTCGCGCAATACATACCTTCACTACAAAATGATACAATTACACTCTTTCTTTTTAATGCGTTCATCAATTATGAATGTAACTAATCCATATACCGAAGCATTTTCCATTTACTTAGAATGTTATAACAAAAAAAAGAAAGAAATGTCTATATACTGAAGTATTTGTCAATCATTTACGATATATCATATGAAAAAGAAATATTCTAGATATTCCTTTTACTTAAGGATTTTTTGTCAATGATGTAGAATTTTGTATCAAAAAGAAATATGTATATCTACTGAATTATTTTGTCATTTATCTAGAGTGTTAAATCAAAAATAGAAAACAAAAAACAAAAACAAAAAAAAAACAAAAAAAAGCCTAGATATTGACAATAGTGGAATGATAAATAACTACATCATTTAATAATCTTTTTGTTCTTTTTAATTTCTTACATTGTCATTTCATAATATTCATTAATCCATTTTTGAGCAACTTTAGCTCCATAAACTATTCATAATAATGATCTTAATGACTTGTCTTTTAACCATATTATTATTTTTATTTTTATTTTCATTTTCATTTTCATTTTCAAATTGTAATTTATATTGTCTGCCTTGTGTTGCAGCTTAGTGTATTTCATTTGCTTATAGCATTAATAAATATGAAATCATACCCTTCAACATCAGTGGGTTCACAAGATAGATATGTAATATGCCAATGAATGAACTAGCATTTGATGGAGTACCACCACGATATATTATTGTATTGTATATCGAAGTATTTTCCTCGAAGTATGTGCAAAATTTTCAAACTCCCTATTGATTTTTAGTGCGCTTTATATCTTTCATCATTGATGGTGGATTTTAATCCTACATCAGCATTTATCACTTTTCCATCTGAAAAACTCTTACATTCATCATTGACCGGTCAAATAGTTCAGTACGCTCTTTCCTAAAGATGATAAAATTATATAATACAAATTCTCCTAGTTTTACAAATTCGTAGAGCCATTTGTTTAATTATCAAAAGACAACCAAACTTCGTATAACCATTTGTTTAATTATCAAAAGACAAGACAACCAAAACTTCGCATATCACAGTGTTTTTTTGTTTTTCTCGTTCAAAGATCATCAAACTTCTTAATCCCATTCTCATGTTTTTCTTTGAGCGACGCCAATGTTTTTTTTGGTAATTTTACTTGTTGGACCTTTTGCTTTTTCTTTGGTTCAGGTTTCTCGGTTTCCTCTTCGACTTTTTGTTTTTTTGCTTCAGGTTTGTCCTGATCGTCCTTTTCAGACACTCTCTTCTTTTGGGTCTCTGGAGCTTCTTCTTCTTCTTCTTCTTCTTCATCATCATCTTCGGCTTCGCTCATATCATCCAGATCACCATCGGAATCACTCATATCATCCCAATCATCATTACTAGCCTCGCTGCTATCATCATTATCACTGCTATCACTATCGCCACCGGTTATTTCTTGCAAAACTTCCCCAGGCATCCGATTACTCCAAATCTTTAATGACGACATCCCTGCAGAAATCAACCGATATTCATGATCGATATCCAATAAATTAACCTCGTCGAGCTCGTCGTGAAGTCTGGTTTCCACAACCGCGCTACGTTTCCCATTGACTTTGTAAATCAACCCATCGGAACACCCTGCCCAAACACAATCGGGCTCTTCATCATTCATCCCACTAATAATACAATCGACACTATTATCTTTACTCACCTTGATCCGACTAAACTGATCGGCGTAATCGTTTTTCCGTTCTTTCCACTGAGTCACCACCCCCAGACCCATCCCACAAAGTAAAGTTTCGTTAGAATTCATGCTGGGAAACGCTCCACATACTACCTCATCTTCTTGGTTTTCCGATTGAAGAAGCACCCCTTTCCTCAAATCAATTTTCGCCACAGTAGTACTACCCACACTGATGTAATGGTACACTGAACTGGCGTTAGGGATGGCAATGATTTGGTTGATCATATCTTCGTGGACATTCTTCAATTCAAATACTTTAGCAAACTTGTTTCTGGTATCAAACACTCTGATGTTCCCCAATTCGTCCCCCGTGATCAAATGTGGATGAGACGTCGATAAAATCCCACAACTGACCCCGTTCTTCATCAGGTCATCGGTGATCAAATCATCGGTGATATTTTTCTTGAAATCAACTTTCCCGGTCTCGGTGAACGCTTTCTTGATAATATTATCCTTCCCAATGGTATAAATCGTTTTCCCTTCGTCGTTTGGATCAAAAAGTACCGTACGACACCCTTGTTTATGACGTTTAGTTTTCCACATGGTTTCCACCAATTTCTCATCGTTGATGGCTTCATCTTGGGCGTTCAACACACTCCAGAACGCTTGTTTCTTCTTTTTCACCGACACTTCGCCATCCTCTTGTTTCGACAACTCGAGGTTTTTCTGTAATTGTTGCTCAAGTTTCTTAACGTTATATTTGTGGAGATAAACATGCCCGGTCCCTAACCCTGATAATAGAAGGGGTTGGGTAGGATGCGCGGCAAGAGCAAATAAGGGGTCATCGAAGGTAAGGTCGACGATGGGGTTGACATCACTAAGGACGGTTTGTTGCTTCTTCTTCTTTGCCATTATGATATTGTTTGGAAATTGTGATTATATGTTTTGTAATAAAAATAATAGAAGAAGATGATGGATGGAAGAAAATTTTTGAAAAATTTCGATGAGGAACCATGGGGGGGGGTTGACCACCCAGAAAAAAAAAAAAAAAAAAAAAAAAAAAGGCAGCGGAGCGGGTCTTCCCTGGTTAGTTTGTATCTATCTGATAATATTTACACTTTATCATATCATAATATACTTCCTTGGATAATATATATATATATATCATGGCCAATTCCTCTAATACTGTTCAAACGACGACAAAGTTTGTCATCGACGACAATTTGAAACATTTGATAAATTCCCACCTGGAATTATCCCAATCGGTCAAAGACACTCTACTACAACGGCAATGGATCTCCCTCAACGATACTAAAGCTTTAGTGATTTCCTCAGCCACAACTGACATCTCAGCCATACCCAAAATACTCTCTTCTTTGAAATTCTACTTCCCTCCAAAACCCAAGACCGTGCAAACTCCGGAATTCCAACGCCAGCTTCAGCGATTACGTAACCTTGAAGAAGAAAGACGGTATCAAGAAATGGCGTATTCTGATAAAACCACGATCTACGATAAATCGCTTTCGATCCATCAGGACACCCGGCTACGATTAGATGGAGGAGAGGATGATGATGTATCTTTATCGCCTAGTCAGTTTTCCAAACAGGTGAAAGAACAAATGACGACGATTCTTAATATTTTAATCACTGCAGGGTCAGTGGCCTTTGCGGTGTGGTATTGGACAAAAACTTCGATGACCAACGTGAGTATTAGCACTAGAGTGTTTTTAAGTATGGCGTTTGGGTTTTTGGTGCTAGTTGCCGAAGTGGTGGTGTATAATGGGTATTTGAGAAGAATGGACGATGCTAAACAAACTGAACGACGGAAAAAGGAAAAAAAGAAGGTTGTGAAAACAATTACGATTAAAGGAGGTGAAGTGATTGAAACAGATGTTGTGCAGGAGAAAGAAAAAAATGTCGGAAAGCACAAGGAAAACCCTGGGAAGCAAAAGAAAGTCAAAAATGATTAGATTTGTGTTTGTTGAAAATTGTATTATCTATGTTAGATTCCATTTTTTGAGAGTTAGCATTGCATTGACACCAATAACATTATTATGTACATCCTTTTGAAAATATACCTATTTCACTCTATCTTTCATAAATCAAGGGAAAAGAAAATACATCTTTCTAATAAGATTAAACACATTAAAGCAATACTCTCGGCTAAACTCCAACAGGATCAAAATAAATATGCAAAACGTAGATTATGCTAATGACAGTTGAAAGGCTAGCTTTCCATCGATTAATGGAAAGAAAAAACAAATATAAATAGATTCTAATATTACCCCCATCATAATTTATATATACATAATATATTTGTTATGCTGGCTTAGATGTGAATTGATGGGGATGCAATAATCGCAGATTTAGATGCAGATGCTGTGGTTTTGGGGCTGATATAGGGTTTGCTTGACTATGGGGATTATCAATTACATTCGAAGGCAAATATGGGTACTTTGGGCGTAATAATTGTGGCTCAGATAACCATCCTAAATCCTTTTTTCTCTTTGGAATGATTTCTCCAATTGGTAATGAAGAAGCGTTATTATTGCCCAACATGGGATTATTCCGGTCTTTTTGTAATGCTAGTTCTTTACAAATTACATCATAGTTTTCCTCACTGGTCGACAATCTGGACTCCAACAGCTCAATTTTATTTTCTAGCGATTTGACGTACTTTAATATCGAATTAAGATCTGTCATTGGCGCCAAAAGGTTAACTTGACGATCCAGAGATGTTTGACGGGGGATCATATTAGTTAATGATGTTATTGTTGATCCAGAATTCACATTATTCTCATCCTCATAATACTTTTTGGGTATTGGATCAACAATGGAAGATCCAGAACCAGTAGCTCCTTTATTGATTATTTGATTAAGAGAAGTAACATTCTGTTGGTCTGTAAGAATCGTCGTATGGGGTTGTTGTGTTATGATCTTGGTTCCTTGATACAGTGATGATCCAGGAGCCAAAGATATTGAAGATGAAGAGGGGCCATTTGTAGATTGTAAAGATGATGATGACAGTGATTCATTGTCATCAAAGCTTTTGTTGTGTTGGGTGGGACCACTTGATCTACTATTAGTGCTAGGTGAAGAAGCAATGCTGCTGGATCCATCAGAGCCAGAATTGATCTTCATCAAGGAAACTGCGTCACCCAGAATAGATTTAGCAGTAGCTGACAAAATATGTGATTTATTGGTAATAACGTTGCCGCCGCATCCTGCTTGTGAGTTAGTATGCCTGACCAACGCATCACTTCTGGCAAAGGTTCTTCTGCATTGCAAGCATTGGAACGGTTTTTCACCAGTATGTGATTTCTTGTGTCTTTTCAAGTCATGGGATCTTCTAAATTGGGAATGACACTCAGGACAATTGTAAGGTTTCAGTTTCGAGTGGGTTAGCTGATGAGATTTCAAGTTATGCCTTCTGGTGAAAGAGTGGCCGCAATCCGAGCACACAAACTTCTTGTCTTTGGGGATGTTGAGATTATTGGGGCGGTCCATGATGATCATTCTAAAAAGACATTATCATGGTTATTATGGGTAATGGAAATAAATGCCAATCCTTCCTTCACAAACACTGGCTGACAACATTGCTCATTGCTAATTTCCAGCATCCCCTGCCTATCGCCTATACACCTACGCTACCTACAGTGCGCTATAGCAAAGATCCTCTGTCCGCAGCATCACCGTCCCGGACCGCCGCCTTGTTGCTGCTTTGCTTTCTTCCGCCACAAAAAAAAAAAAAAGTGGTTACCCGCAGTATACCGTCAAGATGGGTGGGAGGCCCCCCCCCCACGTGCTGGGGGAGTTTTGGTGCGGTTGAGGTTTTTCCGCCGCGGTTGCCTGAAGGGTTGATGGATGGGATTAATTGCAGTGGCAAAACAAGGAGATTCCGTCGATACCATCACCACAAGCACCAGCTATATCTCTGTCTCCCACTACCTTGTACCGTGTTTCTTGTGGGATATATCTCCCCAAAAATTGTCCTCTTTATTTACCGCCTTTTTTTTTTCGTGTTCTGCCATCTCAAATACCCCACAGGAAGCCTTGTTGTCAGCATATTTGACACCGCTTATCTTCCCTCTCCTTATCAAACACCTCAGCAACATCGCGCTATTTGTTGTTAGACACCGTGCTTGGTCTCATATTGTCGCTGTTATTCACTATTAATACCTCCCGATATCCCAAATCTTGCTTACCCAACCCTTTTCTTCCTTTTCCCTGCCAGATTTGCACCCCAAAATCTCGTTGCTAGGGTCTCACATTCCTCATCGCAACTGTCAAAACTAGCGGCTATCAACGTTTTTTTTTTTTTCTCAACACGCGCGTCATACATATTAGAGCCTCATCGACTACGAGTCATATTATATTAATTTGACAATGTCTTTGGTCCAGCATCTCAATAGAAAACGTCCGAGACCTTTCAGGGGTGATTCGTCAACTTCCAGTCCCAGAAACTCGTCAACCCCGATAGTTAAACCAGGGTCCGGCAATGTTGGCATCATTTCTACTACAGGAGCAACCATTACCACAAATCCTTTCACAAAGACAACCACCACTGGCTTCACCTCGGTCGATCCAATATGTCTTGATTCTGAAGAAGAAGCCGGTACCCTGGATATTTTCGGCGCCGGATCGTCGAATATCGATCATTGCAATTTCCAAACATCACGAAATAATGCAAATAATGCCGGTAAATTGAAGACGACGGCAGCTGATTGCTTAAATAATAATAATGCCTCTCCAGGCATCAACTATTTTGAAAATAATAATGGTAAAAGCAAGGATTACGATAGTGATGATAGTGTGATCATTGTTGATAAATGGAAAGATATTTGCGATGATAAAGATAACCCGTTTTCTAATGTCCATGCCATCAACGATTTTATCAATGATAGCAGCAGAAATGATTCTCTTAGTTATAATGATAGTGGTGCCACCATGGCGCATGCCTCGTACCATTCAGATTCCAGTTTCAATTCGAGCATTTTGCAAGCCGATGAGGAGTTGTTTCAAAAAACAAAACGATTTTCTAAAAATAACGATGACTCAGAAAGTTCTGGTACCAGGGATTTAAATGCTAATTTCGCATCGATTCTTTCGCATCTTTCTAAGAAAGGTAGAAAAAATATCACTACTGGTGATTTACAATTACCTCAGATCTCCTATGCCAAGACAAGGTACCACCCCGTCACCAATAAAAACGACAGACTTACAGATTTGATTGTACCATTAATTCCTGCTCCGGTACATTTGAATTCCAAATCGATCGATGAAGAGAATGGCCATTTGAAAGTCCAGGCTAATGATTATTATGCCAATAATCGTTTCAAAGTGGTCAAACTTTTAGGACAAGGGACGTTTGGTAAGGTGGTTGAAGCGTTTGATTGTCATCAGAAAAAAAATGTCGCTGTGAAAGTCATCAAAGCGGTGCCGAAATATCGAGAAGCCGCGAAAGTCGAGCTACGAGTTTTGGCAACGTTGCGACAATTTGACCAACATAATCAAAATGGTTGTATTCATTATAATGAAATTTTTGATTACCGCAACCATATTTCTATTGTCACCGACTTATTATCATTATCGGTTTATGATTTTTTTGATCAAAACGGTTTTAAAAGTTTCCCCGGATCACATATCCAGTCATTTGCCAAGCAGTTGATCAAGAGTTTAGTGTTTTTGCATGACTTGAATATTATTCACACCGACTTGAAGCCAGAAAATATTTTATTAATGAACGTTGACGCTTTTTCAGAAGGATATTTTGAAATGAACAAACGGGCCCTACATAACAAGAGTGAAAAAAGCTCTTCCCGAAAGTACAGCAGCAGTTCTCGGAGAAGTTCGAAAAAGCTCGGGGATAGTGGTGGACTGGAAAAAGTGGAGTTTCGGCAAATCTTGAAAGACACCAAGATCAATCTTATTGATTTTGGGTCGGCGGTTTTCAATAATGAATATCATCCGGAATTAGTATCGACTAGACATTATAGAGCTCCAGAAATTCTGTTTGGTATCGGTTGGTCGTACGAATGTGATTTATGGTCGATTGGCTGTATATTGGTGGAATTATTGATTGGTCTGGCGTTGTTCAACACTCATGACAATCGGGAGCACTTGTTGATGATGGAAAAAGTCACCAACCAAAGGTTAGATCTTGGGTTGATTAGAAGTTGTTGTATTGAAAGTTTTACGGCGCTTGAAAAATCTCGAGATCTTCGGAAACCGTATGAGAATTATGGCGATCATTACACGAAAAAACCCAAACGAAGAAGTTATAGCACCAATGACGTTTACGGGTATACTCCAAGAGAAGAAAACGGTTATGGATCGATTCCATCGCGGGTCAGTAACCACAGTGTCAACAATGATGTTTATGAATTCTTGAAAGATCGGGGTGATTCGTATATCAGGGTTGATGCGAACAAGCGATCTGCTACTCATGAGGTTAGCAATTTGACTATCAAGTTGAAAAAGCCAAAGATTAATGTTGGAAGAAGTAAAGCAGTTAGTACCATAAATTTCAAGCCAACGGGAGTACCCCGGATCAGGCAAAGGTTCCCCAAAGATACTCCTAGCAAAGTGAGGAAAAATGTTGGAGAATTGCTACCAATTGATGAACTTATTAGTCAAAAGATCGGGGTTACCATTGATGTCAGTTTACCATTAGACGAGGCGTATTTCAAATATTGTCTTCAGTTTAGTAACGAAGCCACCGATAAGAAATTATTAATGAGTTTGAAAGGTTCCAACATTATCAATCCAATTTCATTTTCTCATGGGGTTAGAACTGTTAATGATGATGTCGTCAATGAGAAGTATAAAAATATCAACAGTATCTGTGGTGGGTGTGTTAATAATGATTGGATCAAGGATTCAGAAGTGTTCAAGGATCACCATAGGTTTTTCATGAATTTGAAAGAAGATATTGAAAAGTCTAGCGAATCAGAAAAGAAAGTCCGTGAAGATTTGGAAAATTTGGTTATGGAATCGATTTATAAAAGATCAGTGAGCAAATCCGGTAATTCTTACTCGGGGTCATCACCTTCGCCATCATCATCATCATCATCATCATCATCCGAAGGGTTGAATTTTGCAGAGATGAAAAAACTTCAACTTAAATACCCAGACAGATTAGCGGGGAGAACGGAATTACATATTAATGGTCAATCGATCAAAGTGGCGAAAATTTCTGGGCCAATTGATAAAGCAACGTTCAAGTTTTGGTATCATTTTGTTGATTTATTGAAGAAGTTATTCGTTTTCAATCCCTATGAACGGTTGACGGCCCATGAGGCATTGACTCATGAATGGTTCAATTGTGGGATTTATGATGATGGCACATTGGACTTTCAAAGTCAGGAAAGTCGATGATTAATGTGAACTCCGTGGTTCTTTGTGGTCATCATTTTTTTTTTTTTTATTATTATTTATTATTTTCTACTATTACTTATTAATTCTTCACTGTGTTCATATTGGGGGGGCTTTTTTTTTTTTTTTTTTTTTTGGAAAAGAAGGAGCTTTTCTTTGAGTAATGGTAATGGTAATGGAAGGAATGTATTAAGGTTATGTATATTATTTTTTTTCTTTCGGAATTTATATTATGATATTTTTGGTTCGTTTTAAAGAAATCTTCCTCTATTATTTATTACGGATTAATTATTTGGTTTATTTTGGTTTCTCTGTGTGGTTTATATTTATCGATTGGCTTATTTTGATTCACATTTATGAATTAGATTAGCTTTATCTTATACCTTGTCTCTTTCATTTTTTTATTTTTTTATTTTTTTTTCTTCTTCTTCTTTTTCTGTGATATCCTATTTGTTTATATGGTTTCTCCAAATCCTGGATTCAAGATAAATTCTATGAATATGTTTTTAATTTTTTTTTTTTCATTTCATTTCCTTTTTTTTTTATTTTGAGTCCATGGTAGATGAGAAGTCATTTGAAAATGATGTTACTACTACTTTAGTATTAATTTATTTTTAATTTTTTTTTTCTTATTGATTAAAATGACTGAAGAATAAATGATGCTTCAAGATTGGAAGATGTTAATTATCGTTGTGAAAGATCGCTGTTATTACAACAGCAAGCCAATTAGTACCAACAGAACACTTGTATGAACTTTTCTACAAACAGAACCCAAAAAATACAGAAAAAAGTTTGAGCCCATGAGATGATTAAATCATGATTTGGAATTGGACCCCAGGCAAAAAAAAAAATTGTGTTGAGTTTCTGACGATTTTTCCTACTTAAAAGCTGTTGCTAAACCAGCTCAAATGTATTGATGGAGTCCATTATGCCCACCCCTAGTAACCATCCATTAGCCGAACCAGACCAGCATCTACAAAAGGGAATCCACTATGCCCACCCCTAGTAACCATCCATTAGCCGAACCAGACCAACAACTACAAAAGCGAATTCACTATGCCCTATTGTAGAATAGAGACATAGGAAGAATGATGATTTGGAATTAAATCTTAAGGTAATAATTGCGCCCAGTTTCCGATGATATTTTCTACAAAGAGAATGCATGCCCTATTGTAGAATAGAGACATAGAAGAGTTATGATTTGGAAATTGCTCCTGGGACAAAAATTATATCAATATTCTTGTGGATTAAGTGGCAGAATGTAGACTGGTTCTCATTTGGCAATACAAAGAGTTATCATTATACGTTATTGTTGGTGAGAACAAATGATCTACAAATGAAATACTTTTTTTTTTTTCAGAAATTATAATTGCTGGTGATAAATTTCACGATGAAGGATTTTTGAAGAACCATAGATGATTATTGGAAGTAGATGTTGTTGTTTTTTTGTTTTTTTTCAATGATGCATTATTAACACCATAGTGAACATTATCATCACTATAACAAACGTTTGTGCATCCAAGAATGCAAATATTCTAACATTAGTGCTTGAATTTCTTCGAAAACTCCTTCATATCATCTTGGTCGAGCTGATCTAATACATAATAGAATTGTGAATGGAAGAAAAGATATCATCCAATGATCATTATGTCCATCTAATATATCGTTCTGCTGCAATATTTATACAGTACATTGATAGCGAGTACTTTAGGGGGAAAAAAAAAAACTTTTGGATCGCAAGATATTATTATCGACTCTTCCTATATATATATATTGGATATTTCTGAAGAGTCCAAAGGAAATTGAAATGTACAGTTAGAATGTGTCGCAAAATGGGGGAGGGGAGGAAAGGAACAGTAGCACATACGATACTGGTGACAGATTGATGAATTCTTGGATACCTACAGTCTATTACTATTCACGACTCCTAGTTTGTAGTGGTAACTACTGAATATCCCTTTCTCCACCCTATTCTTCCAGATCATACCAGGATGATGACATGACGAATCTTTTTGAGCTCCCAAAATAAGAAGGAAGGAAGGAGAGAGAGAAAAAAAAAATAATAATAAAAAACTGCATATTGCCGGTTATTGTTTGTTATGAATAACCTCGTTTGGTATACTTCCTAAGGACTCTCACGGGATTATTATTTCTCGCCTAGCATTGTCATGGGATTATTTTATTCCAAGGATCATTTTTCATCTCCGCAAAAAAAAATAATTACCAAAAGGTACCTACTTATGCAATGATAGTGACTTAAGGCCAAAATAATAAGCAAAAAGGTACCTACCGTATGCAATGACAGTTGCAGGACAATAACAGGGAAGAGGAAAAAAAAAAAATTGAAAAATCAAAAAATCGAAAATTGGAAATGAAAAATTGATCGTCTGGGATCTAGGATGGGTTTAATAAGCTTTATGATGGTTAATATTACCCCTGCCCCTTACTTTTGTCAAAAATGAATTTGATCCGATTGGTTTTGCCTGGAAAAGTTGGATTGAAAATGCAGTACAGCCAAAATGTCGTGGAAAAGGAGTAAGGTCTAGACGGGTGTACCATATGAAAGAACCAGTAATACAGGTACTAAAAAAAAAAAAAAATTCCTTTAGAGATTAACCAAGATACATGATAGATTTATGTTTTTAGTGGAGGGGCATTCGATTAAGGTAGGTACGGAAGCAAGTTATTAGAAATTAGGGAGGTTGGTTGATAAGAACACGATTGAGCTCTTATGATTTCCAGCTAGTGTGAAGTTGCAACCCTTTCTTGTGGCTTATTGATAAGTAATAGATTCGATTATTGGGTAATTAGGTTGTCCTAACACATTTCAACGTTCATACAGACAGTCTAAAGCATGTCGGAGATCTTCGTGGATTGCCGATTTGCATCTGTTGCCAAATGAATGCTAATTATTGATAATCTTAGTGCGAGCGATCTTCTTTTTTCGTGTCAGCAATATATTCTATCATACATGTATATATATATATATATATATAATATCACCAATATAAGAATCAATATGAACCGTCGTTGGTGAGTGTGGTGCGGGATCGATGTGACCATCACGTCGTAGTGCAGTCCAATGCATGGTGTTGCATCCAGTAATTAAGGAGAAGCATCGAATGCCGGTCGTTTGGCTTGATTGGGGATCTCTTTTGATCTACAGGTACACACACAAGAGATATATATATATATATATATATATATATATGTATGTATGTATGTAATACACACAGACGCGCTTTGTCATAGTTTGCATCACAGAATATTTATATCATAAACAATTCTTCTCTTCCTCTCAATTATATAAACAAAAAGATTTGACGTCCTCCGCGCTGACAGATCTGTTGTTTTTTTTTTTTTTTTTACTTTTCCAACCTCCTATTTGGCCCGCATTATTTCACCACACACGGTGAATTTTAAATCACTATCAAAACTCTATCAGTTGTGGAACTTTCCAATCCGCTTCGCACTAAGCACTTGAAGATCCCGAATTTATTGTTCTAGCATTTATTTTTTTTTTGACTTGTGTTTTGTTTTGCTTGCAATCCATAACGGGAAATTTTCACCAACCACACGCATCAAAGAAAAAAAAAAAAAAAAAATAAGAAAAACCGGTGTTTAGTTTACAAATACTTCAATAACAATTTTATTTTTATCATAATGAATAAGGTCACTGCTAATACAACTCCTTCATTAGCGACTCTCAATCTCCCCAATAATATTAAGAGCATTGACTACATAAATAGTGCCGAGCACAACAGCGCCTTGCGACGGATATCTGAGACAGACCTAAATTTCACTCCTAAACAAACGTTAACTAGAGCAGCCACTATCGATAATTACATTACCACTTCTGGCCCTAGCAATAATAATAGTGGTAGTACTAGATCCCCAGGATCATCATTTGATAAAGCAATGGTCCAGAACTGTCACAACAATAGCATGAATAGCCAACACAACAGTTTGAATGGCAGCATAGCCTTGATGGCGAATGGTATAAATAATAAAGACGATGTGGAGTTTTTACGTAGCCAATCGCGGTCACGGTCAGCAACCACTGCCAGCTCCATCAGTTCGATCTCTAGTGTCGGCTCTGCTCCTAATTCGAAAATTTCCTCGTCATTCAGAAAATTATTTGTTAAGCCTCCTAAAAAACTGGGCTCGTTCCCAACGAGCGACGACCAAGAAGATTTCTTAACAATAATCGACGATAGTGACCAAACTTTCATTGGAAATAACAACAACAATAATAATCCAAATTCTGCCGGCGATTCACACCATAGAAATTCCAATTCTGTGTGTTCTCCTGAGTCATCATTCATCTCTTCACTAAATAATTATTCAATGATCACCGCCACAACATCGATTGATACCTTTGATGATTCCCAAAGACAAGGCCCATTGAGCCAGAGAGGTAGTGAGATTATTCGAGAAAACGTGGTTTATAAGAACCCTAGCTTTTTCGGTATTGATCAAGAAGATATTGACCAATTGATGAAGTCGTCGTCAACCACATTAACCAACAACCAATATCTTGCTGACGCCAACGATCAGGAACTAGATATGTTTGGAGTGGATAATCGAGATGACGAGCTCAATGATGAGTGTGAAGATAACGAGTCAACTTACAATGACTTCCTCAAAAGATGTAATGAGAACTCTATCAATCAACAACAGCAGCAACAACAACAGCAGCAACAGCAAACTCTGCAATTTGGTAAATTGATGTCTAAGAAATCAATGTTTAATTTCAAGAGAAGTAATAATTGTAATAACATCAATGAATCGCCCACCCGGAATAGCGATGTCGAATCAATCGATCCAAAACAGAAAGCTCTTCCTTCTTTACCACCACTTTTGCTAGCGAATCCCCTGATGACCTCTTCACCAATGACCTCGCCAGCTTGCTCTCCTATTTCGGACACCTTCCCAACTTCGAAACTAGGATCGAGGTCTATTCTTCATTCCCGGAGACAACAGCAACAGCAACAGCAACAACAACAACAAGTGTCAAGACTTAAAAAAATCAGATCGGTTCCTACTTTACGAATCAATAGTAATCAGAATACCAATTTGATGTATAACAAATACGAGAGAAATTTGCCAATTTCCCCTCCAGCAATGCAAACATCGTTTGCCATGTCCAAGAGAGGCAGTCTTGGACTGATTAATAATAATAAAGAATTTTATTCTCCTCCACAAACCAGAAACTCACTTCCTTCGAGAAATTCGAATTCCAATACCAATTCTTTTTCCATGACTTCTGTTTCTAGAAGCTCAGTCAGCTCTGCGACCTCACAATTGTCCCAAATGAGTCTGGTTTCGCAATACGAAACTCCTGGTTTGAAAAGGTAGGTATTATTATTATTATTATTATTATTATTATCAACATTTCCTAATGATCATAAACCCATTTTACCATTCATTCCTACAACTACAACTACAATCATAACTCTAACCACAACTACGACACAAACGATAACCACAACTACGACACAACCATAAACATAACCACAACTGCTTACGAAGCTTTTTTTATTATTCTTATCTACGACTGGCTTGTATTTTCTAATTAAATTTTTTCCTTTGATAGGTTCTTGAGAATTCTTTTCTTTTTTTTTTATATTTTTTTTTTTGTTCTTGTTCTTGTTTTTCTGAAATATTTAATAATAATTTGACATCGGTTTGTCACTTTTTTTTTTTCGGTTCATTCTATTATTGTTGCTAATTATTATGGCGAGTTTCCTTAGCTGATTTGTTTTCGGTTGCTATTTTATATTATATACCTAATATCACTATTATATTATACTTCTTCTTAAAGATTTCTTTTATACATTGTATTTCACTATACATTATTGTTGCAGCTCATTTGTTCTTAGGGGTAGGGATATATAGAATTAAAGGTTGTCTGTCAACTGGGTTGCAATTTATACGGTGAGCTCACACAATTTGTGTAGGCAATATTCCCATCATCACGAGTTGTCTCGAAATACTACAGCCTACAAACAACACCTGAACCAAACAAGCAATGTTAACTCATCACCAGAATTACAGTAAAAAAAAAAGACGAGGGACCCAACACCAGTGGCACCTGCCATTACCTCATTGCTTATCTAATCAGAAGGGTCCGTGAGGGAGTGCGCGTCATGCGGGTAACCTATGACAGCTAAGGGTTCCTCAAAACGGGTCATGTGGCAGTGTCATCGACCATTACACGCTACTTGTATAGAAACAAAGGGCAATGTATAGACAGATAACAACCGTGTTTGTTGTTTGTTGTTTGTTGTTGTTTGTGTTTGTTTTTGTGTTTGTGGTGGTCTAGATGGGCAGCACTGAAAGTGTCAAAAGTCGTCCAGTTATCAATGAGGGCCATCTGCTAATAATAGTAGTGGTCGTATCGCGGGGGCAGTGATGCGTCACCGATAATAAGCTAATTAATTAACCACACATAGTTTGGGTGGGCGTTGTCCATTCCTACTAAAAAATGTCTGGCGAGGGGGGCTAAAATAAAAAGCAAGCACGAGGAAGCGAATGATGGATCGTAGCAAAGAAACACTGTACTGTATAATAATATAGCCTCCACAATGTACTATAGCCACCCGTAATAATAATAATAAGATGATGATGATGACGAATAACAATAAGAATAGTAACACTATGCCATCCATAATAACAATGTAGTGGTTACGCTGTTGTTGCTTTTTGTGAGTGTTTGTTTGTATAAAAGGCCATCTATTTTTGGCAGTCGGGCGGTGGGTGGCGTGTGCTGGGAGTGCGCGCATCACTTTTTTTTTTTTTTTCTTTCTTTCTTTCTTTGTTTGTTACGTTTTCTGTCTTTTTTTTTTTTTATTTTTATTTTTCCCTTCTCCCTCCTTGTTTGTTGTGAACTTTGCCATCTTGCTATCGTTCTTGATCAATTATTATCATTTACTGGGTCCTATCAGGTAATATAATTTATATATATACATATATATATATATATATGTTTATAAATTATTCAAGTACCTACCCTCATTCTATTCCTGCCAGAAATTGAAATCCAAGGAAATAAAGTAAAATAAGAAAAAAAAGATAATAGACTAGGGGAAAAACAAAGGAAAACTGCTTGCAAAATATTATGGCAACTTATAGTAAACATTCAAACTATAGTCGTTCAACCGGAAGTTTGGTTAATACTACTAGCGATTCACGTTCCAATCACCATTATCAAAGCAGCACAATGTCTCAAAATAAAAACAAGTACAACGCCTTCTTTTCTGATGAAGAAAGTCCTAAAAGTTACCGCACAAAGCATTATTCCGATGACGAGGGTAGCGATGCTTACTCCGATGGCTATGAGCGTTCTAGAACAAGAAAAGAAGGCAGTTCAGCAAATGGCAGAAAAAGTCTGCAACTGGGTTCAAGAAATGGGTATGTATTGTCTTTTTTTTTTAATTTGCTTTTTGTTTATTGATTTTTCATTTCACTTTTTTTCCCCTTGTTATTGTTGCTTTGTTTTGTGAGATAAGAGGTTTGATTCGTGAGCGTTAGCAATTACAATTACAAGTTGTTGATGTCTTACGTCATGATTATTCGAAGGGGAAGGGGGTAATCGTCTGTTGATTGGTTTTTGTTATCTTTCAAGGTACCTTGATCCGAGATTTCTTCTCCTTATTATTATCATCATCATCACCATTATCATTTAATCAAAATCTGGTTTCAATTTTTTCTTTTTTGTTAAAGCCCCGGGCGTTTTCGATGATCTGCACCAAATATCCCTGTTTTTTTTTTTTCTTACAAGAGGTCAAACAATATAAAGGATAATAGGAAATATCATCTCTGAAATATTTGATATTTGTTTATCCATTTGTTATGTGTCAATCAGATCTATGGTATGAGAAGAGATGGCCTACTTGAACAACACAAAAAAAGAAAAAAATTCCGGCCACATGTACTGATGCTTGGACGCTAGCGTTGCTCCGCCCTTCACATTAATGTGTTGCTCGAGAATTACAGCCCCTCCTCCATGGTACTACTATATGAAACAAGAAATTTTTCCTTTTCATCTCACTTCATGTCCAATTCTTAACATTGCTAATTTATTATTTATTTACTTATTTGTTTTTTTCTGAATCGATTGGCCATTTGTTTTTTTTTATTAGTATAAAAATTCCTTCAGGTGAATTGTGTTCTGTTTCATCTGACGATTTACCTTCTTGACAACAGCAATTGTGAGACATCGGATCTTATATTTCTATACCAAGCTTTTGGAATCGCTAGACTCTTTCCCCAAACAAATAGCAACAGAAGAAAAAAAATTGATCATTTCCTTTTTTTTTTTTTCCATCTTATATTTGATTAACAACTAACACGTTTAGTATGGCTGTTCCACCTCCACGCCCTCGTTCTAAGAATCCATTTTCTGATGCTGTTACATTAGATGGCTCTTCCAGTTCTAGAAAAACACACGTATCTAGATCTACACCTTCGTCAACAAAATACTCTTCCGGCTCCAAATCTCGCTCTGGTTCCCGCCACCATAGAAGACACTCATATTCTGAATCTGATTCGTATTCCAGTGAGTCAGGCAGTGAAGTATCTGAAGATGAAAGAGAAGCTCCAAGAAAATCTTCTACTAGGGGTGTTTCCAGAAGTGGTAATTCCAGATCTCTTGACCCCTCAGCCGATGACGAAAGAAGAGAACGTGAAGAAGCTAGAAGACGCGAAAGGGAAAGAGAAGAAGCTAGAAGACGTGAAAAGGAAAGAGAAGAAGCCAAAAGAAGAGAACGTGAAAGAAGAAGACGTGAAGAAGAAAAAAGAGAAAGAAGAAGACGTGAAGAAGAAGAGGATAAGAGAAGAGCCGCTAAGACTGAAAGTAAAGATGATGAAGGTTCATACAGTTTTGATAGCGAAAGTGAAACAGAAACAGAAAGGCAAAAGAGAAAAGAGCGCGAAAGAGAAAAAGAAAGAGAGCGTGAAAGACGTCAAAGACATCGTCACAGACATCATAAATCAAAGGAAGGTAGTAGCAGCAAATCCAAATCTGGCAGTGGTAAGCGTGCCAAGGACAAGAAGGCTGCTGGTGTTGATACTATTGACAGATTGGACGTTACTGGGTTATTTGGAGGGGCGTTCCATCATGATGGTCCCTTTGATGCGTGTAACCCACATCGTAACAAGAATAACAAGGTTGCTCCAGTTATGGCCTTCCCGGTAGATGGGCCAAATTCCTCTATTAAAGGTTTAGGACCAAACAACACCAAGGAGCAAACCATTGACACGGTGTTAGGAAAAACCCCAGATGAGGGAGACAGCTTGTATCAAACCAAAGTTGCTTCTGGCAAGCTAAAATTCCATGACAATGGGTCACTTGTGGCGTTTGATGCTAAGATGAAGGATCTACCAGTCCATGGAGAAACCACTTTGGGATTAGGCTCGTCTACGTTCTTGGAAGGTGCACCAGCGTCCAAGCAGGCATTACAAGAGGAAATCAAGTTTGATCAATCGGCATTGGGTAGAAAGAAATCTTTGAGTAGAAGACTTTTGAATGGGGCAACTGGTAATAATGGGGGGTCAGCAGACATTTATGCTCAGCAACTGCACAGACGCAAGAGTGAAGATGATGTTGTGAAATTTGATGGTGGTGAAAAGACTTCGTTGTTGAATAGAGTAAAAAGTTTGAAAGTTAGCCGTTCTAGAACCCAACGTGAATGATTTTTTTTTTTTTTTTTGTTCTTTTTTATTATTTGGTTGTCTTTTGGGTTCTCCTTTAATCGTCAGTTATGCTTGTGCATGGCATTTATATGTGGTTTTTCTCAATCGCTGATACAAATTGAGATTTCTGATCTACGTTTACCATGAATTTAGGAAATTTCAATTAAAAGAACGTTGAAGCCATGGAATGGACAGAAGAAAGAAAAAAGAAAGAAAGAAAAAGAAATGGGAGGATTCTCTCTGATTAAAATTGCTTTAGCGTTGATCTCGATACAGGTGTTTTCTTATTGATTGTTACTTTTTTGTTATTTTTTTGAAGCAAGAAAAACTTTTATCTTATGTAATTTAGGTGATTTTTTGTTTTGTGTTTTTGTTTTTTCTATATGTTTTATTATCATTATAATTGAATTGTCTTATTTGTTGTATCTTTAGTTTAACAAATGTAAAATAGTAGTTGTTGACCTGATCTGAAAAGTCTCCCAAAATGAAGAGGAGGAGGGAAAAAAGAAAAAGCCACGTGCCTCGTTTAGGCAAAAAGTTACCAGCTGTTCATTTTATGGCAGCAGCAGCAGCAGCAGCAGTTTTTTTTTTTTTTTTTCCACTTTCGCCCCGGTGAAAAAATTCGTAGTTCTTTTTCTTTCTTCTCTGTTGTTGTATCTGGCTCCTCTTTCCTTATTATACACCATTGTTGAGTTTTTCAGAGATGTCTGATCAATTCGAATTCATCAAGACCCCAGAGGCCCCTATCCAGCCTCCACCTTCCAAGGAATGTGGGATTCTCACCACCAATGTATGTTATCATGCCACCGCCACCACCACGAAGAAATGATTTGGCCAGAGTGAAAAGAATCAATTTTTATTCAAATCAAAGAAGATTTTCGTGAATATGCACAATCGATTCTTGAATCTATCGATTTCTCTGGATCATTCGTAGATTCACTCTCAGAATCTATAATTTCTGTGTTCTTTCTTCCAGTTGATTTCCTGGTCCCTGGGACTTTCAATCTGTTTTTCTTTTTCTTTTGAATAATCATTAATATTGACAATTCTTTTAGTCCCCATCAATTAAGAATGCTCCATTGCCAGCCGATGGTCCAGGTTCCAAGAGTTTCTCTAACCTTCTTGTCTTTGGTACTATCGCCGCCGTTCCATGGTACATCACCAGAAAATTGGGCGGGGGGTTCAAGACCTGGTTATTCTTCACCGTTTTGTTCTTCTTCCCAATCCTCACAGGGTACTGGACCATCGTTTCGACTTTCTCTCCAAGAATCAATGAAAAGGTCAAGTTGCCAGGTAAACCAATTGAACACTACTTGACTTTCCACGATGAAAAATTGGCCGCCAAATACCACGGTTCCAAGATCCCTTGGGAAACTTTCCACGAATTGTACTTTGAAAACAAGGTCAGCTTCAACGGTGATTGTTTGGATATTTTGGAATACAGACACGACTGGTGTACTTTCCAATTCACCGTTTCTTTGTTCAGATTCTTCTTGTTGGGAATGATTCCAGAAGTTATCATGCACACCAGATCTCAAGATGAAGAACAAGTCAGAGACCATTATGACAGAGGTGATGATTTCTACACCTGGTTCTTGGGTCCAAGAATGATTTATACTTCCGGGGTGATTTCTGACATCACCAGAGAAGAAACTTTGGAAGAATTGCAAGACAACAAGTTGAAGGTTGTTTGTGACAAGATTGATTTGCAAAAAGGCGAAAAGATGTTGGATTTGGGTTGTGGTTGGGGTACTTTGGCCACTTATGCTTCTTACACCAGAGGGGCCCACGTCACCGGTATCACTTTAGGTAAGAACCAAACCAAGTACGGTAATGCCACTTTGGCCAAATACGGGGTTTCTCCAGATCAATCGAGAATCCTTTGTTCCGATTACAGAGACACTCCAATTCCAGAAGGTGGGTACGACAAGATCACTTGTTTGGAAATGTCCGAACACGTTGGGGTTAGAAAACTCGGGTCCTTCTTGCAACAAGTTAACGATATGTTGGCCGACGATGGTATTTTCTTCTTGCAATACGCTGGGTTGAGAAAGTACTGGCAATTCGAAGATTTGATCTGGGGTTTGTTCATGAACAAGTACATTTTCCCAGGTGCTGACGCTTCCACTCCATTGGACTTCTACGTCGGTAAGTTGGAAGCCAACGGTTTCGAAGTCGTTTCCATTGATAACATCGGGGTCCACTACTCTGCTACTTTGTGGAAATGGTACAGAAACTGGATGGGTAACAAGGACAAGGTCGTCAACAAGTACGGGATCAGATGGTTCAGAATTTGGGAATTCTTCTTGGCTTCTTCCACCATCATTTCCAGACAAGGTTCTGCCACTTGTTACCAAATTGTTTTGAGAAAGAACATTAACTCCTACCACAGAGTCAACTACATTCCAAAACAAACCGGTTTGCAAGGGGTTATTCATGATGGTAAGCCAAACAGCTGGTGGAAATGAGTGAATGAAAAAAAATATATGTCTCAATTATTACATTAGGCACTGAGGGTATCATTTTTTGGAAACTAAGATTATATTACAGGAAAAAAAAAAAATAAAAAAATAAAAAAAAATAAAGAAAATAATATAAAGTCTCTTTTTTTTATTATGTTAATGTTAGTAACAAACTGTAGGCCGGTTTTGTTGTTCTTTTTGTTGTTTTTTGATCCTTTATTTTATTTCTTCTATCGTTTCCTTTTCTTGATTGTCCAACTTCTTCTGCTCTCTTTCAAGTCTAATTTTTTTACATTTTTCCTTCCATTCCGATATCTTTTCGTCAGAATCGTAATCTTTATTGTACAAGAACGGTTCGTTGATTGCGTTTTTGAACCGTTTAATTTTTACATTCCCAAACCCTTCAATCAATTCCAATTGTTCTCCATCATCGTTGACCAAGTCTTTGAAATTCCTGAATTTGCCACTACTAGCAACTTTACTAACATCGGTTTTATTGATTGATCTGACAGAGGTCAATGTATCCAATAATCTCGAATAATAATCTTCTTTTTGGATCCCTTTGATAATATCGAATTTATCCTTAGTGACATTGCCTTGGACTTTATAAGTTGGGGTGGAATCCAAACTTTTGAGTAACGAAATATATTCCCCGGCTTCTTCATAGTTCCACGCAGCCAATAGCGTGAAGTTATTGAAAACACAAAGTCTTGTCAATTCTTGTAACGAATCCCAATAGTTATTGTCGGCATCTAGCACCAATAATAGCACTCTTAATTGTGAATCATTCCTAGTAGTTTTCTGGCCTTTATTATTATTATTATTATTATTATTATCAACTAGCGAAGAGGTTCCGATTTTCTTTAGTCTTTCATAAATGTAATCTGGCCGTAATTTGTGATACTTTAACGAAAGAAAAATCACGGAGATGCTATTGTTTATCAAGTAATCGGTCTTGACAATCGAGGTGAACTCGTAAGGAATGTTTTTAAGTGATTGAAGCAATGGATTGCCCTTTTGTGAGGGGTTCACGGCAATCTTGGATACAACATCCTTAAATTTAATATGGCGATCCCTGGCGTATTGCGATTTGTATATCGAAGTTTTTGTGAATGATGTTGATTTCGGAATTCCTTCAGGGTAGTTTTGCAGGGCCTTGTTGTTGTTGATATTGTTGTTGTCCCGTGAATAACTTATCGTGGAGCTATCAACAACATTGTGAGGAGGAGGAGGAGCTCTCAAAGGTTTTTCTTTCTGGGTATGATTTAGTTGCGTTGGGATAGTAGTGGTGGTAGATGGTGATGATGATGCTGGAGGTGCCTGGTTCCTTGTGATCTGAATCTTATCTGCTGATTGCCGTAGCTTTTGAACCCCTGCCAATATACTGGCGAACGATGTGGTGTTGGTGGCCTTTGGTTTGTCATTGCTGTTGTTTTCTGACATGATTATTAGATGCGATAAAACAGTCGTGATAGAAGTACAACGACGATGAAATAATTGTCATCTCATCTCATCTCATCGTCTCAAAAAAATGGTCGCACTTTGGTCATGTGATGAGAGAGCGGCTTCTTCCACCCGGAATATCTTGGGTGATAAAGTGCCTATATTATTAAGCAGAATGGGTTATATTAAATAATTGTCATTGCTATTGTGTCACAGAAATACTCCCGTATTTCAAAAACCATAGATTAAAACAAACGCGTAGTGCTGTAGCGGCCACAATAGTCATATAATATCAAGTGCTTACAGTACAAAGTAATCATGAACACCATTGGTATCACAATGTTATAAAGTCCAACCTTCTGGTGATATTCATTCACGGTGCTTGTCGATAAGAGGTAAAAACTACAAGCTATAATAATTACACTGTAACATGATTCTATCCGTTGGTATCAATAAATCCTGTAAAATCAAATAATAAATAAATCCCATCAAATAAAACCAGACGCGCATCAGAAAAAAAAAAAAAAGACGCGAAACTTTTTTGGTAAAAATACCCACGCGTACTTCTTCTTCTTCTTCTTCTTCTTCTTCTTCTTCTTCTTCTACAATTACTTTCACTACTTATATATATTATAACTTGCAATTGACCTCTGCTTTATTTACTCTTTTCTTCTCTCTTTCCATAACTCATCATAGAGATAAAAGAAATATTCAACCATGTCTGAGATTGCCGCTACCACGCCGGTCAAACCAAAGACCAACAACAAGAAGGCGTTTACAGATTCCTCTGACAAGAGAAAACAGGCGTCTATCTTCAACTTCTTCGCCAAGAAGAAACCTGCTAATAAGAGCCTGACGACAAGTGCTTCTGCTGCTGTTGCCTCGCCCCCAAACTCGTCCACCAAGAACCTTGACGCGAAAAATACCGCTGATACTTCGCTTTCGTCAACCATCGGAAAGAAAAATGTGACAAAACAACCACAGCCATCTCTTAAGAAAGAAAGCATCGTTGCGAAATCAATCAACGGCATCGAGGAATTGGAAAGTCATTTGGAAACCCCAGTTAGCTCTAGCCAAGAAAAAAGTGACGATGATCAAGAAGGACTAGCGTCCAGCCCTTTGTCCAGAAACCATCCTACAGCCCGTCGTAAAGTCAATTACTCTGAATTGAGCGATGATGATGAAGAGGAAGAGGAAATTAACTTCAGATCAAAAAAGAGAAAGCAAGCTAAAGTGGTGGATTCCGATTCCGAAGACGAATTTGTTCCTAGTGGTGGTGAAGACAATGATTTCGATGATGATCTCGAAGTAGAATCAGCCAGTATCACTGCTGTCGACGAATTGAATGGTGGAGATATTGTTATGGATGAAGATGATGAAGCAATGGTATTAGACGAACTTTTGGATGAGCATGATAAAAAGAGTAGATCCGCCAGTGAGGATGAGAATGATACATTTGTTGCCGAGGATGGCCCAAAGAGAGTTTCCACAAAATCCCAGTCACAGAAACCTAAATTGGCTGACAAATTTAGAGCTTCTTCGAATTATAGTGCTTCAAAACCAGCACCTCGTCAACCAACTAAACTGAAATCTCCTGAAAAAAGTTTCAAGAAACAAAATGAGGAAAGATATCAATGGTTGGTCACTATTAGAGACGCCGAAAGAAGATTGGAATCCGACCCAGAATACGACCAAAGAACTTTGTATATTCCTTCAAAAGCCTGGGAGAAATTCACTCCGTTTGAAACTCAATATTGGACCATTAAATCTAAGATGTGGGATAGCGTGGTGTTCTTCAAAAAGGGGAAGTTTTACGAATTATATGAGAAAGACGCATTGTTGGGACACTCGTTATTTGATTTAAAATTGGCAGGCACTGGTAGAGCCAACATGCAACTTGCCGGGATTCCAGAAATGTCCTTTGACTACTGGGCTTCTGAATTCATCAGCAAAGGCTTCAAAGTCGCCAAAGTCGATCAAAAGGAAACCCTTTTAGCCAAACAAATGAACGATCGTGTTAGTGGTAAAAAAGAAACCAAGATCATTGAAAGAAAACTTTCTTGTGTATTGACCGGTGGTACCCTAACCCAAGAAGGAATGTTGAACAACGAAATGGCTACTTATTGTATGGCAGTCAAACAAAATACTAATACTGATGGTTCCAACATTTTTGGAGTGGCCATCATCGATACTGCTGTAGGTGCTATTAGATTATTGGAATTCAATGATGATTCGGAATGCACTAATTTAGAAACCTTTGTCAATCAAATCAAACCAAAAGAAGTTGTTGTTGAAAAGAGCAATTTGACTTCATTGGCACAAAAGATTATCAAATTCAACTGCGCTACAAACTCTTTGTGGAATTCTTTGAAACCAGAAACCGAATTTTGGGACGAAGATATCACTTTGGAAGAGCTTTGCAAAGGCAAATATTTTGAAGCAAAAGATTTGGATGATAGATCTCATTGGCCAAAGATTTTGGTAGAATACTCTGAGAATAAACCAATTGGATTCTCTGCGTTTGGTGGCTTGCTATGGTACTTGAAATCCTTGAATTTGGACCGGGAATTGATTTCTATTGGTAATATCGAAAAATACGACATTTATAAATCTATCTCCACTTTGATTCTTGACGGTCAAACTTTACAAAACCTCGAAGTTTTCACTAATCAATTCGATGGTAGCGATAAAGGCACATTATTCAAATTGATCAATCGTGCGATCACCCCATTTGGGAAAAGAATGCTCAAGTCTTGGGTTTGTCATCCATTGTTAAAGGTCGATGCCATCAATGAAAGACTAGATGCCGTGGATGGTTTATTGAATGACGGTAACTTGTTGGAGATTTTGTCTAGTAGATTGAGATCGTTACCAGATCTCGAACGTTTATTGTCAAGAATTCATGCTGGTAATTTGAAAGTGAAAGATTTCGCCAAAGTCATTGAAAGTTTTAATAACATCAAAAAATTGAATTTAGAACTCGTTGGGGAATATGGATCAATTGATACTTTGCCAGGGGTCTTATCTAAATTCTTCCAAAGTATTCCAAGTGAATTGAATTCCGCTATTGAAGAATGGGAGAATTCTTTTGATCATAGCAAGGCGATTACTGAAGATTTGTTGATTCCTGAACCTGGAGTTGAAAAAGAATTTGATGAATCCAATAGCATTCAACAAGACATGGAAAAGCAATTGAACACATTGCTCAGGCAATACAAGAGAGAGTATAAATCCCAAGAAATATGTTTCAAGGATTCAGGGAAAGAAATTTATTTGATCGAAGTGCCAAACAAGGCGCTTAAAAAAATTCCTAAAGATTGGGTTATCATGGGATCTACCTCGAAAAATAAAAGGTATTGGTCTCCAGAAGTCAAAGAAATTGTTCAGGAATTGATGGAAGCAAGAGAAAGACACAAGCTGATCGTGGAAAACTTGAAGTCTAAATTGTATGCGAGATTTGATAAGAACTATTTGTTATGGATGAACACTGTCAAGGCCATTGCTAACGTGGACAGTATTATAAGTTTGGCATTGACCTCCGAATCTCTTGGTCAGCCATCTTGCAGACCAAGTTTCATTGATTCCACCCGTGGTCAAGTGAATTTCGAAGAATTAAGACATCCATGTTTTGTTGGTGGAGGGGTTAGTGGTACCAAAGAATTCATCCCAAATGACGTGCAATTGGGAGGTGAAAACGCTCGTTTAGGTTTGTTAACTGGGGCTAATGCTGCTGGTAAGTCCACTGTGTTAAGAATGACTTGTATTGCTGTGATATTGGCTCAGCTTGGTTGTTATGTTCCAGCCACCTCGGCGACATTGACCCCAATTGATAGAATCATGACCAGGTTGGGGGCAAACGACAATTTGATTCAAGGAAAATCTACCTTCTTTGTGGAATTGTCAGAAACGAAAAGAATTCTTGAATCTGCCACCCCTAGATCATTGTTAGTGTTGGATGAATTAGGAAGAGGTGGTTCGTCTTCTGATGGTTATGCCATTGCTGAAGCGGTGTTGTATCATATTGCCACCCATATCCAGTCGATTGGCTTCTTTGCCACCCATTACGGTAGTTTGGGTATCCCGTTCAGGAGTCATCCAGCTGTCAGAGCTTTGCGTATGGCGATTTTGGCTAATGAGAATTCTAGAAACGTTACGTTTTTGTATAAATTGGAAGACGGTGCTGCTGCAGGCTCATTTGGTATGAACGTTGCCTCGATGTGTGGTATTCAATCAGAGATTATTGATAAAGCGGAAATCGCTGCCAATGAATTGGAGCATACTTCAAGAATGAAGAAAAACAACGAACTTGCCAATTTATCGGAAAGCGGGATTCCATTAGGTTTACAAAGTGATATTGCTTGGTTGATTAGGGGTGGTCTTAGTAATAATTCGGGTTGCATTGGTGAAGGTAGTAGAATTTATGATGGTCCAGTGAAGGAAACAGTATTACAAAATATTCTTTCGATGGTTGATGGGCTTTAGAGGTGTTGCTGTTTTTTCTTTTCTATGTTCTCTCTTTTCTTTCTTGCTTTCTTCATTTTCTAGGGTTTTCTTTCTTGCTTTTACATTTTGACATTTACTATTTTCTCTGCTTGTTATTGCCATTTACTATTGTGTTGGTTTTATTTGCTAATATTGCGTGTATTTTATATTATACTAGATTTTCAAAGTTTACTAGATCAAAAATAAAAAATAAAAAAAAGTTTGATTTATCACAAGAATAAAAGTAAATTATTTTTCATCAGGAATCAAGAATGAAAATTATTCTCCACTGTTATTCTCACTGCTTGGGATTATGTTACGTACTGTTTGGCCTTTTTTTTTCCACTCATAAGACTATTATTGTCCCCTAGTGAAGAAAGTTCCCAATTTAGAGAATTGATGTAGAAGCTGAAGGTTGCAAAAACCAAAAGACGCGTGTGTATATTATTAAAATGAGAATTTATATATACGAAAACATTACCATAAGCAAAAATAAAGTTTAGCGACCAACCACTGGCTAGCCAAGAAAGTGGAAGCAATAAAAAAATACAACAAAAGAACACACCACACAAGAACAAATAAAAGAATGAGAGAGAGAGAAAAAAAAAATTGAAGCTTATTTCTTCTCTTCATCTCTTCTTTTTTTTTTTCCAATGTAGATAGATGATGATGTAAGTAGAATAATCCTCCTATTGGGAAATCTCTAACCAAGAGAGTGAGGACAAAGAAACATCATGGCTTAACACACAACATTGCCTCCACCCCGTCCACTAAAGCCCGATACTCTCTTTGTTTATTGAGCATATCCAAGAAAATCTTGTATTTAGCAGCCAATAATATTCTATCTGGATCGTTATTCGGAGATGGACTCACCACTTTCCCAGGCCCCGACATTTTCTCCATCACGAGCCATAATTTATCCCCAGGTTTCTCGGCAGTTTTCCCAATCGACGACGCTCTGGACTTAGTGATAATCGCCCCAGACACGCTATGTTGAACGGGAGATGAACCAGTATGGCCTAATTTCAATCTATCATTGAACACTTTTTCGAAATTCTTGTTTTGGGCACCAAATTGAATCGCCGCCCCATCTTCTTCATCATCATCATCATCATCATCATCCTCAATTGCTTGGCTATCACCATGTGGGATGAGATCAAACTCATTCTTCTCATCCATTGGAGTCATCACCGGGAAAGGATATCCTTCAGGAGTAGGTGTGGTATACGAAACCGAGGCCAAAGATGCGATATTGGCTGAGGAGGCGGTGGCGGTAGGGACGGTATAAGGAGATGGCAAATCACTGAGAGGTTTGTGGTGGTGATTGATAAATGATGGGCCGGATTTCAAGAAACTGATGGAATTGCTTCTCTTCAATGATCGAGGCACTGACTCGGCGGCGACGGCCCCTAAAATTGCCGATCCAAATACCACCGCAGCGTCAATATAACGAGGAATCACCACTGGTTTACCAACACAATCGGCCAAAAGACGCATTAATAACCCATTACGACATTGGCCACCAGACATGAAAATCGTAGAGATTTTATGCCCCGCGGTCTCCATGGCTTCGACAATTTGTCGGGTTTGTTGGGCAATGAATTCACACGCTCCCAAATACATGATTGCCAAATCCTCCAATGAAGTATCTAAAGATTGTCCAATGATGCTGGCTCTCATGGTAGGATCGGCAATTGGCGATCTGTTACCGTGAAAATCCCCATAAAGGAACAAATGCTTGGCGAGGCTGACCACAGAACGTTCTTTTCTTTCAACTTTCAATCTTTCAAGCACTGAGTTTAAGTAATCAAACTTGGAAATATTCGATGCGTCAGCCTTTTGGGATAATTCACCGTACGCTGGGTGGGTAGATAACACATGGGCCAATAAGGCACCAGTGCAGGATTGGCCACCTTCTGCCAACCAATACCCTGGAGCCATAATATCTCTATAAGGACCCCAGACCCCTGGTACGAAAACCGCATCTTTGGACATCACACAGTGACAAGTGGAAGTCCCGGCAACCGCAGCCAATCTCCCAAAAGCCTTGTCAATACCAGTGAATTCTTGGTCTTGTTTATCCAATTCTGGGATCGCCACATCGGTTTTACCAGCAATGGTCCCCACCCAACCGGAATAGCAATCAATGACCCCGGAACCAACATAACAATTGGTGGTCAATCCCAATTCTTCGGCAGCTTTAGTACTTAATGGACCCACGGATTCACCAGCACTGAACCATTTCCCAGTGTTTCCAGGAGACCCCCCGAGTTTTCTGAAATCATCTGCCACTAATTCTGGCAAATCAACAGCTTCAAAAAACTCTTTTGACCAACCGGAGGTTTGACCATCGACTCCTGGGGGCACCAACCCTTGTTTACAAACCGTAGAACAATAACTTCTATGGTGCACCGAGGTGGCTCTGTAAACCAAGTAATCTGGTAAATCAAAGAACAACGAGTTTTTGAATTTCTTTGGGGGCATGTTATTTCTCAACCACTTGATTTTTGGGATTTCCATCTCCACGCTCATTTGCCCACCCACGTACTTCAATCCAAAGTATCCAGACTTGTTGATTTCCGCAGTCTCTTCAAGAGCCCTATGGTCCATCCACATAATGATGTTTTGATTATCATTCTCAAAGTCCGGCCCCACAGCAAGTGGCTCATCGGTAGTGCCATCAATCACCACCAACGAGCAAGTGGCGTCGAACCCAATACCGTAAATGAGACTAGGATCGACCCCTGAGTCACGAATCACGGTTTTAACAGTGAAGCACACTGCATCCCAGATCTCGGTCGTCGATTGGGTGATGTAGTCTGGTTTCAATTCCTGGCGAATAATCGGTCTTTCAGCAAGCGAAAGGATATTACCGGCAGAAGAACAAATAGCGGCTCTGGCAGACCCACTACCAACATCAACACCAATGAAGTATTGCAAATCAACATTGGAGAGGTTAGAGGCAATGCGATTTAAGCTTGAATGGGAGTTATTGTAGCGAGACATGTGGGCAATTGATAATTGATATATGTTTTAACCTTTGATGAATGGCAATAACTGTTAAAAAAAAAAAAGAAAAGAAAAGAAAAACTCAATTGACAGCAAGAGACTGAATATATCAAAGAAAAGGCTGGGTAGGATATATATTTCTCGTCTTTAAAATATGAAAGAATGGGAAGAAAAAAAGAAAGCTACAAATAAACAATTAAGAAGAAAGATGGGGATCCTCAACTTGAAAAGAGTCCCATCATAAATGCTGCGATGTCCTTGTCACGTGGTTATAGAAATGGCGTACAACTGAGATAATAATGACAAGATATTATTTATTATTATATTACTATTAATTGATTGCGGTCAATTAAAACGATGATAGGAATGTAATAAAATATTGTTATTGCATGTTTTTTGTCTGTATGTGTTTGCTAATGGTATAAGAATAAGAGTGGAAAATAAAACGAAAATTCTAGATCCCCATAAAAGACCCGTCAAATTTTTTTTTAGTATTGTGTGGGGCATGTCAGCAATAGCTATGACGTTTGTGTGCTGCTCTGTGTGTTGTTCCCTGTGTTAAGAGTCCGATCATCACCTGATGGTCTGTTGGGTGTGAAAGAAGCAAAAATTACAGAAGATTACTGGAGATTAACAATTGAATTATCTTTAAATAAAGGGGTATACCATGATGATAATTATTATTGTTATTATACAGAATCCTTTAAATATTGTCATATAATTTATGTGCAAGAGGAGAGAAGCGTTAAACACATTACCCGTCTTCTTTCTAATGATGTTTCACCGGGTAATGTTATTTTTCACGCTCTTAGGAAATATATTTTTTTTCTCTTTCTCTTCAACCAGATTTCTTCCGATTCTTTTTCTTCCTCATTATATAATCCATTGATATCTTTGTTTCCAAAAACCCTTAAATGATATAGTCAATATACTCATTTAACCATTGTCATATCTTTCGTAATATTTATATATATATATATACATATTCCAATTATGAACAAGCAATGGCGGTACTGGCATGACCCTTCACGGTCAAACATCTTTATCTTTGTGACTTCGTTCTGAAGCCCGTTTTAAAGCAGTACTGACTGTTGGGAGGAATATTATTGCCTCTGGTGATAATCTATTTCTTTTGGTAGCCCCAGTTGTTCCAGACGAAAGAGACTTCTACAAAGTCAAAGTGCATCATAGTACACCGGGAGCTTAGGGAACCAATTTGTGTTTACCTATAATTTTCTAGCGATGTTCCCGATGTCTCCAAGAACACAAACATTTCTACTTTTATTACTATTATTTGTAATCACTTGTTTATTTGTAGTTTTAATAATTCTTTGTAATATTACCACTATTTGTAACATGTCAACAACAAAGCCCTTTAGCTTGAGAAGCGGAAGGTGCTTCTTTGCTTTGCTGAGGCGGTAAAATTCTTTCCAACGCTGTCCTGTGATTGGCCGCCCTCTGCAAACCGTTGCTGCCACAAGATGCCCGCAGGGGTCTGTATATAAGCCCTGCAATTCCCCCCGAATAAATCTCGAATTTTCTTTATTCTTCCATTATCCATCCCAACACCAAACAGAGTCCCAGATCTTTTCATCAAAACATCCGAACATCCCCCACACACATAAAATGTCAGATCCCACAGATAATACCGCTCCAAAATACGAATTGATCAAAACACACTTCCCTGCTGCCCGTATCAAGAAGTTGATGCAAAGTGATGAAGACATTGGGAAAGTGGCCCAAGCAACCCCAGTAGTGGTGGGTAAAGCCCTCGAAATCTTCATGTGCTCCCTCATCGAGAAGTCATGTGAAGAGGCAAGAAAAGCCGGGTCCAGAAGAATCGGTGCCCAACATGTCAAGTCTGCTGTGGAAACTAATGAAAAATTCGATTTCCTAGTAGAGTTGATGGAAAAGTATACAGGTGTTGATCCTCATTGATCTAAAAAAAAAAAGCAATTGTTGCATATTTCATTTCATACCCTGGTTGTTGTTCCAAACAGTGGTGATAACTGAATTCAATTTTATCAGATTTAATTGCGTCTCCTTTTTTTTTTGTTTTTCTTCCTCTTGTTCTTCTTCTTCTCTTTGCATTTATTATTAAATGGGTTCGGGTTTCTATAAAGTTGTACATTACTACTGGTTGAGTTTTTGTGATTACCTTCTCTTTTTTTTATATCCTGTTTTACTAATACTCTTTTTTATTTAACTTCATGTATATTTCCTTTTACTGAAAATTCGAAACATTTAATTCTTTCTTACACTTCTATTATAATGCTGTTTTATCATATTTTGTTTTGTTCAACATTAGTTGTTGATTCAAGTATAGATTTTTGTTTATATATATGGATTGGTTATGATAATTGATGAATGCATTTTCTTTTAAGCTATGAACTAAAAAAAAAAAAAAACATTAATTATTCTAACCAAATGATGATGAGCAAGCCATCTCGGTTCGTAATTGCTGTCCAAATTTAGCAAAAAAAATTAAAAACAGATTAATAACGACACGGGCAGGACTCGAACCTGCGCGGGCAGAGCCCAAAAGATTTCTAATCTTTCGCCTTAACCACTCGGCCACCGTGCCTTATATTTTACATGTTACAATCAGTGTGCAAGGGCACACTAGATTCTGGAATCAAAAAACATTGAATATCCCATTAACCTGGCAAACAATCATTACCCCTGCCACCAACATGAACGAAACCAGAATGATCGATAGATATCTAGGTTTCCAACGAAAATTATCAAGATTGAAATCCAAAAGGCATTTCAATTGTCATATGGCCGTTGATTCAATGATCTTCTTGCTTGAAAGCAATATCTTTTAAGCGGAGAAGAAAAAATAGGTGGGGAAAAACAAGAAAATAAAATCAAAAAAAAAAATAAAATCAAAAAAAAAACAACAATTAAAAACCTTAAAAACGCATAAAAACATTTTTTCTCAATAATAGGGTTTTTCACCATTAATGGTTTTCCCTTAACACTTTAATTTTCAAACTACATTAGATAGTTTATGAGATATATAGTTATATAATTAATTAATATATTGAATTTTGTCTTTAAAAAAAAAAAAAAAAATCGGTATGGTACCATACGGAACCCATGATCGGCATTACCTCATCGAGGTATCACCTTATGTCCCACCGCTTATCTCTTATCCTTGTCGTATCGCCTTATGTTTAGCCTTTTATTCCCAGAACGGGTCCAACACCCCATTATTAGTTTCAATCATTTTATTTATTTAAGGATTCAACATTCCTCTTGTTTTCACCTTTATTTAGTTTAAGAGAAGGATCATCTTTGTGATCACCTAATTTGAATCTTCTTGGTCGAGAACAATCATCGACAAGAAGCAGAGTGTAACAATTATATTGTAGTGTGGTTTGAGCTATTGGTTATAGGCGACGAGACACGTGCTCATAACCTGCGCTGGGTGGCGTAGTGGGCAGAACCATAGACTAAGAAAGGGTCGCGTGTTCGAACCCCGCTCGCGGCATTAACCACCAGGTCTTAACACTTAATAATTTTCAAACTACATTAGGTAGTTTATGAGATATATAGTTATATAATTAATTAATATATTGAACTTTAAAAAAAAAAAAAACAGGTTGCTACAAGTCAAAAACATTGCATTTTCAAACCCAAACTGTTACCAAAAATATTGGGAGAAAACGGACACCAAAAAGTCGCCATAGCTGCGCATAATTGATCATAATAACCGTACATAAAAAGTGCGATGACCTATATAGCTCTTAGTAGTTAAATATAGGGACTTTAAAAAAAAAAAAAAAAAAAAAAACCTTGGAAGTTATGAATAGCAGCACATTCTCAGATGCTGAAAGGACAGCGTACTGGGATTTCAGAAAAGTTCTTGGTATAAAGAAACGTACAATCAGGTTGAAGCCAATGAAGATTGGAATTGAAGATTTGAAAAATTCAATTGAAAAAGGGATTCCTGAAAAATATCAACAACACATTCCAATTAGAATTAAGGATTTTGACCATACTAAAGGAAGTAAAAAACAACGGGAAAAACAAGATGTGGACAAGATGTCAAAAACACTCATGGATATTACTGGGGTGAATCAGAAACAAGTTGATAACTTTTGGCATAACCTCAAAAAATTCAACCAACATTTCCCGGGGAAATATCAAAATATTCACATCTTTCATTTGGGCATTGAAAATCACAATTACGTAAATAATCATTGTGACTATTGCAGCAAAAAATTAACCAGATATGATGAACCCCAATATGCCCCAAAGGAAATCCAATTTGAAATCATGAAGCACCATCTTATTGAATGTCCATTGGCCCAGAAACTTTGGAAAAAAACTGACTTGAATATCCCATTAACCTGGCAAACAATCATTACCCCTGCCACCAACATGAACGAAACCAGAATGATCGATAGATATCTAGGTTTCCAACGAAAATTATCAAGATTGAAATCCAAAAGGCATTTCAATTGTCATATGGCCGTTGATTCAATGATCTTCTTGCTTGAAAGCAATATCTTTTAAGCGGAGAAGAAAAAATAGGTGGGGAAAAACAAGAAAATAAAATCAAAAAAAAAAAAAAATAAAATCAAAAAAAAAAACAACAATTAAAAACCTTAAAAACGCATAAAAACATTTTTTCTCAATAATAGGGTTTTTCACCATTAATGGTTTTCCCTTAACACTTTAATTTTCAAACTACATTAAGTAGTTTATGAGATATATAGTTATATAATTAATTAATATATTGAATTTTGTCTTTAAAAAAAAAAAAAGTGGAGATTACAGGCAGTATTTTATATCCAAAGAGACTTGTCCTTCCTAAACTAAATAAAGGTCTAAACTAAAGGAATGTTGAATCCTTATATAAATAAAATGATTAAAACTAATAATGGGGTGTTGGACCCCTTCCCGGAATAAAGGACTAAAAGATAAGGGGTGGAACATAAGGTGATACCTTGATAAGGTAATACCTCGATGAGGTAATGCCGATCATGGGTTCCGTATGGTACCATACCGATGGTAACCAGGACACAACCTAACCATGATCCCATAATATAACATTACAAATTTGTGTGAGCAAATATTTTTGAATTTTCATTTCATAGACCCGCGAAACTGGTATACAAAAATTCATTATTTTTTATATTTCACCCATTCTGCTATAATTTTGAAGCTTATAGAATTTCTAAGTAATAATAGAGGAATTCTATTACTGTATTATTACTACTCTGTTTTTTTCAGAGTTTTTCTTATTCAGAGATGATAATTACACTTTAAAATGTTTTGGACATTTGAGCCCCGGAAGCTAGTTATTACCTCTCACTAATAATCAGTAATGAGGAACAAAGAATACTCTGTGATCATTAGACTCGCCTTTTTCAAGAGTTGCTATTTTTTTTTCATCACAGCATCTCATATTATCTCTCACTAATAAGAGGATTGTGAGGAAGAAATAGGATTCCAACTTGATTTTTTTGGTGATTATTATTTGATCAATTGGTCTGGTTTTATTTGGTATTACTTTTTATTTTATTCTACTTGAACTTGCTATACCATTATCATTAAACATATCAACTACTCCCTCGCCCTGAATTAACTATCTAAGACAAATCAGTCTAGCAAGTCTTAATTATACAATCATATTGTATCTTTTTTCTTTGATAATTTGATTAACAAGTTTTTAACCGGTGATGTGACTAGTCTTTACAAAATGAATATCATAGAGAAGTAAATTACATTTTTTATTACTAATAATTATTTTTACATACTGGCTGGCCCACAAGCCCGGCTTACATGCTATTTAGAACCTCTGTGACTCGTTAATATACAATTCATTCAAATATAATGAGAGAGAAGATTGTTTGATATCACTATATATGGTTTAAGTATTAATTTTGAAATATTGTTCCAAAGGAATAAGGAAAAACGTTCCAGGGCCAATATGGAGAATCTGGTAAATATTAAATCAAGAAAAATATTACGTGCGGAAAGAAATTCTCACATACAAGGATGGATCCACCAGCATGCACTTTATACTCACTATTAAAATATTTTTCCCATCTGTTGAAAGAATGATGGATAGTACACAATGTGCAAGATTGATTTTGAATTATATATAATGATAAGAAAACCAAGAAATCCCTAGTTTCTTTCCAAATCTTCGTAGCTTGGGTACGGATAGAAACCCCCATCGTTCAAATCGTTGTTCAGATATTTGAGAAATAACTAACGACCATAAGGTATTTTTGAGAAGATTACACTAGCAAAATAATATCTAGAAAGAGAAAATATGATGAGCTTAATATTTTGTACTTGTTGATACCTTTGGACTCAGCCATATTCAATGGTAGATGGAAAGAAGCGAGAAGCAGTGAGAGTCATTGTGAAAAAAAAATATCATAAAATAATGTTGTATTATAAGGAACGAAGCAGAATTACTATATTGTGGCGACTATGGAACATTGTTCCAGTTAAAAAAAAAAAGTTCATTACTTGGGATTAGAGTGATGTCTTAAAGTGCTGATTTTATCGCGATAAGATTGTAACTTATACTGGTTACGAAAGATTATTCAACTTATTGCTTTCAGTTTACACAGAAATCCAAACCAAATGGGGTTATCATTGAAACAATTGCTACTATCTATTGATGAATAAAAATTCACATTGTTGTAATAATCACAGTAGTAGTCAGTAGATTACCGGTCATTAATACTGTGAGGATTGAGCATTATAAGTACATTTTCTCCAAGAATAATTCTCATTGATTTCTCACTGAATCTCCTTGGATTTCTAAATACATTTTCTCATCTTTTAATTTTACAGAAGATAATAATTATGGGATAAAAAAAAAAGGAAAAAAATAGAAAATGATTTTAATAAGCTAATTACATTGTATCTCTCGATAATTTTGAAGGCTTACTTTTTTTTTTTTTTTTACTGAAAAACATTTTTGCAGAGGATTTTGATATTTCACAGCAAAGACCACTTTACTTGATGTTAATTATCTTAATTACTAACTTTTATACTATCAATACATGATATTTATTATCTTAATTACTAACTCTTATACTCTCAATACATGATATTTATTCTCCTTACGTTGTGTGGATTCATTTCGTGTAACAGGGTGTTTTGTACTATGATATCCGTATGAATCAGATTACATCTCAAACTGATAAAACAACTCCTTATTTTTCTTTTTCCATATATGATGCATTGCTTTCACAAATATAATTCTATGAGAATGATTCTATCGCTGCACCAACTTGTTGTTGATTCAGTATTTTCAGAAAGATAGCTAAACGAAATTATTGCAAAAGATGACCTCCTTAGACATTGATTGTACATTAGGTATAAATCATTACGGGGCCTACAAAAGGCGTGTATACACAAAGAATATACAAAAAGTAGGATGACTATAATTTTTTTATATATCTCGTCTCGTTTACAGGAATACGAAACTTCATTTCCTTGCTTTTCTATGTTATTTTGACGATCCTCGTTTACAGAGACTCTTCGTTCACAGGACAAGCATCGAATCTAAGCGATGATCTCACCGAACATATAGACGCTACAATAGCGTATATATGTGTATATACAAAGCCACAATACAATTCACGACCTCAAATCACACAATTAATTGATTTCCTCAGGGCTTAGCGGATTATATATCCCTGCAGCTGGAAACTTGTGCACTGATATTGATATTCCATGACGTGCATTAGACGGGGCGCTACCTTCTTTTTTTTAATGTTTATTTTTGATGCAAACATACAATAGACAAAAGAAATTTTATATCTGATAGAAATACTAAAAGACAAAGAAATAGTATGGATAAAACAGAATAATTTTGTTTAATCGGCGTGATTTACAAGTAAATTAGTCGGGCCCCAGACAATGGAAATTGTTGAGGTTTTATGACAAGTGTAGAGCTGACATATTTGACATTTGAGACACTAGCTTGAAGCTCAATCGGAGAATGCACAGAATGTTTGTATGTTCAGGATCACTTTTTAATTGAAAGGAACATACTAATAAATAGCCCAATATAATTAATGAGTTAATGTTTGAAGTAAAGAATAGCTACGGGAAATAATATGTTGAAATATCCTGTAAGAAAGATTACGGAGAATTGACTGCGTTCGTATATACTAGCAAATTTGTACATTACCAGAAAGGGCAATGGGAGAGAAAGTTCAATAGAATACGAAAGGACAAACTAAGAACCGAGGGAATACTCAAACAAAAACATAGAATTCTCCCCAAAACACGGGTGATTATAAAAATAAATTAGCAGATAATGATATCTGAGGAATATTCCGAGAGAGCAACACGATCCAGTCGAAAGTAAAACAATCAAAGTTGTTACTTCGACAATATTTGGCGGTGAATGTACAAATTCACAAGCCACCAAATGACGAAGCTGAGGAATAACAGGACAAGTTTCCGTCTACGAATTGAAATCTCTCGCCATACTGCGTTAGGTGCTTCTTCCAATAATTACAAAATTTTAACGTCCACGCATCACCGATGTGCATCATCTCGCATTGGGATGCGTTAGTCGACTCTAACAAACGCCGATGAAAGTTTAATATTTTTCCAATACGAACCTCTTCCTTATTTTTTTATTTTCCTTTTTCTTTTCATTAGTGGGTGTTCAATATTTGCAAATGATTTAAGAGAAAGAATTGTCACCTTTGCTGCCCTCCTTAAATATTTGTTTACTTGTTTTTTGAAAAAGGAAATGCGTGAGAATCAGACATCTGCTTTATGATATTGGGCGCGTATTTTCAGCCTCTTCAAAAGATTACAATTAATAACATTATCCCCTCCCCCCTTGTAAATATACTGAAAACTGATTTTGGGAATGATAAACAAAACTCTAATGAATTTATTGCTTGAAGTAGATACTAATTGAGATCACTTTGATAATTACTTTTCCCATTTCGATACGGAAACTTGGGACAAATCAATTTCGTGGCCTTCTGTATATATAAAAAAAAGTTAATCACGCTCGTAGAAGAACAGATTCTTATTACAGTGAGCTAAATAAAACAGGTCTCAGAAAGGAGTCTAAAAGAGAGGAGGACACAGAAATTACGATGAAAAAAAAAAAGGTTCCATGAAAACGGTACAGTTTTGGGTCAGTTTATAATTGTGCAGCGTAGAACGACTGAACTGATTCTAGAATCTGTCCATATTGGGGATTGGAAAGAACAAAAGCAGCGAAAGAATCAGAATAAAGAGAAGAAAAATTTCAAAAAAGGGTGAAAACTCTATCAAAATGTAACATTTTTTTGGTGAGCTCCTAATTGATTTGGGAAAACCCATCATAATGTTTCTTGATCTCTTCCAAAACGGGGATTCGAGACAACCAATTTAATAACTTTCTTTTTGGATATCATAATTCACATTTTCCGAGGAAGGAGTTTGTTATTATTTTCATTTTTTTATATTAGTACCATAATCAAAAATTGGGCGCGCTCTTCATATACGTATACCGTACACCTTGCCCAAGGAAGAACTGTTCAGCGCCTTTGAGGCGGTAATAGGTCTTCCCAAAAACCCACACGGTTGCCAATTGAAAAAAATCAGTAAAAAAAAAAAAAGATATGGGGCTCATGTTGTAATCAAACATTACCGTAAAAAAATCCAACTTTTGCTCCCAGTATATTCAAAATAAGACTTGGTTACGTACCATCTCATGTTGATCGATCGCCTTGGGAACGGTATTAGCTTCCCAGGCAAAATTTGATTATGGGAGAAAAGCTTGGGTACTCTCAACTGGATTCATGCTAAATGCGCCAATAGTTAATATAGTGCCACTAGCCATAATGAGATAAAAAAGGGCATTAATAATGTAATTACACAACAGTCTGAGGGACTTACTTGATTGACCCGTCCATGGGGATCTGTATGTATTTTTTTTTTTTTTCTTTTCAGGCACTCTGGTTGGAGTAACCTACTGGATATCAAAGAGCAATATGAATAATACCACATCATTGGAATATGAATCAGACGGGGGCCACAAACAATCGTTCGAGTAGAAACCACAGGCTCTGTGTATATAGGTATTCTTCACTATCTCTATACACCCACCCACACGGGATATCACAAAGCACCTCAAAGAAACCCGCATGGAAGGATGCCATGCACCTCACTGCAGTAGCCGCATGAGACAACAGCATCGTGTAAATTTTGGTTTTTGTCCCAGACTTTAAACCTCGAAATCATGAATGTAGAAGCACACGGATGAGGTCTCGACCAGAAATCAGTGTACTTCTGCTTACAGCACCACCGATTCTTCATGCTGCTCTGCTTGGAGACCGGCAAACACATATATAATGATGGCGTTCCCTTGGTTTCTTTTGGTCTTGTTGGATTTTCCTCATCATCATCATTCAAGATCTGACCAGTAACAACAATTGAATAACGAAACAAATATTATTCATCATGTTGTTCTTGTCTACATTGTACAAAACAGCATTGGTGTTGGCTACAGCTGAAGCCTCTCTATTCAATAATAAAAGAGAAGATAACCAAAATACAACCACCATCTTTCCAAGTGCGACCAACTATCATAGCGCTGGCTATAATGTCACATATGACCCTTCTTCTTTTAGCTCTGTTGACACCAGCTCAAGCTCTTTATTGAACATATACACCAACACATCCACAGTGAAAACCACCGTTGTGACCACTGGTACTACCACCCTTGCTCCAATCACCTTGACCAGCACAGTTCATGTTTCTAATACCGTGGATACTAAAGATGCTACCGGACTTTCAACTTCTGGTAACGTTGTTTACTCCGAATCGATTGTCAATTTGGGCGCTCAATCTAGCGCTGCAACTTCCGCTTCTTCGTTGACCGCGGTTGCTGGTCAAGCTTCTAGTTATGTCGTCGTCTCTTCTGCTAATAATGCTAATGTCGCTGTTCAACCTGACACCAGAACCACTACTCAATTGGCCACCACAGCCGTGGTGGTTGTTAAGACCTCTGCGGTTACCAAAACTCACACCATTTACAAGGCCTCACACACTCCATCGACTACCGCCAGTGGTACAATTATCACCACTAACCCAACCAGTAACTCGCAGCCATTGATCAGTAACAAAATCAGTAGTTCCAGCGTTGCACTCAGCGTTACCAACACTGCTTCGAGTGTCGTGGTCACCGGTGCTATTTCTAAATCAACTACATCCTCTGATTCTACTGCTTCCTCTGCTTCCTCTGCTTCCTCTGCTTCTGCTGCCTCCTCCACTTCCATTGCTGGCTGCCTCAGTAGTTACAGCAGCTCTGGTTACAACCTCACTTCTCTAGTAAATTACACCAACATCTGTGATGAAACAGAAACCACTTTCTCTGGGAATTTATTTGACAAAATCTCTGACGATGCGCCGCCTTCTATCTTCACTAGAGAAGAACATCCATTATCCATTCCTGCAGGTGTATTCAACGATCGTCCATACGAAACCAATAAGTTTTACGCCAACTTGTTTTTGTCTGAGCAAACTGACCCTATTTGGTCTTACCCATATGGTCTCTTTTATGATAAGTCAAGCAAGTATGGTTGGGGTGTTTCTTATTCTGATGCCGCTGATGAGATCTTGGGAACTGACGTCCACATTTCTACTAAAGGTGCTGATTACTTGACAACCCCAGTCGGTGTCGCTGGTTTGCTTTACTCTGCTACTACTTTTGATTCTGGTATCTCAATGACAGTATCTGAGATGAAAGATATGTCAGTTAATGTCAAATTGGCTCAAGATAATTCTTCTACTGATTACATTGATATTCCAACTGTTCAAGGCCAAGGTTTCATCACTGCAATCTATCATGGTTCCTTGATTCCAGAACTTAAATCTAGTATGGCAATTACTGGACTTACTCAAGAAGCCTCATCTGCTTTGGCAAATGGCACTTCCAAATTCAAGGCTACTTTGTCCAATGGTGATAGCTGGCTTGTATACGTCACTTCTTCCAACTCTGTTGCAAACTTTACCATAAACTCTTCCAACTACATCCAAGCCGATTCTGCAATTGACGGCTTAATTATCCAAGTGGCTGTTGCTCCAAATGCCACTTCTTCTGAAAGTTACTATGATATGACTGCCGGTATGTACTCAACTAAGGCCACCGTCAACGGGGAAGTCACCGACGGTACTGACGCTACCTATGGATTCACATACTCCACTTCTGGTTCCTCTACTTCTGGAAAGCCTTTGATTTTTGCCTTGCCTCACCATCTTTCCTCTTTGTCCTCTGCAACTTCTAAAACTGCCACCGGTATTGCTCTCCAATCTACTACCAAGGGTGTTATGTACGGTTTCATTGCTGATCAATTGCTCATGACCGAAACTTTGAACACTGCGATCCAATTTGCACCATGGTCCCAACAATTGAACTCTACTGAAGTGTCTTGGACATCAGACCAATTAACTTTGTTGGCCTCTGTTGCTGAAAGCGATTTACAAGCTAACATCAAGGACAGTGTTTCTGGAATCGATACTTACACCGCTGGTAAGCTTTTGGATAAATTTGCTTATATCTTGTATGTGCTTTCTGATGTTTTGCAAGATTCTAATGCGACCGTTACAACTTTAGAAAGTTTGAAAGAAGCTTATGCGGTTTTTACTTCCAACAGCCAAGAGTTCCCAATGATGTACGACACCAAGTTCGGAGGAGTTACTACTACCGCCAACAACGATGGTGATATGGGCCTGGATTATGGTGCTGGTTACTACAATGACCACCATTTCCATTACGGTTATTTTGTTCATGCTGCTGCCCTTATTGGTTATGTTGATTCCAAGTACGGTAATGGTACCTGGGCCGACTCTAACAAGGATTGGGTTAATTCTTTAGTTAGAGATGTTGCTAACCCATCAGAGGACGATTCCTACTTCCCAGTCTCCCGTATGTTCGATTGGTTCAATGGTCATTCTTGGGCTGCCGGTTTGTTCACTTCTGGTGCTGGTAAAAACGAAGAATCCACATCTGAAGATTACAACTTTGCCTATGGTATGAAGCTTTGGGGTAAGGTAATTGGTGATAGTGCTATGGAAAGCCGTGGTGATTTGATGATTGCTATCATGAAGAGATCCTTGAACGATTACTTCTACTATTCTGACGACAACACTGTTGAACCATCCGAAATTGTTGCCAACAAGGTCAGTGGTATTTTCTACGAAAACAAGATTGCTTACACAACCTTCTTTGGTGATAATGTTGAGTACATCCACGGTATTCATATGTTGCCACTTACCCCAGTGAGTAGTGAAATGAGAGGCCCAACTTTTGCTGAAGAAGAATGGAATGATTACCTTTCCTCTATTATTGACGGGTTGGATAGTGGCTGGACCGGTATCTTGAGATTGAACCAAGCCTTATTTAACCCATCCTCTAGTTATGAATTCTTCAGCCAGAGTGATTTCCTGACAAAATGGTTGGATGATGGTCAATCTAGAACCTGGTGTTTAGCCTTCTCTGGTGCTTTGGCGAATGGAGTTTCCCAATAATCATTCGAAAAGTGAATGCTTTTCTCTTTCAACTGAAGTATTACTTTTTTTTTGCTACTTTTGTCTTTCATTTCTTTCTGTTTTTCCTATATTCATTTCTTTAGACTACTGTATAAAATTTCCTACATTTTACATTAAAATTTGCATTTAATAGAATTGCTTTCATCCATATTTACATCTAGACTGTAAAATTTTACAAAAATACTCATTTATGATCACCAATAATAATCCATAGAAGAGATTTCAAAATCATTAGAACCAAAAGTATGGTGAGGTGCTGTATTATTATTTAACTTGGTCAAAGAACACCTCACAACGTGGGAAAAGTATTTTTCGAACAACCCAAATGCATTCAATAGCTCTTCATTTTCATCAATCGTGTATTTTCCTAATCTTATCCATTTCCCACACTCAAATATCCCACAATGAACATAGACATCTATCCATTTACCAACCTGTTTCTCAATGATATGAGTAGGCAATGGCAAGAATTCGACTGCCCTGGCGACATCAAATTTGAGCTTGGGGTCGTTGACTAAGCCGGGAGTGAGAATGCCGTGGGAGAAAAGTAAATGGTGAGCCACTTGCAATTGAGGTATCCATTTCTGATTGATGCAGAATCGACAGAGAATTTCCTTTGTTTTTTTCTTTGGTGGGGGATCGACAGCAGGAAGACGACAATAACGATAACTAATAGCATTGACCTTAAGGCGTTGTAAAATATCATCAGCATCATCCATGGCGTCTGGGTTCGGCGATGGCGGGCATTTTTTGTTCATTTGATAAGTGTATTTCCCTTGATCAGTTTGCCGCAGCTTCCACGATTCATCTAAACGATGGTTTTGAAACTTTCGAGGATGAAGGCCAGACCTTATGTTATCTAATAACCCAAAAGAAGAATATGTAAGTGAACCCAGTGATTGATCACTTGCTAAGGCTGGTTGTTCATTAAGCACTAAAATTTTGGAAACTTTAGGAGGAGGGTCAAACATTGACTCAAAGCTATGATCTTCATCATATTCCATTTCTTCATCGTATTCCATTTCTTCATCATCATCCTCATTATCGTCTTCATCATACTCGTTTTCAACCGCCATATCAATCTCGCAATGTCTTTCATAATCTTCATTCCCAATTTCCAATACCGTTGATCCATGGTTGTGGATTTCAATATTTGCAAAATTGTTCAATAATGATTCATTCTCAAAGATCTTTATCGTCTGAAATTTAGCTTTTGATTTATCAATGATTAAGTAACTTCCATCATTATCAGTGTGCCCTGGACATTGGTACTGGGGATCAACGACCTTAGGATAGAAAATAAAGCTCTCGTCTACCCAAGATGTAACGTATTTTGAAGCTATATCAATTTGAATCATGTTTTTTTTTTTTTTCGCTTTACCAATGATTATGGTATTTGTATTCTCTCCCTTTTTGTTGATTAAGTGATGCTTCACAAGTAGCGACAATTTAGCGAACAAAACTTAAGCTTTTTTATTTTATTTTTCTCTCTTCAAATCCTTTTTTTGTTTTTTTTTGTCATTATGAAATGAACTTTTTCCTTTTTTTGCTCACTTTTACCGTCCCTTCTTCACAAATTATTATCATACCGTTTTTGTGGTCTACTATGCAGGTGCCTACAAAATCACAATAACCAGAAAATAACAACTGCCTCATCTATTACTTAAGCCACATCAGACCTTCCACTTCTCAATAGAGCTTTCAATCCCATCATATACCAATGTATTATTCAATGGGACATATTGATTGGTTAAAATCTTCAAAGCTTCTTGTCCTCCCAAGCCACCAATGAAAGAAGCAGTATTGATCATCTCACAACCTTCCATTCTGATGAACTCTTTCAAGGTTTTTATGTATTTTGAGTCCTCATCACCACCTTTTGAGCTTAATGGCACTTTATTCCCGTTAAGAAATCTTGTTTCTGTAATATCTATCAATTCTGGTAAATCTTCCATCTTAGGATATTGATGCTCATGGTTCTCACAAAATACCCCAAGAGTAAGAAATGCCATCTGAATTGATACCCTACTTGAATTATCACCAGTCAATATGGCATTAACCATTTTATTGTTGACAAAATCTTTTGACCCCTTTTGTACAACCAAATATTGGGAGTTCTTGCAAAAATTATCCAAGAGCGCCTGGGAAACGATACACTCCGCAGAAATATCTGAAGCATACTCTTCTATTAATTTTTTATCCTTTTCAGCCTTTTCTCGATAAAGTTTTTGAAGTTCAATATATTTCTCTGTAGATGACGCCATATCGACGATTTTACCAGATAGCGGTAAGCAACCATTTTCATTAACAAAGCGTTTCAAAGCTTTCACTAGTACCCAAAATGGAGAACTAGACAAAGGTGAAGATAAAGTATTAGAGTCTTCTAAAATTTGCTGGATGGTCGATGGAATAGTAGTTCTTGTTGTACCCCTCCAAGAAAATTTGAGCAATTCCTCAATATTTTCTAAAGCAGCATATCTTATATCCTTAACCAACTCATCAGTTTCCACAAATTTCTTAAAATCTTTTCTTGTTGGCTTTTCGTTACCAGTAGCATCAACATATTTTCGGCGGAAGTTCATGAGAAGGAGAGAGTATGGAATATTCTTCAACTCCTCGATGGATAATTTTTCAATGTTAAGTCCATTGAGGTAATCAGAAAGTTCAGGCCAGGGGAGGTCTATTCTAAGATCAGGAATTTCATTCAAATGTGTCTGAATGATTGTACGTTCATTGAATATCAATTTAAGCGAGCCATAGAATCCAACGGAATTGGCTTCTAAGATTGGGATTTTGCCGTAGATCAACGACACTAGTTTATGAAAACTGACATTATACTTGAAAGATGAGGTGAATATTATCAAGCTGAATTTATTCCAGAAACTGGAGACCAGACAATGTTCAATTAGAAAGTCATCAATAGATGTCCCTAAATATTGGCCGTGTACTGATGGATTTAGTTCCTTGAGCGATTCAGTGGCAACTGCCGCCCTTAGTTTGCCATAGTCACCTTCTTCTAGGAAAAAATTGCTAGATAGGTCCCTTTCACTTATCAGCTCACCATCAATAATTGTAAACTGACCAACGTTAGGCAATACCAAGTTCTTCAAGATTTCACAGCCTGTGGACGTCGCATTGATGAGGCAAACATGCGATTCTTCAAGGTCCTGCTGACCGTCAGACGCCCAAAGTCTTAATTGACGATCATACTTTTGTTCGTTAACCACCATCCTTTTTTTCTTTCTTTCTTTTTTTAGTCAATTATATCAAGACTGTTTTGTTGATTGTTACTGGCGATTGCCATTAATCTTTTAAGGCAGTTAGTTTAAAGCTGACTTTGTTTGTTTTTGACAGAAATTCGCGATCAATATGGGGCTCCAAACCCCCCGATGAGCATTAAAAAAAAAAATTCTAACAAATTTTCAAAATTATCGATGATTGCAATATATCTGACAAACAATCCAACAGGAAAGGTCAATAAAGTGAAAGTGCGAAGAATATGTCACAGAAAAAAGGGAATCTTTTGTGGAGTAAGGTCAACTGTGACTTGAGTCCCTGGATCCTTGATGCTGTGGCTGCTGAAGGGTTTGAAAATATGACCCCAGTTCAGGCATCTACAATTCCATTATTTTCTGGAAATAAGGATGTTGTTGTGGAAGCTGTAACTGGTTCTGGGAAAACAATTTCCTTTGTGATTCCTATCCTCCAAAGATTGTGCCGGGCCACCGATTTCAAACGAGGCCATGTGTTTGCTATGGTGATTGCCCCAACAAGAGAATTGGCAATTCAGATCAACAACGTATTTGAAAGCATCTTGAAATATTATCCTGAAGACGAAGAAATACAAAAGCAAATGGGGATCCCAAAAGATATAAAAACTCAACAGATCGTGGGGTCATTAACTAGTTTCCAAGAAGATATGCAAACATTTATGGAAGAGAAACCACAGATTCTTGTGGGGACCCCAGGGAAATTGGCAGAATTCATTTCTTCTAGTGCCATCATCAAAAAGACTAAAGATTTTGATTGTCTAGTCCTTGATGAAGCAGATAGATTGTTGGATATCAGTTTCGAGGCCACTATCAGGGAGATTGTTAGAAAATTACCTAGACAAAAGAGAATTGGGTTGTTTTCGGCCACTATTTCCAGTGCTGGAGACATGATTTTCAAGATTGGGATGGCTAACCCGGTGAAGATTGCCGTGAAAAGTTCCAATACCATGAATGCCGCCCCAAAGACTTTGAGTATCAATTACCTCGTTGTTAAACCGGATGATAAAATCAAGATGTTGTTCAACTTGTTATCATCTTTAGATTTCAAAAAGACAATTATCTATTTTCCAACCTGTGTTTCTGTGAATTATTTCTACGCAATGTTCTGTCATTTACTCCACCAAGCCAGCGAAAAGACTCAATCTGAATTGAAGTTCTTTTCTATTCATGGAAAATTGCAGCTCAAGGCCAGAGTGAAAACATTAGAGAATTTTGCAGCAAATGCAAAGACTGACAAGTCAATATTGATGGCCACAGATGTGGCTGCAAGAGGTATAGACATTCCAGATGTGGATTTAGTTATCCAAATGGATCCACCAACTGATCCAGATGTGTTTTTACATAGATGTGGGAGAACTGGGAGAGCCAACAAGGTGGGTAAAGCCATTGTATTACTAAATGAGGGACGTGAGGAAGATTACTTGGAATTTATGAGAGTCAAGAAAGTTGATATGGGTAATTTTTCAGATATGCATCCAGAAGTCGACTTGTCAAAACTAGATTTGAATTTGAGTATGGCTTATGGGTTCAAGAATAGGTTAGATAAAATTGTGGAGAGGTGGATATTAGAAGATAGAAGCAGATATGACTTATCAGTACGATCATACGTTGGATTTGTAAGATACTACTCCAAGCATTCGGCGTTATCAATCTTTAGACTCGAAACCTTCGATTATATTGGCATGGCCAAAGCATATGGGTTGATTAGACTCCCAAGGATGCCGGAAACCAAATATATTGATGATGCCAAATTGGAAGAATTTAAAGATGGGTGGTTGATTAAAAAGCAAATTAATTTAGACGAGTTCAAGTATTTGAATGAACAAAAGGAGGCTGCGAGATTAGAAGAGCTTAAAAATACCACCAAAAAGGAGCAAGAGAAGCTCAAGAGAAAAGAGATGAAGAAATTGAATGAAGCATGGTCCAATAAAACCAACGCAAGGGAGAGTAGAGATACCAGAAGAGAGAAAATGAAAAGAAAAAGAGAAGCTATTGAAAAGGAAATTGCTGCGCAAAAAGGTAGTGATGACAGCGATGAAGATATTCAAGAAGATTGGAAAGATATCGTTAGAAGTAAAAAGAAGAAGAAGCAAGGGGCTGTTATGGGGAATTTTGATGGATTGTGATGCAATGTATTCAATTTCACTATAAATGTATACTAGTTTTAATTAATTCAGATGGAAAGTATTGTTGTTTAGATAACAAAAGATGTAGATGGTATTTATTACAAAGTTGAAAAATGCAAATCAAGTTACGAAGGGTCATGGTAGTAACCACAAACTATATGCACGAATGCTTCTAAAATGAACCAGAGTAAAAATAGTATTAGAATATTTATATAAGATTGTAGCTTCAAAAATATCTCCCATCAAAAACTGCAACTAAAAAGCACCCGGCTGACCAGTTTTGTAATAGATAAAATTGACTCTCCAAAATGACTGGAAAAAACCTGCAAAAGGATATTTCACTCTATTTCACACCTTTTTTTCCGTATTTTTTTGTTTTGTTTTGTTTTCTGTTTTCTGTTTAGCTGTTAGGATACCATTTATAATTCAACACCGTTCTTCTTCAAGTATTCCTTGACGAATTTTTCTTCCTCTGGACTGCTGGCGTCAATGGCTGGGGTGGCTGCAACTTTACCCCATGGCTTTGGAGCGGCGATAGCAACAACGGCACCGATGGTGGCAGCAGATAATTGCCATGGCAAGACTTTCTTTCCGAGAATAATGTAAGCAGAACCCATTTTTTTTTGTATGATATTGTTATTTTTCAGTCGTCCCTTGAGCGTCTTGTTACACTTTTGACGATTTTTTTTTTGTGTGAAAATTTCCGGGGGCCTTGACTGGACAAGGGGCTCAAAACTAGTTTGTAACCCGGATTAAGGGTTTTGGACCCGTGGATTCGGTGCATTTTACTCGATCAAATTTTTTTTTTTTTTTTGTCATGTTTGATGATTGACTATTATAGATAGACAGTAAGTAATATAATGATGAGCCATCCGCAGGTTGTGCCTTGGAAGTCTACTGATGAAATAGAACAGCTTAAAGAATGGTTTTTCAACGGGAGCGACGATGAAAAGCTCAAAGCGATTGCCAAAGTGAAGGCATACTTAGTACGAGGCAAGCTATTACATTCAATAGAATCAACCTGTCTATTGACCTCTGCAAAGTTGAATGATAAGGCAGGTGCCGATACTTTGTACGTGAGAATGACTTACAGTTTTGCGCTTGTAAAGTTTGTCAATGGCTTACTTGATCCGCACCAAAAATCAACCCATGCAATTCCTTTGCACTCTATTGCCAGAAAATTCAATCTCCCATCATCATTTGTGGAAATCAGACATATATCAACCCATGAATCGCTAGCTGGTTTGAAAGTGCTACGAAACTTGGTAGCCGATGCTTTGCAGTGGCTATATGATAATTTCTGGAACGAAAATGATTTCTCCAGTACTCAGTCGAAAAAGGATTTTGAAGTGAAAAGCAATCCTTCGAAATTGTCCGAGAGGGACCAAACCAAGTTTTACAGCCAAGTAAAGGATAATTTAAGAGTATACCGAAGATTCCATCGGAATGGGATTAGATTGGTCAATGAAAATGAAATGAATGATGATCCTGAAATTATAAATTATTGGGAGAACTTACACGCAATGAGGGACTTCTTAATCAATAAAGAAGGATACAATAGAGAAGAGATCTTTAAGATATTACTCAATGTCATGTGTTTTAAAAATGTTCTAATAATAACTAAAAAAGATATTAAGTTTGGCCAGTTAAGGGCCTTGTATACCCCATTGTTAACTTACTTGAATTCTGTATGCGAAATGTTCAAATATGAACAAAGCTTCAGCGATATATTATTTGAATTCTTGGTAGCAAAACAGGAACAATATTACTCAGAGAAAGATGGGACAGAATTCGATTTTCGGAATGATGCAGAGATTAAATTATCGACAAAATGGCTCGAACATCTTTTGACACCAAAGTACACTAAATCATTGTTAAACATCAATAATGTACTTAATATTATCGAAAACCATGGCAAGAACAAACAAACCCCTGCCATTCTTGATACAATTCAATCTAAAGTCGTCAAAACCCCTGCTCAAACAGAAAAACTAGATCAATTGATTGCCCAATCATCAAATTATTTACCAATAGAAGTTTCTAGGGAACCATCCACAGATCCATCAACGAAGAGCAGGAAGCGCAGCACTGATAAAATAGACGTCAATGACGAAATTGCTAATTTTAAAAAGAGGCTTAAGAATATTAAGACTAATGCCACCTCAGAATCCAAAAGCAGCTCAATATCCGAAGATTTTTATTTTTGGCAACCGGTGGAGTTTTATGAACCAACTCCGTTCGGCGTCCCATTGTGATATACTACAATTGTGTCTAATTAACTTTTTTGAATTAATATCTGCTAAGAATGATGAGCATCAAAGAAAACAACAAACAAAATTCTAGCGGAAAAAAATTGAAAAGATACTTTTGAAATACCCAAATAAAATCAAATATCTATAATACACGAAACATAACACAAACAGCAAATACAAGTAATAATAACAACGGAAAGAATATTTTTTAATCCTTCTTCTCCAAAACCAGAACCAAAAAAAAACTTGAACATTCTAAATTTATTTCTTGTGCATCTTTTTTTTACGTCGATATTTCAATACAATGTCACCACTATTTTTCCAGATCTTGGTCTTCACCGTAGTTAACGTCATATTAGGTGATAACACTTCTCCATTACACAAAATCTCAAGCCAGTCCTCCACTTTTACCGAATCCTCATACTTAATGTTTGCAAATGGATACATCTTCTTCATTTCTGGTGTCTTGCTTGGGAATTTCTCAAGAATATAAAACATAATCTTCTTCACACGCATATATTCATGTGCTGATAATCTTGTGGTAGGATCGAGGATTACTGGCAATGTGCCAAAATTGGTCGAAGAACTTGATTCCTTCCCATTGAGAGAAAACAATTTTCTCTTTTGAGAAGAAGATGTTTTACCGTCCAGCAAACTCTCAGCTGAATTATTGGTAGTGTTCGTGGTACTGTTGAAATTGCTGGATGCACCAGAGTCGGGTTTCCATTCTTCGACAACAAAGTGGATCTTGGTTACGGATCTTTCAGAATATTGATTTTTGAATAATGCAGCACCTACCCATCCTGGTAGAAATTCCCTGAAATTTTGGAATTTCACATTGTCAAATTCGGTATCATTGGAATGAAATTTGTAAATGACTAAAGAGTTGCCTTTAAGGTCACTGGATGACTTATTAACTAAAACAGTAAAAGGATTAGTTGTTAAACTAGTGACTACTGGAATTTCCTTTGGGCTTGGCAATTTAAAATTTGAATTCTGAAGCTCCTTAGGATCTGGATTTTTAAGATATTCATACTTGAATCTATCAAGGATGGCCATTAAACTATCATCATCATCGTAGTTGGTACTTGGAAGTATATTCAATTTGGAAGGCCCTGGGGTCAGATTTTTTGTCTTGGTTTTAGATGCAGATGTCATTGGGGTTGTAGAATTAGAGCCATCCTTTTCTTCCTTCTTGCTTTTTCTACCAAATCTTGAAAATTTTTTGAATGTGTTTGCATTACTGGAGCCTTCTTCCTCATTACCGTTTATATCTTCTTTGTTGGAACCCGATTCCGCAGTTTCATTTTTGTCCGTTTCTCTTGAATTTTCTTCTTCAAATCTAGAATACGGTTCTTTCTTAATGGCCTTAGCAGGATATATCTGGCCCTTAACTATTTGATCACGGAAAATAATATCGTCTTGCACTGCTTCATCAACAAAATTGGACAATAGTGACTTCAATACAACTTTTCCCAAATTAATAGAAATTTCGTCCATAGGGGTTGGATTTTCCAGAATGATTTTTTCAATCAAATTACTATCAATTGTTCCTTCTAGTTCATCGATATAGACTTCACAGTTGGTAACGGTGTTGGCACCAATAGTCAAGAAGACACGGCCAATTTTTAGGGAAACGGAGCACCAGTTCTGTAGAGTTTCCTTTGTTTGATAACTAGTAATAACCGATTCGAAAAGATGCTCTCCTTTTTCACGTAAGAGCCTATCATATTCTTCATAATCCACATCCTGTTCATTTTCATCAGCTTCTTCTTGAGAAAAGGATTTTTTGATTGTACCGGTGATAGCATTCCACACTCTAACCACCCCAGCATCATTTAAGCTAACAAGAGTTCGTCTGTCATTCAAAAGTCGTGCCTTGATAACCGCCAGATTACCCTCAATAGAATATATTGAGTCCTCATTAACAGGGACCACAGTAACTAATTCAGCTGGAATAGGATCAGTAAGAGCCTCTATGAGAAAATATTGACTGTTTTCCGTGTTATTAACGGTATCGTTCCCTGAAATTATATATTGCGAGTTGGCAGTACCATTCGAGTTGGTGAAACTGGTTTCAAAGTGCAAGTTCCTATCATTACAATTTAAATCATCATCATCACCACTGTTTAGTCCTGAATCATTGTTGAAGCTCATGGTATCACTGAAGTTATCAATAGCATCAAGTAAAGAAATGCTTGTCGCCGTAAGGGATGTTGGGCGTTGATCCATTGAAGGACGTGAATTATCAATTGAAAGTTGCGAGACAAGATCATAAATATCTTCACTATTATTATTGAGACTGCTTGTAGAATCATCAGTCTGGCTGGTGAGTTCATTGACAGTACTATTTTTGACAATATTTAATAGTCCATTTTTCATGGTGAGATACTGATGTAAAGCCACATCCTTCAAATCCAAGTTTGGATAGCACTCAATAGTATTATCATCAGTGGAGCACCATATGTTACTTCCATTATCAATCAAGTTTCCTGATGGGGCGTTGGAATTTTCAAGAGCCAAACAACTAATTCCACGGGATTGTTTGGCAATCAATGAAACCACCCCCAAATTTTCATTTAATCTTGATGTTAAAATTTCATTTTTGGTATCATCTAGTTCATTATCGAATGACTGATCTGACAATAAACAACCTCTGGTATCGGTTTTGAAAACATACCCATTTTTATCACCGGAATAAAAGATCCTGAAATCGGCATAGTCGGAATATAAAGACCATACCGAGCTGCTGTGCATATCAAATGTCCTGAGCACTCTGTTATTCTTAAGAGACCATAGTTTAATAGTTGAATCAGACGAGCCTGACAAAATCCATTCATCAGAAAGAATTAAAGATCGCACTGTATCGGTATGACCAACTAATTTCAACACATCATTTTTCAGTTGACTTCCAGATCTGGTATCAATGAGACCAATGGTATTTTCTGTCCCACCATAGGCAATTAAATTATTAGTCGCAGAAAGAGAGTAAACCGAGCCCTTATTTTGAAAGTTGTAGTAATTTAAATTTGATGATCCTGATGAATAATTACTTATGGAGTAACTTTTAAGCTTGGTATTTTTCACAAGGTCCCAGGTACAAATTTGCTTATCCAAACCACTAGAGGCAATCCATTTTGCGTCAGTACTGTTTCTAATATCCTTAAAATTTGAGTTTGGTGAGGCTAAACAAAGAACGTAATCACTATGGTATCCTAAAGTTGACTGGGTATTCGTCTCGTAGTTCCAATGCTTCACTAGCAAATCAGATGAACAAGATACCAAAGATTGATTGCTGACGAGCTCCATGTCATTCACCCAGTCAGTATGTAATTGCAGGGTTTCTGTAAGACTGTATAAAGGGTTTGAGGCGGATTGCACGATACCAATACCGGATTTATTTATCTTGGTTGCAACATCGGCAATGAGCTGGTTGTTGCATTCAATGTTATTGGTATCGCCAATGGTTGAGAGATTGTCATTAAAGTTCTCTCTATTCGCCAGGCTCTCTTCTTGATGTCCAGAATTGCTCTGCCATATTTTAACCGTACCATCTCTACCTCCGGAGAATAGGGTCCTTGCTTCATTGTTATATTTCACGGTGTTAATCCCACCAATATGCCCGTCATTCTCTTCCATCGAAGACTGTAGCACGTACGTGATGGTTTTCTTTTCAGTATTATTGTGAGGTGCCATTATGTCTAGCTTCGTGGCTTGTAGTCTTGTATAAATACTATTATTAACCTTTTTTTTTGATTTTCTTCTTTACTTTTCTCTTTCTTCTCCTTCCAATAAATGTTTCTATGAGCATACACAGAATATTGGCTTTGCTTACCGTTGCACTTTTTTCCTTCCATTGACTGCCGAGGCCCCCACACTTGCCCAATTGTGCCACTTACTGCACCAATATGCAACAGTCACAGAGAACGCGAAGAAAAAAAAAAGACGCGTAATTTTGGAAGAAGAAGAAGAAGAAGAAGAAGAAGAAGAAGAAGAAAAAAAAAAAGAAGGTCAAGAACGAAGTTGACGAGCATTCACAACAATTGCCATCCAGTATTGCCAACATTAGATAATGAGCGGGAAGTTCAAAGGCTCTACTACGGCTAGGTTCGTCAAGAATAACAGAAATAATAATGGCAATAGCAAGACACCCAATTACAACAAGTTTGGAAATAACCAAAGCAGATCAAGTTACAATGGCAAATCACAAAATAGAAACAAAGACATTGAGAGAATGTCAAAGCTTGAGGCTGCCAGAAAACTTGATCAGATCGATTCTATGATGGGATTTGACAGGTATGAAGCAGGGCCAAAAAGAACTGGTTGGTTAATCAACTTCCACCCAACTCTTTTACCGAGCAGTCAAGTTCTTGATGGGGTTGCTGCTTGTGACTTCTATTTTCTTGATGAGGAAGGTGGTAGTTTCAAAACATCCGTTCAATATGATCCGTATTTCTTTTTGATTTGCAGAAATAACACCGAAATCGAAGTGGAAGAGGCCTTGAAAAAGAATTTGGAAGGTACTGTGAAGAAATATTCAAGAGTACAAAAAGAAGATTTGGTACTTCCTAACCATTTGATTGGTCTTAAGCGTCAACTTCTCAAATTAACATTTCACAACTTAACGGATATGCTAGATGCAAGAAGATTTTTAAACCCAATAATACAAGAGAACAAAAAGAAAAAAGATGCCAGGGATGTCTACTCGGCTGTCAATATCAATTACATGGAAGAGGATTATGAGAATAGTAGCCATGCCAGAACTGTTGATGCTCTCGAGTATATTGACGATATCAAGGAATACGACGTTCCTTTTCACGTTCGTGTGGCAATCGATAAAAATTTGAGAGTTGGAAAATGGTACTCTGTACAGGCTGAAAGTGAAGAAATTCATTTTGAAGAATTAGATGTCGTGGTTCCTCCTGATCCAGTGGTTTTAGCCTTTGATATCGAAACTAGTAAAGCACCTTTAAAATTTCCGGACTCAGCAGTGGATCAAATCATGATGATTTCTTATATGATTGATGGTGATGGTTACTTGATCACCAACAGAGAAATTATTAGCAAAGACATTGAAGATTTTGAATATACACCAAAGCCAGAATATCCAGGTAATTTTGAGATTTTTAATGCGGAAAACGAAGAAGCATTGATCAAGCGGTTTTTCGAGCATATTAGAGAAGTCAGGCCAACAGTGATCTCCACTTTTAACGGGGACTTTTTCGATTGGCCGTTCGTGGACAATAGAGCAAATTTTCATGGTATTTCTATGTTTGATGAAATTGGATTTAAGAAGGATAGTGAAGATGAATATAAGTCTACTTATTGTTGTCATATGGATTGTTACAGATGGGTAAAACGTGATTCTTACTTACCTCAGGGTTCTCAGGGTTTGAAAGCCGTTACCACTGTCAAATTAGGTTATAATCCAATTGAATTGGATCCCGAATTAATGACCCCATATGCCATTGAAAAACCGCAAGTACTTTCGGAATATTCTGTGTCTGATGCTGTGGCTACCTACTATTTGTACTATAACTATGTTCATCCTTTTATTTTCTCATTGGCTACTATTATTCCATTGAATGCTGATGAAGTTTTAAGAAAAGGTACAGGTACATTATGTGAAATGTTATTAATGGTCCAAGCCTATGAAAATAATATTTTGTTACCAAACAAACACACAGATCCTTTGGAGAGATTTTATGATGGTCATCTTTTGGAATCCGAAACCTACGTCGGTGGCCATGTTGAATCTTTGGAAGCAGGGGTATTTAGATCAGATTTAGAAACATCATTTAAGATCGACCCAACTGTAATAGATGAGCTATTACAGAATGTGGAAGATGTGGTTAAGTTCTTTGTTACAGTTGAATGCAACAAAAAAATCGAAGATGTGACCAATTTTGAAGAGGTTGCGGAAAAAATCAAAGAAGAACTAATTGAATTGAAGAATAAGCCAAAAAGAACTGAATTACCTTTGATCTACCACGTTGATGTTGCTTCAATGTATCCAAATATCATGATTTCAAATAGATTGCAGCCTGACTCTATGAAAACAGAAGAAGATTGTGCTGCCTGTGACTTCAATAGACCTGGAAAAGTTTGTGATAGATCATTAACTTGGGCTTGGAGAGGTGAATATTATCCGGCAAAGATGGATGAATATGCAATGATCAAACGAGCTATGCAAAATGAAACCTTCCCACCTACAAGATCAGGCGGCGAAAAACGATACTTTGATGAATTAAGTTACACTGATCAGGTAACAAACTTGAAGAAAAGAATCAGTGATTATTCTAGAAAAGTTTACCATAGAATCAAAGTATCAGAAACAATCAACAAAGATGCGATTGTTTGTCAAAGAGAAAATCCGTTTTATATTGACACAGTGAGAAATTTCAGAGATCGTCGTTATACTTATAAAGGTTTGGCGAAAAAATGGAAAAAGAAATCTTCAACAATTGACAAGAGTGACCATCATGCGATTGACGAAGCTAAGAAGATGGTAATTACTTATGATTCATTGCAATTGGCCCACAAAGTTATTTTGAACTCATTTTATGGGTATGTGATGAGAAAGGGTTCTAGATGGTATTCTATGGAGATGGCAGGTATAACTTGTCTTACAGGTGCTACCATTATTCAAATGGCACGAGCTTTGATTGAAAGATTCGGTAGACCTTTGGAGTTAGACACTGATGGTATTTGGTGTATCATTCCGAAATCATTCCCCGATGAGTTTGATATTACGCTAAAGGACGGGAGCAAACTTGGTTTACCTTATTTATGTTCCATGTTAAATCATTTGGTTCACTTACAATTCACTAATCATCAATACCAAGAATTAATTCCAAACAGTAATTATCAGTACGAAGTGAAATCTGAAAACTCCATTTTCTTTGAACTTGATGGTCCTTACAAAGCTATGATTTTACCAACTTCTAAGGAAGAAGGGAAGGGTATTAAAAAGAGATATGCTGTTTTCAATTATGATGGGTCATTGGCTGAATTGAAAGGGTTTGAATTAAAGAGACGTGGTGAATTGGAAATTGTGAAAAATATGCAGGGAGATCTTTTCCCTGCATTCTTGGAAGGTGATTCTTTGGAGAATTGTTATAAAGAAGTGGCCCTGATTGCCAATAAATGGCTAGGTATTTTATTGACCAAGGGGAAAAATATTGAAGATGAAGATTTGATTAATTTAATCGGTGAAAGAAAGAGTATGAGTAAGTCTATTGAAGAATATAATGGGATGAAATCTACCTCTATTACCACTGTTAAAAGATTAGTTGAATTCTTAGGAATTGACGTTAAAGGCGATTCTGGTATCACTGCTCGGTTCATCATTTCCAATAAGCCAAAAGGTGCCCCAATTGCTGAAAGAGCTGTTCCAATTGCCATTTTTTCTGCTGATATTACCCAAAAGAGACATTTCTTGAGGAAGTGGTTAGGTGATAATGTTCTTGAAGACTTTGATCCAAGAACCATTCTTGATTGGGACTACTATTTTGAAAGATTGGCATCCGTTGTTTTGAAAATCATCAGTATTCCGGCATATTTGCAAATCAAAAAAAATCCGTGTGAAACTGTTCAATTGCCTGCTTGGATCAGTAAAAGAATCCAAGAAGATCAAATAAAGCAAACGAAGTTAACCAGTTTTTTCAGCAAAAGTGACAAGCCTGCCAAGATCACCGAAAAAGATATTGAGGATCTTATGAATGATAAGAAAGCCGCGTTTGCCAACAACTCTAAATTTGGCACTGTTCATTCCAGGAAACGTAAACTCAAGAACAAGAAGAACCAATCTGGTGATGAGGATGTTGATACTGAGGCTATTGAAAAAGATATCTTGGATGCTGGTTGTCCTGATGCTACAGTTGATTATGTTGGTTGGTTGACTTACAACAAAGTGATTTGGAAACAAAATGATAAAAAGAGAGAAGCTAACAAAAAGATATTTGGTGAATATTCTTCTGGGACTGCTAATCACAACTCTTCAATTAGTAACATGGTCCGCGAAAAGGCCAAGACTTACGCAACCAACGCTAGCTGGCAAGTTTTGGATTATAAATTGGATAATGTTCTAGGACAAATCAGAGCTAAAGTGTTAATAGATGGAAAGATCAGAGTGATCAAGATCAAGGTTCCAAAAGAAGTGTATTTGACATTTAATAATTCCACCAATAACTTACTGGAAGAGCAGGTGGAAGAAATGAGAGAAAAGAAAATTTCTATTGAGCCATCCAAAGCCACTATTATCAAAAACTCCAAGCCGGTTTATAAAGCGATAATGGATGAATTGGTGTTCAATGAAAATATTCATAAGCCTGGCTCTATTCTCCAAAAGAGTAATATCTATGAAAGTCAGGTTACTGCAAAGGATAGAGCTATTATGAATTTGGGTAGTACGATTAGCTTTGAATCAGATGAGTTAGGCGGTTTATACAAAGGCTTACAGTTTGGATTCAACTCTTCTAAATTTCAACCAGTTGATCACTCCACCTACTTGAAGAAATTTGATGTTGATTTGGTGTATTTGTCTCACGTTACGTCTAACAAATATGAGGTTTATTTTGTTTTCAATTCTTGGGAGCCAATTGTGTCTGTCTTCATTCTTAAACCTTCAGAGAAAGCTCAAGATTTTCCAGAAAATAAGAAGTTGGAAGCGGTTTATTCCGATATTTACAAATCAAATGAAGATGACCTAGCTAAATTTTCAAAATATTTAAACTATGCATCAGAAGTTGACTTAGATCTCCAATATTTCACTAATCTCCAGTCATTGAATAAGAAATTAAATGCCAAGATCGCCTCGTTGTATGAAGAAAGATCCTCAAGTGCTATTCTTGCCCTTCAAACGCCATTTATTGACAGGATCTATAAAACAATCAAATCAGTACATGATTTCCCAATAATAAAGTTGTCCTACAACGAAATTGTGTTGCCAGCTTTACGCTGGCAAGAAGAGCTTATGAAGAAAGTTTTTGTGTTCTTCTTTTCTTTGGGATCTTGGGTTCGTGATTTGTTAGAGCTTTCTCGTTACAGTAATATTCCAATTTGTAATTTGGAATTGAATAATATCGGCTATCTAATTGATATTCAATATTCAAGACGTCTTAAGGCCAATAATGTTGTGTTATGGTGGTCTTCAAACACTAATTCTGACCTTGGTGGGGCCGAAAATAAAAAATTGGTTCCGATTACTGAATCTTTGGTATTTCCAAATATCAATAACCCAGATAGTTATGAGAGTGTTGCTTTGGAGATCTCGATTCAAAACTTAACCATTAATACAGTGCTAACTTCAGCGCTAATCAATCAAGCTGAAGGCTCTGATCTAGCTGACCAAAATGATGTATTTATGGGTGGCAGTGATGATAGAAACTCTGGTGCTCCATCCACAGAATTTTCCATTGATAGCTTCAATACGAATGCGTTGTCGGTGCTTCGAGGCATGGTCAAAGATTGGTGGGATGATGCTGTAGGATCTTCAGAATATGCTGACTTGATGATTAACAATTTTGTGAAGTGGATACAAAAGAAAGGATCGTTCTTGTATGATCCAAGTCTTGAATATCATGTTCATAACTTGACAAAGAAAACACTATTGCAAATGATTCAAGAATTCAAGAAGATGGGATCCACTGTTATTTTCACTAACAGAAGTAAAATATTCCTCAAAACGTCAAAAACTTCAATTGAGAACTCCTACGCTTATTCCCAATATATCTTGAAGGCAGTTCGTACCAAGCCATTGTTCAATTATTTGGATATGAAGATTTTGAAGTACTGGGATATCTTGGTTTGGATGGATGATTATAACTATGCTGGTAGAGCCTGTGAAACCATTTCGGAAACTGGTTCTCAAGATTTGAAATTATATTCCCATTGGCAAATTGCCAAGTTTTTACCACCAATATACCAAACTGAATTCACTGATTGGATTTCCATCTTCCTTGATGCATTGGTGAAAGAAAAAGAAAATAATATCAATGCCAACACCGCAAGACTCACTCAAATAAATCCTCCGGCTAATCCAACTGATCTAGATAATGAAGGTCTAGATGATATGGATGGTGAAAAGGTGGTTATCTCCGATGCTTTTGCAAGTGTTTGGAACCCATTAAAGAAACGTGTGAAAAAATTATACGGTAAACAAAACAGCGTTATTTTAAGTGAGGCATTCCGTGAAGAATATAGATTCCCTGTGCTACCAGGCTCCCATTTGAAATTTGGTAATCCAACCCTTGAGCTAGTGAAGCATTTATGTGCAGTTTTCGCGTTGTCCAAGAAACGGAATTTGGAATCTCGTTCTCTCAGAAAAGAACTATTAAACTATCTTGATGTTCGTGAATTTAGTGATGAATCTTCTTTCAAGAACCCTAGTGTTTCACTAAAGATTTCTGAAGTTTTGTGCAATAATTGTGGTTTGATCCGCGATGTGGATTTCTGTCGTGATGAAGAGGAAGATATTTGGAGTTGTGTTCAATGTCGTCAACCATTGAACAAAGTGTCACTTGAAGAGTCTTTGATTGCCGACTTCAAACGGAACTTGGCTTTATTTTATACCCAAGACTTGAAATGTGAGAGGTGCGGTAAGATTAGAGACGACGAATTGAGTCCTTTCTGCAAGTGTTCTGGTAATTGGGTGGGTGTAATTAATAAAAATGCTCTTCTTAGAAGAGTCCAGATTTTCTCGAATGTTGCTGATTTCTTCGACTTACGTTTTTTGAAAAATACCCTCCAAGGAATCTAGTGCTTGCTTGCGTGTTGTTTTGCCAAATATTTTTATTTTTATTTTTATTTTCATTATTCCCATTTATTTGTTTCAGTTTTATTCTTGCTTTTGTATTAATGCATTCATTGACTTATAATCATATGTTACTATTCACTTATAAAAAAGAAAACAGAGAATATCAGGCCTTATAATTATAATGAGGTATCGGCAATATTTTACAAAGCATCAAAAAAAGAAAATATCTCATAAATAGATTTCATAAATAAAAATGGAAAGTAATATGTAATAAAAAATTTATAATATTCAAGTACCGTCATTCAAGATATCGCTTGTTAGACTTCTCGCATCATCATCAAACTCTTCATCTGCTGGGTTGCTAATCAATTGATCATCTTCTCCATCGACATCATCATCTTCTTCTTCTGAGCCCAAGAAATCCTCATCATCATCGAGGAAAACCTGATGGTTATTGATAGATGAGTAACGTCCGCGGCCATTAGTAGCGAATGGACTTCTACCAGAAGTGACATTCTTACGGACCCTTTGGATAAAATGGAAGATGGCAACGCTTCCCATGAACATCATGACCCCAAGATCAACAAGTTTGTTGACCACTTTATCGGTTGGAGTGTTTTCCACTCTAGTAGGGAAGCCGAGACCAGCACCATCGTCTCCTTCTTCAAGTCTGATCGCCCCCAAGCGTTCAAATCCACCATTACGTCTGATACCTCTGTCGTAAACAAACCACGTTGCCCCAAAGAACGCGGCGATTGGAATGACAATAACCAAGAACAAGTTAAACCCACGTAATCCCGATCCGTGAAGCTTATCGTATTGCAGTTCCTTCCCTGGACAAGGTTTTGCTTCGTAATGATCCAATTGCATTCCTCCGACGCAAGTACTGAGAGGAACACGACGGTAACCGGTTGGTTCGAAATACTCTACCGCTTTATCATTAACACACATTTCTTTTGGATCTTTTGGTTTAAGACCAGGTATAAGTTTACAAGTGCCATCTGAGGATCTTGCAAAGTTGTAGTCACATTCATAATCACGACGGGTACAGGAGCAGTTACGCAAGACTTTGAAACCTTCATTTAGTGGAGCAGCTCCGATGAAGCAATCTGAATGTTCTGGTTTACGACGGAGGTAACGAGCTTCATGGCCAAAGAGACAATTGTCAGCAAGGAATGGGTGCTTTGGACTCCAGTACTCAAAATCCTGGCCTGGAGATTCCAAACGATCAAGATCAAGAGAGCATTGACGGGAAAACACATTGCTGAAATCAATACCAAATGCAAGACTATATCCTTGTTCAGCTTCGCCAGCCGATGTAAACAAAATGAAACGGCGTGATGTATCTGATGGAATAGTAGCTATATCTTTGATCATCACGGCGTCAGTAGTAAACTCGTAAGTTTGCCATGTGAGACCCTCATCTAATGAATAGGTGAATTCTTTAGTAGGTTCTGTTTGGTCAACGAGCATAAGAATACTACCCTGATCACCATATTCCCAGCTCATCGCCTTTTTATGGATTTCAGTCCAAGTGATACCACCGTCACGAGTCAAGAATGTTGAGCTGGTAGATCTATCATTATCCAAGAAGTCTCCAACATTACCCACACCAATCATCATACCGACTGCAGACCCCGATGAATAAGTATCACGGAAATCAACACGCTCGGTAAATCCATGAAGATTCAAAGAGCACTCCAGAAATGGTTTCCCTTGTTTAACACATGGATAAGCGTTACCTTCAGAATCAACAGCTGGGGGCGCGAGGTACGCCCATTCAGCAGCATCATTATGAGTTATTTTGGTTTTCAATTTTTTGGAAGCTCCAGTTTTTGCATCAACAACCTCTTCATGATTGGACACAACGTTGATAACTGCAACCCCTTCAATCCCTTGAATCTTTTCAAAATCGACATAACCAGCCGCATCTCTATTGACAAAATCCTCACTCAATACATAGCTAGTACCATTTGAATTGGATTTCAAAATGCTACCGAATTCTGCGTTTCTCAAATTGCTAGTGGTAACATGCAAATAAATAGATTTGGAGAAAGTCTTGAAGACAGTGTAAGCTTGTTCACTGTCCACATTAAAGTCATGAGGGAATTTGGCATGAGCGAAAGTTTCGCCATCCAAGGTGGTCAAGGACTTCAACGCAGTCTCACCATCAATAATATCAGCCACCACAATAAATTTGTCATCTGTAGCAATACCCACAGCATGTTCAAAATGAGTTTTTATTTCATCTGGTGTTTGGAATTGAGTACGTGAGCTCAAAATTTTCACTGAACCATCATTGTTCACTCGCTCACAAATTATAAGCTCATCATCTGTCTTGAACCTTGCACCGGCGAAATCGCAAGATCTAGCATCCCTAAGCATTGCAACCCATGTTTCCCCGCCATTTTTAGTCAAATAAGCCATAGACAGGCACTGTGGAGTATTTATATTTTGTGCACATTCTGCGGTTTCACCAATAAAAATCATTTCCTCGGTGTTATTTGGGTGGAAAAAAAGCGGAACAAACCCCTTTGGATTAAGTCTGCTTGGAGCTTTAAACCCTTGGAACAGTTGAGCACGATCCTTTGTCACATAAATAGTGTCCTTAGGAGTCAAGAGCACCGCATGGTCGCTATTGTATTTATCTTCCACAATGGCAAGGACATCCTCATCATCAACGCTAGCCCAGAAAAATTCAAGACCACCATTGTGAGAAATATAAAGCCTTTTCGTTGATGTGAGAACAAGCACAGTTTCATCCCTCAAGTTATCGGCAGATTGATCAAGATAAACATATTGCTGAACACTACCTGGAATACCATTACGAGAAACTCTGATATCATGGGCAGGAGAATTTGCAAGCAAGTCACGACAGTTTAAGTCAAAATAATCTTTATCCTCCAATTTGAAATTGCCAATATTACAAGTATTGCCAGGAATCTTCAGAATTTTAGCCATATGAGATTCGGTGGTTGGATTATCAACACAAACATTTCTGAAATATTTAAGATCGGCGACACATTCACCATTTTCGTATCTGAAACCTTTTTGACATTCAAAATCATGAATAGTACAATCGCAGGTTTCAATGGTTGGCTCAACGTCTTGATACAATTTATTGACAAAACATTCGGCATCTTTTTTACGACGCTGGAACTTTTCTTTGTGGCCCATGATACAGATACCATCCTCAGTGCCTTCACCACTACGGGCAACAAATTCTTCCATATCTCCATTGCCACAAGTTTTCCCGCCAAAAATATCACTGAAATCCATGCTAAACACATAATATGCATTCTCAAAAACCTGGAGTTCATTGGTGGCACCAGCCATATCATACCCCGCGAATATAAACTTTTGAGAGGACCCGTCAATAGTTGTAGTTAACAAAGTTGGGAAAAGTCCCTTGTCGAAATGGCCCTCTTTCCATGTAGTACCTTGATCAACGGAGTAATAGTAAATGGAACGATCCAGAGCGGCAGAATTTTCAATAGAGCTGAATGATCCTGTCTTGTAATATGGAATTGCGACAATGACATTTCCTTGGTCACCAATGCTAAACACGCATGGTTCATCCAATGCAACGAACCAACTATAACCACCATCTCTTGAGACCCAAGTCGATAACTTTTCATAATCCCATACTAAAGTATCGGAAACAGCACCAACACCAAGCAAAATTCCAGGAGTTGGACCGGATTCGAAATTGCCATCGCCGGTCATTTCAATAGCATCAATAAGTTGAAGATGACAAGTCGATTCAGAGTTACAATAAGCCTTGGTTTTTGATTCAGGGGGGATTTCATATTTGAGAAGATTCCAAGAACGGCCATCATCCATAGATATCATTGATTTGACAAGTGGGTCGAAGCTGAAATCAGAATAACCAGCCATAATATTACCTAACCAAACGCCATCTAAATTAGAAATTTTTTCAACACTATGGAACCCATAATAATCGGACTCATCAGCAAGATTGTCAAGCTTGCGGAAAGTAAACCCATCAGAATCAGAGGCATAAAGATCAGAAATGATGGTGCTCAAATGGGTACTAATTTTCTTTTTGAGACCCCAAACAGAAACGTAAAGGGAGTTTTCATTAGACGGTAAAATAATAAATGATTCACTCTTGAGATCGCCTGGGAAATTGGCTTTTTTGAAGTCAATACCGTCTTTAGAAACAAAGAGTTGAACGTATGACTGATCCGAATAACGATCGGTGAAAGCCTTAATAACGATAAAAGATTCGACAACATCAAAATCATAAATGAAAACTTCTGATAAACCCTCGGACATAATCTGGTTACTCGTTTTGAAATAATCTTTAGATTGAATGACATCTGTGGATTTTATTCTGCCTTTGGCATCATGCGAATTCGAAATACAAATCATATCATCGATATTCCCGTTAGACTTGGTAGCGGTGTAAGCACAAAACATTGGGTTTGCTACACTCTCAATTTTCTTTGGAGGCTGAGCGAATTGATCATTAGTATAGTAATAGCTACTGGTGCAATCAAAGATATTTGAACAATCAAGTATTTTAAAAAGGACATTGTCAGGGGTGTTCATGTTTTCACTTATGAAAAGTCTTTTAGTAACCGTGAGTTCTTCATCAATTGTGAAAGATTTCCACAGCTTCCCCTTATCATTAGTGAACCAATGTGTCTGAGAATCACTGATGGCAAACACACGCTCCTTATGATATTTATCAATATGTAGAAATGATATTTTTGCATCTTGAAAAGTCGATGACATATCTGACCATGAAACACCGTTATCGTCTGATTTCCAGATACGCTGGTCATTAAGATTGAGGATTGTTGGAGAGTCATCGAAGTACGCAATACGTGATGAGCCATGATCGAACTTTGTTGAGGTAAGTGCTGGTTCATTATTAGCAGCCGAGGCCAAACAAGCCAGAAGGATCAAGCAAAGCCAGTGAAAGAGTATCATCCCAGGGCTTCTTTTATTGTTAATTGTTTATGTGTTGGCTCGTGGTCCAGTTGAGGTGATATCTTTGCAGAACTGATGAGAGGATGAGAAAGAAAGAACAGAAAAAAGGAGGAGGAAATAAACAAGATTCACCTAGGGTGGCGACATGTGTGTTTGCAAGCTTTGGTGAAAGGTCTATCGAATTCGGAGACAGTTGAGTTGTCAAAAAATCTCCCAATGCGCCTCTGGTTATGCAGCGCTGGTTCAGAAGTCGCCAATATGAAACGTGACAAAGGGAGTTGCCTGCAAAACAAGTTTCCAGCGAATGGTTTTGGGCAGTGGATTATCTGTCTATTCACCGGGCACTTGATTGAGAAGCCCCATTTTCGTAGTTCTCATTTGTAGATGATCATCGTGAAAAGCATTGCATGAGAAAAATACCACGGAGGCTCATCCTACATCAATGATCTATATATATATATATATATATATATATATATATATATATATATATATATATACAGCCCCAACACAGTGAATGTTTTAGTAGAATCATTCATTTAATCATGAAAAGCTTCCTTTGTATCAATTCTACTACTTCCCTCACTAATAATTGTTGGAGAAAGCGGTGTGTCAAAAAAAAAACAATTGGGTCCGTTTAGCATCCCTGCATGTTATGAGCCCATGTGATTAAATGGACAGCAAAATGACCAAAACACACACCAAATCATCATACAAATCATCTACTAGCCAACCACTGCGATATACTTGATAAACTAGTGATATATTCAAGTCATATACATCATGTCCGATTGGAACGTCGACCCAGACAACAAACGGAAACTTCTTGCCCTCCAAAAGCTCGGCGCAAACAAAAAATGTTTTGACTGTGCTGCCCCAAACCCTCAATGGGCCTCTCCTAAGTTCGGTATCTTTATCTGTCTTGAATGTGCCGGTATTCACAGAGGTTTGGGTGTCCATATCTCATTTGTTCGTTCTATCACCATGGATCAATTCAAGAAGGATGAGCTTGTGAGAATGGAGAAGGGAGGAAATGAAAGATTGGCTAAATATTTCGAAGAAAATGGTATTGACCCAGCAGGCACTGATTTACCAAAAAAATATGACAATGAGGCAGCAGAGGACTACAAAGACATGTTGACTGCGGATGTTGAAGGCAAGCCATTTGTAAAACGTGAGCGCGAAGCCACGCCAGCAGTAAGTGGCACTAGTTCTCCGGCACCTGGGAACTCGCCTGGCACTTCTGCCATTTCTTCTCGTCGTGGAACCCCGGGGCCATCTGCACAAAAAGTGAAGAACGAAGCATATTTCGCTGATTTAGGTGCCCGTAATGATCAAAGACCAGACCATCTCCCTCCATCGCAAGGCGGCAAGTATGGAGGATTTGGTAACACACCAGCTCCAAATCCTCAAGGCCAATCATCGCTCGCTGGCCTCTCAATAGATAATTTCCAACGTGATCCTTTGGGTACTTTTAGTAAAGGGTGGGGTTTGTTCGCATCAAGTGTCTCCAAATCTATCAATGAAGTTAACGAAAGTGTGATCAAACCAAATATTCAAAATTTGCAGGAACGTGATCTTGCCAATGATGCCAAGAAGGCAATGACTCAGTTTGGCTCGAAAATTCAAACAGGTGGCTTTACTGGGGGGGCTCAAGGACAGTCCTCGCAGTATGGTAGATTGTTTGATGGCGTTAATGAAGAAAAATTTGGGTTCCAAGATGAAGTTGAACCGGCCTTTGGTATGAGTAAGCCAAAACAAAAAAGTAATTTGCAAGGCTTGCGTGGAGGCTCAGAAAAGAAAACCTGGAATGAAGATAAATGGGATGATTTTTAGTTTTTAATTTGATTTTTATTCTTATATACAGTTGATTTTCATTTCTCCTACTTTCTTGCTAAAGATGGCAGTCATTAATAAAGCATAAACTTCTTCATGTCTGTTAACGTTTTTGATCGACAGTTCCTTTATCTGCTATACTCGTAATATGTGATCTCGGCAGAGCATTAGCATTTTAGCTCTTATAAGCAGATACTCAAAGCTTTGGATTTCTGGAGGCTGATGAGCATGCTAAATTTACTGTCACCTTGTGGTAGCTGTTCGATAAAACTATGAATCCCAAAGTCTAACCATATCAAGAAGCTTTTATTGAACCAATACACATATCCCTGGGTGCTATTTCAGATTATGGCCCAGTCGTGTGGTGCGCGGCTGTTGCTCATGACCCTACAAAGCCAATGAAAAGAGGAGAGATTATTTATTTTATTATAAATAAATCTCTTTGTCTAAGTAGGTGGTACTGGCTTGGTTGTTCTAAAACTTTTCAAGAAAGATATGATGCTGACAAGGCTTGGGTAATTCTCTTGGAAAATATTGAACTATCAATTGAGAGATCCAAAATTTTGAAGTGCTGGTAGCCCCTTTGATATTAAAATAGATATTATTTATAGTCTGATTGTTAAAAGTAAATAATTTCTATTAGTATGTTAAAAGTAAATAATTTCTATTAGTAATTGAAATCTCTTTGATGATTACAGGCCAAATAAAGCTACTAGAACAGCTCTTCATCCCAACGATGTGCATCAACAACTACACTCGCTGAAATAAACCTGAAAAAAATGAAACTAAAAAAAGGGGTGACAAATGATTTTATATTCTATTTAAGTAATCTAAAAAAGTAAATGAAAGATACTGATTATAAAAGAAAAGCTCGAGCTTAATGCAATGCTGGTGATTTCACACGCCAAGAAGCATGGCCCATGGAGTTATTTAGGTAGCAGTGGTAGTAGAGGTACTAGTGGCAGTAGAAGAACCAGTGGCAGTAGAAGTACCAGTGGTGGCAGTAGCAGCAGAGCTAATCAAGACCCCAGATGAATTATAAATATCTCCTTCACCGTCAGTATAAGTTCCATCACCCACTGGGCATAATTCCTCTGCTGATGGAATACAGCTACTAGATGAGCTGTCTTCGGAAGAAGAAGAAGATGTATCTTCCAGAGTCGAAGATGAGCCAGTTATACCAAGTTGTTCTGCCACCATATCAACGGCAGAAACACCGAGAGCAACGTCACCTGCCGTTGTGATACCACTCATTATTTTAGATCCCATTGATTTGGATGATTCAGGTTTCTCAGCCAGGTCGCTGCCGGTTGAAGAGCTAGCTGGTTTGGAAGATGAATCAGATTTTTTAATCAGGTCGCTGCTGGTTGAAGAGCTAGCTGGTTTGGAAGATGAATCAGATTTTTTAATCAGGTCGCTGCTGGTTGAAGAGCTAGCTGATTTGGAAGATGAATCAGATTTCTTAATCAGGTCTCTGCTGGTTGAAGATCCAGAAGAGCCAGAAGATGATTCACTGACAGGCTTAATCGACCCACTGTTACTGGTTGAAGAGCCTGAGGAACCGGAAGATGATTCACTGGCAGGCTTAATAGAACCACTATTACTAGTTGAAGAGCCTGAAGAACCGGAAGATGATTCACTGGCAGGCTTAATAGAACCACTATTACTAGTTGAAGAGCTTGAAGAACCAGAAGATTTATTGTTTCCAGACTCTTTGCCTTCATTTTCCTTGGTTGTGGTGGTTTTATGTTTCGTTCTAGCTGAAACTTCTTCGGAAGCTGTTCTGGAGCTGCTTGATGTTTTCAATTTTTTGATGACTGTTCTTTTAGCAAGAGCATCTTCATAAGTGGCTGCTTGCTCTTCCAAGGATGCAAGAGGATAAGTTTGGGCAAGAACAAAAAGAATTGTGAGCTGTAAGGTCTTTGAAAGAAGCATTTTCAATTTTTGTTTTCAAAAAGCGAGGGAGTAAGTAATAATAATAGAGATTGATAAATGAAAAAAAAAAAAAAAGACTGGTTGGGAATGGTTTCTTTCTTATTGTTCCCTGAAATATCACACTAATTGGGGCGATATCGTTGCCATTTATATAGGGCATTATGTCAATGAAAAAATAAGGGTCCTATTTATCAACTGTCATGTTTTTGGTGCCCTCTTCCAACGAGGGGCTTATGGCGATACCATGGATGGGATTGTATTTTTTTGATGCAACGGATTTCCTGCATATAGAGCTGCAGGGTCCATCGTCCCTTTTCCGAATTTTTGGCACTTGGCACAGGCAGCGGATTTTGGTAACGTATAACACATTTAATGCAAAAAAAAGGAAACCAAATACATCATAATAATAACATATTCGTATCTAGCCCAAAAAAAAAAGGTATCTATGGAGAGGTGGGTCATACTTTCTCAAAAGTTGGTAAATGAAGTGTTCTTGAAGTGAGTGTGTTTTGGGTGTTACGAAAAAACCGACACAGAGTAATGATTAACCCCATGGAAGCAAACTCACATATCTAGTATTAAGAGCTTGGCATACTGAACACCAAGCGTAAATATATAGCATAGACAAAGCATGGTAATTTTTTGTGAGCAATCCCCTCATAATGTTCATCTATTTTTATTGTACAGTGTCAATTAAATTAGAAATGACATTGTTCCCAAAGACCTTCATGGTTGGCACATATATCTTGCAGAGTAGTAATTTATATATAATCCATAGAAAGCAATATCGTGTTGGTGCTATAGCAGGAGCCAAATAACTCGCAAAATGAAAAAAAAATACTCGAAAAAAAAAAGCACTCTAGAATCAAATTAATAAATTGAATTGTTATGCAAAAATGATTTCGCCCAGGATCGAACTGGGGACGTTCTGCGTGTTAAGCAGATGCCATAACCAACTAGACCACGAAACCACATGTTTACGAGTTTTTTGAATTTTTGACCAGTAGCGTCTTAAAACATTATTCCCTTAGGCCGGGTAACCGCTCAAATACTTATAATTCATTTTATAGTGGTATTTTCTGGTAATAATTAAGAATGGTTAATATCAAATACCTTTCTCTTATTATATTTATTATTCTTACCATTGAACCTTGGTGAAAAACATTATTTGGGGTTATATTTTGCCCTTTATTACATTTGTTACACATAGGGCGCATCTAAAAATTCTATTGTTACATTCTCCTACTATTCACGTAATATATATCCAAAATACCCAGTTACTTATATTGATATATTTTAAATGTAAAGTATAGATTTTTTGTCGTATATTGCATGCTTCTTATTAAAGTTATAGGGCACGTAGTATATTCATCAAAGGAACAATATATGATGATAATTGCCCATTAATATTATTTATAGATAACATTAGTATACAACAGCATGGATAGCTTAATTTATTGGACAAATACGAATACAACAAAATTATGAGCGTTGCGTAACGTCTTCATAGTAGGAGTTAGACACAACCACCTCCATTATGGTTGCTCCGGAAAGAAAACATAAGAACCGGGAACCCAAAGAGAAACGCAAAAAAATATGATGATGATGTTATTAAAGGATGAACATTCGCTTAATATTTGAAAATAGAAAAAATATTTTTATGTATATTTATATATCTTGCTTGGGATATAATAGATTGAATACAGCAAGCATAGAAAAGCTTGACTGATACAAGGATACTACCATGTAGAAAATGCATTAGTAATCTAATAGTATCAAATTCATTTTATGCCTTTATTTGGCTAAGGTTTGCTTTCCCATATGATGGCATATGAAATCAATTTTCAAAAACACCTCTATTAACAGTACTTTGGGGATCACAAACCATTCACGATGGATTACCTTATTACTTTCCATTGTATCCTTGCCTTTTGGGGTATTCCGTTTAGAGTTATTCAAAGAGCAGTTAACACATTCCATTTCAACTGTGCCAAATTCGTATCTTAATTGACTATGTATTTTTCTCTCAATCTCCCTTAAATTATTTTGGCAATAGAAACTATTATCATGATGGTTAAAGCACCTGAAATTGCCTTCGCTGATCTTATTCCTACCACCTAAATTCGTAAGAAATCCTTTAGGATTAAAACTCAACTTATTTTTGCTATAGTAAGGGTCATCTATATTAAGCTTAGAAAACAAAGATGACAACGAGGAAGGAGAGGCTTGCTTTAGAATATCAGGACTGACTAGAGTTATATCGTGGTTGCATTGTTTCTGCCATTGTTGGATACGCTTGGTCACTGGCTGAGTTGTTAAACCAATTTTCACTAAAATAAAATGTTTTGAATCAAAAGGCACTAATTCAGGTGAGGAAGACTTCAAATTACCGTGTGATGAGCCATCCACATTTTTAGCAGACAAAGCAGAAAAAAATGCTTTTTGAAGTGCAAGCTTTGATGCATTAGAATTTTCTAGGGATTGGTCTTGGTCCAAGGCCCTTATGTTCAAAAAATTGTACCTTTTTTGATGATCAGTCAACAAGTGTGATAATGTGTACATGTAAATACTTCCCGTATCAGTATTCTTTTTTCGTGCCGGCACTGTGCTCTGTAGACTTGAAGGGGCTTTTGGTAAAATGATCTTGTATACCGGCCTTTGATTTCTATTGTGATTCCCATGTTTATTATTATCATTTTCTATTCTAGCAGAGGATGATTTGAGTTCAATTTTAGAACTTCCTTTGGTTTTGGAACTATTTTTGAGGCTCTGATTTTTATGATAATGACAATATTGACCGTCGGTAACCTTGTTCTTGCATCTTTCGTTACTCTTGGTTACTCCAAAGCATTGTCCCATATTTATTTGTGGTTAGGGTCGTCTTTAATGAACCCAGGTGCACCAATTCTCCCTTTATTTTTAGCGTGTGCGGTTAGTCTTGCCTTATTATTCCAGTTCTGCGGTTTTATGACTTCGTGACTTCTCCTTTGTGAGGTGGGAGCCCCTCATCACTCTGAAATTAATTGAGGATACTATTGTTTATCAAAAAATTGGAATATAAATAGTTTATTTTTGCTATCAATTTCCTGTAATTATTTTGTTCTTTGCATTTTGTGATTTTGGGAGCCAAAAAGAATTAATGCGTTCTACTTCCCCGCTCACTTGGAGATCATTTACCATCCTTCTCTCAAGCAATAAGGTCTTATGAAATTTACACCATGTCAAATCTATATAATAAATCACAACATTCAACAACTGCAGCTTATCCACGTTATAACCCAGCATCCACCATTTCTCCTTATGATGTCCTCGAAGTGGTTTACAACAAATATGTGTCTACAGCTACTGGGGTAGCTTCAAAACCTACTGTCAATTTGATATTTGTCCATGGTAATGGAATGAACAAATCTATCTGGAATTATCATGCAAACTATCTTTTTAACTACCAAAAAGACCATGAATCTCCATTCCATATAAGCACAATTGTCACGTTTGACTCGGTGAACCATGGAGATTCTGCAGTCATCAATAAAGGCAAATTAGGAATTACTTTTGACTGGAAGGATAATGGTAAAGATATTCTAGAAATTATAAGAGCCGAGAGATTACATCTAAATAATGATAAATTGATTTTAGTGGGTCATAGTTTTGGTGCTTTCCTGGCATTGTATGCGAATCTTTTGAACCCTGGAATTTTTGATTCAGTTGTTGTTATTGATCCAATAGTTTATCCCATCACTACTAAGAATAATAATAGACTGAATTCCAATCCAGGAAAGAAAGAGATATCAATTCTTGGTTACAATCTTTTTTCCAGAAAACTAAAGTCTGAATTTGATAGTGCTGAAGAAATGAAAAAATACTTCTTCAAAGATTCTAGCTGGAAATCAATGAAGCAAGAAATTGTACAAGATATGTACGCTGATGAATATCTAGAAACTTATGATGTGGCGACAGATACTATAAAGTATAAATTGAAAACTTCTTTAGAGCAGCAAATGATTACATACTCCAACTACTATTCTTCAATTGAAACTTTTGGTTCCAATTATCATATTTTCCGGAACCCAATTCATTTTATTCTTGGAGGTAGGTCTAATTCTTTCAATAGATCACGGTTTTTGCAAGAGATAATCCCCAAGTATCCTGTTCCTGAAATTACATGGTCAGAAATTTACAATGGAAGCCACTTACTTCACGCAGAATATCCTAAAGAATTCTTAGAATTAATTTTAAATTTTATTGTTGATCGAGTAGATAAATCTGGAAAGAAAGAGGATGAAGAGGGAAAGAAGTACAGAAAATCGAAGGAAGAATTGAAAAATAATTACATAAAAATGTTGGATGGTAGGACGTTGACTGAAAACCAGAGAGATGAAATCTTCAAAGATTGGTACAAACAATTAAAAAATGGAGGTTTTTGGGATTGTGACTTCATCCCAAGTACTATTGAGGCTTCAAAATTGAAGTGGAAGCTTTGATGAAGGCCGAAATGAATTTCTGAAGCACAGCACTGTATGAAATCTATCACAGGTTTAGATGCGTATACTTTGATAGAGCTGTTTTTTTCTATTTCTTCTTCTTCTCTAATTTTCACCTATATTTTGCTGGATTTTTACGCTATAATTTTTATCAATTCAAATCTCAAAGATATTATAAACTCTGGAGTGGCTGATTCCACTATTTACAAGAGGTAGTTCTTCGGTCATTCAAGATAGCTCTCAACCTTGAAGAATATAAACCTGTAATATAATAATAGTAAAGGGTGTAAAGATGTACCCCCTCCTTCCCGTTTAATAATTGTGCATCCTATGAAAAGATGGCATAAGACTCCTAGTCTTCATCAAAGCAAATTTATTTTGGTATGAATTTCTCATGCAGAAGATAGTTCAAACTCTCCAGAGCTACTTTTAACATTGCCACTGAAAAACATTCACTTTCACTAATTGATTAGAATTTAGTGTGAAAGTTTATTTAAACATATTTAATTTGTAAATGTAGATTTAAACCACAAACAAGTCATGTTGCAATAAGAGAAAGTTAACTGTTATATGCACGTCACACAAAAACTGATTGAGGGATTTTTGTATCATATCTGGATGGGATCCCCATGCCATATTGTAAAAGTGAATTTGATATTAGTTGTGGTCGTTTGCCTTCTTTGGATCCATTCAAAATTGCAATTAAATCCTTTGCTGATATTTTTAATTGTCCAAAAATGACTATTGTATTGACAAAAAGCGATTTCACTTTGGTTATGTCACTTGGTGATAATCAGCATGTGCACGTGCCTTTATATGAAGTTAAAAAAAAAAGTAAAAATATAGGAAATGCTCAGTTCACAATCATCTAAATCGTGAATCCTCGTAAAACAAATTAAAAAAAATATGGGTGCTGCCTTATCTATTCCTCTCATACCTGTTCAAATGGCAGGCACATGGGTTGCATCTTGTTTGGGAGCAGCCTGTTGCTCAGCCTTCACAAACACATTTAACACCACCTTTAGCTCTTCTATCGCCACGCGTATATTATATGCTCTAATATTCTTGGTAAATAGTATTCTCTCATGGATAATGCTATCAAAATGGGCGGTGCGAAAGCTAGAAACACTAACCTTTGGATTAATCAAAGCCAGTGAAGGGGCAAATTTCTTTGGAGTGCAAAGAATCAATTTTGCACTTGCAGTTTTTCATCTTCTGCTTGCCTTGTTGCTAGTCAATGTTAAATCCACTAAAAATTCAAGAGCAAAAATTCAAAATGGTATTTGGCCAGTGAAGTTGTTTTTTTGGGGCGTTTTATTGGTTATTTCTTTTTTGATTCCTGACAAGTTTTATGAACTCTATGGTAATTATATTGCGCTTATTGGTGCATTACTTTTCAATCTAATTGGATTAATTTTGCTCGTGGATTTTGCGCACGAATGGTCGGAAATTTGTCTTGAACATATTCAAAATGAATCATATCTGTCAGTTAGGCTTGATATTGAAGGTGACTATGAAGAATACGATTCTGAAGGTTCCCAAGGTGCCAGGTTCTGGACTTTTCTTTTGGTAGGTGGCACTGCTTTGATGTATATTGCCACCTTGGTGCTTACTATCATAATGTATATTTTCTTTGCGAACAAGGGTTGCTCTTTGAATCAAGCTTTCATCACAGTCAATGTGATATGCGCTATTATTGTTACTTTACTTTCGGTTGACGAAAGGATCCGTGATGCAAACCCTTCTAATGGTCTTGGTCAATCGGGTATGGTCTGTGTTTATTGTACATATCTTATCCTTTCTGCCTGCTGCTCTGCTCCAGATGGTTCCTGCAATCCAGTGGTCAGATCTACCGGTACTAAAACTGTAAGCATTGTCATGTCTGCGATATTTACCTTTATGGCTATTGCGTATACTACTACACGTGCTGCAACAAATAGTGCTTTCTCTCATGACGCCAAACCAAACCATGGTATTGCTTCTCCACCATCTTCAGTCATTACAACTCAACCGGGTCCAGTTGATGATATTCGTATTCAAACCATACGTCAAGCGGTGGAAGAAGGTGCACTTCCACCTTCGGCTTTGGATGATCCAAGTTGGTATTACGATGACTCAGATGCTGGGGAGGATGACGAGGCCTTTTCAACCAAATACAATTATTTTATCTTTCACTTCATCTTTTTGTTGGCAACGCAATTCATTGCAACTTTATTAACTATGAATGTCAAGCCTGATGATTTGGGTGACTTTGTACCAGTTGGCAGAACCAACTTCTACAGTATTATGAAAATGGTGAGTGCTTTGATTTGCTATGCATTGTATCTGTGGTCTCTTATAGCCCCGGTTGTATTTCCGGATCGTTTCGCTGTTTCTATTTGAGCTTTATTTTATTTTATTTTCAATTTAGGCGGGGATGTGGAAATAAACTACTGATCCTGATGTTTGTTTGTTTTTAAGAGAAATGAAGAAAAGACATATTTTAGAATATTGCAAAAAAAAAAATAAAGAAGAAAAAAAATAGGAGGATTTTTCAAGTATGTCGATGTCTATAGACTTGTTTCCCATTTGGGCTGGAAGCGAAGGACTTTGACTAGGTGAACAGACATTAAGACCTCTGTTGCAAGGTTAAAGGCATAGACAATACAACAAGTATTATTTACAGTATGCTTTATTTTATTCTTGATCTTCTAAACTCCAATGACTGAGCGGGAAGTCTTTTGAATCATGTCGACTGATTTTGATTATTATAATGTACATGATTATTTCATCTGATTTATTTGCACAGTTACAAAAAATTTCATTCATACACTCAAGACAGAAAGTTTATTAAAAGACACATGGTATGTTCTTCGTATGTCCCAGTTTAATTCTGCATATGTCATTGTTCTCTGCTTCTTCTCACCATGTAACTGGGCGATCCTATTCGTCAAATTAACTATGGAAGATGATACAGTTTCGTGCACTTTACTTTCGATATACCACGATTAGTTATTGAAAAGACAACACTTCTCTACTCAGGTATTATCATTTTAATCAATGTCCTTTTGGTGGTACCTGATTTATATATCTGCCTATTTTCGGATTTTAGTTCAGTTGTGCAAGCTTTACTTTAAATCAAAGTCATTTCTACACTTAATATAATTTCACTATAAAATGAATGTTGACATTTCCGTCACGTAGATCACTCGATGTTGCTAATTCCAGCACGAAGATCGGATACGATAACATTTGTAAAGTGTTTAAAAATAATGGTGAGCATAATATGGAAATGCAAATTAAGCTTATGTATAGCGACTGGTAACTTTCAAATAATGCAGTGCGATAGATAATGTCGTAGAAATATTGATCCCCAATCAAGAAGTGGAATCAGAAATCCCACCACTCCCAATTACATAAATACACTCAGCTTCAGGCATGTCTGGACTATCCAACAATTTGGCGACCCTTTCTTCACCTCGTCCTTTCCTGCAATGGTTTCGGTTAGTATATGCTCCTTAAAATTTTATACAGACTCCGAAAATCTAATATGACTTTAAGAAGAAAGGAAAAAATATACTTACCTCAAAAGAATTCTAGTAGCAGATGCATGAGCAAGAACGTGGCCACCAATCCTGTATTAATATTAGTAAGCTATGACATAACACATTGTGACTAAAATAATGGAAATACTCACGGCTTCCTACCATCAGCAGCTGCAAACAAAGCAGAAGCCCCAGGATCTGATTGAACTTGATTAGTCATGAACACTGCAAGATTATATTCTTCTGCTAATCTATTCAAATAAGCTAAATGCTGATTCAACTTTTGCTGCCTCTCACCCAACTCCCCACGTCCACTGTAATCAACTCTGAATGCCGACATGATTGAATCAATCACAATGAGACGGTAACCACCTTCAGCAAGCTGAACAGCAAATTCTTCAACCAATTCGCACTGATGTTCGGAATTGAGAGCACGCGCGTAAGAAATGTTTTCAAGGCAAACTTCTGGGTCAACCCCAAACCTTTCAGCAATGCTACGAATTCTATAAATTTCTAATCAGTATTCAATCCTTTAAATTCTTCTTTCGGTTATAATCAGTTGCTTACCGGTCTGGTCGAAAAGTTCCCTCGGTATCGATGAATGCTACTTTGCCTTCACCGCCGCCCATGGATCTAGGGAGCTGAGATGTAACGCACAAAGTATGTGCCATCTGAGTCTTACCGCAACGAAACTCGCCAAAGACCTCACTAATGCTCATAGTTTTGATACCACCACCAAGAACTGCATCAAGTGATGCAGATCCTGTGGAAAGAGAAAATACTTTCTCGCGAACCTGTGCTTGCATAGAAGCAGAAACAAATCCTGCGTTCTATGATTGATTTGGTTAGTTTTTAATATATATTAAAAATCAAAAAAAATTTGGGTATCACAAACCATTAGTTTTTTGCCAGCTTCTTTTATCTTCTCAACCTTAACTTCACTCAAACCTTTGATCTTGAGCATGTTACGACGAGTGGTAGATAGAACTGACTAAATATCTTTGTTAGGATTTTGATTCCTCTCAAAATGCAATAAATTAAATCTTTCCTATCAACTCACGGAAATACTAGCAATTCCTGCTGTTTTGAGTTTAGAAATATCGCTGACACTAATACCATAATTTTGAAGCTCATCAACGGACAATATGATGTCGCCAGCGCTTGACTCCGTGACAGATTCGTTAGCCATTTAAATTATGAATTTCTTGGTACTTTGAAACAGAGCAGTCAGTAAATAGAAATATTCATCTTAATAAAAGATAAAAAAATTTACCTCTCTTCTAATATATAATCATTTCCCTGAGAAAAAGATTTTATATTCACTTAAAAAAAAAATATTCTAATATTAAGCGCTGCCATTGGAAATAATAAGGGACAAGACAAAGACGCCTTTTATTTTCTTCCAAATAAATAATACTCACAATTATTCTGTGGATAAATTTTCTCAGTTGTATAGATATATTATTTTTGGATATTGTAGTGGCGAGCTTGTTTGCTTTTTGAATGTATTGTTTGCATAACACAGAAGAAGGAAGTCGGAAGCTCTTTCCCACCTTTATATACTACAGCAAACAAACAAGTTTTCAGAAAGTCGAAAATATATCATTCATCCTGAATAATAATTAACAATGAAAAACTTATTCTTTTTATTTTCATTAATATACTTTGTTACACAATATTATTTCTATTTATGGTTTACCATTTATTACTTTAATTCACTCATTCGAGTAAATGAATTGTATATTAACGAGTCATAGAGGTTCTAAATAACGTGTAAGCCGAGCTTATGAGCTGGAGGTCTTTGTTGAGGGGTTTTGGCACTAAATTGAAAATACTAAGTATATACTAAGTATTTTCAATTTAGTGGCCATCAGAATTCTGGGGGGATAATAAAAATAAACCAAATAAACCAAATAAACCAAATAAATCAAATAAGAACCAGTACCATGGGTCTGTCTTAAGTGTCACCACACACTTTTTAAGTCCAGACACATATCCTGATTCCATAAATCAATGTACCAACTGAACACTTTAACTGACATTCCATTTCTTTGCCTCAATTATTAGTGAGAGATAATAATGTGAAGCCTTTGTGGAATGTTGTCAAAATCAAACTCAAAATCAAAATCATAATCAAAATCGACAAAATCAAATAGACCAGTGCTATGGTTTTATCTCAGATGGCACCACACATCTTTGATTTCCATAACACAAGCCCATGATTCAAACTAAGAAAAATCAATAAAATAATAATAGTAAATTAATAAAAACCAAGTAAAAAATAAACCAAATACTATTAACTGGGAAACTAGGCACCTATTTTTTTTTTTTTTTTTTTTGTTAATCAACCTCCTTCATTGCCACCACTTCATTCAAATAAGTTATCCACATTTTGAGTTGTTCCCTACTTCTTTGTATTCTTTTTTTTTCCAAGAATATATATCCAGCGATATTCCGCTGACTCTCAATATTGTGCTTTTGACGTGAAGTTGCTATATACCAGTGCAGAGGATCTTTAAAAACAATGTGGTTAGATCAGACTCCATTTTATAGCAAATATATGAGATGTGGTGGCTCAATGGTAGAGCTTTCGACTCCAGCTTTGGAATATTCTTACAGCATATTCGTGTAATCGAAGGGTTGCAGGTTCAATTCCTGTCCATGTCAATCTCATATTTTTTTGCTCTACTCGGCTCCCCATACCATTTGGGTGGTATCAAAGAATATTTGTGTTGTTTCCCCTAAATAACTTCACTGAGCTCTTTTCCTTAACTGTTGCATAGCCGAACAACAAATCTTTAATTTTCAAATTTTTTTTAATTTATTACTAAATATTATTAAACATTTTACTTAATCATAGCTAGCTCCGGATAAGATCGATGGAGCTATGTTAACAGTTGTTACAGGTGCTTCGCTTTCAACATCCACCATCTTTATGATTGCATTTCATTGAGACATTATTTAACGTGAATGCGTGAGTGACTCGTTTTCTACAATACACTTGGCATCGAAGAATATATTAATCATTTGAAAGTCAATGCCAATTGAAGCTTCATTGAGCCTTTGTGTTGTTCATCATCTCCCCTTATTTGAACCATCAAGAGCCAATCAGACTCCTAATATTCTTGATTATGTGAAAAATAGCACACGTGATAATTATGCATAGACTTTTTTTTTTTTTTTTTTTTTTTCTTTATTTTTTTTTTTGTGAAAACACCATCTGAGTCTTCTTACTCTCAATCTGTTTCTTCGATCTGTGTTGCAGCTTTCACTTCTTATTCCCCCTCTTCTTAGATCTATAAAGAAATCGTGGTTAGATCTGTTCTCTTTGCTCCTTCATCTGTTTCATACTTTTTTTTTTTCGTTTCTAGCTACTTCAATATTTTGTGCAAAAAAAAAAAAAAAAAAAAGAAAGAACTCACCTTTTATATTCTCAGAACCTGCAACAGATTCCCCCACTATCATAATGACTCTTGCAGAAGATAATAACCCTTTTCAATCCAATATAGTTCATATCGGTGGCCGGAAGTCCAAGCTTGCCGTGGTTCAATCAGAATCCATTAAGGCAAAAATAGCTACTCTTCATCCAGATTTTTCAATAGATGTCCTTGCTTTCTCCACTCTTGGTGATAAAGTGCAAAACGTCCCACTTTATTCATTTGGTGGGAAATCTCTTTGGACTAAAGAGCTTGAAATCCTTCTTATGCACAAAATCGACCCTTATGAGAAACTTGATCTTGTTGTTCACTCATTAAAAGATTTACCAACTGTTCTTCCTCCAGAATTTGAATTGGGTTGTATAACTGAACGTGAAGACCCAACTGATGCACTTTGTATGGCTAAAGATTCGCCTTATAAAACCCTTAATGATTTGCCTGATGGATCTGTGGTTGGTACTTCATCGCTTCGTCGTTCTGCGCAACTCAAGAAAAATTTTCCAAACTTACGTTATCAAGTTATTCGTGGTAACGTCATCACTAGACTTGCAAAACTTGACGATCCCGAGACACCATTCAAATGTATCGTGCTTGCTACCGCTGGTCTTAAACGTCTTGATCTTGCACATCGTATTACCATGACTTTGAATCTTGATAATTCTGGAATGTACCACGCTGTGGGACAAGGGGCTCTTGGTATTGAAATTAAGCGCGGTAATTCTCATATCAAGAAACTTCTACAAGAGATTTCACACAAGCCAACTACTATCTGTTGTTTGGCTGAACGTGCTCTTATGCGCACCCTTGAAGGTGGTTGTTCAGTTCCAATTGGGGTGGAAACTTCTTACGATCCAAGCACTAAAAATCTTACTTTGAAAGGTATTGTGATTTCTCCAAATGGTAAAGAATCTGTGGAAGATGTTTTTGCTCAGAAAATTAATGATGATAATCTAGTAGAAGATTCTGAAAATGTGGGAAAAACACTCGCTCACAAGTTGGCTCAAAAAGGTGCAAAAAGAATTCTTGAAGAGATTAACTTCGAAAAAATTAAATCCGAAGAAGAATTGGCTAAAAAGAGTGAGGCTGAAATTCCAAAAGAAACTTTACAAAGATTGAAAGTTGAGCATACAGATTTGCCTTTAACTGATGGTTTGGAGTTATGATAGATATTTCAGGGTTATATTAAACCAGTTCACATACGTCTATCCAGCTCTTTTATCGCTAATATTTTAACATTCCTTGTATTCTAAACTTATAGAACTTATAGGACATTTAATTTTTGCAAATGTGTTTTATTCAGGTCCGATAAGTTAAAAATTGAAAATCCAAACACTACTCTACATGCTCATTATTTATTAATTGGATATAAATAATGACGCTATGAGAAGTATACGCTTCTTTATGTTAGAGGGATTCTTGTTCATAAAAAATTGGCATGTTGAATAACTTAAAATCTATGTCGTTGCAACTTCTGTACATATTCATGCTTGGCACAGGATTTGGGTTTTTGTTTTCAATGATTGTTGTTTTTCTCTTGGATGTTTTTTTTTATCGCATTATACTTGCATGGGGGTATGTTGAATTATATCATTATTCCATCCATCCAAAATCATTCCAGACCACTGACTGGCAATATTGTTACCTTTTTTTTGCTTTTTTTTTTTCATATATGTATTTGCTTTATTTTTTCTTATAGTTATTTCATTTGGTGTTACGGCAGTAGGGTTTCTTTTTTTATTTTCTTGAATAAAATGCTTTTCTATCGATGTTGAATAAGTGGTGTCTCTTATTACCAGGCTGTATCGAGCTTGAATCCACTCACATTGTTGGTATTTAGCACCTGTTCATGCAATTTAACCTTAATAGAATGTTGGCAACATCACATGAACAGAGTATTAGAATTAATATAATCGCCGATTGATTTTGAGCTTAGTATTATTATTAAAGTCTTCGAGTTGTTGAAAACTGGGGTTTCTTGGATGGTGAACATCAGATGCTGGAGGTTATGGAATAATTTGTAGTAAGGTCTTCACACCTCCACAGGGTGCTTGTATGTCAAGTAAAGGCTTTTTATAGCAAGCAGCTTATTATTTCCTAGTCCTTTCTCTGTAAGTCTGTCTATTAATAACAATAAAAAAAACTGTTCGAAAACATTTTTCAAGAGGTGTTTTGTATTTCTCGAGTTGATTTCGGAAATGCAAAAAGAAATGCGCAGACCGGGAATCGAACCCGGGGCTTAACAATGGGAATGTTAAATTTTACCACTAAACCATCAGCGCTCCTTGTGCTCGTTTCTTAATGATAATTTGTGACTCTGTAGCTTTCATTGTACCACAGTTTTGGTATATATTTGAATCATCCGTTACATTGGTATATAATTTTGAAGTGTTACCGTGAAAATGGTATATGTTTCTTTGCTGAAATCTCACCAAGATTACTTTGAGTAAAAGTTGGTCCTTGTCGTTATATTTGAATCATATGGAAACTCTTTGATTCATAAAATCTTGTTCTTATTGTTACATTTAACTATGTTATTATCTACTTCATGTCTTACCTTCTATTATCTTCATTACTTATTCCTACTTATTACAGCGTCTAAACACGCTACTATTATTCTATCCCGATTTATTTATCTTTACATGCACTACATAAACTACAGATTTTCATATAAATATATTGCTATATTGATATAAATTAATTTCTGCTGGATTTTGTGATTGACACTTTGCACTTCATTTCTCTTATTTGATACTTGAGCCATATTTCTACTCTTGTTTTATTACCATTATTGTTAGTTATTATTAAACTTATAATACATTTCATTTGATACCAAGTAATATTTAATGCTAACCCATTTTGAAAAAAAAATATCATATTGATAAGCTCGCCAGGAGATTTTAATTTAATTGGTAAATCTTCCTAAATGATCTCAATTGTTAAGTTTTTAGTAATTATTTACCCAATGTTTGCAAAAAGTGGTATTATTCACGAAAAAAAATTGAAAGTTGCTGGCACAGGGTGCTTGATTTAGGTAAAGGCAGTTTAGGCAAATATTTGACAAATGAACTATGAAGTTTGGGTGAGCAAAATAATATTTTTTTTTTTTGCTTTTCTATCATATTGACCCAGTCTCCGAAAAACGCATCATTGAATCTTTTGTGTTTTGATTTTACATGTCACTAACAATTTGTCGTTCAAAGTTCAAAATTCTTATTCACGCTTTAGTGCTTTTCATATCTTTTATTTTTCTTTTTTTTTTTTTCAAAATAATTGGATACTTTATATTTTGCTCTATAGATGCACATATTAAGAATCTTACAATGTTCTTAATGATATTGTATAAGCAGCCAAATTGGTGAAAATTTCCTTGGGACCAACGGTGGTGAGCTTTCCTGGTATTATAGAAACTATCGCATGATATAAACTCAATAAATATCTATATATCATTTTTGAGACTTAATAAGAACTAATAATAGACTTTATATCAGTTAGGCACATCAATAGTGTGAAAAAAAAAGGCATATTGATCAATTTAGAAAACAGTAGTAATGATTAGACCGTGGGAACCGTCAATTTAGACAGAATGATATAGCTTCTTCACATAAATTCCCAGCATCAATGAGACATGGCAAGGGGTCAACTTCGCAAGTAAGTCAAATAGAGTGAACCAGTACAGTAACAAAGATAAATATATCATGCAAAGGTGTGAAAGAAACTTAAAACAAAATTAGGTGCGCTACACTAAAAATTGTTAAATATTCAATTGAAATTTATTCGTTTTACATAATACAATTTAACGAAACATATTGCAAAACACATTTACTAGACTTTTTTTTTTTAAATCAAATCAAAATCAAATTGTATATTAACGAGTCATCAAGGTTCTAAATAACTTGCAAGCCGGGAATTTCATGCCGGTCTTTCTAATAGATAAGTAAAATACTATAACTTTCTCACAACCTCACACTCCTTGCTTTAAGAATTAATCACATCACCGGTAAAAAACTCAACAATCAAGATTATTAAGGAAAAAAGGTGCAATATGAAAATATGAGATGAAGTCACTAGTGAATTACCCATCACTAGGAGCTTCCTGAACTGAGATGGAGGTCTTTTTCGAAGGGTTTTGGCACTATATCTCAAATACTAAGTATTTTATATACCAGTGGCATGGTAACACAACGATAACCTTCCATGACAGTGTGATAAAAAGAAAAAGTAACAACAGCGTGGATGGTTTAGTGGTAAAATTCAACTTTGCCATAGTTGAGCCCCGGGTTCGATTCCCGGTCTACGCATTTCTTTTTGCATTTCCGAAATCAACTCGAGAAATACAAAACACCTCTTGAAAAATGTTTTTGAACAGTTTTTTTTTATTGCTATTAATAGACAGACTTACAGAGAAAGGAATCAGAAAAAATGGTATATTTTTTAGCTAAAATGTTTCTAACTAACTCACAAGCACTAGTCTGAATTATAGTAGGATTTCAAGCTTATACTAATTCTCTATTTCAGCATATAAAACGAAAAATTGCTACTAGATTTTGAAAAAACATGATACAAAATTTACATGTTGACTATTGCCTTCTATAATAAATTCAAATGATCAATTAAGATTTTACTTTTCTGTTTAATCCTCCTGTATGCTTGGGTTCATATCAATATGCTGATTTGTTTATAAGCGGAAGCCACAGCAAGTTAAAAATATTAATGAAAACCTAGCTCCTCAATAAGAAATCAAACTTGGCATCATATTTCCAACTTTTTTGATAAAAAAACCGACCCAAGAATCATAGTGAACCTCAGATCCATCCCCAATTGACTGGTTGGATCCAATAACAATCCTGATTGAGCTAGAAGAGTTGTAAAGTTGCTCATATCTGCAAAAGCACATTAATTCATTTATTAAACAATTATTGATTCCTGACTGTAATTAAAATTTATCTGCATATTTTGTATATTACTAAGCTTTAACAAGAAGGTAAGTTCTCAGTAGGCCTCTGAGATCTTGATTGGATATCGTGTTGCCAAAAAGGTAACATAAAAGCTGATTGGACATCTTGCACGGTAGTTGTAGTAACATATGTATTAGCTCCAAATAAATGATGAGTTGTCGCAACTGAAGCAGAATCATAATCAAAACTTTTCGATACTCTTTCCATTGGGCTTGGTAAATTTCCATTAAAGAACACACCCTCATGATTGAATAAATTCATACTCAAAATTTAAAAGGAGGAAATAGACAGCAATCAGTTAATTGAACAAATACCTACACTAATATTTGAGATTTTTCTATTTCAGGAAGTTGGACAATTGCGGAAACTAAGTTATACTCAATGTCCAACAAAAGTCAAGACCGCATCACAATAACTGAGAAACATTAGATAATTCACTCAGGTGTCCCATCAGTATCGATATCCAAAATTCCTTTGTTGTCTTCATCCCAAATGGCTCTCTTATCCTTGAGACCCGATAATATTCCATGATCTTTACTATTTTGATCTTGATTATCGAGGTTTCGACCAGTGACAATCAAAAATTTCCCATAAATTTCAAATCCATTCATGTTATTACGGGCTTCAATAGCATCTTCTAATTCATCGAAATCAATATCAGCAAAAGTCGTTGAATTATCATCAAGATCCTTTCCCTTTCCAGTCTTAAAATATCTTGTGAGTTTTTCTGATGGTTTTATTTGTATAATATTTCCAAAGGGTATAAAAAGAGCATTGAGCTCTGGACCGGTTATCAGGATAGGAATATTTGTCACATGAATTCTATAACCTGACATTCTGAATCAATGCAGTCTATAACGACAAAGAACTCTATATATGGCCTGATTCTGTGGGGGGTGAAATATCGTGTTTTTTTTAGATTCATCTTCCTCATGGTCGAAAATTTGTGTGGTGATTTCCAACACAGACTGCGTTTAGCAAAACAGATTTAGTGACATTTTATTTTATTCCACAAATTAACAGCTAATAATCTCAATAAGCAAATAGATAGTATCATAGAGCTCATTAACCAAAATAATAATTTAAAATGGAACAGAAGATTCTCGCACATATGAACAAAGACCATAAACTCGCCCTCGAGGACTATTTGGTTGTGTATGGTGATGTCAAAATGGACGATAAAATATCTGACATCAAATTAAAGAACATTGAAAAGTCCCAGTTAATTATTTCTTTCAAACACAGAGATGTGGACTTCGAAATCGAAAAATATATTCCAATAGAGCCTCCAATGGAAAATGTTTTGAGTGATTCAAGACCAAGATTGGTGCAAATGGCAAAAGATGCTGCGGCTGCCAGAGGGTTTTCTCATGTCCAGATCAAAAAAATGGTGTATCCTAACAAGCCAGCAAATTTCGTGCTATTGTTTCTTGTAGGTAACTTGATTTTTGCCTTCTTTAAACCAACCTTGTATTATGATACTTTTTGGAATGGCCAATTGGGAGTCTCTAGCGCCAACCCTGTTTTGAGCTTTTTGAGAAAATACACATCCACTATTTTATATGCCACAGTTGTTTGTCATCTCATGGAAACTATGCTCATACTTAGACCTAAATTGAACAAATATAGAGTTCCAACTGATATTAGAATAGAATGGATTATTGCGGCTTTTTTTGAAGGGTTCGGTGCAATTAAAAGATTCAACACTTTGATTCCTAAAAAACATTGAACAACTTTAAAACTTAGAGTACTCGTGGTATCATTATATAAATTTAGTATTAGTAAACATTAGTCTCCTACAAATGAGAAAAAAAAATAGTAATTGACAAACTAAAAATACATAAAAGTACATTCTCAAATACATTCCATAAAAAAATCTAGCACATTTGCCACACCAAATACTGCCCTTAAAGTCTCACATTGCCCAAGTTGTGTTCTTTAATATATTCAGGACCCATCTCATCGTATTCCTTCCTGGTAATGAATGAATTCTTGTACGAGTCACTGAGTGACCATAATTTCATACCTCTCCATGCATCTATAATCGGCTCTTCAGCCACATTTACTTGTAGATTATTCCCGCTTGGCAAAAAGCTAGTAAATTCTCTGACAATTCTATTTTTGAAGTTCGCAGTCTTGGAAACCCCACCTGTTAGAAATATGTTTTTGATGATATCTGGAGTGACATTATTATCATTAAAATTGTAAAAATTGGACGACGGTAGTCTTTTAAGAAGCAAATTCTCTGAGATTTCCACAATTCCGGCTTGATCTAACCCTGCAATTGTTGGCTGGATCAAGATTTCAGGAACTTTGATTCTCTCCACATTCAAATGGATTTGATGTTGTTGATGCTGGTCTTCAGGATCAAAACTATACGCGCCTCTTAAAAATTTATGAAGGGTCGACTTTTTCCAATTATATTCTGAATTAAACAAATCCTCAGGATTGAAGCTAGGATCATATTTCAATAACAAATCTTCTAAAGCTTTCAATTCACTATTTTCAACCTCCAATTGCTCCTCATCTTCAAAATTAGCTATGTCTTTGTAAATCATCCAATCATCGTCGTTAGCCCCGAAAGTATCATTTGGATCATTGTCAATGGTAACCTTCTTCACATTTCTCTTTGATCTAGCACCTCCATTACCACCAGCACCACCATTACCCATTGTGTTCAAAGCGGTACTGGACGAATTTCTTGCATTTCCAGAGCCATCGGCCGCCAAATTAGCAATATTCTTCATTCTGATTTGAGCAGCGTGTGATTTTCTATCATTCAATTCCGCCTTTAACTTTTCACGCTGCTTTTTACGGTCAACAATTACCTTCAATTTAGCTCGTTTATCCTCAATCCAGCCGTCAAGATCCTTTTCTCTCCAAGATTGCTCTTGAGCTTCCTCTTCTTCTTTTCTCTTCTTTTCTATCAATTTTTCTTCTTTGGCCTTCTTACGCGCTTCATAATTGGCCTTCTGCAACTTTTGCGATTTCTTTTCTTTCAATTGTTCTTCACTTAAATCCTCATCTTTCATGTCCAATAAATAGAAATTTGGTTCTTCTTCAACTTCATTTTCTCCAATATCTTGATGTCTAGCTCTTTTCAAAGATCTTTCCAAATTGCTTAAGTATTTGTTGAAATCAGCCACATCATCAAAGCCAGCCTCACTTAGAGTTTGTATCATCTGCTTCTTAGAGATTTTATTTTCTGGATTCAATAACCTTTCCTTCAATTCGCTATAATACTTGAAATCTGCTTCCTTTTCAACAAGTTTTTCTAGTCTTGCCTTTTGTGCTTGCTCTTGTAACCTTTTCCCCTGCTCTCTTCGCTTTTCTTGCTGTCTAGCAATTTCTTCTTCAGATTTCTGCACTTGCACCACTTCATTGAAGGAAGCCTCAAGTACAACATCTTTGTCATGAAGATATTCTAGGTTCATTAAGTCATCCAACTCTGCCAAATAATCGTCACTAAAATAGCTGAAATCCTGAACCATTGTCTCAAACTGATGTGTGGTAATCTTTGTAGGGAAAAAAGGATATTTCAAGCCTATTGATTTAGATAAATATTCTACTGCTTGTTCACCTCCCCAGTTGATTCTTTTGGCAAAATGAAGTAGAGGTTTCGAATCAATTACTGGAATGATATTTGTACTTTGGTTACCACACCCTAAGATTAAACTCGACTTATTGGTGTTATTCCGGTTATTGTAGTGGAAAGAAAATAAATCAGATAACCCAAAAACGACACTGGGAACATTGTAACCTTCAAACAATAATTGGTACATGTTTTTCCTTTGAGATGCGGGAGTTGCCATGAATTCATTGATAATGATTGGATTATCCACTCCATCTTGAGAGGAAACATTCAAATGATAAAAAGAGTAATCAAGGAGCCATTCAGTCACATCCCAATTGTTTATAAGTGGGCCATCAAATGGGCTTTTAATTGAAGATTTGAATAACGGATCAAGAAAACAATCATTACCAACATATGTGAGCATCCTGTTAAGTTTTCTATCTCTAAACCGTGAAATTATAGTCGGCATGTTTAAAAAAGGAGTATCTGTATTTGTTAAGCCTGCTCTGATATTCGAGGAGCCTATATCAATGGCGATAGGTACGCCTGATTGATAATTATCATAGAACGGCTCAGGTTTTAACGAGACCCTTGGCTCTGCCAATGGGTGAACGACCGGAGGTGGGTAGTCACCACTAGAAACATTCGATTTTTTACCCTCAGAATTGATAGTCATTATAAACGGAGCACACAGAAGCCACTTTGGATATATATTTACTATATCGTAGATGCTTGGGTATTGTTGTGAAAGTTTGATGTCCAAATCCTGCTTTTCCACAAATCAGAGGCACATACACCGGGTAACCATATAATGCTACCGTGAGTTTGGTAGTTTAAAGGCTTTTGTTTGGAACTACATTTCATTGATCGAGGAAGGTAGTATGTAGTAGATATACCATTAGAATGAGTAGCATTGATATTTTCTTTTTCAAGCTCACTGATATTTATTTGCCCGTACTTTATGATTTTCAATTCAAAGGCACAAGAAGAATATTTTTGACAGATAAAAAAAAATAAGAGGAAGCGCAGGTATTAATTTCCTAAGGCAGTAAAACAGGTGGATGGCTGATGTATTTGTGTTGCTTACTTGTATTCATAGTGAATTTTTTTCATAGAGGCATATGTCTACTAGTACCAAAAGGAAAAAATTAATAGAATAATGGAGAAGACGATTAGATTAACTGTTGATTTCCATAATCCTCTGCATCTTGCTATGTTCGTGTTATCTGTAGGGGCGTTGGTGGTACCGTTGACAATGTTATGCTATGTGGGGTTGCAAGCAGTATTGGGCCAAGCTTATAATACTTTTGACCAAAACCCACAATTTCCAGTGGACCAAGAACATTTTTCTCAGTCTTCTAATAATGCTTACAGCTCTGAAATTTATTCTGTTGGTCACCACCAAGTGTTACTGAACCATCGCAAGGTTTACAACCAATTTGCCGCTTCTCTTTTCCAAAATCTTCACGAGGGAATTTGCAATCCTGATAACTCTACTGCATCTCAATTGACCAGGGACAAGAATGTGATCCCTGTGCATTCTCATAATGATTATTGGAGAACTTTGCCGGTATTTGATGCTTTTTCAAACGGGATGAACTCCATTGAAGCAGACATTTGGTTGAAGAATGATCCCACTAATGACGGCGCGATGACATTACTTGTGGGTCATAATGAGCCTTATTTGCAACCCCAACATTCGGTGGAGAATTTGTATTTGAAGATGCTCAATAATCTTTTGGATGAGGTGAATTGTGTTGGGGAAATTCCTCTGAGTGATTTTCGAAAGAATGGATTCTTCTATAATGATCCTCATACAACCACTTACCTTTACATCGATATTAAAACTGAAAGTACCGAAACTTACAAGGTATTTATAAGGACAGTTGTGGAAAATACCACTTTGATCAAAAATGGATACCTAACCTATTTTGATTTCTCTAAGAAAGAATTGGTGTGGGGTCCTTTGACCTTGGTGATCACTGGTAATGTGCCAACAGAGTTTATTTTCAAGGAAGAAATTGATGATCCTTTCAACCTTAACAAAAGAATTTCTTTTGTGGATGCACAATTGATCAATTTGGACAATATAAAGAGCAATAACGACTCAATTTCCGTCATTGGATCGGGGTCATTGAATGAAATCGTCGGTACAACCGGCATTAAATCATTTGGAGGGCTTAATGAGGAGGAGTTGAGTACAATGAAAAAAGTAGTTGAAGAGGCACATAATTTAAATATTAAGGTGAGAATTTGGGATACTCCAAACTGGCCTGTTCAAATAAGAGATATGGTTTGGAAACAATTGTTAGAGTTAAATGTTGATTATTTGAACGTTGATGATTTACTGGATGCGAGAAAGTTTTGATATTAACTCAGAATTTCAAGTTAAGCTACCATCATCGCAAATCATAAGAAATATGGGATTAATACAAAGCCCAGAAGTTTGTTGAACATCGAGACAACAACAATAGTGAAATCACAGAGGACTTTGCATACAAATATATCGAGCAGTCATTACTTAAAATACATCAAATAGTGTAGTAGATTGAGAGAAAAGCTTATCATGAGATCCTTTTTTTTTTTTTTACCTTTTTTAATTTTTTTTTGCTTTTTGAAATTTGGTTAATTCTATTCATTAATATAGCTTTTCTACTTCATATTAATAGTTCTTTAAACAAAGTACCAGATCTCTTTATTAAAATAGCTCAAATAAAATATCCCAGAGAGATACTTCCACAAATCATTGCTTTTGAATGTATTTTGTACAAAAAGAAATGCTATTTAAAATTTAGACCCCAACCCCGGGCAATAAATACAAAAAACAACAGAAAACCAACAATTTGAGACATCACCAACACAACGGTAAATCATATTGGCTGGAAAACAGAAAATGAAAAAGAAAGGTATTTTAGAGTCGCACTAGGATAATTATAATTCAAAACATGATTGATAATAATAGACTGGGGTACAATGGTGCCCAGTGTCCAATAATCTAATCATCACCATGTGACATGATCCGCAAAATATGTAAGAATAAATTGATAATATCCAAGTACAAAGTAATGGCAGCACTGACTTCTTCTTCAGGATGAAGCTTTCTCATAATGATTTGAGTATCAACAATGATATAAACTGAAAAAATCAAAGCACCAATGATACTGTAAATATATTCAGTAGTAGAGGAGTAGTTCAAAAACATACCGAAGAACGAGAAAGTGACCATGGCCAACAATGCATAGAATAGATAACCTTGAAGACTGGTGAAGTCATACTTGGTTTGTAAGGCAAATACTGTCAAACCTAAAAAGATTACTGATGTTAGGAGTACTGCATTAATAACGACATTTGTATCGTAAATGGTGGTAATTACGCCGACAGCATAAGATTCACAAATAGTGAAACCCGCCAACAATAACAAGTTATAAGGATATGATCTGCTTTTAATAAATGCAGCAATCATGAATCCCATGGAACCAACTAGAGAAACAATTAACAACCAGCTGTTATTATAGGCAAATTGTTTAACTGGCTCACACACATTGATAAGTAGCCCAATAGCAAAAGTAACAAATAATTGTGCAGTTAATAAAGTGTATACTTTTCTAACAAACATCTGTCTGATTGATAGCTCACATCCAGCAACATTAGTTCCGTATTTGAAATCGTCTGGGATATTGTCTCCATTGGCAGTGGCATTGTTACCAGCACCTTCTGGATTCAAGATTTCATCGGAATAGCTTGGAGGGGCACCTGCTGGTGATAGCGGTTCATAGGCTGGTTGGCTCATATTTTTCTTTCTTGTTCTGTTGCTTTTCTTTTTCTTTTTAAATGCTCATTCAGTTTGCCTTTATAATTGATTGGAAGTAATATGTGAAACAAATACAGTGTTTTCATTTTTTATTCGTACCAACCACCGGAAATGTTCATACCAGTGGCAAAAAATAATTCATACCGACCCCCGGTATTTTTCGTACCACCGCAGCGGGATTTATTCAGACCATCTAAGAAAAATAATTCATACCTTTGCATTTTATTTATTCATACCAACAGGAAATAAAATTCATATCAATTCCTTTCTTTTTTTAAGTGACTGGCTCTATAAGCCTCTAAGCTACTCAGTTTAAACAAATTATACTCATTTTTTCCATAATTCTGTGCTACTTTCTATAAAACCGGATATCTATAATAATATTAATAGTAGCACGTGATTACGGTTTTCAAGAAATGGGAACGAATGTATGGTAGGAGCTGTTCTCCATTTAAGATGATGAATTCCCACTTTTGACATTCAATTCGGTCTTTATATGATCACCAGATTACTTACAAAAAAAAGCATAAGATTTTACCATCAAAACTAAGTATGGACTTGAAAGCCAAGCTACTAACTGATGGGTATGTTGATGGCCTAGGTAATAGATTCTATGCTGAACCCAGTGAAATGACTTTAGAGTCTGAAATAGCACCAGTTGAAGCTTGCTTTAGTTACAGTGACTATAAGCATTTTGAAAAACCTGGTATTATGGAAATTGATCCTATTTTCGAAGAAGAAGAAGATGCTAAGATGGAAACAGAAATGAAAGAACGAAGATATAGAGGTTCGTACCGGTATTATAATCAAGCTGTCAAACAAAGATTTTGGCACTTGGTCATGGAAGAAGGTGTATCAGCTTACAAGGCTGCAAAATTAGAAGATATACCTTTGCAAACTGCTTACACATGGAAAAGAAAGTGGAACAAAATACTTGTCAATGAATTAAATGGTATCTCGAAGCCAATAAAGAAAAGAGGTCGTAAACCCCTTCTCACTGATGAACATAAGGAATTCCTTCAAAAATTGATAAAGGAAGATGCTACAGTGACTCTCGATTTTATGTTGGAGAGACTCAAGAAAGCCTTCACCAATGTAAGAGCCAAGGCTACAACAATCTATAACTTTGTAACCAAGGTCTGTAAGCTAAGTCTCAAACGTATTTCTAAATGGGCTTTGAGAAGAAGTCTGGAGGAATTGAAGAAACAGAGACTCGAGTGGGCAGAGAAGTATAAAGACAAGCTCGACTTTAGTCAAAACTGTATTTTCATCGACGAAGCAGGTTTCAATATCAGTATGCGGCGTGAGTATGGATGGTCTGCTGTGGGTGAAAAAGCAGTTCTTACTGTTCCCGTAACCAGAGGGCTTAATATTTCGTTCATTGGGGCAATTTCTGTCAAAGGTTGTATTGAATTAAAGGTCAGAACTCCAGTGGCTACATCCAATAAGAAGAGAAAACTTGATTCAGAAACGACCATTGACAAAGTGAGTAAAGGTACTACAGCTAATCACTTCTACAGTTTTGTAAAGTCAGTGATCCAGCAAATAGAAAATAACGAGGAGCTCAAAGGTATGAAATATTTGATCCTTGATAATGCTGCCATTCATAAACGACGTGATCTTCAGTTACTAGTGGCACTGAGTGGCTTGGAACTTGTGTTTTTACCTCCTTATTCTCCAGGGTTGAATGCTATAGAAGAATTCTGGTCAGTGTGTAAGAGTAAAGTCAAAAGATCAAACTTGAGCAAGAAGGAGCAATTAACTCCAAGGGTGAAAGAAGCCACAGAAAATATTTCCCTTGATAGTTACAAGGGATTCTGCAGACATGCTTCTAGACATATTGATCTCTGTTTACAACAGCAGCTCTTTTGAAAACAAATACCAAAGATGAAGAAAAAAAATTAGAAAACAAAATACAGAAAACAAACCAAAAAAAAAAAAGTAAAAACTATAAAAAAAATTACATAAAGACGCAACAAAGCTCCAAAACAAATTAATGAAAATTTAAAATTTTAAGGAAGGACGAAACCACTCCAAAATTTGGTTATGAGCCTTTGAAATGGTAAATGAGTATTGCAAAGGGGCTTTATTGGGTGTGCGGGTCCCCTATAACATGTTTAATAATATCAAAGATAAAATATTAATGAAAGCATAAGAATTTTATGCATTTAGTATGAATTTTGTATTCTGTTGGTATGAATAATTAAAGTGCAATAGTATGAACTATTTTTCTTAGATGGTCTGAATAAATCCCGCTGCGGTGGTACGAAAAATACCGGGGGTCGGTATGAATTATTTTTTGCCACTGGTATGAACATTTCCGGTGGTTGGTACGAATAAAAAATGAAAACACTGTATGCGTTTCAATTTGCCTCTTCTTATTTTTTGTGTCAACTGTATGATGGGTTACATGGGTAACCCGGATTTCTATAACTATTGTGCCGATTAATGTCACTAGGATGATAGTAAATAGACATAAAGGCTCCACTACGATCCTAGTTTATTGGCTTTTTTGTTTTTTTGTTATTGATCAGGAGCATTCCTCTGTACTTATGGCGAAATATATTTATGGAATATAAAATTTTGAAAATATTTACAATTTATTTAGTTTATTATTTCTTGCCCTTTCTGGTTTTTTGGGCTTTGTTCTTCTTGGAGACGGCACTAGAGACAGTTTGACTGCCGCCAATGGATTTAACTTTGGAATTATTCTTCACAATATTGACAAGAGATTTGAGGTCATCTCTCATCAACTTCCCTTGTTCTTTGAACTGCCAAGCAACCCCTTCTTCCGCTCTTAATCTCTTCAGTTCTTGTCTAACACGCTCATTAATTGCACCGACTTTGTCATCATAAGAAATCCCCAAATCAGCTTCTTCGATACTTTCCTTACCAAATAAATGATCAAATAATCTTCCATCACCCCAGAAGAAACCTTTTCTATCGGCAATCCAAGGAATTCTTTTATTGCCTTCTTTTAATAAAAACAAAAATGATCCCTTATCAGCGGTCAAGTAAAAACCTTCATTTGTGAAAATCTTCGTCTTATAACTTCTATTCAACATAGAGAGAGGCATGGTATGAATTGGGGTTGGTCTCCCTGGGAAGATTGGATGGCTGGTGAACTTGACCATTTCAACAGGATTATTCTTCAATTCGTTGCCACGGATTGGAATGTACCACATTCTTCTGATCAATCTGGCAGGAACTGTAAGGAACATCGCGGCTAACCCAATTGGAAAAGCAAAGACCAAAAGGGTCACAAAGTTTCTCGAAATGAACATCACCAAATTGTGCATTTCTGGCAAATCTTGTTCATTGGTGGAATAAATTTTCCAGGCAGAATTAGTGGCAGATTCTAAGAAAATCAAACCATAAATGATGGCTACCAAGGCAAATGCCCCACAAAAAACAAAATACAAACGGTGAGATTCCGCTTCATAAATGAGCTCTGGTTCAGTTGATGATTTCAATTTCTTTGCCATTGACATGAGGCTTGATCCTGGATTAGGAACTCCTGGTCGTGGGATCAATACTGGGACGGCATCTTTACTAAATGGGAATTTTGGGATTCTGCTCAGAACCGTGTTGGTTTGATCGGTCTCACCTGGAATATGCTGATTTACCTGTGATTGGATAATATTTTTGGAGATTTGAATATCTTTTTGTTGCCTTAGAGTAAGCTGAGGCTGGTCTTTATCATCTTTTTTCGTTGGTACCGTAGAATAGAGTCCTTTAGATGTTACAAGAGTGATTTGTAACTTTTGTGGTTTCCAAGCAACCGTTATACTAGGTTGAGTTCTCTTGAATGAGAATGCAGCCTGTCTTGTAAGACGAAAGAGACCTACTTTGTTCATCACTGGTGATGGTTTGAGGATGGTGCGGGTCACTATTGGTTTTGGCCTTCAGCTACCTGATGATTTTCACATATGAAGAAGAAAGATCGAAGGAAAAAAAAAGTTTCAATGCATAAATCACATTATACATACAGCATTATACATTATACATACAGCATTATATGTTATACACACACGTGACAGAGAATATCATGTGCCAAAATAACGGCACTGTCAAAAAAAAAAAAAAAAATTTACAAAAAACGTTCAATTTTTTTTTTGCCACTTACACCCCCTAGATGCCATCATCACACGTCTGTCTGTTTCCCTTGTATTGATACAGGTGCTTACAATATATTTAAATACAAACGGCGGTGAACAATTATCTATTTATCGCAACCATTCTCACTCTTCTGAGAGTGTGGCGTCAAACCCAATTGATTATTCCATCTGTTCCTTCTCTCATCCAGGAGCTTTTTGGCCGCCCCTACTACTTGAGGGGAAAACAGCGTCCCCCCCTAAAAAAAAAAATAAAATAAAATAAAAAAAAAAGAAAACTTAAAAAAGAAATTCAAATCCGACCCTCCAACTATTGCACGTTGTTATTGTGAGCGTCTGTTTTTCTAATAACTAAACCACATATTAGTACTAGTATTAATATTGACTATTGTTTGCGCATCCCTTGTTAAATAGTCATAACGTGTTACAGCCGTTCTTGGCCTCGTGGTGTTCGAGTCTTATTATTGTATGTCGTTTTTAAGTTAAATTTGGGGGAATCTTTTGCAATCAATTAGCTTTTCTTCCTCTTTCTTTTTTGCCTCCCCGATATAGTATTATTTGGGACGAATTATTCTTGACTTCACAAACGATTTTATTAACGAAACATTTTTCTTTTTCAATAATTATTTTCTGGCAGTTTCCTGAAATATCAAAAGATGGCGGCTACTCTACACATCATCCGCGCTTCAGATAACCTCAAGAGGAAACGTCTACATGAAGAGATTCAAGGCTTCAATAAGACTGCATATGATCGTCGGCTTCGGCGTCATCATATTTCTCACAGAAAACCAGTTGTTTCTCATAAACAACAAAATAATGAAAATTTCACCCCTCCGCCATCTCTGTTCTCTGGGGTTTCATCTCCGGAATCATCTCCAACATCATCTGAGCATTTGGATTGTATATATAATAAAAAAAGCAAGGGTATTGATATTATAACGGATGAACTTCACAGTTTTCCAAAGAAGAAACCAAATCAACAAGTGAATGTTCGTGTTGATACTGGGGTTGCCAATAACCAATGCATGAACAAAAATAATGCAAGCTTGGACAGCCTTGAATCAAATTCAGACTATATCATTCTTTGTTCGGCACTCAACCTACTTTATTCACTGAGACAAAAGGTAAAAAATGATATTGTTGAACTCAATAAGTTGAAAAAAGATTTGAAGGAAAACCCTGCCAAATTAAGATCTTTACTTGATGGATCAAACAATGAAATCCCATCAAGAAATTCAATTCTCAAATGTCCGATCATAGATTTCACAAACTATGGCCTTTCTTATAGGGATGAACAAACTTTTATACACGATGAACTCACTCGGGAAAATAGTGAACAGAAAGAACTTTTCAAGGTGACTAGTCCCTTTGGTTGATTAAGGGAACCTTTTCTATCATTTTACTTTTTCTTTTCTTGATTCTATTTTAACTGGTTATGAGTAGCCCCCGGTGATACCGGGCCAGGCGGTGGTGAATTTGCCCATTGGTAACAGTTTACATTTGTCTTTTTTATTTGTTTCTTTTTCTTTTTATGATGGGTGGCTAAATCTTCAATGTTTTTTGTCTGGGTTATCTAAAGTTTTCGGTTTATCTTATATTTTCTTTTTGTTTTTGCGTTTCTGTTTTGCCTTTCCCTATACCTAATATTTTTGTAAATATTTTTGATCTGGAAAAAACAAAATGATATAAATATCTTTCTAGAAGTTGGTCAATATCAAGCGCCAAAACCTTTCAAGGTTTTTCGTATCCTATTTCTATGTATTTAATTCAATAACAATTACACATGTTGTTCTCTCGTCTTTTAGTTGTAACACGTCAAGTAATCGGTTGATCTGGGTAATACCTGTCCTTTCTTTGTTTAGCACAAAGTTTTTTTTTTTTTTACAATACTAAACAGACACACAATGCTAAAGTTATCAAGTATAATTTAAGCATTATTGGCTTCTGGTTAGGCTAAATAATAAGGGGCATTTGCAGATTGATACATTCCTTTTCTTTGGTTCTGTGTTTTTGATTTCATTTCTATAAATCTTTTTTTTTTTTTTTTTTTGTTTTTTAGTCTAGTATTTAATTTGTTAAGTGATACGTGAGGATATCGAACAAGGAATTTACAGCACAGAACAAGACCAACCAAATAATGGAATTGGTGACAGATAAAACAAAATTATGGTATTTCCCACCGGATTCAGAAGAAGATGTTCCGAGATATGCCCTACAAACCGCCAAAGGTTCCAACGGGGAGTTTCTCATTTATGATGAGATTAAACTCTTGACCAACGAGGATATTTTGAAGATTCAACCATTGAGGGTGAATTCAGACCAAATGCAGGTTAACTTCCGAAACTCATCGATTGGCAGTGCCAATTTCGATGACGATGAAGCAGAGGATCATTTCACCAATTTTGTTAGTCAATGGAAGAGCGGGCTTAAATTCATTGAGCAGTCAAAAAGTGAAACCACCTTAGCCCAACTTAAACAACAACGTCAATTAGAAGAGAAAAAACGCCAAAAGATCCAATTATTCAAGTTCTTGTGCTCTAATTTGAAAAACTATATCAAACCTAGCGACATCAATGTGAGGATCATCACATGGAATTTGCAAGGAAACTCCAGGGTGTTTGAAACCGAAAGAGAAAACTTGAAGAAGTTATTGAATGTTCAAGGTGATTTGAATGATCCTAACATTAAAGCACCCGATATGTACATTATTAATTTACAGGAGACCGTGATATTAAACACTCTTTCATTTTATTCATCCCCTGTGTTGGTAAATGAATGGGCCAATTTTATCATTGGAATTTTGAATGAGGAGTTCACTGATGGTCGACCTTCAAGTTCCAGTAGTAATTTGACCGCATCTGACAGGATTTTAAATGAAGAAAAGGATTCATTGAAGTATGATTATTTGGTGGATAATAGATTAGTGGGTCTATCGTCGATTATTATTGTTAGACAGTGCTTGAAGAGGCAAATTTCCAATATTGAAGTATCGACTACCGGTACAGGAATTTTGAATATGTTTGGTAACAAGGGAGCAATCTTAATTAAGTTCACCTTCAGTTATGATAAAGACATTTTACCGTATATCACTGATGAAGCAACTGAATTGACAGACCAAGAACGGAAAGACATTGTTCATGGATATAAATTTGTGGTGGTCAATACACATTTAACAGCGGGCGAGAACAATCTTGCAAAACGGAAAAGGGAACTTCAAGCTATTGAAAAAAATCTAAGACTCAAGGAATATTTTAAAGACGACAGCTTCTATTTGGTGAACCCTTTGCTAAGTTACGACTATTTTAACAGTAATAGTACCAATGGCGGTGATATTGACCCATTCAAATTTAATGATCAAGAGACTATGAGGGATAATAGATTGATAAGTATGGAAGATTTGACGTTGAAGAATAAGGGGAATGATGAAACTTCAAAGAAAAATTCATTGGCCAATGGTGAACAATTCCAGGATATTTCATTAATGGCTGAACAAGGGTCTACGATTACCTCACCTAAAGAAACAGCGTCCAAAATCGTGTCGCCACTACTTGGATTAGCAGATAAGTTTCCTAAATCTCCATCTTTATCACTAAACGATGGTGCCACTTTCAAAGTTACATCTCCAAACATTTCTGATCTGAAAACTTCATTTTTTAATGACTGCTTTGTTTTCTTTGGTGGGGACATGAACTTCAGACTAGTTCCTTTGGGTAATGACTTACAACCGACAGACGCTACTGCTAATAATATCAATGAGGCAAATAAAGAATTCCAAAATGAGGTGAAGGAATTAGTGTTGCAAAAAAGAATCGATGCCTTGTTGGAAAGGGACCTGTTGAGCATTGAAAAGGGAAACTTGAATATTTTGGGTGGTTTCAATGAAGCACCAATTGATTTTATGCCAACTTATAAATGCATGGTGAAGCAAAATAAACCGACAGTGCCATCTTCTAGTGAAACCATCACTTCAGGAAGCATAAATGAGGTCAGTGAAGATTCAAACATTGATATTGAAGACCTTTCTATCAATTCAGGACCATACGATGATACTCCTTATGATTTTGCTCGTATTCCTTCATATACTGATCGTATTTTCTTTAGTGAGTCGAATATCTTTGAAGACGACCCGTCAGAATCTCCTCATGATTCTTCATCAAGACATATTAGGGTGAATAAATACGAATCGGTACCAGATTTCACTAGCAGTGATCATCGACCAGTCTATTTAGATTTAACGTTACAAAAACTAGACCTTATTGATTTTGATGAACGATACAAATTGATGAAGAGTTTTTTGAAAACTGTTGACTTGCAAGAGAATTCTAAGAAGCCAGTGGCAGAAATTTCTCCAATTGATATGAAAGTTCAAGATTTGAAAATTTTCAATAAACCGATGGAACATGAAGTTGTGATCGAGAATAATGGTAAAAAGAGATTTTCATGGGAAATTGTGAACTACGATCCTAAGAATTTAAATAAGTTTGTCCAAGTCGAATCAACCTTGGATACTAATGACGTTGATGACAAGGGTTTGTTTGAGAATTATTTGAAGCAGCCAGTGGTGGAAGTTTTTCCAACTCAAGGAACCATTCCAGCATTGGGTAAAATGAAAGTGAAGATTAAGGTGAATTCTGTCAAGGTGGGAATTAAGAAAATTTTACTATCGCTTATTCTTCGAATTATTGGGGCAAAAGATTTTTTTTTAACTTATGAGTTCATTACCAAGAACTCTATTTTTGGGGAGTCTTTGGATTTATTGAATAACATCAAAGGGTTTGGCTCGTCTTCTGGAATCCCACCTTCAATTTATGAATTGGTTAATTACTTGAGTAACAATTTGCACCAAGATATGTTCAATGATGTTTATGATTTCAATGGTAGCAGCAAGATGGAGCTCGAGTCCAAAATTCTCGATGATTTAGATTTATCAATAAGAGAGCAATTAGAAAATAGTGAAGGATTGGATCAAAACTATATAAAACAGACCACAAAATTCAACGGAGAAGACGAGACTAACAGTATTGCCAACGCAATGGTAAGAACCTTATTATTGTTACTCAATAATCTAGATGGTGGGATCATTCCAAAAGAATTTGCAACTTTTATTCTTGACGACATTCAACTACCATCGTTTTTCAACTTGAACATCAACAAGTTCGAATTACAATCAGATATCACTACTAAGGTCTTGGAGTTCTTGCCAGGGTTGAGAGCTAATGTATTTATGTACATTTCCTCATTCTTGACTCTTTACTTGAACCAATTTCAGAATGCTGATAGAAATTACTTGGCTTCTTTGTTCGAAGAGGCATTGATAAGCTTACCTGCTGATGCATCAAGGGCAATCAAGGGAAAGAGAAGAGAAGTTTTGAAGATCTTGATATAGCTTGTTTACCGAACAATTTCTTTCAAAAATTTTTGTGACGCTTTTTATATATATGTTCATTTCGGTGGTTTTACTGGGTTTTGTTTTTGTAGGATTAAAATTTTTGTATTGATGAATTATGTGAGCTGTTTTTTTTTTTTTCCTGAGCTATTTGTTTCTATACTTTTTTTTGTTACTTTATTCATATTCATATTATTTTGTTAGACATCAGCTCTAGTTCGAAGAATACACAATAAATCTTTTTACAAGTGGGAATTGTCATTATAGTTATTGAGCGTAATTATGATGGTATTGGTAATTGTGTTTTGTGTTGTATCGCAAACTTTGAAATGTTGAAGCTTATGAGCAGGTAGTGAGTGATCCACAACATCAAGAACCACCGTCGTGGTATGCCCTACCGAAGTAGAGACTTCAAACACCCAGAAGCCCATAAGCCCATAAGCCCACACACCATAAACACCAAAGAAGACAACCAGGTTGAGTGATATGCATGATAAGATAAGAAATTTCTACAAGCCTTTCCAAGCAGCAACAACAATTAGAAAAAGAAACAACACATAACTTGGAGCTCACCTTTGACAACTATGGCAATTATAAAATAATACGTCTTGGAAAAAGAAAATTGCATTGCTCATACTACCCTGCTCATACTAACTACCCTGAGAAAACCGAAAATAAAAACGGAGACACTCCTTCCTTATCTTGAAACATTTCACCACTGTATCGCATATAATTGCCAGCTACACAAATACATATCATTACACCTCCCCGGTATTACAGTGATTGATTGGAAAGAATTGAAACCACAAAGAAAGAAATCAAGAACCAAAATTCATGGATTCCGTACTATACAGAAACCCAATTGAGGCCTTAGCAGCGATTGTTGTGTGGGTTTCGCTATTCTGGGTTTTTGCCCTAGCTTTATCGAGAGTTTATCTGTACTTCCGACTTGAAAAGCCCATTTGGAAATGTTTCCTAATAGTCTGGATGGTTTTAATAAGGCCACTTTTCCCATCATTTGTGGTTAATCATCTGTTATTTTTTTTAGCTGGGTTGATGTGTTTGTTACTTGAAGAGATCAAATGCTTAATCAGTTTGCTTAGTTTTCAAAGTGAAAGGAAAATTGACTTAACCAAGACTCCAATGAATAACAAGCCCTTGAAAGTTGGTACTGATACAACTATTCTGTCCGGTGCTATCCCAGTCCTAAAGAAATTTTATAATGTCACGAAGCCCAAATCACTGCTGTTTTCACAGAAACAATCGCGCCATTCTATGCACCACCGTGGTCCAAGAAAATCCAAGAGCACCCCAGAAAGAAGGGCTATTGTTAAAGATTATCCTTTCCCAAGGTTGGATTTCTCCCAAGCAATAGTCAATATTATTAGGCGAATGGCAGCTGTGATGAATGAAGTGCGTGATTGCAATTTTGATAGTGATGAATTTTCGCGTTGAGGTTTCTGATAATATGACCCATGAAATTGCGGATAAAGCTGCTGGTGATGGGTTCCAATCTTTTCGAGAATTCAAGAAATGGATATTGTGGGAAACTTACGGTACAGAAACAGCTAATTTGTTGAAAGATAGGTCATTCCATAGAATGATAATGTCCGATGTATACAATAAAAAAACATTAATGAGATCTTTGCAATCTGCTGCAAATTCATTCTTTTTTTCTGATTTCTCGGCATATTTCCTAGTGAATTCATGCATTGATTCAGGACCTTGGCGGGCTATCCCATCTTTCATTAAACAAGACCTAATCTTCAGAGGCAAGGATAGTGATGATTTCAATAAAGTTTGTGGAGTGCTTTTCGACGAAATTAGCCGAGGCGAGTATGGCGGTTTACGGCATCTTTATAATTGGCAGTGATAATTATATTTGTGATACATAGACAGTATCTGAAAATAAGAATAACCGTTTTAATAATTCTAGAGATTTGTAGGGCACTAACGTGAAGATAGACTATCTTTGATCGCTGTGGCAAGATCTTCCCAAAAAACTCAAGCCATTAAGAAATACTGGTTTTAAATTCGATTTCTAATTGTAATTATGGATACGTTGCTCCCATATTACTTCTGTTTATTGTCATTGGTCCTGGAAGTAATCCTCGAATATTTCCGTCCTGCAATACCTCCAGTAGGAAATATCCTTTCATTTTTTGACTCGGGACCAGTTTATTCTTAATACACGTGACATAATTTTTAAGCGACCCGAGTCAAAAAGCTTTTCCCGTATGAAGCCCTGGGAGATGCCTCCCAACTGTTTTATCTACTTATAATAAATTGATGATTTTTTTTTTCCCTCATATCGGTGACTCCTTGTTACTAAAGATTTCCTTTTCTCTTTCTTGTTATTATTGATTAATAGACTAAAACCCTTCTTCTAAGATGTTTGCTTCTGCTTTTACCCGTGTTGCTCCAAGATTCAGCTTGAGAGCTAGCTACCCATTGAAATCTTCTATTGCTTTTGCAACCAAGAGATTCAACTCCAGTGCCAGTGATTTAGCTGCTGCTAACTCTCTTAAACAGGGCTCTACTCCATTTAAATTCAGTGCTGGTCCAATTGTCACTAAATATACCGAAGAACACGAATGGGTTTCTTTGCATCCAGATGGTACTGCCTTCATTGGGATCACCAAATATGCTGCCGACGCTTTGGGAGATGCCACTTTTGTTGAATTGCCAGAAGTCGGTGATGCCGTTGGAAAAACCGATACCATTGGTGCTGTTGAATCTGTTAAGAGTGCTTCAGAAGTCTATGCTCCAGTTAGTGGGGAAGTCACTGAAGTCAACGAAACCGTTGCTGAAAACCCAAACTTGTTGAACGAAGATCCAATGGGTGAAGGTTGGTTGACACAAATCAAGCTTGCCAATGTCGAAGAAGACTTCACAAACAATGAAGAATTGATGACATTGGAACAATATACCAAGTCTTTAGAAGAAGACCATTAGTTCAATCTTTATTGCAATTTTAATCTAAAATATAATTTATATTCTTCTATGTACAACTATAATATAACTTCTTTCATTAATACTATACGCAATTCCAATTATCCAAGGGTTTTTTGAAGCTTGGCAATCTCTTCTGGGGTCTTAGTTTTCAATTGCAAGGCATGGACTCCCTTAGTCTTGAGCTCATCATCCAAAATGTTGTAGATCAATCTATGACGGTTTGGTTGAGTCTTGTAAGGAGCAAACGCACCGGAAATGACTTCCAATCTAAAATGTGACTCAGTGGTATTGGAGGCCCCTCTAAGACCATGATGGCCAGCATGTTTGTGTGAATCATTGAAAATAACTAATGATTCAGGATTAAGTTTCTCGGAAATTTTTTCAGCAATGGAAATTTCGATAGGCCCAGGGGTTTCTGAGGAGAAAGTGATACCCTTTGCAGATAAGATCGAAGATGTGGACATGGTGGCTTTAGATATCTTTAAAAAGGAAGCTAACCGAGGAGACTTGAGTAGCAACTTTGGAGCAAACATTCCTTTCTTTGATTATACTAGAACTTTTCAGTACAATACACGATTAGGAGATATATGGGTAACACAAACTGCCAATGTCATGTTGGCTGATTTTTTTTTTGCTTTTATTGTCATTTCAAAATACTAAACGCACACAAAGAAGAGGGTCTTTACTACATGCTATTTGGACAAAGAATACTAACAAATATGCCAATTCATGAGGATGTTTATCTGGGGAATAATATTGATACCAATGGAGAATTCATAGTCTTCGATTATTGCCCTAGAGAATATCTTAAATACTAGCAATTTTATCCTATTTACTATGCAGTAGTTTAGTATAATTTCTATATTATATTCATAATTTGGCTGGGTAATAGCACGTATGAGCTCTCATGATCTTAGATATGGTAGCTCTGATCCAGATAGAGTGAATACACTCGTATAACCGTTGGTTTACAATAGACGGTGCAACCAAGAACCCTTCTAAACCTTGACGGGTTGCAACCTACCTGAGAAGTAAGATGAAAATTGATACTGATTGGTACTAAACCATTCAGAGTATTTCAAAGAAAAGTGCTGAGGGTTAATCAAGATCAAAATTATGAAACAGCAGGACGACATTCTTATAACCTAACTACAATAAGAACCACCGTGATAACAATAATGTGATGTGTGTACTCAGGGCTAGTCTCTAGTAGTAGTGGTCCCAAGGGGGCAGAAAAAGAAAAACGGCAGCGCGCGTCAAGAGAGTCACCCGGCCTCGTTCCCGACCTTGTTGTTGAAGTTTTTGTAAAGGTGTTTATTTTTTTTTTCTTTGATCTGGTAGAGATCACAACTGTTCAGAATATCCCTGTTAATAGTAGGTTCAATACCCAGTATCTTTCCCTCCGCCACTTTCTTCTTTGCTAATTGATACTTAAGGAGCTGTTAAATCCTGTCCGCTCGTCAATCAATTATACTGGATCAAAGGAATAAAGAAGATAGAATACCGTGGCGTCTTTGCATTTTGTCCTCGAGATTACAATTCTTGATAGATCAATACATATAACTATACTATTTAATTAAACTAGAGTGAAAGGATTTTGGGAATATAGTTACTCACAATGTCAGCAACATATGAACCAGGTACCCGTTGTTGGTTTCCTGATAAACAGCTTGGTTTCATCGCTGCCGAGGTTACTGCTAACGAGAAGTTGAGTAACGGAAAGATCAAATTATGTTTGAGCTTTGAAAACGGTAATGACCCAAAAGAGCTAATACTATCGTCTCTTGACGAAGATAAGGAAAAGAACTTGCCTCATCTTAGAAACCCTCCAATTCTTGAAGCCGCTGAAGATTTGACTTCGTTGTCCTACTTGAACGAACCGGCGGTGTTGCACGCCATCAAGGTCAGATATAGTCAATTGAACATCTATACATATTCCGGGATAGTGTTGATCGCTGCCAACCCTTTCCAGAGAATCGATCAATTATATTCTCCAGATATCATCCAAGCATATGCTGGTAAAAACAGAGGTGAATTGGATCCTCATTTATTCGCCATTGCTGAAGATGCCTACAGATGTATGAAGCGTGATCATAAGAATCAAACCATTGTGGTGAGTGGTGAATCCGGTGCGGGTAAAACTGTGTCTGCCAAGTTCATCATGAGATATTTTGCCTCAGTGGAAACTACTGATGATTCAACTCCAAATGTCATGAGCTCAACCCATGATCACACTGATATGTCGGAAGTTGAAAAGCAAATTTTGGCTACCAATCCAATTATGGAAAGTTTCGGTAACGCTAAGACTACAAGAAACGATAACTCTTCCAGATTCGGTAAATATTTGGAAATTTTGTTCGACAAAAATACAAGCATTATCGGTGCAAGAATCAGAACTTATCTTTTAGAAAGATCAAGATTGGTTTTCCAACCAACTTCAGAAAGAAATTACCATATTTTCTATCAAATGCTCGAAGGTTTATCGGAGGAAGAAAAGTCTGAATTATCTTTGACCTGTGTTGAGGATTATCACTACTTAAATCAAGGTGGTGATGCCAAGATTACTAATGTTGATGACAAAAAGGAATTCATGGATACATCCAATGCTTTGACCTTGATTGGCACTGGTCCGGAAGTCCAAAAAGAAATTTGGAAAATCTTGGCTGCTTTACTTCACATTGGTAATATTCAAATTACTGCCACCAGAAATGACGCTCACTTGTCCTCAGACGAAACAAATTTGGTTTTGGCATGTCGGTTATTGGGTCTTGATCCAACTGAATTCAGTAAATGGTGTGTTAAGAAACAAATTGTTACCAGATCGGAAAAGATTACTACAAATTTGAGTCATGCTCAATCTTTGGTAGCAAGAGATTCTGTTGCTAAATTCATTTATGCTTATATGTTTGACTGGTTGGTTAGTTTTGTTAACCATGATTTGTGTGCACCAGATATCTTAAAAAATGTTTCCAACTTTATTGGTGTTTTGGATATTTATGGGTTTGAACATTTCAAGGTCAACTCTTTTGAACAATTCTGTATCAATTACGCCAATGAAAAATTGCAACAAGAGTTTAACCAACATGTTTTCAAATTGGAACAAGAAGAGTATATCAGAGAAAAGATTGAATGGAGTTTTATTGAATTCAGTGATAACAGACCATGTATCAATTTAATCGAAGCTAGATTGGGTATCTTGTCATTGTTGGATGAAGAATCTAGATTACCAGCCGGTTCTGATGAAAGTTGGATTCAAAAGATGTACACCCAATTGGACAAAGCACCAACCAATTCTGTTTTCAAAAAGCCAAGATTTGGCGGCAACAAATTCGTGGTGTCCCATTATGCTATTGATGTCGAATATGACGCTGAAGGTTTCATCGAAAAGAATAGAGATACTGTCGGCGATGGTCATTTGGAAACCTTAAAGAATACCACCAATGAAAGATTGAAGGATATAATTGAAACTGTTGAAAGACAAAACGAAGAAGTTCAAAAGCAGAAGGAAGCTGAAGCCGCTGCCAACAAACCAAAACCTAAATTTGGCGGAACTGGTAGAGTTGGTGGGTTTGGTGGTAAAGCATCTAACCGTAAACCAACTTTGGGGTCTATTTTCAAGAAATCTTTGATTGATTTGATGGCCACCATTAATTCAACCAATGTTCATTACATTAGATGTATCAAACCTAATGAACAAAAGAAAGCCTGGGAGTTTGATTCTCTCATGGTCTTATCTCAATTAAGAGCCTGTGGTGTTTTGGAAACTATTAGAATTTCTTGTGCTGGTTTCCCTACTAGATGGACTTATGAAGAATTTGCTCAAAGATATCACATTTTGGTTCATTCTGACAATTATGTCGATGTTCTCAATGGTACCAAGGCAACTTCAGAAGATGTTCGTGCTTTGTGTGACAAGATCTTGCAAGCTACTGTTGAAGACAAACAAAAATACCAAATGGGTGAAACCAAGATCTTTTTCAAGGCCGGTATGTTGGGTTATTTGGAAAAATTGAGAACCAACAGATTACACAACGCTGCTGTTTTGATCCAAAAGAATGTCAAGGCCAATTACTACAGAAAGCAATATTTGGAAATTCGTGAGTCTATAGTGAGATTTCAATCTTTGCTTAAAGGATACTCTAGAAGAAAAAGAATTAGAGAAGAGATTGAAGAGCATTCTGCAATCAAATTACAAACTCTTTTCAGAGGCTTCCTCGTTAGAAGAAGAGTGCACTTGGCTAAGACTACTATCATTGGTATCCAAAGTGCTTACAGAGCCAGAAAGGCTAAAGCTGCCTCATTTGAGTTGCGCCAAACTCAAGCAGCTCTCACTATTCAAAATGCCTGGAGGTCATATGCCGGTAAAAAAGAATTTAGAACCTATGTCAAAACCGCTGTGTATGTTCAAAGTTGTCTCAGAAGAAAGTTGGCTGTTAGAGAACTTCAAAGACTTAAAGAAGATGTTAAGTCCGTTAACCACTTACAAGAGGTTTCTTATAGATTAGAAAATAAGGTCATTGAGCTTACCCAATCATTGACAGCTAAGATCAATGACAATAAGAAGTTGACTCAAGAAATTGAAGGTTTACAAAAGAAGTTGCAAGACAATTCTTCCAGCCGTGCAATGATGGCTTCACAAGAAAAGGAGTTCAATGAAATGTTAAGCTCAACCAAGACTGAATACACTTCCCAAATTGATAGCTTGAATAGTGAATTGGCTCAAACTAAACTTGACTTCAAGGAATCCGAAGGTAAGTTACAAAGATTGATGAAGGAACAAGCTGAATTGAAGGAAACTGTTGATTTGAATATCGAAGAATTAAACCAAGCTAGAGATCAATTAGCCAAGTATGACAATAATGAACAAGACTTGAAGAAGACAATTACTCAATTGAAACAAGAAATTATTGCTTTGACTGGACAAGGTATTGGTCAACAAGCTATTTCTGATCATCTTCGTGGTGGTGCTGGTTTCGGTAAGCAAGCTTACTATAATAATCCAAAGAACAGACAATCATGGGGTGGTTCTAAAGGTGCCAGTGCTAATGATGCTGCTGCAAGAGCCGTGTCTGTTATGCCAATGGGTAATAGAGAAGATGATGAAGTTAATAATTTGGCTGGCATTAATGAAGAATTATGGAAATTATTGCAAGACAGCAAAGCTCTTCACAAAGAAATTATTGAAAGTTTATTGAAGGGTTTGAAGATCCCACCAGCAGGAGTTGCTGCCGATCTTACCAGAAAGGAAGTTTTGTTCCCAGCAAGAATTATCATCATTATCTTGTCTGACATGTGGAGATTAGGTTTGACTAAAGAATCTGAAGACTTCCTCGGTGAAGTACTTTCAGTTATTCAAACCATTGTGACTGGTTTGAAAGACGAGGATGTCATTTCCCACGGTGCTTTCTGGTTATCTAATACTCATGAATTGTACTCTTTTGTCTCTTATGCTCAATCCACCATTATTGCTAATGATAGTATCTCCAATGAATTAAGTGAACCAGAATATGACGAATACTTGAATTTGGTTGCTGTGGTCAAGGAAGATTTCGAATCCTTGAGTTACAATATCTACAACTTGTGGATGAAAAAGATGGAAAAAGATTTGGAAAAGAAGGCCGTTTCTGCAGTTGTTTTATCCCAATCTTTGCCAGGGTTTATGGCCCAAGAATCTTCTCCATTTTTGGCTAAAGTTTTCTCTCAAGCGGCTCAATACAAGATGGATGATATTATTAGTTTCTTCAACAACGTTTATTGGTCGATGAAAACTTATTTCATTGAGGCTGAAGTTCAAAATGAAGTGATTACTGAATTGTTGAGATTTGTTGATGCTAATTGTTTTAATGATTTAATTATGAGAAGAAACTTCTTGTCATGGAAGCGTGGTTTACAATTAAACTATAATGTCACTAGATTGGAAGAATGGTGCAAATCTCATGACATCATTGAAGGTTCTAGTTATTTGGTGCATTTATTGCAAGCTGCCAAATTGTTACAATTGAGAAAAAACACCAATGAAGATATTGAAATCATTTATGAAATTTGTTATGCCTTGAAACCATCCCAAATTCAAAAATTGATTTCTCAATACTATGTTGCTGATTATGAAGCTCCAATTGCTCCAGAAGTCTTGCAAGCTGTTGCTGACAAAGTCAAGAGAAACTCTAGTGGTGCTAGCGATGACTTCTTTGAACCAGTTAATAACGATTCTGGTCAATTTGATGATCCATTCAGACGTGTTCCATTGAGACCATTTGTCAGACTTGAAGCCTATGTCCCTGCTTGGTTGAACTTGCCAATTATTAGAAGAATTATCGAATTGGTTGCCAAGAATGCTGCTGGTCAAGATAGCTATTTGATCGATGAACAAGGGTATGGGGAAGAAGAGTACTACATGCCAGAAGATGAAGGTCTTGAAGATTACAGTCAGATTGAGGTTTAGGTTCTATGTATAAAAGATTTTCCATTTGTTTTTTAGTTGAATTTTCTTCTTTTACAATTTATTCCAATTATTTTATACCTTTTTTATCTTACTATTTTTTTATTTTTTTCTCTTTTTGTCATTTAAAATTTAGATCACCTACTTATATTCTCCTTTTTCTTTTTCTAAATTTTGATTACTTTATATTTCGTTTCATTTTTTTTTTTCATTCCTATTTATTATATACGCTTTTGTCGAGTTTATTATCTACCTGTTTTGTATTATTATAATCCACATTGTTATTCCCCGAGTATACAGACTATAATTTGTTTTTATGGTCGCTGTTTAGTAATTAACGCACATTTTATACTGCACGCACCTTCAATTACTAGGGCGAATCAAATTACAACAAAATGTAGAGAAGCGGCTACCCGGACCTTGCAAACCTCACACTGTGAATTATCGAAAAAATAATAGTTGGCGACATGAGCAGTTTGTTTTAGTAGATGCCACTATCCATTACTAAAAGCATATAAATATTCCAGAATGTTGTTCCAAGTAGCAAGAAGATCAACTGTAAGTGGGATTAGAAACAGGGAATATCGTCATTTTTTTTTGTTTTGCAATCATTTGGTTATTTGTCGTGGATCAATAGGGCTGGGTGGAAGTTTTTTTAAATGAAGGAGGAACAAAGAAAACTCTGGGTATCAAGGAATTCTCAGAATATAATAATGTGAAAAATGGGTAATATAATGGGAATATTGATTAATAGAGGATAGAATGAAGTATAATTGATTATACTCATAAAGGTAGAGGAGCTCCCAGAGGCAGGGGGTGCGCACAATACAGAGAGAAAGAGAAAGGGAAAGAGATAGGCCTTGCTTATTTGGATTACTATCACCAGTACATATGGGAGTCAAGATAAGGCATTGAATTGAATAGTATTTGAATAAGGGAACGACGTTAAAGAAGAGAGCGAGAAAGAGACTGACAGAAAAGAGAAAACAAAGAGTGGAAAGATGGCATGGGTTATATTTCCCATTGATTAACTCAAATGATTGCAATCAGAAATGAATTGGAGGATTTCAATTTTTATTATTATATTCGAATTCCCTTATTATATTTATCTTGGATATATATATTGATCTAATTACTAACAGTTTTTGATAGGTCAACGTTGCTAGAAATGTTTCTGTCAGAGCTTTCTCCTCTGCTCCAGCCAGAAGAAACTTGATCAGTGACTTGTACGTTTCTGAATTGAAGTCTTTCAAGCCAGCTGTTGTCAGTGCCGCTGACGCTGCCGCTGCCACTAAGGCCTGGAAATTGCCAGTTTCCCCAAAGAGCCCAGAAGTTGAAGGTGATATTACCACCGACATTTCTGCTTACGAAGCTGCTGAAGTCGAAACCGAAGGTGCTACCCCAGCCGCTGAAGCTGAAGCTCTTGGTGATGACTGGTTTGTCGTCGAAGAACTCAAGCCAACCCACCACCACTAAACTTGATGAACTAAAATTTCTTTTGTGATCCAATAATGGTTGGGTGATTGAGCATTTCATGATTAAAAACAACAAAAAAAAACAACAGAAATGAGTATCTTTCTAACAAATCATAAATCAAATAATAAACAAAAACCTATAAATTTATATTCGGTACGCCATGGAGATCTAATTGATTTTTATAAATGTAATTATTTGTCAAAGATATAGCCACTACTATATTAGTTGTAAAAGAACAAATTGAAGAGTCATTTTTTTTTCTTTTGGAGTAATTTATATGTAGAGCAAAATGAGAATTCATATGAAAAACAAAGTATATATTTATATAAATACTCGGAAAAAAATAATAACAATAAATAAAATCATAGGATATCTCTGAATCCACGCCCACCACCAGCTTGTTCACCTTTATTGAAATCCAAGTACTTGTTATCACCAATCTTTCTTGGACTAATAATTTGCTTCATTAGGAATATTATACCGAACAATACGCAAATCGCAGCGGTAACAAGATAAGCAATACCCAAACTGAGATTTCTGCCCCCAAGAACACTGTTTGTGGTCAAGACAAAGTATTTCTTACCACCAAATATGCTGGTTGGATAATTCAATTCGATATCTACTCTATAATTACCATCGTCAAGAGTATCGTTGGTGTTCTTGCCCACAAGCTTCATGAAACTTGGCAACCCCGCGACTCTCATCCAATTTTGAAAGAGCTCATCTTGGGAAATATCTGGCATGTTCAGATCGGTGTACCCATTTGGATACCTTTTATGCCAGTTTGGAGGCGGAACAACGTCTGATGGGGAGTATTCGGTGTTTTTATACATATTAACATCTGAGGACCATGAAATTCCCGTGGTGGACATCGTGTAGTTTTGCTCACTTTCTGATCCTTGGGGATTTAACAATACTGGAGAACTGAAAGTGTCATTGAAGTAAGAGTTCGCAATCAAACCACATGGATAATAAGCTTTGCCTTCCGAATTTTTAGCCAATGGAGAGCATTCACTGCTCACATCACCAGCAGACACCGCTACACCTTTTAGCTGTGACAAATCATAACTGTTGGCGTATTCTCTGTGATTCTGGTAAAAATTTGTTAACTTATAGTACATATAAATAGGGCCATCTATCGAGTTTGGGACGGTGAATTGGATACTGCAAACCTGCGTGTCATAGCTATTATCCAGATCAACAGTCACTGTCTTGTTGGTGATCTTCCAAGATGGAGAAGTATTAGAAGACTGCTTGAAATGCTGGGTGTAATATTTTTTGCCGATTGAGTTGTAAGAGCTTGTTGCAAGAGAGCTACATTTCGAATAATCTATTACTATTTGCTGAACATTGTATGATGCTAGCAACATCACGATCCCCAATGGCGCAAAAATCACTGCTATTACCAACAACAATGGTAAAACAGATTTAGGAGTTAAAATCGGTCTAAAAATTGTCAGTAAAAAAATCACTCTCTTTTTTGCTGTCATTATTATAATAATGTCTCTTCTACTTATTATGATGGGTACTTACTGCCATGATTTCAATCTCTGTTGTTTGAAGGCAGTATTGGCAGGTTTTTTTGATTTATGCCTGGAGTTTTCATCCACTAACCCTGAGTCGTCGTCTCCCCTTCTTTTTCGCAAGAAGTTCATGATATTGGTTGTCTGTTAGCTGGGTATCGACTTTTGGACTAGGCTATGTGTTTTTTTCTTTCTGTCTTGTTTTTCATGCGTATCTCAGCTATTTTCGTATTTTTGTGATTCTAAAAAATCACAGGTTGCAAGATTACCCGCGCCCCGTATCAGATCTATAAGAGTAGTAGTATTCATTAATTAAGCAGACATAAAAATGAGCATTAATTTATATAACTCAGAAAATAATAAATATATCATACAAGAAATAATCGAAACAGAGTAGGAAAACAAAAACAAACAAACAAGAAAAAAAAAACTAAGAAAATCAAATCATGCAAATAAAACAATAACGTATAAAATGTCATCAATCAATCATCATTAACACCTAAAGAAGAAGAGGATCATGATGGTTCGGTAGAAGTGGCCGCCGCAGAAGATGAAGTGGCAAAGGCAACATGATTGCCCAAGACAGTAAACAATTTCTGCAACTCTGGTAATTCTTTGGTGAATGGCAAATCGAAAAAGCCATACGCAGAATTTGTTAACAATTCAATCAAGGTAATAGTAACACCCCATGGATGAGGTCTATGGACAATGAGTCTCTCCAACAAAACTCTGGTAATCAATTGTTGAATGGTGGACTTTTTATTGTTCCACAAAGATGATGAGCTGAAGAAATAAATTATCGCACAGCTGAACCAATGTGTAAGAGCGTTAGGATATCTAAGTTGGTTAACAATCGCAGACAAAACCTGGTATTGCAATTCGATAGAATCGTCTTGCAAAAGGTTAGACAAAAGAGCAACTTGTGAGGATTTTGGATTGAATTCTGCAGTGTTATTACGGCGTTCTTCTATAGCACTGATACCACTAAACAATACTAAGGCATTGATCAATTTAACATCCACATTGGTAATGTCAAATCCAATACCACCTTTTTCAATAGGAGCAGCTAACTTGAGACCAGCTAAAATTGATTTGAAGGCAGAATGGCTTGGAATACGCAAATAATTATCAACAGGCTTTTTCAAACCAGCCTTCAAGAGATCATTACCTGGATTGATAGCAACTGGTGGAATATCAACAATGCCTGGCAATTTTTCAACTTTCAAGCCACTAGTAAATGGGTCAGGCATAGTGCTATTCTTTGGGAATGCTGCCAAAACAATATTTCTCAACTGCACAAAGGAAGCAGGTGTGGAATAAGACAATGGATAATGGTATTCGACAAAAAACTCTGGATAATCATGCAAAATAACAGTGAAAATTCTAACCAAACCTTTGTAGATAACACTGATAATTGGTGGAACAACCTTACCTTTAATATTGACAGAAGCAAACCTAAGGGCGACAACAAGAAGCAAACTGAGTTTCTTCCATCCTTCCTTGTTTGGCAACTCGATAATATTTGGTAAGAACATACGGTGGGAAATCAAAGTGATCCAAGCAAAAGTGAAACCTGGGTAGGCAATTGGTTGGAAAATGTTGAAGAAATCAGCCATTAATAAGTAGAAACCTTTGTCAAATTCAAGCAAAGAACTCTTTTCCTCACCTTCTTCCATTTTACTCAATTTAAGGCGAACATCAGACCATTCACTTAGCAAAGTAGAGAAAATTCTATAGTATGGTCTTTCATTGAAGGTATCAGGATTCTTTTCATGGTCCTTGTTGAGCACCAATGTAATGATTGTCAAAATTTGACGCAAGTAAAGAAGTCTCCTTTGGGCATCGTCTCCCTGGGTAATCAATACCTTTATAATCAATTTGGATAACGCATCAGTTCCAACAAAAACATCGTTATCCTCATTTTTACTATATGGGAAGCCATCCTCCAAAAATGAGGAAACAGAAATTTCAGTGGCAGTTCTGAAAAACACAGACATATACTCTGGTTTAGATAAGACACCATTCTTTGCCATTTGATAAATGAACACATACAACAACTTATCATCCAAATTACTGTGTTGCAACAATCTCATCCATTCAACAAAAATATAACCCATTTGAGAGGCGACAGGTATCTTTTCATCGGATCCAGTCTTCAAAATTGGCACAGGAGATTCATTGAGTCTATCAACCAACTTTACAGCATACTCTTCCGTAATCTCATTAGATTTCACCAATCCACTCAATTTATCAATAGTGGCAGCGAAATCGGTTCTCAAACAAAATGGCTCTTCAGCTAACAAAGTTTCATTGATCAAATCGCAAGCAAATTTGATTACCACTTCATTCTTGCCACCGACAATGGCCTTGCAAAGAGATGCATCTAGATCAGATGGAACAATTAAACCAACCTTAAGCAAGGCACTCATAATCTTGGAGTTGTATTTTCTATCATCTTCGGCATAAACTAACCACCAGCTAGCATCTTTCGCAGTAGAAGGAGAAAGTTCGCACAATTTATTCAAAAGATAAACCAAGGTTTCACGGGAAAGAGTTGTTTCGGCAGCAGTAAATAAAGCATTGACAGTAAATTGGGCAACTTTAACGTAAATCTCATCACTAGCTGGACCAAGGTTTTTCGCACAAATATTCAAAATTTGGGCCAAAACATTCTTAACAGGATGTTCCGTTGAAAGTTCAACCAAATGGCTATCCTGACTTTCAGCTAAAGTCTTTAATAAGGCTTCAAGTAATTGCTGCAAATAAGCGACAGATTGGGCAAAGATGTTTTGAGCAGCAGCTTGATCGATTTCGCCTGCGACTGCGCCAACAGTGACGGTATCAACAGCTTGTGGGCCAGCATTAGATGGTAGAATTTGACGACCTGGGATCTGACCTGGGGTGCCAGCAGCAACTTGTTGTTGTTGGAATTGGTTAGGTTGTTCCGCAACTCTCATTGCAGCAGCTTGTTGATTAACTAAGCTCAATCTGCCTATCTCTTCATAAACTTGCAATTGCTCATTAGTAACACCATTTGGAGACAAACCTAAAGGTTGTGGATAAACAAGGGCCCATCTTGATATATTTGGAGAAACAAATGGTTGACCAGGTTTATCAATTTTATGTTGACGACGAGCAAAAAGAGCAGGGCGTAAAGCTTCATCCATTTCCACTGTAGCCTTTTCCATGGCAGCTATCTCAATTATTTGACAGGCACCATCGATATTATCACTAATAACCAGCATCAACATTTGCTCAATTACTTGAGGATCAGCAGTGACGACATTTTGACCCAAAGAATTAGCAACGCTTTCTCCAATATTTTTCAACAATAAATCCCTTGAAAAGACCTTAGCCAAGTATTGAGAGACTCCTCTGACTGTATTGGCGGCAGATCTTCTTAACTTATTTTCATCACCTTCCAAAGCAAAATCCTTTAGCACCAAAGTATGCGCTGTGTTCACAGAAATACTAACAGCTCTATCTACAGCAGGTGGCAAAACTTCACGAATAGCCCTATTAAAAGCACTTTGGAAAAGACGTTTCACGTTAGGATGAAGTTGAATGTATGTTTTACCGGACAAGTTATTGATGAAGTTTTCAAGCATCAAAGTTAAGTTGTTATTGACATCCTGGATGTTAGCTTCAGTAACTCCAGTTGTACTAATAGAAGCCTGCTGCTGTTGTTGCTGTTGCTGTTGTTGTTGTTGTTGTTGCTGTTGTTGCTGACGCAATTGTTGCTGTTGCTGAGCAAAATGAGCTTGTGTCAATTGACCAGGAATTTGGGCTGGGAATTGTTGTTGCTGTTGTTGTCTGAGTTTCATTTGTGCTTGAAGTTGTTGTTGTTGCTGTTGAGCGAGTAATGTAAGGGGATTTTGGGAATCAATATCTGTGATTTGCTGTAACGAAGCCAAAATATCACCCACAGGTTTCAAATGTCCAGAAACAAGCTCCTTCAACTCTTCCTTGGAATTCTTCAATAAACCGCGGACCTCAATATCACCGACCTTCAATTGCAATGCGTTAAGCAAAACTTCGATTTCAAAAGTCAATTGGAGCTTCAAATTGGAAGTCTTATAAAATTCAACTAATAGCTCAATAATGCTTAAAGTCCAAGGGTTTGGAGGTCTAAAAATTTTGCCTGAAACAACTTGATCTAGAACTTTACAGACAAATGGAATTGTAAGAGTCATTTTCTCTGCAAGGTAACCTTCAATCAACAAGTCTTTGAATGAGATATTATCACGCAAGATTGGTTTATCCCTGGACAAAGTAATTTTACCCAACCAAGAGCCCAAGTTTTTTAAATAAGCCCTTTCATTAACAGACTCGCTATTGTAGTTCAATAACTTAGAAATTTGCTTATAGGTCACCAGCAAAACATATTGTTCCAACAACGGAGAATTAATTGCTACCACTAAACTGCAATACAAATTTTGATAATTTGGTTCAACTTTTGCTCTAGAGGCAACAAGATAATTTGCAAACCATTCGAAATTACGTTTGGAAAGAGCTTGTTTGATGGCACCAACTCTTTCACTTAAGTTTTCAGTAGTGATATTATTGACAACAAATAAGATTTTATCAGAATTTTCTTCACTTGGTTCTTCTTGGGGAATGTTCTCAAAGAAATCAACATGGGTTCTGACGGCCTTAAATAATTCGCCCTCTTTACTGCCATCATTCTTTGAAGCAGCTGCATTTTTAATCATTGGCAGCAGTTCCTTTGTACCAATCTCACCCTTCACAGCTTGTTCCACAACTTGGAAAACCTTTGGTTGAAGTCTCAAACCAGCAATACCATACAAGGCTTCGCAATATTGCGAGAATTCAGGTAAACGAGGTCTAGCTGACATCAATGCCTGAACAGCAAATTTAAACATATTGGATTCAGGGGACTCTCTAGCACTTTCCAAAATAAAGCTCAAAGCAAGGGATAAAGTCACACCATCAATTAACCGATAGTTGATCAATGAACCAAACAATATGGAAGTCTTTTGTAATGCATCAATTGGATATTCTCTGAAAAATCTATATTCATCCAATAAGGAGTGGATCATACAAGCAAATACATCTTGCTGATAAGGGACATTTGAATCTTTCAAAGATTGCAAGATTTTAACCACCTCAGTGATTTCCATGGCTCCATTATACATTCTTTGATAATAATTCTTCATTTCAGATTCGACTTGCAAAGGGAATGTATTAGTCGATTGATTATTAACAACGTTTGCTAGAATAGCTTCATCATGGCCATAGCCAAAGTTGATTAACCTTGGATACGCTGATAAACATTGTTTTTGAACTGCCCTTGCTTCAGAAAGTTGTTGAGCCGAAATATCTTTGTAATCACCAACAAACGTCAACAATTCATGAACAAACACTAAACTTAAAGAATTATGGGCAGGGTCAGTTTGGCCTGTTTGGGAGTAATCATATTCACTTTTGGCTTCACTAAGCAAAAATAGAAGTAATTCAGTTAAAGCTTCACCCTGGAGTTGTGGATTGGCGCTAAAGTAATTACGAACTAGTGGAATGAAATTATTCCATCCCTGATGGACTGCTTTTGTGGCAAAACTCAACCAGAGTCTAAAATTTTGAATCGATTTGGCCGAATTAGTCAACAAGCCTTCCATCATGTTAAGTTGTAATAAATATGGGACCATCTTATCCACATTGACTTCCTTCTGGTTCAAATAATGAGATAAAACCGTCAAAAATTGATTTGGGTCAGATTCAGAGAACTTTTTCAACGCCACTGGCAAGTAAACAGAGCCATCCTGCAACCATGCGAGTAAAAGGCTTTCCAACAATTCCAAGGAGTTTGCATTTCTAGGGGTATTCAAAATGGTAAATACAATACATTCTGAATGTTGCTTCACATCACTATTAAACAATTCACTCATTTCTGGTGGCAACTCAGTTCCTGGAGTAAGCACCGAATTGAGGAAGAATTTAGTTACATTGAGGAAACGCATTATAGTGTTGGAAGAAATTGTCAACAAATTTGGTGGAAGGAATGGGACATTAGCAAAGACTGAAGCCAAGTTCTTGAACTGGTAACATCTATTCTCTTGTGTAAATTGATGTAGCAAATAATACAATGGCACTGTTAAATTCCAATGGAAATCATGTTGAAAAAATAAATCAATAATATCTTCTGATGGTAACGAAAAGAATAACTGATTCAATGATACCAAAGTTGGCTTTGATTGATTTTTGTTGTTTGAATAAAATTCATCAAAACTTTTTTTAACGAGATTCCAAACTTCTGGCCAGTTTGCTTGAGCTTTGAGCGATGAGCCAAGAACATTACGCAATTGCATACCTTTACTAGAGGCCTCGTGGATATTAGACGCCGCCAAAGCTGTAGGTGTTGCTGGGCTATTAGATAAATTTTGAGAGCCAGGAACCAATATTTCTGACAATATTATGGAAATAGCGTCATTAATTCCATCTTGATCTTGGATACCAGCCACTATGTTGAAAATATAATCCACAGAAACCAATTCTGGATTTGTTTGAGACAACAAATTCTTTATTGGCATTTTTGATAATTTATTGAATAATGTGCTAACGAGAGCCTCGATGTTTTGTGGGATATTGTTTTGATCTTCAAATCTTTTATAGGTATAATTTGCAATAATGAGCTTTTGACTGAACGAAAATACTTCTGAATCAAAATAAACTTTCAAGAAAGCAAATAAAACGTCCGGATTATCAAATTTGTGACCTATGAATTGTTTGTCGCCAATTAAATTAATTAATTCAGGGACTGATTTATCAAGAATCTGTTTCACTTCTTTTTCAAAGGAGTTGATTGATGACTTGGCAAACAAAGAGGCAAATAGAACTTTTTGTGTTTGTAATAATCTGGTACTACCAAAAAATTTTATAAAAGGAACAGATTCAAGAATGTCTTTATTCTTTTCAAAAGCTGGGACCACACGTTGATAGTATGATGGGTTCTCAGAGATGAAGTTTAATTCCTCAGTTAATAAACTAAAAATAGCCTTGTTGTTTGATTTTTCAAGTTTTTCTAGCACAACGGTGCAATAAGCAATCAATTGAGCAAGATATGTATCGTAAAGAGGATTGTGGGTCTCACACAAGTGGTGGATTTTGTCAAAAGTCTTTCCAACGGTTTCAACAGTTACTGTGGTGGCAAGAATAGAAATTTGATCAGCAACAATTTTGGTTAACGAAGAAGAATATTCTGAGCTGAAGATACTGGAGGACAATGCAGGAGAACTATTAGAACTAGTTTGTGTGGTTGAGTTGTTCTTATTGTTAGTTTTCTTCTTCTGAGTTTTACTATTCATGAATTATGATTTTGGAGGGAGTGCAATCCCAAAGGAGATAATTTAGGTGTAATTTTTTCTTTTGATCTGACTAACAAGACACGACGAATTAATACAACCTCTTTTGTGAATATTACAAAACTTGACTAGAAATTGGAATTTTCTATGAGATGAATTTTATTTTATTTCTCTAGTCAAGTAACGCACGCTGAGGATATGTTTTGGTCGATACCGTGTGTTTTGCCTTCTTTCTAGAGATACGGTTAATATTAAACACGAAAAAAAAATAACAAAAGTGGAAGCAAAGACAACCAACTGGGGCAATTGAGTTAATCAATTTCGGGAGGCAGATACTTACCTTTATAATCTAGTATTTCTTTTCAATAGGCACAGAAAGCAGACGACCTTGTTGAGAATAATAAGAAGAGACGATGGGTAACTAAGTGTGATAACACTCACTGTCGTCCACCAACAAAAAATTTGTGTTCGTTTGTTTTTTTCCCACTATTTGGGAGACGCCAGTGCGGGTAATAGGTCATTCTGTTAAGCGCACTTTAGAAGCGCCAATGGGCAAAAAAAAAAAATCTGGGCGGATGCTTAGAAATTCTTGTTTGACGGATGATCTGCCAATCACAACAATATCATAATAACCAATTGCAATGGCGTTTGTTAGTTCGGTAACTCTTTCGTACTGGCGTTGTGCCTTCTTGTTGACGATTGCCTTCTTGTTGATCAAAAGCCCGGAAACCATCATCTACAACACATATATACTATTCTTTGCCCATGTCTTTAACAATGTGGTCGCTGACACTTTAGCGGAAACAAAGAATCTACCAGTGGTCGGGATAATTGGCTCGCTACTCGCTCTCAATGCGCTCTCTGATCTCGTGGCGATCTTTTCTATTTCAAACCTTTTCAGCAGACCGCCAATTCTTGATGCCAAAAACATGAGAGATATTCATGAAAATGAAATTGCGAAATCGAGAGTCGACAACAAGGAATTGTATTTCACTTATTTCGAAAACTTGGTCCCTCTTAGATTGCTTTTCTTCTTTGCCTTGACCGGGTACAGTTATATTTCAGAAAATCCTCTAGTGGCCAATAATTTAGTGAGTACCTATGGATTCATTGAAATTTGGTTCAACTTTGTCATTTTCAATAATTTGAGGGAGGAAAAGGTGAAAAGATACAAGTCCGGGTATTTCAACATGAATGACATGCTTGACCGTGACGATGATTATTCAGATGAGGATGAAGTAGATGAAACTGCTGAACAAGAAGTGGAAGAAGAAGCACAAGAACAGTGATTGATTGATTGTTATGCATGCTATCGTCGCATGACACCTGCATCGTGGTGCAGAAACAGATGATTTTGGTTCCCGTTACCGAATATTTTTTTTTTTTTTTTTTTTTTCGTTTTCTCGTTTGAAAATTTATTGTGCCACAATTTGGTATTCCTTGCATTATCACCGTCGTATATAAATATATTGAGTCCCTACGGAATCTTTGAATCTTGTCGAATCTTCTTTTCTTTCAGTATTTATTCCAATTGACCCTATTGATTCGCAGTAGAAACAAAAACAACAGCATATCATGTCGCTGAGCCTTCCAGACTTCAATTCTCCAAATGCATCCATCCGTGAAAGGATGGAAGCCTTGATCCGTGAAAAACAACAGAAAATCACCAGCAGTTTAGAAAGCTTGGACTCTGGTTTCAAGTTCAAGTTCGATCAATGGGATAGACCAAATGGTGGTGGCGGTTTGTCATCGGTCATTGAAAACGGTACAACTTTTGAGAAAGGTGGTGTCAATATCTCCGTGGTGTACGGTAATTTACCTCCTCAAGCCGTGGAGAAAATGAGAGCAGACCACAAAAACTTGGGTGATGCCAATGGCAATGGCGTTAAGTTCTTTGCCTGCGGATTATCCATGGTCATTCATCCTCGTAACCCCCATGTTCCAACCACCCATTTAAATTATAGATATTTTGAAACCTGGAACCCAGATGGAACTCCTCAAACTTGGTGGTTTGGCGGTGGTTCTGATTTGACTCCTTATTACTTATATGAAGAAGATGCTAAGTTATTCCACCAAGCTCATAAAGACTCGTTGGATAAGTTCGACACAAAGTTGTATCCTGAATGGAAAGCTTGGTGTGACAAGTATTTTTGGATCCCTCACAGAAATGAAGGTAGAGGGGTTGGTGGGATCTTCTTTGATGATTTTGATGTCAAGGATCCGAATGAGATTTTGAAAATTGTTGAATCAATGTTCGATAGCTGGCTTGACGCTTACATGACAATTGTCAATAGAAGAAAGGACACTGCATACACTGAGGAACAAAAGCAGTGGCAACTTGTCAGAAGAGGCAGATATGTTGAATTTAACTTGGTCTATGACAGAGGTACTAAGTTTGGATTACAAACCCCTGGCTCAAGAATCGAATCGATTTTAATGTCGTTACCAACTAATGTCAGCTGGGTTTACAACCAATCACCTGAAGAGGGTTCAGAAGAAGCTAAGTTGGTAAAAGTTTTGCAACATCCAATCGACTGGGCGGTCTAAAACTGTTATTTAGACGAAGAAATCATCCGTGATAGTGCAATCAGTGCCTATGTCTATAATTCTTGATGTCTTGTAAATTTCTCTTATAATTTTGATTGATGGTATAAAATTATTTTTTCTTTTTAAGATATTTTATTTTATTTTAAAAAATTTACGTTCTGGTTACGATTGTTTTTATTTTTAACTTTTTTTTCCGACTATAATAAACAAATAATAATGTATTATTTTGTATTTCCTTCTATTTACACTAACGACAAAAATTACTCTTCAAATCACCCGCCTAAAGCACCTCTTTCAAGACATTGCGCACTTCGTTGACATAATCTCCTTTAATAACCACTTTCTTACTTTCTTGCATGACCTTGAACTTGGCTGGATCGATGAATGGCAAAGCTTCTTGCAAATCTTTCTTTAGTTGTAGGACATCACCTTCAACTCTTCTGACAATAGTTTCACGAATCTGGTTCTTGCGGATTTCACTATAAACGGGGAGTCTACCGGTAGTAGTCTTGGACACGGAGTAGATTCCTAATTTAGCACTGTGGAAGTCTCTAGACTGTAGATCATTCTTTGGGTCGATATTCTCAAGTTTTGGAAAGATTGAAGCGGATGGCTTTTGTGATGGTGGGAAAATTCGTTTGGCACCGGTTTCTTGAAGGTACTTAGCCTTGTTGATTTCGTATAATTCTTTCTCCAAATGAAGAGTGGATTGGAGTCTCTTAGATGTAATATTCTTCAATGCTGATCTGAACATTTTGGTTATTTGTAAGGTGATCTAACTAATGCTATGGTAGTCCTTCATCAATCTTCAATGGAATTTTCAATTTTCAATTTTTTTAATTTTCCTCATTAAATGGTGTTACCCGGTGAGTGTACTACATGGTCTGCTTGCTGCTTCGCATCAATATGAGGTTCAACCACAAACTACTGCCTTATTTCAATTAGGTGAAATGGCTCAATTATAATATTCAGAAGATGTATGTTTATTTAGCACAAATAACACTTCCCTTTTTTGATTTTCGTTTGTGTATCCATTTTCCAGCCAGAGGGGAAAAAGTGAATTATTATTCACTACGCAGGAAGATATCCATTACAACCACTACCTGTTACTACTTGTTACAAGATACCTTCAATAATTCAGACAAAACAATCCATCAGCAGTCATTGCAAGCCAGAAACAGCAAGCAATCCCGAGAATATACTTCAAAGCACCATTAAATGAAATTTGCCTACTTAGAACTCTAAGGACAATAAGGCAGCATTAGCATCATCACCAGTCAAGCCTTGCTTCTCATAATATCCCTTTACTTCCCCTTCATTTGTAAAACCTTGTTTTACGTACCAATCAACGCTTTCCTTCCAGCCATGACACTGGATTTTGTGTATGAATCTGGTTTTACTTTCCTCGACTAACCAATCAAGTAGTTTCTTACCAATACCATACCCTCTGTAAGCCTCCAACACTGCGATGGAGTCGATATAGACAAACGAGGGACTGGCATGACCCTTTTTGGTGATTACTCGGGCCTTGATGGCCGCGACCGGTAGTTCGTTGAAAAAGGCGTATTTCACCAAATGTCCCTGATTCTCTTCAAGCGATTCCTTATACCATTGATGGTCGAATTGTACTGGCAAACACACACTATTGATTTTCTCAATGACTCCTAAGTTGTTTGGTGTGAGATCGTCTAAAGCAATTTTGAATGGCATGGTCTCTCAATTATTATTATTATTCGTATATGTATTTGATTACGTCAGGTGAATGTTTCTAGTTTCCTCTTGTTCTTGCACGATTTAGCTAATTAAATTGACTGGTGAATAGAGGTGAATAAACATTTGGGTTGTAATTAATCTCCTGTGAACAGATGCTCTTACTATCAGATACATTTATCTATCTTCATAGTTGGTTCACATTTTTTTTTTCGCCCACAGCCAAATTTGGCGGAAAAAAAAAAGCCAAAAAAAAAAAAAGGTCCACGCCAAAATAGTAAATTAACCGCAGATAGAAGACAATAAAACCCATAAATCTAGCTAAACAATAGTTGCAAACCCTTTGGCTACCCTCTTTTTTTTTCTATTATTATTCTGCCTTTCTTTTCATCACCGCTTTTTGCTATATTTTGAGACTGCGTGGGCCCAACAGCTGATGGCCACTTTGATTTCCCGCCTATCACAATAATTATTAATATAGGCACTTGAGAAAGCAGTTGATCACATACAAACAGGATACCTGTTTATTGTTACATATCGAACTACTTCAAAAAAAAAAAAAAAAGACATGTTGGCAATAATACTACACTTGTTTTCTCTTCTGGCATATCTTATCAGTGGCCAACCGGTAGTTCACGATGCTCCAAAGGCAAGAGTAAACCAATATCAAGTAAATGAGTTGCCAGGCTTAGATAAGATCAATTCTATCCTTCAGCCGCAAATGTATGCGGGCCATCTAACTCTCCACGAATCTAACCACACCAACTACTTTTTTTGGAAATTCGAACAAAAATCGCAAAATACTGACAACAGTGATGGTAACAATAAATTGGTGATTTGGCTAAATGGAGGCCCTGGTTGCTCATCTATGGATGGCGCATTAATGGAGGTAGGACCACTCAGAATTACACCTGAAGGGGAAGTGTATTTCAATAATGGAACTTGGTTGGAGCTGGCATCAATGGTATTTTTAGATCAACCTGTAGGAACGGGGTTTAGTTATGGTGATCAATATCATAATGAGTTAACGGATATTAGTTTCGATTTTCTAATTTTCTTGGAGAAATATTTCGAATTATTTCCAGCTGATCTTAAGAAGGAACTTTATATTGCTGGGGAAAGTTATGCGGGCCAGTTCATGCCATACTTTGCTAAGTATATTCTCGATTACAATGAAGACCCATCAACCACTACCAAATATAATTTGAAAGGGATCCTTATTGGTAATGGGTGGATTTCTGCTAGTTACACTGGTTTATCGTACATTCCATTTGCCTTGGAGTCGGGGATCATCACCGGTAAAGAGGAATTTATGAGTAGGGTTTATTCCAAGCAAGAGGCGTGTCAAAATGGATTGAATACTATTACTAAAGACTCTTCACAGGAAGCAAAAAACACCGTTGACCATAAATGTGACGCCATCCTCACAACTTTATTGGATGTTCTTCATCAGCATTCGGACACCCTGGAATGTATCAACATGTATGATGTTAGATTGATGGATTCCTTCCCATCATGTGGAATGAATTGGCCACCTGATATCAATTATCTTTATCCTTTTTTATCTGATGAGCTGATTCAAAGAGATTTGAATTTAAATGAAGAATATTTCGAAAAACAGGCATCAGATCCTCATAATCCAAATAAAGGAGGTACATATTGGCAAGAATGTAACACTAGAGTGGGGATTACCTTGGTCAATGAAAAATCTTCTTCTTCCGAAGAAATTCTACCAGAAGTTTTAAGCAAGTTGCCAGTATTATTGTTCAATGGTGACAAGGATATTATTTGTAATTACATTGGTACCGAAAATTTTATCCATGATTTGACTTGGAATGGTTATAGAGGGTTTTCTGAGAGACTGCACTCGGTAGACTGGTATTATAATGATACTGCTGTTGGTAAAGTATGGCATGAAAGAAACTTAACGTACGTTAGGGTTTATAACAGTAGTCATATGGTTCCATTTGACTTGCCAGATGTTTCCAGAGGGATCTTTGATTTGATGATTGACAATTTTGTCACGGAAACAAAACAACCACCAGCTGCTGGTAATGAGGAAGAGGTGATTGTTACTCCAGTTTACAATGTTTCTTCATCGACATATTATTACATGCATCTTCGAAATAAATCGCGATTGCAATTCCTTGAAAATTATTTCCATTTCAGATATCTCGTTTACCTTGTGACTATCGGGGTAATACTATACGGTCTCTTTTATTATAACTCTAAGGGCGTTTCGCATGATACTCCGCACTCCATCTTATCCAGGAAAAAGCAGCGCGAGGATACTCTATCGGCTGCCGCCGTTCTTAATGGAATTGGCTTATCATCTAGAAGAGTAGGCAAAAAGAAATCTGTTCAATGGGCGGACTTACAATCAAATGAAGAAGATACTGCAGGTGACCTTGAACAAAGTGGTAGCGGGGCTGATACTACCAATTTCGCTCCATTTTCTCAGGCTCGCTCGGCAGACTTGGCCAATGGAAATAATGAGTTCGGGGAAGATTTAGGGTTTAATCCACATCCATCCACTACTAATGATAATAACAATAATTCTCAGGATAAATTTAACTCATTTCTCAATAAATTTGGCCTCCTGAGGCCCTTCAAGGATAATGTGAAATATCACAAGGCTAGTAATTACGATATTGAAGAAGAAATAGAAATGGTGGATCATTTTGAAGGCATGCCATCTTCTGAAAGAGAAGCATTGAGAGGACCAGGAAATGATGAATTCATGTTGGGTGAAGATGATGCGGATTTCGAAGTTAGCGACGAAGATGATTTGGCATATGGCGGAAACAGAAAATGATAATTTCCATAAATGGTACTCTTTATTGACCTTGAATGAATATCGATTCATGATATTCAACTTTTCTACGCTTTCCTCTTACTCTTTTCTCTATGACATATATTCGGACTTACTTTTCTTTTTTCTTATAAACGTGGAGACCTTTTGTATTTTGGAAACATGTCATTGTTTCCTTGCTGTTAATATTCATAAATGAATTAATATTTGATTATAGATCACTAAATCTTCTTAGATCAATTGGATGATAGCATTGATAAACCTGACACGTGCCGGACCACGTGAAAGATTTTTTTTTTTTCTTTCTCCCAAAGAAAAAAATTCGAAAGCGAAAAATTGGAGATTTCAGATACTTTGGACATATTTCACTGTATATTATTTATATATATAACCAAGATATTACAATATGGTTAATCTTGCTGCCAGATTCCACGATGCCAAATGGCTTTTGAGCAAAGGGTACTCTCCTCTGGTGTATCTTTTCAGAAACTTGGAAAGTGGTCAAGTCATTTATTCACAATTTCCATATTTTGCAGAACGTCAAATCAAAAAACAATTCCAACGTCCAAACTGGCAAAACCGTCTCCCATCTACTAGAAAAGATATCTGGAGAATCATGTCTGTTGTTTCGTTCGACAACCACGAAAAAGCTGTGGATGCCTACAATGCGCTTGTCGAACTCAGACATTTGAGAGACGTGGGTCAAAAGAAGTTGGCTAATTCATTCAGAAAGAAGAACGAAGATGGGAACATCTGGTACTCCGCACAATATCGTCCAACTTGGACCCAAGAGTCGGTAGCTGATCTTACAACCGTTATTGATGAATTGAAGTTGGAAAACACCAAGATATTTTGGGAAGATTTGTGGAGAAAGGGTGATGACAAGTACTGGAACCAGGAATTGGTAGAACACAGACAACTAGAAAAATTCAGTCCAAGAGAAGAATCAGTGGTGTTGAAGAGATTGGGTGAGAAAGTCAAGGCGGAATTTGCCTTATTGAAAGAATCGCAAAACGCAGAAACTTTGTCGTGATTATGCGCGGTTTTTATTTTTCTTTAGTAAATGGAAGCCGAGGAGAAAATACAAGATTTCATTTATGCTTCATTTTTGTTTCTTCCTGTTGATAATGTTATATGTTTTTGTTTTTCTCTGTGATGTGTTATTTCGGTACTTTTTTTTTTAATTATTTCTTCAAAAACTGATATAGTACGTGCTCCTCCATTTTTGTACATAACCGATTTCCTGGTTGGACTTGGGAAAACAACCATAATAAAATTTTGTATTGTTATAAATCTCAATAATGTTAGAATTACAGTGTCAATGGCGAAAAAACATTAATGCTAAAGAGACCAAAGAAGAGGAATCTTCCAGTGTAGATAAGACCAATATTCAAAGACTGTACAGCAAGAATCTTTGAGAAACCTTGGCTGCTATACCTGATTCAGAAACCAACGCTGAGAAAGTTAGTTAAGGCACTACAGCTACTTTTTGATCTCAATAGCACTGTTAGAAATTGATTATTGGCCGGTTTATGTTAGGATAATGATGGTTTGAGGTACTTTTTCTACATCTTTTAATTAAAAATTACCAGTTAGTCTGTATATTTAATAAGAATACTTAATTCCTCTGTTACTTCTATTCTTTCGAGAAGTTTTCAAAAGTCTTCAGGTTTATCATAGCCCAATGTTTTTCTATATTCTCATCTAAATTTTTCTCTGACGTCTTTCTTCCTGTTGATACCTGTTGACCAAGAAATTCCTAAATCTATCACTTTGATATCAACCAAGTCTTTTTGAAATACAGTTGCATCACGTATATCACCATGCCCCCACACCGGCACAATGTATACATTGTAATCAATATATTTTACTGATGCAAATCAAAGCTGATCTCAAAAACCTCTTTCCATCAGACTCATTCTTAATCAAATTATCACCAAATAGCTTAAAATCGAATTTTCAAAGATTATACAATTTGATATATGGATCCTCGGCATATTTCAATTCTTCAGCTTTTTTAATTTCTTGTGGTTCAGCAACATTTTTATTGTCAGAGTAAACAAATACCATTTCGATAACGGTACGAACTAAATTTTTGGTTTGTTTGTTTTTGACTAAAATTGCGTACGATTTTATCTCACTAATAATGAGACTAGTGTAGTAGTAGAATATCTTTTGGCGAGTATTGGAATTTTTGGGTGAGGAGACGTTTAAAAAGCATCGAAAGTAATCAAAGATTTTGTATAGTTTATTCTAAAAACCTACGACAAGAGACCATATTCTGTTAGGCTTGCCTCCAATTTTCATGCACGTCTTTTTTGAGTGCCTCAACACACGGACCTTCAATAAAATCAATCTCCCCTTCCTTGATAATATCAAAAGCAAAATTGAAATAATCATATATCAAAGCTCTGTTAATGAAGTTACCGGCATATTTTTGTTGTGTTAATGTAGCTCAAAATATTTACCAAATATTTTCCCAAAAAACGATCTTGCAATCTCATCTCTCTTGGCCAATTCTGGCCGCGATTTCTTCGTTTCCAGTGCTGTTTCCATGAGCCTGAGGATTCCCCCACCAATAGGTCTTCGGAAGGTTTCAACGATTTCACATGTACTTACTTTATCAGCCGCAAATTTGAAAAACTTTCGCGCGCAATTTGTCAAAATTCATGAGAAAAAGGGACGATCCATCGACCGATATACCAGTGAGAGCCTTTGAACATAAAATCTGAATTATCAATTGATTAATACTTCTCATAAACTCAAATGTTTTCATGTTGAAACCGAAAAACCTGGGCAAGCATTCTCTGCAGCTGTTATATTCTTCACTAAACTTCTTGAAGCTTTCCGAAAGACAGCATGATGGTTTATATTTAAAATTTTGCAGCCTAATCAACAGGGAAACTTCCTTCATCTGGTGAAATTTTCTCTTTTCCTTTTCCGGTTCTATTTAGTGGATTCTGACCAGGGTGGCTCAGTGATTGCTTTCTCTTTCCCATTTTTGGGGACAAATTTTTTTCTTCTCTGTTTTGAAGGAGGTTTTCGCAGATGGAGAGTCTTTCAGATATTTTATAGCATGTATTTTCCAATAGTTTTTAGATATATTTTGTGATTTATGATGAAATAGAGTGAAGTAACTTTGAGAGAGGGTGGATAATTAATTGAGACGAATAAACCACGGTTTTGGATCCTGCAGACACAAAAGAGAAGGAAGTGAGCTATTATCATCATTATGACGGGAAAACTAATCTTTTTGACCTTCTCTAGTCAAATGTAGTCGAGGTTTCCTTGGATTCTCAGTGCTTTTAAACCACATTCAGGTTTCAGGTCTAGCGATTGTTTGGCTCTTCAGTTTATTCGCTCGTTTCCCTAGTGATTCGAATAAGAAAGAGAGAATTTAGCTGCATCCACATCATCTAACACTAAGGTGACCACCATCCATCTTGCCCCCCTCCAATAAAAAAAAAAAAAAAAGAAGACAATAAATATAAGTTGGAAATTGCGGTTATAAACAAAGCGTGGAAGGAAGGTTACGACCCCCCTGCAAGCGCCATCACCCGGCCTTGCCAACACCCACCCAGAACAGAGAATCGAACGGTACAGCAGCAGCAGCAGCAGTGGGGGATCGTACATTTTTTTCGTTTAAAAAACCCAACAGTGTGGAAAGAATTCTTTGGGTTCTTCTTCTTAATTATCGCCCCATTGGTGAATATATCATACAATTTCTAACAACAAATAACAACAATAACAACAAAAATGGTTGCTCCTGTCTATATCGTTTCTGCCTCCAGAACTCCAATTGGTTCTTTCCAAAGCTCGTTGTCTTCTCTCAGCTTTGTTGATTTGGGTGCCCACGCTGTCAAGGGCGCTTTGGAAAAAGTCCCAGAGATCAAGCCTGAAGATGTCGAAGAAATCGTTTTCGGTAACGTTCTCCAGGCCAATGTTGGTCAAAACCCTGCCAGACAAGTCGGTTTGAATGCTGGTCTCAGCAAGAAGGTTGTGGCCACCACCATTAACAAGGTCTGTGCCTCCGGTACCAAATCGATTATTGTTGGTGCCCAAACCATTTTGTGTGGATCCGCTGACATCGTCATTGCCGGTGGGGCTGAATCCATGAGTAACACTCCACATTACCTTGCCAACTCAAGAACTGGTAACAAGTTTGGTAACGGTACTTTGATCGACGGTATTCAAAGAGATGGTTTGTTCGACGCTTACGATGGTCAAGCCATGGGGGTTGCTGCCGAAAAATGTGCCAAGGACTACGAATTCTCCAGAGACGACCAAGACAACTACGCCGTTGACTCTTACAAGAAGGCCCAACAAGCACATGCCGACGGTAAGTTCAAGGACGAAATCTCTCCAGTCACCATCAAGGGTTTCAGAGGTAAGCCAGACACCGTTGTCTCTGTCGATGAAGAATCTACTAGATTGAACGAAGGTAAATTGAGAAGTGCTAGACCAGTATTCGCCAAGGAAAACGGTACTGTGACTGCTCCAAATGCTTCTCCAATCAACGACGGTGGTGCTGCGGTTGTGCTTGTCAGTGAAAAGAAATTGAAGGAATTGGGATTGAAGCCAATTGCTAAGATTTTGGGTTGGGGTGAAGCTGAAAGAGATCCAGTTGATTTCACCGTCGCTCCATCCTTGGCGATTCCAAAAGCTTTGGAACACGCCGGTGTTAAGACTGAAGACGTTGATTTCTTTGAATTGAACGAAGCTTTCTCTGTGGTTGGTTTGGCTAACACCAAGATTTTGGGTCTTGATCCAAAGAAGGTCAATATTTACGGTGGTGCTGTTGCCATTGGTCACCCATTGGGTTGTTCTGGTGCCAGAATTGTTGTTACTTTGTTGAGTGTATTGAAGCAAGAAGGTGGTAAGATTGGTGCTGTTGGTATTTGTAACGGTGGTGGTGGTGCCTCTGCTCTTGTTATTGAAGCTTTGTAGAGATGAAAAAAAAAAATTAAAAAAATTATTTACCTTTTTTCATCTAAGTTTTTTGTTTCAATTTTTCATTTTTGCTCATTCCACAAAGTCCATTATTATTATTCATTATTAATCTTTTCTGCTTGTATTCCCAATAGATAATTTCTCATATCATTCAAAATTGTAAATCTTTACAAGAGACGTTAGTGTAACATAAAATAACATAACATAACTAAAAGTGAAGAAAAAAAACGTACATGTAATAATATTTTTGTTTATCCAAGAGTATATACATAAAAATAAATGAAGGGAATGGTAATAGCAATCACTTTGCTCATTTGATCTTCTTATCCTTGATCTTGATAGTTTCATTATCGACGAAAATACCTTTACCCTTATATGGTTCAGGAGGACGGAATTTTCTCAAATTAGCTGCGAACAACTTGACTTGTTGCTTGCTGATCCCTTCAATCACCACTCTGGTTGGCACTGGACTAGACACCGTCAATCCATCAGGAACATCTAAACCTTGGTTGTCGGAGGCCCCAACTTTCAACGAAACGTGTTTTTTACCAGGGTTAGCAACACTATCAATGATGGTGGCTCTGTAACCGGTCCCCACCAATTTCAAAATCGCCAAATGACCCTCAGTGACCCCGGTGATATTGTTTCTCAATGTTGCGGACACTGTTCCCCACATGGACCGCTGGATTCTATCGTCGGTATTGTTGACGGATACTTGAATCTTGCCAATATTGTTGTTTTCTGCCGTTGGGCCATTGATGTTCACGTTGACGAAATCTGGGACAATAAAACCAAGTTCCCCTCTTGGCCCCCCGATCTTGATGTTCTGGGATAACGTGATAGACTTGCGTCCTTTCAAGACAATTCTAGGATTGTCAATTGATTCCACTTTACAACTGATGTCCGGAGTGAGGTAAATCGGCGCCGACCCAATGTGTGATTGACGGAACACGGTGGTGGAAAACCCTCTGAGCTGCTGCTGTCTATTGATAGAGGTTATCGTTCTGTAGAAACTCATCTTGGGATGGGACCTGTGGGACAATACTTACTCTATTATCACCACCATCTTTTATCATCATCAATTTTTTTTTTTTTTTTCAAACCTTTCTGCGAGAACGAAAAATTTCTTTGAGATCGCGGGCTGCGAACCAGAGCACTACAGGTTACGAGCCTGCGGTTTGAAGCCAAAAAAAAAAAAAAAAAATTTCCAGAAATTTTTCTCATCGCCTGGATTGAATTGATACTGTATTATATTTTCCATTTGATATATATATTGTCATTATATTTTCTATTTCATATTTATTGTCTTTCTTTTAATAATTTAGGACACAAAAATGGTTAGAAAACTCAAACATCATGAACAGAAATTACTCAAGAAGGTTGATTTCTTCGACTGGAAGCAGGATCAAGGCCATCGTGATGGTGAGGTGATGCGCCGGTACCATGTGCAAGACCGTGAGGATTATCATAAATATAACAAGATCTGCGGGGAGATACGGAAACTTGCCCGACAATTGTCGCTATTGGCTCCCCAGGACCCCATCAGAGTGAAGCACGAACAACTTCTCCTCGAAAAACTCTACACCATGGGAATCATCAATGGTAAATCCAAGGTATCCCAGCTCGAAAACAGCGTCACGGTGGCAGCTATGTGTCGTAGAAGAATTGGGGTGGTTATGCAAAGATTGAAGATGGCAGAAACTATTGCGGACGCCGTGAAGTTCATTGAACAAGGACATGTGAGAGTCGGTACCGACGTGATCACCGACCCGGCATTCTTGGTGACTAGAGACATGGAAGATTACTTGACATGGTCCAATGGCAGTAAGATTAGACGGAATATTGCAAGTTTCAAGAATAAGGTTGATGATTTCGATTTGGACGATTGATTTTGTTTTGTTGGTTTTGTCTAGTTAGTTGCTTTAGATTCTTCATTATGTATTATTATTTTTTGCTGCTCTAATATATATATATATATATACAGTGATTTCATATTTTATTCCTACCAACCACCGTAAATGTTCATACTAGTGTAACAAATCAATTCATAGTTTTCTTCGTACTGCAGCACCGGGATTCATTCATACGATACAAAACTACAAGAATATTTCGTAGCATAATGCTGTAATTATTCGTACCAGCAGGAAGAAAATTCATACTACAATTATAAAGTATTTTATGCCTTCAGTATTCAAGAAAATTAATACTTGATCTTCAAACAAGCACCTAATGTATCTGATGGCCTCTTTGCGTGCTCATAACCAAGGGTTGTTCCGTATGAAGCTATTTTGTTATTTTTTCATTCCAGTTTTATATTTTTTTCTTAATTTTTCTTCATTCCATTTTCTAAATTTTTTTGTCTTTTTGTATTTCTTTTCAAAAGAGCTGTTGCTCGTTATTAGTTTCTATTTGCTGAATTACTGACTTTACGAAGACATACAAGTGATTAGCTGTAGTACCTCTACTCACTTTCTCAGCATTTGTTTCTGAATCAAGTGTTCTCTTCTTATCGGAGAAAGCCACTGGTGCTCTGCGCTTTATAAGCTGAAACGCCTTCTTCCATAGCTAGCTACCAAAATCTTTGTTGTACAGGTTGCCTATAGTGTCTGTAAGGGCCTCTCTATATTTCCTTGTCTCCTCCATTTCTTCAGTATTCATATCTTCACATTTTTTGAAGATCACTTCATCTAGCTCCATGGTGGTTGATTGTACTACGCTCCTATAATTACTATAACCAATCTAGTGATGACATAGTGGCACTGAATTGCACAATACTTGTGAGAAATCATTACCTTATGCGAGCAGACATTCTACCATGCCATATATTCTTTCCTATTGACTAAAAATGCCATCATATGTGTACTATGAGTGTCCGGTATTGTAGAAATAGCACCGAGTTCTGCAAAACTGAGTATTTTTTGATTAAATTAAGTAGCAAAGAGGCTTTCGGAAGCATTAGTAGAAAAAACATTGATTTGAATATTTGAAGTAAAATGGTATGGACAATTACAATGAAATGTTCTTGTAGTTTGGTATGAATGAATCCCCGGTGCGGTGGTAAAAGTACCGGGGGTCGGTATGAATTACTTTTTGCCACTAGTACGAACATTTCCGGTGGTAGGTACGATTAAAAAATGAAATCACTGTACAAGATTCTCAATCCGTCGATCAACATGAGACCAAGCTTATATTAGGCAAGGCTTATTCAATATATATAATTAAGAAACACACAAAATTATTATTTGTGGCAGTCACAAGAATCTACTTCTTCTTCTGCGGTCAGCAAAGCCAACTACCAAAGAGTTGATGGAGTATAGAATACCAGTTGTTCCCGAAAGATAATAACCCGAGGTGATATGAGGTCCTTTTGAAGTTTTATACCAGATGTTATTACAAATACTATTCGCCACGAATGCAAAGATATTAATACCTCCAGTGGCAATAACTCTCGTCTTCTTGTTGGATTTAAAATATTCTTGTGCCCAAGCCCAGTAAAGACCAGCAGTAGCCAAAGCCCACCCAGTATTACAGTACAAGAAAAATCTAAATGCTCTGTTTTCAGGATAAAGTGGGGTTGCTCCCAAGCAAATATTAACGACAAAGGCAACAATCCCAGATACCAAAATTGGTGGCCAACGTTGACCGCGAAGAATGGTATCTGATAACCAACCACTGATCAAGGCGACCACAGTTTGAACAGCATAAATTATCGATGCATAGTGGTCGATCTGGCCGATTGTGTAGCTTCCCTTCTCTCTCTTATTCCAGGATTTTAACCACAAAGAAAAAAATGGCGTGACCAATGAGGTGATATCTTGAAGAACCCCAAACAACCAGAATGCCCAAACTTCCCAGGTAGATAATGCCGCAAAAATATCTGAGAATTGAAAATGGTATTCATCCTGTTCTTGCTCAGGCAACCTTTTTTTCAAGTAAGCGATTTCTTCCTCGTTTAAGATAAAATCGGCTTTTCTATTAGATAATCTATCTGGGAAGAAAAAATATTGAGGGATTAGTAATCCCATTGAAATGACACCATCAATGATGAAAACCCATCGCCAACCAGCACGTCCACTGACACCGTTCAAGCCGTTGTAGACCCCTGAAGCAACATAACCACCGAAAAAAGACCCAATGGAAGTAGAAGATTGTAAGATAACCGCTCTTTTGGCCAATTCCAGAGGAGTATAATAAGTACCAAGGATGTAAGATAAGGCTGGATAGTGACCACACTCAAAGATTCCAAGAATAGTTCTTGCAACAATCAATTGTGTTGGGGTTTTCACCGCAGCTTGGGCAAAAGTGACAATTATCCATAACATTTCGATCAAAATGATGAAATACTTACTGTTCATTTTCACCATTAGAAATGCAGCAGGAAAACCAAAGATCATGGAAGCAATGTTGTAGCCGGTGTTAGCATAATTGTATTGGTTACCAACAATACCCAAATCTTCACGCAAACCATTAACGTAAGCGTACGTTAAGTTGATTTTATCCAAATATTTGACAAATGTCGCGGCACAAGCAAAGAACAACAATGTACAATCGAGTTTGCATATGATTTTAGCGTGTTTTTTGTCAGGATGGCCCCAGGTATCCCAGATATGTCTTGTCCATTTTGTATTTTCTAAGATAACTTCGGAATCATTGGTAAGCTTTGGGCTAATTTCTTCAACACTCTGAGAAACATGTATTGGTTTGGATATCGACCCTCTGTCCTCTATGCTATGCACAGTGGAAACCATAATATTGGTATTGATATCAAGTTATATGTATGTGTAGTGAGATTTTTGAGAAAGAAAAATAAGGAGCGGCTGACTCCAAGGATAAACTTGACATTTATATTCAATTATTCAGCCGTTGTAGATTATGTAAATTTCTGATAAGACCCTTCTCATCTGAAATGCACACCATATACACACACTTTAACATAAAAGTATGTGACATGAAGAAAGTCAATTATTGGTGATATTTCCGTGAAAGAGAAAAAAGGGCTGATAAGGCTGTATTTTTTTTTTTTTTTGACCACTTGTGTGGCTTACAGTACCGTACACATTATGAACACACAATTTTAAAAAAACCAATAGCATACATCTAGATCATACCTAGTTACATGATAGATCCAATGGCCGCAATTTTTTCTCAATAGAGGTTTTTGATGCAGCGTCACGTGTGTTTGCCCAACATCGCTCTCACCACAAATGTGGAAGGATATCAGGAAACTTCCGAAACCATTAGTAATTATCATCTATATATTACTTCCTGGTTTTCTTGTTATTTATGAGCACTAATTTATCCTAAGGACCAATATTTTAATTTATATATCTGCACAAATACACGGTAACATGACCGCAACTGATTACCACATTAAACATGAGAAAGATGGGTTCTTTGTATCCTTGGACAGCGTCGAGGTAAACAACTCCAGAATTGTCAACGGATACGTTTTCCCTCTAGTGCTACAAGTTTCTGCATCCGACATCACAAACAAAAAAGTCATTACAAGCCTAATATCAGAAATATCATCCAATGGCACATTCACCGATTTGTTGGCCAACCATGGAGCAGTGTTATTGAGAGGTTTTAACGATAACTCTGGTGAGACATTCTCCAAGTATATTACTGCTATAGAAAGTTCCAGAGGCAGAACTCCTTTTGAACAGATTGGTTTGGCTGGTAAAAGACATAAATGGGCCGAGAATGTTTTTACTGCCAATGAAGGTCCTCCTAACACCAGATTCTACCAGCATAATGAATATGCTAGGTACTTTCACTTCCCATCAAACATTCATTTCTTTTCCCACAAGGCCACAAAAAACGGTGGTGGAGGATCTCCAATTGCTCACTCTGGGGAATTCTACCAAAGAATTTTTCAAGAAATCCCCGAATTCATCTACGAATTAGCCAACAGAAAGTTGATCAGTGTTCAAGTTTATCCTTCAAGAACAACCCAATCTTCGACAACCAAAGGTAATGAATTCTATTGGGAGGATGAAGACTCGTTTGGTCAAGACATTGATTTCGAAAATGATAGTTTGGCTTTGAAAAAACAAAAAGCTGAACGTCAAATAACTAGATTGACTAACGATTTCTTATGGAATGAAGATGGTTCATTAACTATCAAGCAACATCTTCCTGCTTTTCGGACGCATCCAATAACTGGTAATACTGTGTTTTTCAATGGTATTTGTGGCAGATTCGGTACCTCAAAGGATAATAATGCTTTGGAACCGCCATATGTTGGCAAAAATGGTGGATTATATCTACCATCAACATATGACGATGGCACACCAATCCCGCTCAAGTACTTAGAAGTAGTATTGCGCATCTCCAGAGAGATTGAGTTTCTCCATAAGTGGGAGGAAGGTGATATTCTATTGATTGATAATTACCAAGTTTCTCACGGTAGAGAACCTTGGACTGTCGGTGATCAAAGAATAGTGCTAGTGAGTATGTGGGATGATTTGAAAGGTTTCAAACCAAAAGAATACATCCCCACAAGATCATAGTTAAAGATTTAGTTAGTTATAATTGCAAAAACTAAATAACTACCCAGAAAATTGAACCTTTCGCAGAAATTATAAAATCATGACTGTAGAGAAATAGTTGTATGTACTGAAATCTTCAGAAATGGTAAATGTAGATAAATAGGTACAATTGCGCACATTTACAGTACACTTATTTCATTTTTTAATCGTACCTACCACTGGAAATGTTCATACCAGTGGCAAAAAGTAATTCATACCGACCCCCGGTACTTTTACCACCGCACCGGGATTCATTCATACCAAACTACAAGAATATTTCATACCATTACACTGCAATTGTTCTTACCAACAATAAGAAAATTCACACTACATGTATAAATTATGTCGTGCGTTTAGTATTCAAGAAAATTAATATTTGAGATATCTAATGGCCTTTTTGATGGCTTGTAACCAAGTTTGTGTCCAGCATGGTTATTTTTTTATTCCAGTTTCATACTCTTCTTTGGTTCATTTTCTAATGTTTTTTTTCCTCTTTTTGTTTTCTTTTTAAAAGAGCTGCTGCTGCAAACAGAGATCATTATCATGCCTTGCAGCATGCCTGTAGAATCCCTCATAACTATCAAGAGCAATATTTTCCATAGCTTCTTTCACTCTTGGAGTCAATTGCTCTTTCTTACTCAAGTTTAATCTCTTGGCTTTGCTTTTATATACTGCTCAGAATTCTTCTATGATATTCAATCCTGGAGAATGAGGAAGCAAAAATACAAGTTCTAACCTACTCAGTGCGACCAATAATTGAAGATCACGACGTTTATGAATAGCAGCATGATCAGGAATTCAATATCTCAAATCTTTTAGCTTGTTATTAGTTTCTATTTGCTGAATTACTGAATTTACGAAGACATACAAGTGATTAGCTGTAGTACCTCTACTCACTTTCTCAGCATTTGTTTCTGAATCAAGTGTTCTCTTCTTATCGGAGAAAGCCACTGGTGCTCTGCGCTTTATAAGCTGAAACGCCTTCTTCCATAACTAGCTACCAAAATCTTTGTTGTACAGGTTGCCTATAGTGTCTGTAAGGGCCTCTCTGTATTTTCTTGTCTCCCCCATTTCTTCAGTATTCATATCTTCACATTTTTTGAAGATCACTTCATCTAGCTCCATGGTGGTTGATTGTACTACGCTCCTAAAAATAACTGCGGCCAAAGCAAGCTTTTAAGTCCATACTTACGTTTCATAGTAAAAGAATTACTGTAATTAATCTAGTGATCACATAGTTACCCTAAAGTGCACACAGATGTGAGAAATCATCGCTTTATATGGGGCACACCTTGTACCATACATTCATTCCTATTTGTTAAAAATATTATTATTAAAAGTAAGGAATTTGGTGGAAATCGATGACTTCGTCCAAAGTTGAGTATAAAACTGAGCTAATGGTGTAAATATTAGCTAACCAGTGGTTGGAAAACGAACAGAGAACACTGAAGAAAGTGCTGAGGACAGGCATGGTGAATAAGTACTGGAAAGTGTTATTCTCGTTATACCAGGCTTCGATGACTGGATCAGCGGTATGGTTAGTGTTTGGCTCTGGAGCACTGGAAAAGGTAGCTTTAGCAGCGGCGATAGCACTTGTGGTAATAATAGCAGAAACAGCCAATTGAGTAACAGTCTGGGAAGTGGTCGTGATCACGGAAGTGGTCGCGGTAGACTTTTTGTGGTAAGGCTTGTTTTGGGTCAGCATTATGATATCTTTGTACTTGTTCAAAGAGAGAGCGACTATCAGGTAAAGGATTCCTCTGTGGTAGTTAACGATGGTTTGAAGTAAGCGATAGCGTTTTGGTACGACCTCCATGTAATGGTTTAGTTGGGTAACATAGTAGTTAAAGTATATTAAAGAAGAATAAAAACTAAAAGGAATAGATGAAGTAAGCTTTTTATAGGTGAGAAAAGAAAGTAAGACTTACCTAAAAGGGAACTCAAAGGGAAATAAAAAGGTAGTCGGAGATAAAGAGGTTGTCGGAGATAAGGAATGGAGTTAAATAAAGAAGAGAGAAGAAAAGATAAAAACAATAAAAAGAAAGAAAGAGAAAGAAAAGTAAGAAAGTGTCTAGATCATTACATTACGTGTGTATTATAAGTATCCGGTGTTGTAGAAAATAACACCAAGTTCTGCAAAATTGAGTATTGTTTGATTAAGTCAAGTTAAGTAGCAAAAAAGCTTCTGAAACCATTAGTAGACAAAGGGTTGATATGAATAATTGAAATAAAATAGTGGGAATAATTAAAGTGTAATGGTATGAAATATTCTTGTAGTTTGGCATGAATGAGTTCTGGTGCAGCGGTACGAAAAAGACCGGAGGTCGGTATGAATTAATTTTTGCCACTAGTATGAGCATTTCCGGTAGTTGGTACGAATGAAAGATGAAATCACAGTAAATATAGCCTTTGGCGTGGGTGCTTTATCACTAAAAATTCGTGTTGGAATAGTAATACAGATTTTTAGGAACATTATCACACTTTCCTTAATCAATATTTTCCATGGCTTGTAATACAAGCTTGGTTTCATGTTAATCAATGGATTGAGAGTCTTATGTTACAATTCGATTTATTAATAATGGTTGTATCGAAAGAAATATTATTAATGACAAATTGCCTCATAGACGGTCATTAACAACAGTACTATGAGCACTGATCCTAGCTTCGTTAGTAATTATTTGGGATATAAAATTTTCGAAGCTTCAATAATGTAACTCCACTAGTAATGATTTTTTTTGTTCTGATTCTGGCAAAGAGTTAAAGCTTTTTATGTTGTTTATTTAAAAACTCTCGATGAGCAATTTGAGTTCATCATATTAACAGGGACGAAAACGCAATCAAGCTTCTTCACATCAATCTTCTTTCTTTTTGCTTATCTTCCAACATCACTCTAATCATCACTCGATAAAGTGGCATAGAAGTGTGTAAACTAAGATTGATTTCGCAAAGAAAAAGGTTATTTTGGCCATTAAACCACATTTAATGGATAAATATACCTGATTTATTTGGTTAGTCTCTGGCGATCCTTATCTCGGAACGAGTGATGATATTGCAGTTGATCTGTTATAATTTGACGTATTAATCGATTGTACACGTGACTACCAATGCAGGGTCCAAAAATGTGGGGGAGTCCTTAATTTTCATTACAGGAAATTTTTTCATCCTTTCTCATCTCTCTTCCCACTCTCTCAAACTCACTTCACTCTATTTTTTTATCAATCGCACGATATATCAAAATCATCAACAAACAAATAATAAGTAATATCTGAAAATCTTGCTATATATATATATATATATATCTATGTGAAGCAAAGAAATCTCTTCCAAGATTTAGAAAAAAAGTATTTGATCAATTGATCCTGAAATTGGAAAGAACAAGGCCTCCAATGAGCATTCCTAGTCAGCATACAAGAAAAAAAGCCAGAAAAGCGAAAGAGAAGATTACTCCAGGTATGGAAGAAGCTCCTTCCTCGGACCAAGGAGATGAATCTTTAAAATCGGAAAAATCGTTAAAGTCTGCATTTGATGAGTTCAAAAATGAATTGGAAAAAGGCTCTCTTGCTGGAAACAGTTTTGATTTTTCAACTCTAGGTGCTACTGGGTATCTTCGTGAACGAGCTGTCAGAAATTTTCTTAAAAGTTTAAGCTTCTCTACGATGCCAATTTTTGGAATCTTTGCTACCTTAAACTTTGTCTTCAAGAGCAGCTTATTCGCAAAAAGGGCGGGGGAGAGGAAAAACGAAGAAAAACAACCAAAAAACATAAGATCAGGCTCCAATCAAAATGCAAGAACAGGAAGTGATGAACGACTAGGAACCAGTATGAGATCAGTAGAAAATTACAGTAATGAAAGAACTGCCGACTCAAAACTTCCTATGTTCTATTTTAGGCCATCTGTTGCCACGGAATGGTTGTGCCAAGTTGAAGTAATTGAGGTCCCAAAGAATTTCAACTTTTTCTTCCACTTTCTGGGGACTGTTATTTTTTATGAGACAATTAGCGGAATTCGCTCAAAGAAAAAATTGGAAACTTTTTTTTTTTTTTTTTCGACAACATATGTGCAGTTTTCCAACTGGTTATTCTGAATGATTTTAAATTGAAGCCGGTACAACAGTACTCATTCCCAATTGAAGGAAATGTTGTTGTGAAGCCTGATATTATGATTAAGTATAAAGAAATAGGGGAGGAGGAGGATGATGAATATATAACATGTGTCGAGCTTAAATATAGACTACAATACTCACTTTCAGAAAGCTTCAAGCAGTTTAAAACAGAATATGAATTATACAAAGGACACTTGCCACGGTTTGTTGGTTTCGGTCCAAAAGAATTCACGTTCGTGAGGAGTATTAATCAACTAATAATTCAAATTTTATGCACAAGGGCTATAACAGGAATATTGGCAGATGAATCGACCGTTTTTTTAGTGAAATTTGATTGGAACAAGCTTGGAGAAAAAATGGAGGAAGAAAAGAAGGAGGATGCGGGAAAATATTTTGAGCTTTTCTTTGATAATTGTGCGCGTATGTATTTTCAATTCAAAAATGATGGGCTAATCACTTACCAAATCATCGAAACTTCTGAGACGCCTCTTGGTGGCGCAATTCTACGGTTCATGAAAACAACATTGGAAACGAAGGAGTCGCAGCCAGAATTTTCCAAGAGAGATGAGATTGCCACCTGGTTCATTGGAAAAATGCTTGATCAATTTTCAAAACTACAAGAACAAAGACTTGTTGGCAGATTCATTAGCAGATTGTTGATTTACGATTATTTGAATTTTGCATTTGATATTTCCAAAAAGGAGGAATTTGATTTTTTTGAAGAATCTTATTCTGAAGCTTTGAAAAAAAATATTGCCGGAAATTGGAGAATGAAATTAAACGAATATGATAAGGATTTGAAGAAGCGGATAGGAATATTTCGTGTTATTGAAGAAGGTAAATTGGTGCTAAAAAACATGTCAAAAATGAAACCAGAGATTGTTTTTGGAGGTAAGCCTTACAGCTCATGGTCTCTCGTCATAGGTTTTGGAGATGATCTTTATAAAATTTTTGACTATGCCAGATGTTCTCCTGAGGTTTTCTCCACCAAAAAGAACAGCTTCCTTACCCACCGGGATATATTCTACTATTACACTGGTCTCTTTATTAATGAGGTAACATCATACTCAATTTTAACAAAGAACGAAAGCACCAGAAACTTAATTCCTACTATTCATGAAAAAGGTTTTATTTACTATGGTGATAAAAACATTGATGAGCCGCAGAAAATTCAAAAGAGAAAATTGAAAAGTATTCGACTATGGCGGACGATTTGAAGCTGATTTTCAAGGGTGATTACATGAAGCTTTTCAAAATAGTTGATAAAAAACTTGGTAATTTTTGTGAACGTATATTGAGCGAATTTTTCAACAACACCCTGGAGTTAAAAGAAAGTTTCAATATTGATTCAGAATCCAAAGATTTTCTCACTATTTTCGAAGAAAAAGCGACAGAAAAGGAACTTGGTTTTATCGCTGCGAGCGGAGACGTACAAGATGAGTTTTGGAAAGTTTTGGAAAAAATTCAAGTCTGAAGATGGCCGAAATGTTTTTCTTATCTCTGTCAACAAGTTAGGGTTTCGAGATATAAGTTGAAGAAGCGCTCCCAACTAATACTTCGCTACGGTAAAATCGCTAATGATCAGATCAATGCATTGCTGTTACAAACTCGCTAATAATTAATTCATATCGGTGCTATTTTTTCAGGTTCTATTTCTTTTCTTTTTTTTTTTTTTTTTGCTCATCCATTTCTTATGGAGCTGTTTCCTTATTCATCAGGGTTTTTTTTTCTTGTTGGTTCCCCTTTCAAATTGGCTACGCATATACATATATAATTGATTGTTGCTCTTCTTCATTAAATCTTATTTGAAGTTTTTTCAATTTTTTTTTCTTCTTCCAAACCGATGTAAGGAAACATTATACAGATATATAAACTAAAACGGCAGGTGAAACAGAATAGCCGTGCAATAGTACATTTATGATAATGTTATATTACATATATTCGTTGGTCTCAATTCTCTTCAAAAGATAAAGACCTTCAACAATATTGTTGTATTTACTTTCATTCTGAAAAGTAACTCGGAATCCCATCTCAACTGTTTCCTCAAATCTAATAGAATCTCAAGACTTCGTGCGTAATTGATCTGATTAAAAGCAGAAGTGTCATATTACAGATAAAGGGAAACCACGGTCCTTCAGATATGAGTTTCCTTGAAAGTATACTATCAATTGATAAAAATCAAACTGAGCATCAGTAGCCAGAAGTTATACTGTTTGGAAGAATCTTGGCTTTGACCGCATACCCAAACTTTGTAAGCACCAACATCGATTCTTTCAGTGGCTTCGGGGGAAGCCTTGACATGAATAAACGACATATTATTGATGTGCTATTTTCACCTTATGTTTGATTCTTAAGAAGTAATTTGTTCTTTGAAAGAGAAGAAACTAAGAAAGTTGAAGTTGAAACTTATATAAATATTCCATAAAGGTGTCAGGCACTTTCAAGGCGAACGAACAAACGGAATATCAGAAATTGGCATTCATATATATTGAAGGAATATTTTTATTTCGTACCATTACACTGTAATTATTCGTACCAACAGGAAGAAAATTCATACTGGCCCCCGGTATTTTTACCATTACACTGTAATTGTCCATACCATTTTACTTCAAATATTCAAATCAATGTTTTTTCTACTAATGCTTCCGAAAGCCTCTTTGCTACTTAATTTAATCAAAAGATACTCAGTTTTGCAGAACTCGGTGCTATTTCTACAATACCGGACACTCATAGTGCACATATGATGGCATTTTTAGTCAATAGGAAAGAATATATGGCATGGTAGAATGTCTGCTCGCATAAGGTAATGATTTCTCACAAGTATTGTGCAATTCAGTGCCACTATGTCATCACTAGATTGGTTATAGTAATTATAGGAGCGTAGTACAATCAACCACCATGGAGCTAGATGAAGTGATCTTCAAAAAATGTGAAGATATGAATACTGAAGAAATGGAGGAGACAAGGAAATATAGAGAGGCCCTTACAGACACTATAGGCAACCTGTACAACAAAGATTTTGGTAGCTAGTTATGGAAGAAGGCGTTTCAGCTTATAAAGCGCAGAGCACCAGTGGCTTTCTCCGATAAGAAGAGAACACTTGATTCAGAAACAAATGCTGAGAAAGTGAGTAGAGGTACTACAGCTAATCACTTGTATGTCTTCGTAAAGTCAGTAATTCAACAAATAGAAACTAATAACGAGCAACAGCTCTTTTGAAAAGAAATACAAAAAGACAAAAAGATTTAGAAAATGGAATGAAAAAATAAAATAAAGACCACAGGAGAAGCTCAAAGAAAAATGAGCTTCATACGGACCAAACCCTTGGTTACGAGCCCTCAAAGAGGCCATTAGATGTATTTAATTTCTATTAGGTGTTTATATGAAGATCAAGTATTAATTTTATTCCAGTTGGTATGAATAATTAAAGTACAATAGTACAGTGTTTTCATTTTTTATTCGTACCAACCACCGGAAATGTTCATACCAGTGGCAAAAATTAGTTCATAGTGACCCCCTCGTATTTTTTTTGTACCATCGCACCGGGATATTTATATGAAACTACAAGAATATTTCGTAACATTACATACACTGTAATTATTCGTGCCTACAAGAAGAAAATTTACACTAGAGGTATAAATTATTTCGTGCGTTTAGTATTCAAAAAAGATATCTAACGGCCTTTTTGAGGGCTCCTAATTAAGTTTTTAATCAGCATGGTCATTTTTGTATTCCAGTTTCATACTCTATTTTTGGTTCATTTTCTAAATTTTTTGTATTTTTTGTATTTCTTTTCAAAAGAGCTGGTGCTATAAACAGAGATCAATAAGTCTATCTTACAGCATGCCTACAGAATCCCTCATAACAATCAAGAGTAATACTTTCCGTAGCTTTTTCCATTCTTGGAGTCAATTGCTTTTTCTTAATCAAGTTTGATCTTTTTACTTTACTTTTACATACTGACCAGAATTCTTCTATGGCATTTAACCCTGGAGAATAAAGAGATAGAAATACAAGTTCTAACCCACTCAGTGCAACCAATAATTGAAGATCACGGCGTTTATGAATAGTTGTAGTACCTTAACTCACTTTCTCAGCGTTGGTTTCTGAATAAATTTTTCTCTTGTTGGATCAAGCCACTAATATTCTGACCTTAAATTCAATACAGCCTTTGGCAGAAATTGTACTACGCTTCCTAAAACCAACAACTGCGGCCAAAGCAAGCTTTCAAGTCCAAACTTACGTTTAGTAGTGAAAGAATTACTGTAATCAATCTAGTGATCATATAGTGTTACTGAATTGCACAATACTTGTGAGATATTATTGCCTCATGCAGCAGGCAGACCTTCTACCATACATTCGATCTTATTTACTAAAAAAACCGGGCGTCATGTATGAATTTTCTTCTCTTTCAAAGAAGAAATCACTTCTTAAGAATCAAGCATAAGGCGAAAATATCACATCAATAATGTGTCGTTTATTAAAGTGAAGGCTTCTCCCGAAGCCACTGAAATAATCGATGTTGGTGCTTACGAAGTTCGAGTATGCATACAAAGCCAAGATTTTCCCGTTGTGCTGCAACTTGGAAAAAGAATTAATAATTCTTCCAAACAGTCTAACTTCTAGCTACTGATGCTCAGTTTGATTTTTATCAATTGATAGTATATTTTCAGGGAGATTCATATCTGAAGGAACATGGTTTCCCTTTATCTGTAACATGGCACTTCTGCTTTTAATCAGATCAATTACGCACGAAGTCTCAAGATCCTGTCAGATTTGAGGAACCGGTTGAGGTGGGATTCCAAGTTACTTTTCAGCATGAAAGTAAGCACAACAAGATCTTGTTGAATGTCTTTTTTTTTTTTTTTTTTCTGAAGAGAGTCGAGACCAGCGAATATATATAATATAACGCTATCAAAAATGTTCTATTGCACGGTTATTCTGTTTTATCTGCTGTGTTAGTTTAAATACCTGTATAATGTTTCCTTACATGGGTTTGGAAATAGAAAAAAACTTTGAAAAAACTTTGATTAAGATGACAAAAAACACCATAAAAGAGATAATCGCATATCCTAAAAGAACCCCAGCAGGCCCAGCAGCAGCTAACGATTTACCAGACGGTCTAATTTGCCAACAGTATTCTTGAAATGATTGAAGGCATCAATGAAATTCTCAACAACAATCAAATATATATGTACATAGCTAGTCAATTTGAAAGGAGAACCACCAAGAAAAAGAAACATGATAAATAATGAAACGACGAGAGAAGAAATGAATGAGCAAAAAAAAAAAAATGGAAGCAGCAAAAATAGCACTGATATGAATTAATTATTAGCGAGTTTATAATAGCAATGTATTGATTTAATCATTAGTGATTTTACCTCAGCAAAGTATTAGTTTGGGGGCGCTTCTTGAACTTCCCTTATATCTCGAAACCCCAAGTGGCTGAGAGAGATAATAAAAATATTTCTTCCCTCTTCAGACTCCAATTTTCTCCAAAATTTTCCAAAATTCATCTTGTACATCTCTGTCCGGAGCGACAAAAGCAAGTTCCATTTCTGTCGCTTTTTCTCTGAAAATAGCAAGCAAATCTTTGGATGCTGAACCAATATTCAAAACTTCATTTAACTCCAGGGTATTATCACAAAATTCGCCCATTATACGCTCACAAAAATTACCAAGTTTTTTATCAAACATTTTGAAAAGCTTCATGTAATCACACTCAAAAACCAGCTTCAAATTGTCCGCCATAGCCGAACACTTTTCCATTTTCTCTTTCAAATTTTTCGCTAATCCTTTTCCATTCGCTGCTGAAGATGAAAATCCAAAATCAATAAGTTTGATATCAACCAGGTCTTTTTCTTTGACAAATACATTGGCGCCCCGAATATCACCGTGTTCCACACCCGCACAGTGTATTTTGCTAATACAAATCAAAGCCGATCTCATAAATCTCTTTCCATAAAATCCACTCCTTATTGAACAATCACCAAAGAGATTATAACCAATTTTGCAAAGGTTATTCAATTGATATACGGACCCTCCGTATATGCCAATTCTTTACCTTTTTTTATTTCCTGCGGCTCATCAGTATTTTCATTATTGGAGTAAATGAAACCTTTTTCAAGAACGATAGGAATTAAATTTCCGGTGCTTCCTTTTTTTGTTAAAATTGAGTACGATGTTACCTCATTAATAAAGAGACTAGTGTAATAATAGAATATATTCCTGTGAGTATCAAAGCTGCCCATTTTGGTTGAGAGAACCTCAGGAGAGCATCTGGCATAGCCAAAAATTTTATAAAGATCATCCCCAAAACCTATGACGAGAGACCATGAACTGTGAGGCTCACCTCCAAAAACAATCTCTGGTTTCATTTATGGCATGGCTTTTAACACCAATCTACCTTCTTCATTGCTACGAAATATTCCTATCCGTTTCTCCAAATCCTTATCATATTCGCTTGGTTTCATT